CCGCAGACGATCTAAAGCCAGCAATATATTTAGGCTTTCTTCTTATTCAGTCAATTGCTCAACGACGGAATTTTCTCAAAGCCCTGTTTGTCAAGATTCAGTCTCATTTCCATATGCATTCGGGTAGATCGCTTTCGTGTGTAGGACGTGCCACCGTCACCAACACGTTGATCCTATCTAAATGCAGGAACTTATGTCGAGCCATTCCTTTCAGTACACAGGAGCTGTCTCGTATTCGATCATTGGCAAGCCAATTTTTGAATAGATAGATTTTCCCTCGAATAGCTTGGTCAACATGGATATTTCCGAAAGACAAGGATGGATTGGGTATCTTGGACCCTCTGCTACAGAGAGACGCACTTTTTTTTCGCTGGACCTTTTCTTTGCTTTTGAATCGTTCTTCAACACATTGGCTGAAAATTATTCGACTTCATATGCATAATGTCACAGGGGTCTCGCATGTACAAGTTCCTTTGCTCTTCCCATCTACAAGAAAATTTATAAATCGATCCAATGGCGCCACTAATAAAGTCAGTACGATTCAACTGCTCTATGCGTCTATAGATAGACTTCCTAGAAATTTTGATACTATGGAGTTCAATCCAGCAGTTTGTATGGTACTAATAATCTCCATGGTCATGCATTATACGAATGTTCAACGACCTTTTTTGCCTCCTGCTATGCGTCAAATCCAAGATAATGACCTCATGATATACGATTATTTTTGCCAAGGTTATTCTTTGAAAGCTCCTTCAAAATACTCCCGAAGAGTTGCAAGCAATTCAACAGAGGTTAGTTCGTGGTTTAGCAAGAAGGACTATAGGTGTCGCTCCCTTTTTTCAACGCCATTTATCAATATCTTCTACCTCCAATGCCATCTCTTCAGATATACATGCAGGATTCAGCTTTGCCTCTTTTCTGCTTTGCTGTTTTATCTACCAAGAGACAAAGCGATGGGATCAGCTCTAAGGTATATCAAATGACTTGCTTGGAGTCTTATCCTGCCCCTTCCACCCTGTCAACCATTTCCTCTACTTTTTGGGATTCATTTTGGACATTGTCCCTTACCGCCGTTGTGCAAAATGTGGTGTATCGATATATAAACTATAAGCTGCTTACAAAGATACGTATGAATCGTTTCTTGTCTAAACGATTTCCAACTCCTTTATGCCAAATTTGTGATCTTTATACTGAAAATGACAACCATATGCTCTTTTTATACCTTCCAAAAATGCATTTTTGGAAAGAGCTTATATTTGAGTTTTTATGGCCAACCACTACTGTTGATGATATCATACAAGCAATCTGATATATGAGCTTTCATTCCATTCGTTATACTCAGAATAGTGAGTAAGATGCTCAAGAAATAGTATTCCAAGGCATGGGTCACATTTGGAAAGCCCATTGGAATACTATCTTCATTGAAATTCCGTTTAACCCAACTCTACTTCTTTCATCCACTTGTGCTTCTCTCAATTCTCTGATTGACGAGAAACACTTACACAAAGGTTTATAATTAATTATCCTATGCATTCTCCCTTTGTATCTCTTAGAATTGCGACCACCTCTGGAAAAACTTTAGTCATAGTCTACGTGGAGCAAAAAATAGAACCCTTTAAAAAATAGGCAAGATATCAAACTAATATGGCTTGTCTTTATGGTACAGTTTTTGTAGCTATAATTGCCCTCATTTAAACTATTCTATTTTCATCTGGCAAACAAACAAGTGCTGGCTTACGTAGCTTATTGAGAACCAATAAAAATAAGGTTTGAGTTAGTAAATAATCACCTGAAGTTATTGTAACAAATATTTATTATTCGTCATGTACAAGCGGCACATTTTTTCTTCTACCAAGCAATGTAGCATTATTAATGTTTAGTTCAAAGCCGGATTTTGGCTTTTGATTTACCACATGTGGACTATCAAATAAACGTTTCTTTTGTGTTGGCGGTTGATCAGCCTTTAGTCCTCCTGCTAGTTTCCGAATAAGTGTACTCTTTCTTTTGTCTTCAACATGAGTATCATTCAGTGCCTTACTAAGTGACTCAATCTGACGCTCGTGATGTTTTTCATCATCATTTGAAGAAGATGACGCAGTAGAATCAGAGCTAATATCGTCTTTGGATAAGTCTTCTTCTTCACTATCTGATAAAGAAGGTCCATTTAGCATTTGAAATCGCATTTGTTGTTCGTGCAAATTTAACTTCTTGTTTTCTTTACGTTTAGCTCGTTCTTCTCCCATGCGGTGTACTGCATAGGATACATCAAATGCTTCTTTCATAGAAGCAATGCCAGATAAAAACGCATCTTTTCTTTTGCTGGAGCGCGGAATACTCTGTGGCGATGAAGGCACCATTGACACAGTTTCAGCTGCAACGGATGTAGTGGTAGATGCGGGAACTAATAGATCCGGTGAATCAATTCTCTTTTCTTTTTGTTCTTGTGTTGTTGATGAAATGATCTGAGACACAGGAGCAGAAGACATAGGAGTATCCTGAAAAGTGTGTCAGCATAGAAAAAAAGGAGTTTAAATAGGTCTACTTGCCTGTCGAAGCATCCAAGGATGCGACAAAAACTGATCAATCGTATATCTTTTTTTTGGATTTACATCTAACAAATGGCGTACTAAATGCTTAGCATCCACTGAGATATGATCCCACCAAGGACTTAAGAACACATATTGACCTTTAGCTACTTTTTGGGTAAGTGTGGCAATACTTTCGTCATAGAACGGGGGAAATCCGCACAACATAGTGTAAAGCACACACCCTAGTGCCCACATGTCTACAGATTTTGAATACCTTTCATCTCTAACGATTTCAGGCGCAGTGTAACCTACAGTGCCACAAGGCGTCATGGTATGTTTATCCCAGACTACCTTAGAAAGACCAAAATCAGCAATCTTGACTTTACCAATACCACCACCACCTAGACCATAGACAAATTCGCCTTCATCTTCTTTTGGCTCATCTTCATTCTCAGGCTGGGTTGGTAAAGGACTTGTCTTTCGTTCCATGAAAGGAATTGATTCAAATAAAATATTTTCTGGCTTAATATCTCGGTGCACAACGCCACGTTCTTCATGCAAGTATCGTATACCTTCAGCTACTTGTCGAATGCAATGACGAGCAAGGTCTTCACTGAAATAAGTAAGCTGTACAATCTGATGAAAGATTTCACCACCATTCATTAATTCAAGCACTAAAAAGTAATACTATAAAAAATGTCAGTATGCATATATAAATATCTGAAACATACATCGCTTGTTTCGATAAATGCAAGCATTTTAATAATGGACGGATGGTTCAAAGTGCGCATAATTTGTACCTCTTTTAGCACACTTGCTTTCTACATATAAAAAATTTTCATTGTTATACAAAAAAGGAGGAAAACGAAACCCGTGATGATACCTGAATTTGATTCAATTCGAACTTTCTAACTATTTTTATAGCGACGTGCTGACCAGATTTTTTGTCCATGGCTTTATAGACATTAGAAAAGGCACCCCTAATGTATGCTTAATGATGTGGGAGAACGATAAGTAGTTACATACTCGCCCAATTTCTTTAATAGCTGGTATTGAGACAGCCCTTCATAATTAGGTAATTTTGATTTTGCAATGTTTTCTTCTTGAACAATACGCTCAGCAGTTTGCTTTGTATGTGCTTTACGTTGTTCCGGATTGCTTGTGAGCTTATTGTGATTGTTGCTGCGAAATAGGTTCTTTAGTTGATGAAACATAAAAGAAAAAGAAGAAGAAATGTATTATTATTGAGAAAGAAAATAGTCTAAATATAATAATAATAAAAAAGGTTAACTTTATATAGCTTTTTTTTCTGTCCCTTGACTTTGAGTTTCTCTCCGCTTTTCTACATGCAAATGATATCATAAGTCAGAATTATACTGGACTCATGCCCTGCCTAAGTCGATCAAACACGGTACTTGCATCAGCGTACCAAGGATATCCAATTCTATATTTAAAGCTTCTTGGCTTATTTTTAAACGGTAGCCCAATCACATGCATATGTAAATGGTCAACACTATTGAAGGGTGGAACATGAAATCCGAGACTTTTTTTTTCTGTAAGTGTGTGATATATTTTACATTTTACTTTACCGTGTTTGAGATGTGTTGTCGGGATTGAAACCATTTTCTTTTAATAGTCGCCTGCCTAATTCAATCATTTGCTGCACTGGCATTTACATTTAATACCTGTATGTTTACATTCAATTTTACCTACATAAAGGTATATCGCCCTGACCTAAATCTTTGACTGTTTTGATGTGGTTCTTTGGTATGACAAGTAAATGAAGTTGTGCTGAAGGTGAACGATCTTGAAAGGCTACAAGATCTTCTGTCTACTGAAATAATGAACATTATTGATACACATAATGTAGTTATATACCTCGGTTACCCATCGTTCTCCAACTGCTTCTTTAATATGGCAGAACGGACATACACGTGTGTCTCTTTTACCAAGGCAACAAAACATGATAAATTTCGGAATGGGAAAAAAGGGGAAAAGTGATCTTTACCTGCTTCAATCACCATATTTTTTTAATACTCCGTTCACCATCATAAAGTCAGGGATTAATGTTTTTTTATTGTAATAATTTTGTATATGGAAAGCCTATATATTATTTAACAAAATCGCTCTCTGGAGGAACAGGATCCTTGGGATGCTTAGCCTATGAGGGAGCATGAGTAATTCCGGACATTTATGGGTTATAAACCTTACTTCCATATGTTGTTTCAAAAGGTTATAGTTGGCAAGTGCAATGAAGCATTTGGCACATTTGATCTATATACGGAGAGTGAGATAAATTTACTTTATATAGTTCTCTTTTGTACCTGAAGACCAGCAGCACGAGCATTTAATTGAGAACCATTACTCTTACGCTTGGCAGCTTCCTTTTGTGCTTTTTGTCTAGATATTGAATTGTCTCGGTCAATTATATATAGCACTTCTCACCATATTTCTAACCTGGCTTGTTCCTTTTGTGCACCACGAGCCATTTGAAATAAGAAAAGGAGAAAAAAAAGAGGGAAGAGAGAGAGAGAGAAAAAGCGAGAACTTTTTTTTTTCGTTTGCGCAAAAAAACTCCGTCTATTTTTTATTCAGTGATATAGGTAGTAAGCTTATCAATGATCCTTTCATCAATTTCAATAGGTGGATCATTCTTTGCCAGTTCTTCTACTTCTTCGTCACCAATCCAGTACTTCTTTTCATGTTGACCCTTATCAGCATCCTGCTTTTCCACTGGGCGAGTTTGATTCAAGACAACAGCAACTACATAGTTGCCAATGTCATCAATTCTTTTATAGTCTGCATACCACATATATAATCTATAAGGAATATTTGACCAGCCAATAATGTTTACGTGTGGAATGTACATAACAGGTGAAAATTTAGATGGTAGCGAAAAGTGATCCACATCATTTGTTTGTAGTGTATTTTCTTCAAATTTATCTTGTTCTAATTTAATTTCTTCATCAAATTTACTTTCTTCAGATTTGTTTTCGTCACTCTTATTGCTTTCATCAGGCTTGACTTCTTCTGTCTTGGTTTCTTCAATGGTAAAAGGATCAGCATCACAGCCCTTGGATAATCCATTCAACACTTCACGGTAAGCATTTCTTCCAATAGCTAAAATGCCATCATATTCGTCCTTGTTGGCATCTTCTGTCGATGAAGAAGGCTTTTTCAGTACAGGAGATGGAAAAGGTTTACGGCTGTTGATCTTGGGTGCATTATCCATCACTGATCTATCCAAATCCTCTGCTGTTGTTGATTTCTCGGCCTCCTCTAATGCTTGACGACGAAATTGAATGATATCTTTCATAACAGAACTTTCAATTTGTCCAGCAGATTTGGCTTCTTTGACTTCATAGTCTACTGCTCCTGCAACAAGTACAGGCTACACACCATTAAATCTTTTGTAAATTATACAAGCACTTACTTTAACATATTCACGAAACCAATTTCTACTTTTTTCAAGACTATCTCCAGGGGGTGCTGAGATATAAACAAGTACTTTTCGAGGTGTTTCCTAAAATTGAATTCAGTTGACGACTCTATGTTTTAATAGACATACATGGATACCACAAGGTCTTTCTGCAAGAAAAGATACTCGTTGAGTAAGTCTCTTTCTTGACTCTTCAGCGTGTTTGTTACTAGTGTAGATAAGGCCACTAATAGCACCTGCTACACCGCTGAATATGAGTGTACCTTTAGAAGGTGCTTTTAAACCAAACGGCAAAGACATAAAGTGTAATATAGAAAGAAAAAGAAAAGAAGCTATGGTCTTGGGTCCTGCTGTCAAAAAGCAAAGTCACACTCTGATCCGGGAAATCAATTCAGGCACCGGACTTTCTTTCTCATCAAGTCTGATGATAGGAGATGGGACCCTCTTTCTTTAGAATCATATGATGATTTGTACATATGCTATACACAGCAAAAGGCTATTGGTGGATTTTTGTATGACTCTCAGTATGTATTGTTACTATTTAATTAAGAGCTTTTGATTCATCATGTACGGAAATTAGGGACGATTCAGAGAAAAAGAGTCTAATTTTTTTTTTTAGATTCAGATAGACCAAATAAATACCAAACTGAATTGTTTCTCTTTTTCTTTTCTTCTCTCTATTGAAAATGTCAGATAAAGAAAATTCACTAGATATTCGTAAATGATTGAACCTTGGATGTATGAATAAAGCTAAAAAAAAATGATAGGGTTGCCTGATGTGATTGCTCACCGTGGTTTCTCGGCAGCAAACCCTGAAAACACAATGATTTCATATGAAAATGCCATTGACGCAGGCACCATTGCTTTAGAAGGAGGTATGGTTATTATGATGGTATTCGTCCAAAACAATTAATGTGTTTGCTAGACATTAGACTTAGTAAAGATGATGAGATTGTAGTCATGCATGATTTGACCCTGAACAGAACCTCAACTGGTACTGGAGCAGTACGTGATCAAAATTGGCATGGTTATATAGATGGTCTCAAGACAAAAACTGAACCTGCTCAACCTATTCCTCGGTTTAATGATGTACTTGACATGCTTATTCGTCCCGAGATTAGTTCCAAAAAGGGATTTTATATGATTGTTGATATCAAGGTAAGTTGTAAAAAAAAAAAAAAAAAAAAAAAAAAAAAAAGAGTTATGAGACACTAAATCTTGTATTAGTTTGACAACCCTATTGAAATTCTAGATGTATTGAAAAAGTTGATTGATAGCTATATTGCAGACTATCCTGAACTGTATGACTTGCTAGTGATTGGTATTTGGAGTGTCGAGTTCTTGAAGAAGGCAAAAGCGTTGTTTCCAAAATTCAAGTTATGCTTTATTGGTATCTCTATCTCAGCTGCTCGCTCTCACTTTTTGGAGCATGTTGATTACTTGAGTTTACCCTTTGCTGGTTTGGCTACACACGATGGTCAATCGCTTATCAAGGAAATACATGCACAAAACAAGCGCGTGTTTACATGGACAATTAATGATCCATTACAGATGAAGACATGCGTTTTGTGGCAAGTAGATGGTGTTGTAGGCGATGATGTACCAGCTATGCTTGAAAATGTTCATCACATACCCAAATCAATTACAACAGACAGGGATTATCAAGAATATAAACAGACTGATACCTATCTGGCTTCTAAACGAACCCAACTCTATTATTATTTTGTTTCAAAAGCAATGGGCTTAGCAAGCTGGAAGTTTATTGGTGTTTAAAACGATTATTTATTTCAATAAAAAAGCTTAACGTGTGATTATACATAATGAAGCAAATGCTTAACAAAAACATTTGATCAAACAAGGGGAACTAAGGTAAGGAGGAAAGAGTGCGTGTAACTTTTATATGTTGAAACCCAATTTTTTAAAAGAGCGATTTGATCACTTTATGCAGCAGTGACAAAAGTATAGAGTTGAAGTAAACTTCCCAACATTCTAGCATTTTTTATAAGCAAACATCTTTCTGATTAAGGGGATCAAGCAGCTTGTAACGAGGCGTTTTGTTTGGATAAGCTTACCCATGTAAGAGAGACATCAGGCAAATAGATGCTTTGTTAGTGAAAACAGGCAACACTTCATACAAATCTCTTTTTTTTTCTTCGATAAGATGAAGGTAGCATAAATCCTGTTTATGCATACATAAATAATTTAAAGACCTAAGAACAATGTCTGTCGACATAAAGGGCACTTTTGGAGTTGATTTGGATCAAAAAAGGCAGCTTGTAAAAAATGGCCAAAAATCTCATAAAACTTTTTTTATTTTTTATTTTTTATTTTTTATTTTTTATTTTTTATTTTTTATTTTTTATTTTTATTTTTTATTTTTTATTTTTATTTTTTATTTTCTATTTTTTATTTTATTTTTTTTTTTTATTTATTTTTTTTATTTTATTTTTTTTTTTTTGTAGGGGAACTATGTTCCTGTTTTATTTAAAGTCCTAAAGATGTCATAATGAGTGATAATTGAGACTGGAGGGATATGATGTGCAATAAGAAAGAGAGAGGAAATGTGCATAAGTTTAACTAGTAAGGAAAGTGATTTCAGTCAAGAAGTATTAGTTCTTGTTCATCGGATTGTTTAGTCAGCAGGCGTTTGATTATGGAGAGTACAGCAGAAAAGGTGAAGGGTGTGAAATCAAAAACCAAACGCCAATGGCTGGACCATAGACCTTCCAATGTGCTAGCGCAGATTTGTTGTGTGGATAGGGTTGGAAATGCAGAATGACTGGAGCGACTGATGGTGGTACGGAGATTGAGGAGTTGTCGTAAGAGGTGAATTGAAGGAGCGGTAAGAGAAGGATCGATATATGTGGAGAGGATGTGACACCGGATTCTGTAATTGACTGGACAAAGAAAGTTGAAGTGGTCAAGTGTGTCAATGGTGTTGCGACGGAAGTAAGGACAGTGAATGCATTGAGGGCTAGTGATGAGCTTCGGTAGTTTTTGGTGTAGGTAGAAACGAGTATTGATGGTCTTGTGCAGAAAGCGGAACCAGATATTGCGGGAGCGACGTGTGATTTGAAGTGACCAAAAGGCTTTCCAATTAGGGACAATGTCAAAAGGTGAGGTGGGTGTAGGAATGTATTGGTGGAAGTAAGGCTTTATAACCAGAAATAGTGGGAGGTGCAGGTTTGAAAACTAATGGCGAGGAGACAGATTGAAAGTATGTAAGTGTGGTGACAAAGGATTGCAGGCAAGAAGGATGAAGGATATTGTAGGTGTTAAGGGGAGGTGTAATCATAGTAGATTCAAGGTGAGCGAGGACAAATGGTTTGAGAAATAGTTTTTGTTTGTGGATATGTTTCAAAATTTGAAGAGAGGGGGGGGGAAGATACGACGGTGTTGAGTCAATGTATTGCGTGTGCGGTATTTTATGGATAGAGATTGAGTATCGTGGATGAATAGATCGTGACCAATGAGGCGGGAGAGATCAGAGGGTTTGCGGAAAAGAGAATCAGGCGGTATGAAGGAAAGGAGAGAAGATGGACCAGAGGGTTGTGGGTAATGAATGAAAAGTTCAGAGACAAGAAGACGGAGACAGACTTGAAGAGGGGCTTGACAGGACTCGAAATTGTGTGGTAATGCATCGACGGCTTGAAATATGTTAGCAAAGTAATTGTGAATTAGGGCAGGAAGGTATAAACGACAAGAAGGGAACAGGAGAGACCGATGATATGTGGGGTGAGTGATAGATGTAAAAAAATAATGTACACTGAAATGAAGGACTGGAAGAGAAGGCTGGGTTAAGGAATGGAATGTAAGTATATTTGTATAGAGAATCAGTAAACCCAAAGACCTGATCTCTAGACAGAAGTTCATCACGCCTCCATCTCTGCATACATAGTTGCTTCTTCTTTGGTCTAATATCTACCCCTTGTCTGCAGCCAATCAGTAGTTGTATAAACATCAGCTATTGTCCCTAGCCTTTGATTACACAAGTTTTAGTGCAATGTTGTATCTAAACAGCGCCAAAGAAGCAAAATACTGAACAAACACAGTTACACGGTTGGAAGTCAAGACTCTTCCAGCTCTCTAGGCCAACTGAACAAGAATAAGGGGGAGGGGGGCTTCTTGAACAGTACGAACCTTATTTTGACAAGAGTGCAAAATAAAAGAGAAGGGTTAGAATAAAAATACCACATTCGGAAATGTGTGGCTTGGCCAATCAATCTGTTACCTTGGCTACTTTAAAAGGTGGCGTGAACAAATGATTTTTTTTATCAGATTTGTGATCAAGTTGCTCAACTATAATCAGTTGTGTAAACTCGCTTTGTGTATTCATTTCTTTGCATATCTAGAGGATAAATGTAAATAATAGAATTGAAAAAATTTAGGCTATTCTAATACAATAAAAACTGATGAAACTCATGGTGCTTGTTACTGTTAGCAGGATTATTACAAATTTTTAGTGCCATAAATTCCCATCAATGATAAAACAGGCCTTCTTCGCATTCATTACTTTTATTTTGCTTTGTTTTGTATAAAATAACTTCTACATCAAAGTAAATGTCATGTGAGATGTAGCCCTTAATGAACAAGAAAAATACTGCACTGTCCTATTGTCAAAATCCCAATTTTGTTACATATTTGACCATTTTGATTAGATCCACCAAACGGCCAAATCTGACTTTACTTGTTTTACAAACAGGCCAAACAAAGGACGACTAAAGCAATTTGGCTATTCTTTAGTAGCTTAATCATTATTTATCGCTGTAAGTGAATATCTTATCTCGATTATACTCCAGAAAATAATCAAAGATCAGTATGAGATGTTCTGCTCAAATTAGTGGCTCCTCCTGCTTCTTTGACACTATTTGTTTAAATACAAAGCTCTATAAGTTAAAGTACTAAATTTCCGATTCTCTCTACTCTCAACAACAACAACATTTGATGTGACGATTTTCCCTAATGTTTCAAGTAAGCTATCGGCCTTTTGAAATTTACGCATTGTATTACAGATTTTTTTTACAAGAGTCTCTTGCAACAAAACACAGCTCTGGAAAGAGTCAATGTCGACAAAGCAAAGATGGGTCCTCGTATTTGCTGGATCCATGGCTCTTGCTATACTTCTTCTACCAACGCGAAACGTGTTCTGTCTAAATACCTACTTGACTATACTTCTTCTTCCTCAGTAATATATCATACAAAAAAGTTTAAATCTTGTAAATAAAAATTGCGTGCTTATCAAAAATAATCACTGATTTAAATTTGTCACTAATGAACGATCCACTTCTTCTCCGTAGGAAGTCAGTGATGAAAGGTGTGTCAGTTAGGTAACTGGGCTCATTGTATCAAGCTTTGTAAATTAAATTAGCATAGTCTTTATATATAAAGAGCTTTTTATTGCTACAAATTAAGATATATAATAAGGGTGTGGATGTTGTTTTCTTTTTTCAATCAACTTAAGCAGTTTTAACTTTTAGCCTTATGGCACTAAGGGGGCCCAATCTATTAGTTTTGCAGTCAAAATTTACCGACTCGTAGTATATACTAAAATAAGCCTGCGACTATTCAATTGCATAATCGATACTAGGCGTACACCAAACGGAAAAATTATTCGCGCATTTCCGAAAAAAAGATGTGTGTACTTTTAAATCACACCACGCCATTTTTCTGTTGAATACGCTATTTTTTTTTCTGTGCGATTTATTTTTTAAAGTACGCACATCTTTTTTTCGGAAATGTGCGAATAATTTTTCCGTTTGTTGTACAAGAAACCGGACCAAATGCTTTGAATATGTCCATCCGTGACTGTAAGTAAATAATGTAAATGTTCTCATCAAAAGGAATCTGCCTTTATTTAAATGCTTCGCAACATTACTCCTCGTTTTCTCTCTCAAAAGCCTTTTAAGACATTCTTAAAGTCACATTCCATTCGAGCCATGTCTACACCCAATACGATGCGTGCTGTCTTTTTTAATGAACACGGTGGTGTTGATAAGTTAATTTATAAGGAAGACGTTCCAGTTCCTCAAATCAAAAATGACTCTGTTCTCGTCAAGAACCATTTTGTTGGTATCAACTACATTGACACCTACCATAGATCAGGTCTTTACAAGGTTCCTTTACCGTACACGCCTGGAAGAGAAGGGTAAGTCATGTCATTTGTGTGTATTGATATCATTCTCATGATTTTTTTTAGTGCTGGTGAAGTTGTTCAAGTAGGTTCCAATATCAAGGATTTCAAAGTAGGCGATAGAGTTGTCTATCTCTCTGGTTCTACTTATGCCGACTACACGGACGTACCCGCTGAAAATGTACTTAAATTAGTAGACGAAGTGAGTTATCAAGATGCTGCTGCTGTTGGTATTCAAGCCATCACAGCATGGACCATGGTCCGTGATGCCTACCCTATCAAAAAGGGTGATACGGTTTTGGTGCATGCTGCAGCTGGTGGTGTAGGTCTTTTGTTGTGTCAAATGGCTCATCATCTCGGTGCTACTGTCATCGGTACCGTCAGCTCCGAAGAAAAGGCCGAGCTTGCTCGTCAAAATGGCGCCACTCATACCATTATTTATACACGCGAGGATGTAGTTAAGCGAGTCAACGAGATTACCAATAACTTGGGCTGTCATGCTGTTTTAGATGGTGTCGGTAAGGCCACATTTGATGACTCGCTCGCTGTGACACGCCGTTTGGGTACCTTGGTCTCATTTGGTAATGCATCTGGATCTGTGCCTCCAATCTCTATCACTTGCTTGACACCCAAGAACATCAAGTTAATGAGACCTAGTCTTTTCGCATACTTGGCAACTCGCGAAGAAATTGTTAAATGGTTTGGCGAAGTATTGGATCTTTTGAGCAAGAAGATAATCAAATTGCACATCCATAAGTTGTATGAATTGAAGGATGCCAAGCAAGCACACACAGATATCGAAAGCAGAGGAACAACCGGTAAACTTTTAATAAAGCTTTAATTTGATTCCCTTCTTTTATTTTATTGAGGAAATAACTCTTTGTTAATAAATAGTCATTGTAGAAATAATCAGCTTTTGTATTTTTGATAAACTACCTTCCTACCCCTCAAATAGATTAGCTTCCAAGAAAAAAGTCCGCAAAATTAAGCAATCGTTTTTATTTTATTGTAAAGAAAAGGAGAAACAAAGCCAATTTATATGCATAAAAAAGACATAAACAGTAGCGATAGGAAGAAGAAGAAAAACAAGAATCCTCTTGTCTATTTTTTCTATACTTTAGATTCCCGGTGTTTTCATTTTGCAGAAAGTGTTTATATAAAAAAACAGAAATTGAAAAGGAACATGTGCTGATCGTTGTACGATTTCTTATGTCTGCTTCTAAAAAAAGCTCTTCCTCTTTCTCTCTGTCTTTTATCGTTTGACAAACTATTTAGCTAGACAATAAAACGTGCAAGCTTAAAGTAAAAGAGTCAACCGAGAATTATTAATAGAAGTACTTTATTTAGCCAAGATTCTGCTTCATCGCCAATTTTTTTGGTAAAAGAAAAAGCGCTCCGTGTAACAGTGCTCAATCAACCAAAAAGAAGTCAAAGAACAAACTTTTTTTTCAAATCAGCTAATATGACTTGTGTACCATCTAATATAGATGTATATAAATGAATTATTTGTAAACATCTTTCTCCCTTTTTTTCACCTTTTCCTTTCCTTTCCTTTCCTTTTTCTTTATCATGTTTATCTCAACAAAAATATTTTTGTTTGTAGCTGTGTGCCTTGTTTTCATTCAATCAGCATACGCTAGTGTATTCTCTCAACTTCAATTCATCAAGATCTCATCACCTAAAAATGGTCAAAATTTAGTTGCTGGCAAACCTTTGACTGTCAAATACGTTATGCAACCTCTTATCAAAGATCATGTTGCTGCTGGTAGAGCTCTCAAGTTAAATATCAACTTCCACAAAAGAACTGGTAATGCAAAGCAACAAAAGGTCGCCATTATCCACAAGTATTGGTAAAGTATTCTTTTTTTTTTATGATTGTGTTTATACTCATGGCCTATCTAGTCCTGTCGCAGCCAAACAAGATAAATATGTTACCTATACCAAGAAGTGGACTATCCCCAAGAGCACTAAGCCTGGATCTTACGCTGTTGACTTTGTTGAATTGGTTCAACTTCGTCGTGGTCAAATGACTGCTACTGAAACTGTCAAGGTTAATGTTGTTGACTAAACTGATAATATACGTATATCTATCTATTTATATACATAATTTTTAATTAGAACCTTTTTTTTTTTTTTATTTGGCATGTGTCTGTATGTATGAGTCTGTGTAGTATAGAGCTTGTTCATTATTATCACTGCTCTTTTTTTTCCTGAAATAAAATCAATGTGTGAATCTTTACGGGAAAAAAAAAGGAAAGAGGAGTTCATTAAGAATTATTTAGACTAACGTCTTTGTGTTACCTAAGAATTCAATTGTCACAAAATAGTTACGTAAAACATGCATAAACCTCTTCTTTTTCTCTCTGTTCTTTTCTTCTTTTTTTTCTCTTTATGAGCAAGATAATTAACTACGGTTCTGTCAATATCGACGAGTTTTTTACGGTTCCTCACATTTGCGCTTCTGGGGAAACATTGTCTTCTACTGAATATGTAGTTCGTGCTGGTGGAAAAGGTTTGAAAACAACAAACAAAGGGCGAGAAAAAAAATTGATACCAGGCCATAGGTGCAAATCAATCCATTGCCATTGCTAAGGCTGGTGGACGCGTCTATCATGCTGGTAATTTTGGTCATGACGCTATATGGGTAAGTTCAAGCTTCGGGTACATGAATTCACTTGTTATTAGATCAAGGATTTCATGAGTGAACAAGGTGTAGATATGTCAATGGCCAATGTTAAAGAAGACGAGGTATCGTGAATGACTGCTTTTGATCATGTATTTAAGTTTTCGATGGATTAGAGAAATGGTCGTGCATTTATTCAGGTCAGTAAGGAAACAGGCGATAATTGTATCGTGTTGTATCCTGGTACCAATAGTACTTATCGAGCACAAGATGCGCACAAGGTACTTGAGTCATTTGGACCAGGCGATTGGATCGTTCAACAAAATGAAATCAGTGAAGGTGGTGAAATCATGAAATTGGCAGCGGAGAGGGGTCTTTCTGTTCTTTTTAATCCTGCTCCTCTAACGAAGGGTATCTTGAAGGAGTTTCCTTTTGATAAGGTTACTATCTTGATTGTTAATGAGCACGAAGCTGAGGCTTTACTTCAAGAACTACACAGCAATGCAGCAGAGAAATCAGGGTTGGATTTGGCAAATGCATTATTAAACACATTCAAATCCATGCAAGGTGTTGTCATTACTCTGGGAGGAGAAGGCGTGGTTGCGAAGTTTAGAAAGGATGCCGAAATAAAAGATTTCAAAGTGGCTGGTAGAAAAGTATCTGTCAAAGACACCACAGGAGCAGGCGATACGTTTGTTGTAAGTTATTTTATAGACTAGCGTTTTGTTTAACCCGTTTCATTATGTAGGGATTCTTTTTGGCTGCACTTGTTAGAAACCAAACTGAGGACTACTTTAACAGAATTGAAAATGCTCTTAATGAAGCAAACTTTGCTTCTTCTGTCGCTGTTCAACATAAAGGATCAATGGCTTCTGTTCCAACCTTAGAAGATGTGCATAAAGCTATGCAAAAATAAACCTAGAAAAAACCATTTGATTTTCCCCTTTCAAACTCTGAATTCGTGCTGCTTTGCGGGAGAAATTGACTTTTTTGTATAAAAAAAAAGACTTCAATTAAGAAGTTAATAAGGCTCTAATTTTAACAAGCCAATCATCATTCAATGCACCAAGACCCGCGCTGCCTTCTTTTCTTTTTTTTTTTAACAGGGGCAACAAATTAGTAATGAAGATCGTGTAGATGATTTATATAGTCTCTCTAACACTGGGAGTAAAAGTGCTTTTTTCTCTCTCTCTCTCTCTCTCTCTCTCTCTTTCTCTCTCTTCTTTCTTTCTTTTCATTTTGGCCCACTCCATTCCTTTTTTTAATATTGTATCCCACTCTTTTTCATCACTTGCCTCTCATTATAGATAATGATAAGATACTTGATAGCTTTCCTTGCCTTGTTCTCAGCTGTATTTGCTCAGTCAACGATATTAAATCAACCAACATCAGTGATATCTTCTTCTTCTATTCCTACCACAACAGCACCTCCCAAAGTATCCACAGATGGATTCAATGATCAAGACACGAATGTTAAGCCTGCAGAAGAAAGTTGGCTTAAGCAACATGACCGATATGTCTTCATCATCGTCATTGTGTTGTTCTTCTTGGCCATTTTAATATGGTACGTTGTTCGAAGTATTCGTGGTATGCGCAAGAGATTAGCAACAGATAATCAAAACCACATGATGATGGTTCAAAATGTCTCGAGTGGTGGCCAAGGTTTCTCAGAGACAATACCTATTGATAACAACGGCTTCCAAAAGATGCCTGATTATCCATCACCACCACAACAACAGCAGCAATATACACATCGTTATTAATAAATCGTACAAGGACAAGTAATCGCTTGTTCTTATCATTGTGTAATTTATTCAACTCTTTCTCTCCTATTTATTTCATGCAGCAGCTTTATTTGTTTACTGTCAAGGTATCCTTTTTATAAGATAAAAAAAAAAACTTGATCCTTGAATTCATGACGAGTCTGGAACTTGTGTGCTGTGTTATTAAATGACTGTTCCACAAGTTATACATTTATATTTCTGTGCCTGTGTAAAATGTGATAAATGTTGGATTTATTGAGTAGAAGTTTATAAGTGCTACGTCCATGTTACTCAGAAATTTTGCAGCCTACTTTAGGAAAATTTATCAAATGCGGCGATCCTCCCTCAACAATGAAGAAAAAAAAAAAAAAGAACCGTGCATGATCTCATTAAACAAGAACAAACTAATAATAGAATATAAAGAAGTTCTCTTTGGCCATAAGGCTTTTTATTTATAGCGTCATCCATCTTTAGCTGTGGTCACTTTAATTATATTTAGTATGGGAATTAGTGCTAAAAGTTTTTATAAATGAACATAATTGCTTTCTATCATTACTCGCCCTCTAATGAATTTTTTTGAGTCATGATTGAGGATGAAGATACTGAATATCAACCAAAAGATATTACAGGGGAACATCTATCAAAATATTATACAGTTTAGAGACTTTTTCTTATACCTCTATATCGTCCAAGGAAAAAGAGGTTGAAATGTTAAAACAAGCTATGAACAAACTTGATTTAGGCCAAGTACCACATCCAAATATGGTCTGGACATCGATTAGAAACAAGCCATCACGAGTCGTTCAGTTCATTTCTTTGATGAAAAGTGCTCTCTCTCACAAGATTTACTGATATTAGTGGTATTTTGATACTAAAATAAGAGGTAAATAGATTCCAGATCTGCCATCGTAGTAGCATGCAGTCGCTATTATTGGTTTGACTATTAATATAAGTGAATCCGGTGAGGGAGCGACACGAATGTGAAGCTTCCTCAAGCTGCTAAGAGGCTAAAATTGAATACACCATGACTTACAAATTCAATAAAGAATGGAAAGCCAGTAGAGGAACAATATTTTCAGGTTATAACTTGGCCTTTAAAGTTAAATAAAGAAAAAGAAATAATGTTAAGATTACGGAAGAACACTCTCAATTCATTAAAGACTATATATACATTGTAAGGGATACTACGCATCTTATTTCTGCCACTTTCGAGGGCTTATCCGTTAATCAATCCACGGGCTACTGTCACATAACCAGCGTTGTGGTTTATATACGTAAGTAAAAATAAAAAAATAAAATGAATGAAGAAAAAGATAGAACAAAATAAGACAGTGATGAAATACTTTGAGACTTGTTATAATATGTTTATTATAAAGAAATATATTGGTGAGAGACGGATAAAGTATTTTAAATAAGAGCGTGTTGATTATTCAAGATAGACTCTGATTTGTGTAAACGATTGTAAAGATTGAGAATCTTCTTTATTCTATTTACTTCTTTACAAATATGTTGTATTTTAGTTACAGAAAGGACCAAGGTGTTTTCTATTATCAGTAAATCAATTCTTTCACATGTACTGCCTATGGATAAGAGAAAAAAAGATATAACCCATCCAGCTCATTTAGGCCGATCAGGGTAATTAATACTTGTTAATTATCTGATGTCCAAACTCATTTTAAAACATCACTCACCTTTACTATCCGTAAGCTTGTAACGAGTAATCAAAAACAAATAACAGCTCATCAAGTTCGGAACGCCATCGCACCATGTCAACTAGATGAATACCTAACACCGTGTGAGGGCCACGTCAAGTATTGAAACTAGAAGATGAACAAGATTTGTAACAAGACAAGCGTTCCATCTTTCACTCGTAACATTTCCCTCAACCCTACATCAAAAAGAGTAAGGAATAAGATGGCGTATATATCGGAAGCAGCGTGAAAAATGTACTACTTTGTAGTGCCAGTGTATTTTGGTTCTGAAATAACAGCTCATCAAGTTCGGAACGCCATCGCACCATGTCAACTAGATGAATACCTAACACCGTGTGAGGGCCACGTCAAGTATTGAAACTAGAAGATGAACAAGATTTGTAACAAGACAAGCGTTCCATCTTTCACTCGTAACATTTCCCTCAACCCTACATCAAAAAGAGTAAGGAATAAGATGGCGTATATATCGGAAGCAGCGTGAAAAATGTACTACTTTGTAGTGCCAGTGTATTTTGGTTCTGAAATAACAGCTCATCAAGTTCGGAACGCCATCGCACCATGTCAACTAGATGAATACCTAACACCGTGTGAGGGCCACGTCAAGTATTGAAACTAGAAGATGAACAAGATTTGTAACAAAACAAGCGTTCCATCTTTCACTCGTAACATTTCCCTCAACCCTACATCAAAAAGAGTAAGGAATAAGATGGCGTATATTCCGGAAGCAGCGTGAAAAATGTACTACTTTGAATTGACTGCATCAGTTTGTTAAAAAAAAAAAAAAAGAGAAAATGTTCCGCGCCCCTAAAAATTTAATAAACTGAAAATACGTCATCAACAGTGAGGTTTTAACACCGCCAGATTTTTTTCTTCAAATCTTTGGAACACTTTACAACTGTTTCCATCTTTGTCAAATGAAGAAACCTACTTGCGATTTACCCACGTACAAGAACTTCAAAATATCAAAGACAGATTCTAAAGCATATGCTATAAACTCTGTGTTCACTGAGCTTGAGTTAGACGAATGGACGAATCTTGACACTTTGATTATGAAGGACACAATATCATTTAGCGGAGACCAATCAATAAGAAAATACAAGGCTTCATTAGCGAAGATTAGCAAACGTTTGAATCGATACCCGTATGTAAAAACCTATGCCAACCAGGTGAACCTGTATTTGCAATCTGCTGATGTTCATAAGAAGTACATGGAGAAATTTGAAGATCATTTAGAGAAAAAGGCGAAAAGACGTTCAAAGAGAAAGTTGAATAATCAAACACAGCTCAACTCAGAGGCAGAAGTATTACTTAAACAGAAAAAAAGTTTCGCGAAATAGAGACAGCAATCATTAAAATCGATATTTTATCTGAATCTTCTACTACTTCTAAATCGCATGACGTTTATGATTCCTTGGTTTCTGGTGCTACTGCTACCTCTTCTGGAACTTCTGCCCCTTCTGTTACAACCATCAATGCCCCTGTGTCTTCAAATTCTATCAAAACCTCTGAAGGAATCAATATTCATGACATTATATATAATGCTGCTGTTATTTTACATTCAAAATATCAGAACAACGAAAACCTGACATTATCAGAGCTCAAAACAATGGCGTGTGGATTGTCAAGCATTTTAGACATCAGTTCCAATGAAGCCAATGGAAGTCAGCAATCACTTTTTGATGAGGACCTTTGGAAGAAGATATATTCAAAATATGAAAAAAAGCACAAATTAAATCTGCCACCCATCCCAACTGAAATCAATCAGCAATGGAATTTGATATCCAGTTTATGTAAAAACAACAACGATAGTCGTAAGGCTCAGCATTTCATCTGTAAATTAAAACTCGCATCAACCACTGTAAAACAAGAAAGAACGCTCGATTTTTTAAGCGAAGTTTTGTTTCAGATACAGTCAAAACAATTTATGTTCAATGAAAACAATTCAAACAAGATATCAGAACGTGATTATGCTTACCAATTGTGGCTCCCAGTATTGGACAAACTCTTTTTCATTAACAACATGGTTCGAATCAAAATTGGAGAGACAGTATTAGCGGGAACAACGTTTGCCAAATCACTACTTTACGAGGATTCTAATAATGTTGTTGGCTTTAAAGTAGATGTCAGAGTACTTTTAGATTACAAAGATGAAGAATTTGATTTGATGTGCGGTGAGGCTTGTCATCATGTTGCAAGTGATATAAAATCAAAAGCTGATGCTTCTAAACTCGTTCGTGAAGGCAAAGAAATGCAAAAAAAACCTAGATCACATTTTTTACGATGAAAATATTGTTGGTAATGTATGGATGATCCAAATCAAAGGCACCAAATGCAGTTTCTCCACCATTCACCCTACTCCGTACCATTATCATGTAAATGTTCCACAATTCGAAATCTCCTTTCCCACCAGCTACTCACTTTTGGATGAAATACATTATAATCTTATTGGAGCTTTACTTGCATTTAAAGCTTCTATTGAGAAGTTGGCAGTTGAAGTAGAAAACAAATTAAAACGTCCTGCGCCAACTCGACCTCCAAACAGGAACCAAAACCAGCCACCGGAACCTACTTGGTTTACACCTCCCCGACATAACTATTCCATTTCAAGAATTCCGGTAGTTGAAGCCTTTGATAGTGATGAAGCTTTTGATTCCGATAATAACAATGATGAAAGTGAAAATGCAGACAATTTGTGTGGCCAACCGGATGAGTTTGGCTTTGTTAAAAAAGGTGAACAATGGTTCAATGTTAACTCTGAAGAATACTGGGATTTGAATCCTTTTGTTGATTAGCTATTACTGCCAAAATAGTATAGTTTATTGACATATAGTTCCTATCATTCAGTGCATGTGATTTTTAAATAAACATATGCTGTTCTTAAGGCCTATTTCAAAATTTCAAATGGAATATCGATAAAATATAAGCATCCCTATATTTTCTCTAAAGTTCACATTTTACCCTGTGTGAACTGTTCATGTAAATCGTTATTTGCGATGTTAGTTTCTCATTGATGAATCCTTTATTAAATTGTTCTGCTTTTGCCCTCGTATCATCGTTATATTGTTGTACGGTTTTCTTGTACTGCTTGGAGTTGTCCTAAGTTGTGCTGAAGATGCACTGTCCAAGGCTTTGGGTATTTCCAAAGGGAGATCTGTTCCATTTGCTTGAAGTTTTCTCTCTTGAGCTCCTTGTTCTTCCAGTTCTCTGAATATTTCCTCCGCTTGTGAGCGAGTGAAGGTTGATTGTTCATCCATATATTCTGCATTTATGTTGGTATCAGACATAGTAACCCCACGATGCGTGGCTTTGAAAACATAGAAAAAATAAAGCGTGGCTGCGAGAGTATCTATCACATTGGAAGACGGAGTGGAGCAGGATCTGTAAGATTAATCTTGAAAATTGCAATCACTTACAAAAAGAGTTTGAAAGTACTAAGAAAATTGTGATTGGCTAGAAAAAAAGTTGATTTCTATTTTTTTATTTTTTTCACCAAAAAACTAAGTTAAAGACTCGTGACAGCTAGCCAACCTAATGAGCCAATCATTTCTTTGTAAGTACAGAATACAGTTATATAGAGCATTTTTGTATTAGTGTTCCAGTTTCGTAACTCTGTCCCATTTTTGTATTAGTGTCCCACTTTCAAAATTTTGTCCCATTTTCATTTTAAAATGTCCAAATTTATTTTTCTATTGGCCCAGAAAAAAAAAAGAATCCCTTTTTTCTTTTTAAACATATCCTAACATTTTTAAAGCAAAAGTATCGAATCAAGTGCCATAATAGACGCTTATTATCATTTATCATGTCGCTTCAATCAATTTTATAAGTACAAACAGTGTCATCCATAGTAATCCACGTATAGTCGCCAGAACACACTTGTAAAGGTAGGCTATTCTCAAAATCCATAGAAAATAGATGGGCAAAAAAAAGAAAATCACGTCACGCGCTTTTTATTCATTGGCCGGTGGTTTCTTTCTCTTTCTTTCCTCTCTCTCTTTTTTCTTTTTATTTTTATTTCTTAGTGGGTTTTTTTTAAACGTATTCTGTTAAACGAAACATTATAAAAAGGTATAATAAACACAACGCTCTTGTTTTGTTCACTAGCAAGATCTTTCTGAACATATTTTACTGACTTGCGTTTCATCTGGTCTCTTTTTTTTTTTTTTTCTATTCACAGACGAATGACAAAGTCTATGCAGTTACCTAATAAGACACCTCATACTATGGACAATGCCAATTGCACAGCAAACAACATTTCTAAAAAGAAAAAGAAAAACAAGAAAAAGACCAAGAACAACAAAATTGTTACTGACTTTTCTGCAAAGACACAGGCAGACATGGTCGATGCCATCATGAATCACCATGTCATTCGTCACGGTGACCATATAGAAAACCATCATCGATCCAACAAACCATCTTCTTCTAATACGGCTAAAAAGTCTAAAGAAGAAGACTCGTTTTGGTCAAGTACCAATAATACCGAAGAACGTCAAAAAATTAGAGAGTTTTGGCTACAGTTAGGCGAAGAAGAAAGAAGGTCTCTTGTCAAGGTCGAAAAAGAGGCAGTCTTACGCAAGATGAAAGAACAACAAAAACATAGTTGCAACTGTTCTGTTTGTGGTAAAAAGAGGTAACATACAAAAAAAAAAAGCAAATGTGTCATATTGACTTGTTTGTATAGAACTGCCATTGAAGATGAACTCGAAGTGCTATATGATGCTTATTATGAAGAACTCGAACAGTATGCTAATCATCAGCAACAGACGCGTGGCAATATGAACCCTCTGCATGCCAGCTATCTTCCTTCTGACCCCATGTACGATAATGGTTATGACGATACAGATCCTTTAGAAGACGATGAAGAAGAAGACGATGACGAAGAAGAAGAAGATTTAGAGGACGAAGAAGATTTAGAGGACGATGTTGAAGAGGAAGACGACGACGAGGAAGAGGAAGACGACGAAGAAGAAGACGATGACGAAGAAGAAGAGGAGGACGAAGAAGAAGATGAAGACTTTGAAGATGAAGAAATCATCTCTCGTCCTCCAGTCAATTATGGCGAAAGAAGTCGGTTTGAAGAAATGGCTCATATTCGCCATACAGCACTCTCCAGAGCTTCTGCTAATGGTGACCATTTCAGTTTCGGAAACAGCTTAACTGTGAAAGGTAAAATAGGTTTTGAGGGCAACTTGTATTGATATATCTCTTTCTAGGTGGTATTCTGACTGTTGCTGATGATCTGCTAAAGAACGATGGTAAAAAGTTCTTGGATATGATGGAACGTTTAGCTGAACGTCGAATGCAAAAAGAAGACGTTACCTTGGAACAAGGTAACAATTACTTCCAAGAGGAAGAAGACGAGGAAGATGCTTTTGAAGACGAAGATGATGAAGTAAGTTCTTTTTTTCTCTGAATGTTTGCATGTTGACACGCCTTTTTAGGATACGCGTACTGAAGAACAACGTATGGAAGAAGGTCGCCGTATGTTTCAAATCTTTGCTGCTCGTATGTTTGAGCAACGCGTTCTTGCTGCCTATCGAGAAAAAGTAGCTCAAGAGCGTCAGCAACGTTTGCTTGAAGAATTAGAAGAAGAGGCACGTCTTCGTGAAGAACGAGAAGCAAAAAAACAAAAGGAGCGAGAAAAGAAGAAAGACAAGAAAAGGTAACTATCTCATCCTATCTCTTGTTGTTCTTACGCTCTCTCGCCATAGGCAACTCAAACAACAACAAGAAGCTGAACGACTTGCTCGTGAAGCCAAAAAGAAAGCAGAAGAAGAAGCTGCTAAGCATGAAAGAGCTAAAAAGCTCGAACAAGAAAGACAAAAACGTGAACAAGAACGACTTCGCAAAGAAGAAGAAAAGCGCCAACGCGAAGAAGAACGACTACGTAAAGAAGAAGAAAAGAAACGTAGAGCGAGAGAAGAGAAAGAACGTGCAGCTGAGCGTGAAAGAAAGCGTAAAGAAGAAAAAGAGCGTCTTGAGAAAGAACGTCTTGAAAAAGAAAAAGCACAGAAAGAGAAAGAACGCATTGAGAAAGAGAAAGCAGCCAAAGCAAAGACTTCTTCCCCTCTTCTTCCTCCTCCTTCCTCTACTACGCCTGTTGAATCAATACCACCAGTACAGACAGAAAACACGACGAAAAAGTCACTTCCTCCTGGGATTATACATCCTTCTCATGAAGAGCCTGAAAATCGACAACAAGTATTGATTGAAGCTCTTGTTGGTACTTCAAGACCTCAACCACCAGTTACCATGCGCACTCATCCTATTGCCCCTCCTCCCCCTCCCCCTCCTCCTCCTTTTATGCCACCTACTTCTCTACTTTCTCCCTCCACTACTTCACCACCCCAACTCCATGATCCCCCCATGCTAGGTTTATTTAACAACCAACGTGTGGAACCTAGCACATCAACACGTCGTTCCATCACACCTATTGCACCTATCGGTCAACCACTGACAGGTGGTCGTCGCATGTCCTCTTTACTGATAACAGACAATGCATCCATACCTGAGCCTATTGCTAAGCGATCATCGTCTATTGCTTCTCCCTTTGATTCAACAAGTACAGCCATGAATGGTGAGCCCCGTTCATTCTTTTCAAGCTTCTTATTTGGTGAACCACGTACATCCAATAATACAAGTTTGATGTCTTCTTTAAATGAATATGATGTACGCTTTGCTACTTCACCATCTACATTTGCAGACAGACGATTTTCAAGTGATATTGCGCCTAATCAGTCACAGAATACTTGGTCAAATGGTTGGACTGCTTCTTCTTTACTTTCAGATAATGTCCATGGCAAATTGTTTGGTGATGCTCTGGTAAGTTTTTTTTTTCCCTCTCTTTTTATATATGAGCTACTCAAGTTAACGACCCTCATTTATAGCCTGATAGAACAACCATGACATTAGAAAGAGCCAAAGTAGCCTATCAGAAACTAAATGAGATCACACAGTCCAATATATTCCGAGGCAGTCAACAACAATATCACACACTGGTTCAATTGCATTGTATGATGATTGATCTGTATTGTGATTTCCAAGTGGATATTCGCGAGTTATACGATGTCTTGATGGCTTCTCCTTCAAGTGGCTTTCAATGTCTAAACCATACACAGCATGGCATGGTTGTATTGTATGACCCAACACTAACCACCACCAACACCACCACCATTACCACCGCAACCACAACAGAGTTACCACATCATCCATTAATGCATCATCCTTTTTCAGCACCTGCACCTGTCCCACCACCACCAAATCATCCTAATATTTTTGGAACCATGTCCTAGTTGGTTTTTTTTTCTTTTTTTTTTTTTATTGTATAAATATATACGTATATATATATATAATAATCTACACACAAGTGTTACTGTACACACACACACACACACACACACACACACACGCACACACACACACACACACAAAAAGGGAGGAGGGGAATTTATTGATTCCAATATTGTTGTTGACGAGTAGGTGTTTGTTGTTGTTGTTGCTGCTGTTGAGGAGGCATTTGTTGGAATTGGTGGTGTTGAGGATATTGACCATAAGAGAACATTTGAGGTTGGCCGAAATAATTACCAGCATAAGGTTGAGGTTGATGGTGTTGAGGTTGCTGGGGTTGTTGTTGAGGAGTGACAGCAGCAGTAGAAGCAGTAGCGCTAGCCGTGGTAGTATTTCTAGCATTCAAGTCACTTGACTTTTGTTGTGCTTGTTGTTGCTGAGGGGGTTGCTGCAAGTTACCAAGGAAACTCTGTAATTGAGGTTGACTGTACATGGATTTTTGATAGTCATTTAATCCCATGCCTAAATCATCGTATTGATGGCTATAGAGTTGAGATTGTTGACCATAAGGAGAAGCAGCACTGCCATAAGGAGAAGCGCTAGCACCTGTGGTGGTCGTGGAAGGCTTACCAGCTTGTTGTTGAGCTTGTTGTTGAGCCTGTTGTTGTTGGTACATACTAGGGTACATGCTCTTGTTCATGAAGGGTTGACCGTAAGCAGATTGTTGGTAAGCATTGAATTGGTTAGGCATGTAGTAGTATTGGTAATAAGGCAAGTTAGTAGGGTACATTTGTTGTTGAGGCATATTGGCACCTTGGCTACTTTGGCCATGAAGACCATCTTGGCTGTATTTATCACGGGATTGATAAACACTAGCAGAAGTGACAGAAGGAGAATGGCTATAAGCAGTAGGATCATAGTAGCCCTAAGCAGTATCGATTTAATATCTTTCTCTCCCCCTTTCTCTTTTTCCCCACGTCTATGAAACACTTACCATAGCAGCAGCTCTTTGAGCTTCAGTACCATAAATGCTATAATCAGGTAAACTGCCCATAGGGTTCATGCCAAAACCAGAAACACCGGTGGGTGGTTGGTTAGGCAAGTAAGAGCTGTAAGCGGAAGTAAGGTGGTCCATACCAAATTGTTGCTGAGGCATTGTTTGAGGAATTTGTTGCTGTTGCTGTTGTTGTTGAGGAATTTGTTGTTGTTGTTGTTGTTGTTGTTGTTGTTGAGGAGGTTGTTGTTGAGGGGGTTGTTGTTGTTGTTGTTGTTGAGGGGGTTGTTGTTGTTGTTGCTGTTGCTGCTGTTGTTGTTGAGGAGGAAGGGTAGATTGATTGTTGTTATAAGCAGGTTCTTGTTGCTTGAGGTAGTTGGATTGACCAAAAGTGTCATTAGAGATGGGTGCAGAAGTAGTAGTGGTTGCGGGAGCAGTGGCAGTAGTAGCTGTAGGGGCAGCAACAGGAGATGTAGTAGAAGCAGCAGCGGGAGCAGTGCTTGTGGCATTAGCTGAAAGATCAGCTTGTGCAACGGATTCTTCATTGGAAGGAGGAGGAGTAGTAGTTGTCGTATCTTTTGTACTAAGAGAAGGTTAGTATCTCTAAACGCGTCTTTTCATGATTACTTACACATCTTCATGAGAAGCATTGGTGTCTTCATCCACATTCAAAGAACCAAACTTAACATCCAAAGAAGAGATAGCAGCAGAAGAGGGCAACACCACAGGTTCTTCTTGATGATGAAGGCGACCACTCATGGTGTCAGTGCTCTTTTCTTCTTCTTTAGTTTCTTGTTCTTCTAAGGGTTGTTCCTCCACCACAGTACTTGATTCAGCAGCAGCAGGTTTTGATTCGTGAACAGGGGTAGACCATTCATCAACCACTGGCTCGTTCCAGCCATCAGTTGTTTCTGTTGCTTTCCATTCGTTTGTAGTATTAGGGGCATCCCATTCGCTAGTAAAGTTATTGCTGTTGTTGTTGTTGTTGTTGTTATTGTTGTTATTATGATGAGTGTTGTTTTCGTTGGTATTGGTAGAGACAGGTTCTTCAGGTTTAGGCTTTGATCTAATATTTAAGGAGTAAGAAAATTAATTTCAACCCTTGTAAATTATAACGCGTAAAAAAAAAATCAACTTACTTGAGAAGACTTGCCCAAGTCTTTGGTTGGTCTTCATGATCATCATGAGCCTTGTTAGAAGAAATAGGAGCCCAGTCATCATTTACAGTCGTGTCATTAGGGGCGCTCCATGCCTCATGAGTGCTAAAAGCATTGTCATCTGGTAATGGTTGCTTTGAGGAGGCAATAGACGCCCAAGAGCCAGAGGAGACTTCATTATAATTAGATTTGGGTTGACTATCCCAAGATGCAGATTGGAGAGAGCTTTGTGTCTTTGATGTACGTGTGCGTGTATTGGATGCTGCTATGTATAAAAAAAGTAAATAAACAACAATCATAAAAATAAGAGTAGCTTGCCTTTGCCAGGTCGATTGGCTCGGTCATTATTATATGTTCTTGCTTGTTGTGTGCTCTTGGGTTCACGGTATGGTGTTGTAGTACTCTGTTGTTGATGTAAAGAGACTCCTCCTGTAGTGGCAGCCTTTGCCTTTTGTGCTTCTTTTTTAGATTTCTTGGTCTTTACTTCACCCCATTGACTAGCGTGGCCTATAAAAGACGTGAGTTTCTCAGATGGACCCATCTTGTTTACTTACCTTCGCTGATTCGGTCTATGGTTAAATCCAGATCGCCATTAGCTTCTTCCAAAACAAATAAAAGGTCATCGTCTGACCAGTCAGAGAATAGAACTTTAAGCGTAGGTAATTTTGCAGAGTATTTCGACCTGAGTTTCTTAATATCGTTTTGTTCAGAAGCAGAACTTTTAGACCTTGTTGTATGTGCTGAGCGTGTTTCGTGTGAAGTCATATTTTCAATTTATTTTTTTTTATAAAAAAAAAAAGTTCTGTATAAACATAGGTTAATAGACGTGTCTTGATACACTTTAGATAGCTTGCCTCTCTTATTTTATTTCAATATCAAAAACAACCCGTAAGAGATTTTATTTTGTTTTTTTGAAAACAAAAGAAGAAGAAAAAGAGGGAAAAAAAAAGAAACGGTTTTCATTCAAATGGCTGAGCTTCAAGTGTTGCTAATTATACGTGACGGTATTGTAAAAAAAAAAATTATGAGACATAACAGACTATGATTCACGTCATTTTTAGCTTTGCTTGTTACTTTTCTTTTCTTTTGCTTTCTTAATAATAGTAAAAATATCCTCTTCTCCTTATTATGGGGCTAAAAATGAAAAATTAAATGATGAACTTGTTTATAGACAAATATACAAAAGACACGCTTCTCATTTATTTAATCTCCGTTTAGTAGGTCTACACCAATCTGATTTGATTGTTGCCATGACCAATTTAGGATGTCTTATTTTGAATTTAAACAACGAATAAAGAAGCGCAATTGGGTGATGAGAGCAAGCAGTTCTTGAATAAGCATTCTGTTGTATTCATTTAGTAAAATTCCTGTCTGAATATAGAGACTTATTAGTATCTCTATAGTATAAATCACAATCAAAGTAGAAGGAAGACAAGATGAGACTCATTCAGCATAATCTACTTGATATGAACCCATGATCTATACTAGGTACCAAAACACGAAATAATATGTCGCTTTCAAGTATCTTCTTAGAAGAAGGGGTTGACAGCACAATAACATGGACTTCATAGCTGTCATCGTTACTTCATTGCTCTTCAGTAAGTCTATCATTTCTTACTGACAATGAGTGACTGTTACTGCTTACTGTTTAGAACGACTTGCTCAGTAGCAAAGCATTACGTCCCTTCTTCAGAAAGTCCATTGATCATGAAACTGAAAGGGAACGAAATGTATTTTATGAAAATCACTAGAGTTTAGGGTGATTCAAAGTAAATCTACAGCAATTGAATAAAGCCAAACACAGCTGATTTTTTAATGCTACTTTGAAGTCAGGCTCATCTTTCACTTAATAATAATAAAAATACAAGCTCTCTCTCTCTCTCTCTCTCTCTCTAAGTACGAGAGACGCTAATTATGGCCAAAGTAAACTTTGACTATTTCCTAAAGTAGTAGTCGAGGGGAAGACAAAGTTGGAATTGTGCATTCAAGATTTAAATTGAATGACGTAATAATCATTTGAAAACTCATTTAAAATAGGCAATAGCACCAGGCATCATCTGATTGGTCAGAGAAACTTATCAAATGCCTAAAGTGAGCCCCGCTTATACTTTTTTTTTTTTTTTTTTTTTTATATTACTGCTGTTGATAAGCAATGCCTTTCGGGTTCTACCATGAAGTAGTATGCCAAGTCTCTCGAAGTGCACTTTGGTCATTCTTTAGTGACATTCAGCTCGAAGACACTGAGAATATTCCTCCTGAATCACAACCACTTATTATGTAAGTGCCTTAATCATGAATAATGTTGATTAACCATATTAGTGCTGCCACTCATCACAATATGATTATCGATCCAGCTGTACTCTCTGTCACTTTTCCCAATAGACGTAGACTTCATTATTGGGCTAAAGACACTATGTTCAAAAACCCTTATGCAGCTTCTTTCCTGCACGACTGTGGTGTTGTCCCAGTCGATAGAACCACCAAGAATAATGCGAAATTATATGCTTCTACTTTTGAAGTACTTAAATTGGGTGAGGCAGTTGCTGTATTTCCAGAAGGCACAAGTCATACATTACCACGACTAGGTACTTTCAAGGACGGAACTAGTTTTGTAAGTGATCATAATCAAGAAAAAGGGATGATATTGAAAAAAGACCGGCGGAATCTATTTAGGCAGCTTTGGAATATGCTAAAATTAACCAACAAGAAGGTCTTCATAAACCCGCACCTATTTTACCTGTAGGCATTGTGTACCCTGAAAAGTCAAAATACAGAAGTGTGGTGATTGTAAAGTAAGTTGATTGATATTTAAAGAGAGACGTTGACATAGGATTAGGTACGGTAAACCTATCTCTGTTGAGCCTCTTTTGCCACTTTATTTAGAGGACTCTAAAAAAGCGGCTAAACAGCTCACCAAGATGACGGAAGAAGCGATAGAAAAAATTACCGTCAACTCTCCTGACTGGAATAGCAAGTATTCGGCTGATATGGCCAGATGGTTATTATTCCCTGGTGAAAATGGCACCATGAAGGATTATATACCGGTTACACAAAGGTATCCAATCAAGATAGTCATCCTATGTGTCTAACATGAACTCTAGCTTGATCAATGCCATGAACACACTTGCAGAGAAAGATGTAGAGATCGCTAGACTTCAAAAGAGTTTGATTGCCTATAAACTCGAATTAGAGGCACTCTTGTTAAAAGATGCTCAGATTGCTAAATACAACGAAAAGGAAATCACTGCCATTACGACCACGGTTCAGTTATTGAAGCGTACAGCTGCTAGTTTGATTGATTTACCCTTATTTTTACCTGGTCTTGTAGCTCATTTGCCCCTTTATGTTGTAGGCTACATGGCTGGTCATTTTGAGATTTATGAAGAAGTTAGGGCTCAGAACAAGATCTTTTTCAGTATGCTTCTTGTACCTGTCATTTACTTGGTTTCGTTTGTATGGGCTTGGTATAGCTTGTTTGGTGGTACCTTGGCTGGTTTCTTTATTGCCTTGGCTACATTGGGTGTCTTTGTTTGGTATCATGTGACCTCAATTGATGAACGCTATGAAAATTTCAAAGACTTATTGGGTCGATGGCGTCTATTTGATGCTGTTGTGCTTGGCAGAGGCATGTGGCGCCGAAAAGAGCGTATTTTGGGTCTCAAGAAATTACGTTCCGAGAATTTAGCTAGCGTCCGAAAGATGATTACCACCTACAAATCGACCAATGATGATGTACATGTCGTTTGGTTAGCACTTCGTCAAAGAGTAAGACAGTTTGGAGATGTTTCTCGATTACGTTCAAAAAAGAAGGCTTTAGCTAAACAATATGAATGGTGTTTTGAAGGATAATAAAGTTATATTTTTTTTTTCATGTCGAACATTTAAAAGTCAGTTGTGCCGGGCCAATTGAAATAGTGGCAAGAGGTGTATCAAAAGATATAGGTGAACAAGCAACAATTGAATCCTCCCTTTTCACCGAGCCTTCGACACAGCAATATGACCGTATGTAAAAAAAAAAAGAGAATCCCACAGACAGTTTCGTAATCTAAACAAAGTGGATGGTTATCTGGATGGATGGATGGATGGATAAAGTTCATTTTGATTAGGATACGAAACGCGTTTATTCTTTTTTTCTTTTCTCTCATCAACATGGTTAACCTATATTTTCTCTTTCTATTATTAGTTGGCCATCGATCTTCTCAACCCCTCTGTTGAACACGAAAAGCGTTCTCACAAGCTCAAGAGACTCGTGCAATCTCCCAACTCCTACTTTATGGATGTTAAGTGCCCTGGTTGTTTGAACATTAGCACTGTTTTCAGCCATGCCCAAACTGTTGTCCTCTGTTCTTCTTGTGGTACTGTCTTGTGCCAACCCACTGGTGGTCGTGCTCGCTTGACTGAAGGTAAGAAGGGAATTTGATTTTGTTTGGTATATTGATCTTGTTGTGTAAATAGGTTGTTCTTTCCGTAGAAAGGCCAACTAAAGCGGTGCACTCTTTTTTCTTTTTTTCTCTCTCTCTCTTCTCTTTCTTTTTTTGTAATGAATAAAAAAAAAAAAGAAGAAAAATGACACCATAAGCTTGTTTGATATAAAAGAAGGAGGATAACTTGTTTGTTTGAAAGTAGTTGCATCATGCATCACACTTTTTCTTTTTTTACTACTTGGCTCTTTTTCTTTAGTGAAACGTCGGGATGTATTTAAATACGCTTGCCCCCTTTTTATTTTACTTTTTTCTTCTTCTTTTGCATATTGTCATTTCGATATGGTCTATTATGGATTAGCAACAATAGCTTTATGGTTAACCATATCTTCTTTTACTCAAGCTCAAACATATATGGGCAGAAGAGACCTTGACAGGGATTATTATACACTTCATATTGATAATAAGGAATCAGCAAAGCATATTGCTCAACAATTAGGTGTAAGATACGAAGGCAATGTAGGCGAATTAGATGCATGGCATATGTTTAGTACTCTCAAGACAAAAAGAGATGCAGAAGATACAGTCTTGGTTGAATTTGAACGACAAAAGACAGCACTTGATAAACGAGATGACATGCACTGGAAACATGCTCATTCGCTCACAAAACAAGTCCTCAAGAAGCGTGAAAAGCGTGGTCCTATACCTGTAGATCAAGTGTTTGCAGATGCACAAGCATCGTTAAAGATTAAGGATCCTTGGTTTACAAAGCAATGGCACTTGGTAACTCATATAAAACCAAGGTTGCACAGAAACAGTGATATTAAGAATTATTTAGATCAATCAGATCAATCCAGGTAACGACATTAATGTCACGGGAGTCTGGAAACAAGGTATTGCTGGCAAAGGCATTAATGTAGTCATTCTTGATGATGGTCTAGACTACGAAAGTAAAGATTTAGCAGACAATTTTGTAAGTTGCAAACAGTACTTTCTCTGTTGCTGATCCTATTTCTGTAGTTTGCTGAAGGTTCTTATGATTTTAATGATCATGAACCTTTACCTAAGCCTAAATTATGGGATGATAGCCATGGTACACGTTGTGCAGGTCAAATTGCTGCTGTCAAGAACGATGTGTGTGGTGTAGGCATTGCTTATGAGGCCAAAGTAGCCGGTGTTCGTATCTTATCGGGTGATTTGACCGATGCAGATGAAGCGATTGCCCTTAACTATGAGTATCAAAAGAACCATATCTTTTCTTGTTCTTGGGGTCCTCCTGATAATGGACAGAGTATGGAAGCACCCAACGGTATTTTGGCAGATGCTTTTGTGAATGGTATCAAGAAAGGAAGAGGCGGAAAAGGGTCTATCTATGTGTTTGCTACAGGCAATGGTGCTACTTCAGGAGATAACTGTAATTTTGATGGATATACAAACAGTATTTACACCATCACTGTGGGTGCGATTGATTTTAGGAATCAGCATCCACCTTATTCAGAGAGTTGTTCAGCTCAACTTATTGTGACTTATTCAAGTGGTGGAGGACAATACATTGTAAGTAACTTGCGTTGATTGGCTTATAGTAATTGAAGGGGGCGGATTAGCATACTACAGATGTAGGCAAGAATGATTGTTCTGACCGCCATGGAGGTACATCTGCTGCTGCACCTAATGCAGCTGGTATTTTTGCTCTTGTGCTATCTGTACGACCCGAATTGAGTTGGCGAGATTTACAGCATCTTTGTGTACAAACAGCCGTGCCTATCAATCTCGAAGATGACGATTGGCAAAAACTACCTTCTGGTAGACTCTATAATCACAAGTTTGGTTATGGTAAATTGGATGCTTATGCTTTAGTTGAAGCTGCCAAGACATTTAAACTTGTGAATCAACAGACATGGCTCGAACTGCCTAGTCCAGTTAAGAAACGAGCCATTCCAGACTCCACGAATCTCAAGGCACGAAAGGCCCTCAAAAATACTGTGATGGTGACTGAAGACATGATAAAGGCGGCTGGTCTGCTTCGGTTGGAACACATCACAGCTACAGTAAACATCCAGCATCAAAGACGTGGCAGTATTGTGATCGATTTAGAGAGTCCTAGCCAAATCAAGTCCGAGTTGGCTACAAGACGCGTGTTGGATGCAGACCGAAATGGTATTCATAACTGGAAGTTCATGACTGTAAAGCATTGGTAAGTGGGAGAAACAAAGACAGATTTGTCTCACATGTTTTGTTAGGGAAGAAGACCCTGTTGGTAACTGGACATTGAATGTATATGATGTGGATAATCCAGAAACAAAAGGATTTATGTTTAACTGGACATTGACCTTGTTTGGTGAAATGGACCCCAATTTCGAAGGCACTCCTATTCATACGACAGTGGGCTTCCATGAAGATAAAGAGCATGAAACTCTGATCAGTACAACCAAGACAGCTACACATACTACCACTGTGGATCATACTCCACCCAGACCTACTCGTATTAAGCCTGAATCCAAGACAAGTAACATTGAATCACCCACTCCCACTGAGCCTGTAGTAACTGAAGATGACAATGTCACTCTGAATGAAAAAGACGATGGTTATTTGACCATTGTGTATGGTGTATTTGGATCAGTTGCTATTTTTGGTGTGGCTACAGGTCTTTTCTTTTACCAAAGACATGGCTGGCAGCCCACTGTATCTGTAGGTGACAGACAAGTGGGCTCTGGTGGCTATGAATTTGATGTATTGCAGCCTTTGACTGAATTGGATGAAGACGAATTATCAGAATCGGAATCTGATGAAGATGATAGACTGGTTAGAGATGGTTCACGCCACTAATAAAAATCAACTGTTTGTGTATCAACTTTGGGTTTGATGAATCGAATGTTTGGAATATTGCATCATTCTGTAACACAGCAAAAGCAAGTATTTCACTTGAGTGTTATTGAATGGGGTTGTCTTCTTTTTTAATAACATTATCATATTATTTTAGTAAATGCAATAGCACTGCAAAATCACCGAGAAAACTTGTACACACTTTAATCCAGACTAAGAGATACAATGCCAACTAATGATATATTATCATAAGAAAGTTCCCTTCCAACTGGATCATCATTGTTCGTGTATGCACCTAGTTCAAACTATTTCTTTCAAATCATTGTATATCTTTTGAGCCGTTTTCTCGACTGCTATATCTAATTTTGATTACTATGTTCATTGATTCATATGTATATTATTTGTTTTCATTAGGTACCTTTAAAAGACATACATACATACATACATACATACACACACACTCTCTCTCTCTCTCTCTTTTAACCTATATTTATTTATTCTTTCGTTTGTTCTTTAACCTCTTCTTTATTCTGTAGACATAAAAAAGTAATGAATACACAAAGCGAGTTTACACAACTGATTATAGTTGAGCAACTTGATCACAAATCTGATAAAAAAAAAACATTTGTTCACGCCACCTTTTAAAGTAGCCAAGGCAACAGATTGATTGGCCAAGCCACACATTTCCGAATGTGGAGGTTTGGTAGGTAAGCTCAAGATCCCACGGTATACTCTACTCAAGTTGGCTCTATAGGTGTCTTCAATATTGGTCATCACAGTGTGTTGCTGGTGCAAGACTGTCTCCCTCTTTGGCTCTGGTTCTCTCAGGCTTTTCAAGGTATCCAATCAAGGTCTCAACAGATTTTCACAATGTCGTTTACCTTCTTGAGTCTTCTTCTTGTCTGTTTGAGAGTCTGATCAGCTCTTGTGTAGGCAAGAAGAGGATTTGATTAGGCTTGATCATCCTAATCAGATTCACAGTATGCTAGCATTTTGTGTATCCTATTTTCTTGTGTTTGCGCATTGTCTATTCATCTTCAGTTATCGACGCAAACAGTCTTGAATAAAAGCGATGGGCTGAGTCCATTTATATGATTGCTTTATCCACTCACGTCTGTTGCTTTATTGTTGTCTTTTATTGTCAATATGAGTTGATCAGAGTACAGTTCACTTATTGAACTACAGCGATGTTGCTTTCACTATATTATGTCATTACGCTTTACTTTTTTGCAATTGATGTCTAGTCTTTGTAACAACTGGATCAAAATGCGACTGTAGTTTGTAAATGTCAGTGAAAAGAAGTGAAAAAAACAAATGAAACTCAAAAACAGCTTGTACACACAACTAAAAAAAAATGAATTTCACATAACAGCCAAACCAATGGTACCATTCAACTTCTGTGTCTCAAAGAATACGTTTTAAATAAAAAAAACGAACTGTTTTGATAATCTGGTTGTCGAGCAATGGTCCATCAAAGATTGGCTTGTTTAAGCTGCGTTTTGAGCATTTTTTAACGTTTCTGGTTTAGATGTCATATAGAACTTGGCAGCTATTGACCTCTGGAAGGTACCATGTGCTATATGGAGTATCCAGGAATATTTAAAAGCAAAATTATGATGGATTTATCATGCAAATGTGAGACTAATGTACATAGGACCTACTAGATGGCTGTGTTTCAGAGATTGAAGATGGAAGGCAACTTCAATTCTTCTTACTAACGCATCAGAATCAGGCTTTTGCTGAAAATTGCATAAAGGCGTAGTCATTTGGCTTTGGTGCGATAATAAAAGCTGTAGATATTTGCTTTCTAATACTATCAATCTAAGAAACATGACAGCTTTGCTGCTAAAGTATTGAACAAAGATGCAAACTTGTTTTTGAGGTTTTTGGCTCATTTCTCATTATTTTCATAATGCAGTTAACAAGCAAACACATTGAACAGAAACTAGAGCTTCTTGTATTCATTTTGAGTATTTATGCTTGTCAATATCTTCATTCTTCATCATTTAATGCTAGAATGAAGGTCAAGAGTCGTCAGACTTGATATTTCCATGGATAGTATCCTTTGATAAAAAAGCCATTTGGGCCAAATTTCATAAGACACTTTTTCTGATCCAAATCAACCTCAAAGGTACCATAAGTACTAGTAAACACCGTTTGTAGGTATTTAGGGCATCTATGCGTGTACAAACAGGCTTCAGCTATCTTTATATGCCTAAGAAAAAGAAAACCTTTGCAAGAAGCTATATACCTACCCTTTTACGCAACCCCTGGAGTCTACCATCAGCCTTATAGGTGAAAACTCTTTAAAGATACTTTTTTGAAAAAGAGCTCGGAATAGGCTTAGCATAATTAGTAAATGAAGCTAATTTTATTAAATATATATAGGTGATCTGCTACGATATGCTCCTAAATCAACTTTTATTTTTGAAGCGATCAATTGCACTTTACACGCATATTGTATAACGTTTATTTCTTTTATGTCATTTCTGCTCACTCTCTTTTTTTTTTTTTTTTTTTCTTTTTGGTTGCAAGACTTTGAAAGAAGACAAAAGCGTCATACTTTTTTTAAGCCCCTATCTTTAGGTGAATTCTTCCCTTTTTCTTCCTTTGTTTGATCATGACCAGTCCTGTACCTAACATTCCTGGCGAATTTGTGCAAGATCCTACTGCTTTAAAAGAAAAAGTAGCATCCCTATTAGGCCTTAGAACCTACAAGTAAATTCGCAACATGATAAGCATCTCTATTAAATCATGTAGATTTCCAGGTGCACAACCTGTTAGTTTTGGATCAAATCAGTTGCAAGAGATACAAGAAGAAGAGTAAGACAAGTGGATAGGTCATGTCATGTATTTATCTGAGTCATAGTTTCTTTGTTGCAGAGAAATCAGACGGTGTACGTTGTCTTGCATTATTGACTGTCAATGATAGAAAAATGCCTGAAATATACCTTGTTTGTATCTACTGTGGATTGCCTTGTTCTGATCTTTGTCTAGTTTGATAGAAAAAACAACTTTTATGTTGTGCGTAACTTTCGCTTTCCTATTCCTAATGATCCTAGTTTTCAAAAATGTCTAAAGAACACCATTATTGATGGTGAATTTGTTTTGGATAAAGAACCAGATGGATCTGTAAGTATCCGCTCTTGTTTGTCTTGTTCTTATGGATTCCCTCTAGACTCAATTACGGTTTTTGTTGTTTGATTGTCTATGCATTGAAGAGATAGTACTTGTTTCTCGAGGTTTGATGAGTCGACTTGGGGTAACCTATAATTGTTTGGTAATGATGGTATTGACATAGTCTATAGTATCTAAAGAAAGATATCATTCGCCCTCATCAAGAGATGGTCCGTAAGAACCCTCATATGCGTAAACAACTGCCCTTCTTGTAAGATAGTCACTAATGAGAACCATACTCATCTGTATTTAGAGTTGAATTCAAAGAACAACAATTTACACACCATTTGGATGTTGTGTTTGATGAGATTATTCCTAAGCTAAAGCATGGCAACGATGGTCTTATCTTTACTTCTGTAGACGCACCTTATGTGATGGGTACATGCGACAAGATGTAAGTAGGCACTAAAAAAAAGAAAAAAGAAAAAAGAAACTGACCTTAATCTAGGCTAAAATGGAAACCACTGAATGAGAATTCGATTGATTTCAAAGTAGCATTACATTTTCCCGGTGGTAGTTTACCAGGTGTCAAAGATTTTCTAGCTAAACCACGTATTGAATTACTTGTATGGCAAGGTGGTAAAGAATATCGATCCTTTGGCGAATTAGGCATTACAGATGAAGAATGGCATTCACAATTTAGAGATAGACCAAATTACATGGATGGCAAAATCATTGAATGTAATTATGATCCAGAATTACAACAAGAATTGAATCTCAAATCACCATGGAGATTTATGCGCTACAGAGATGATAAATTAGATGGAAATCATGAGTCTACTGTATTGAATGTATTAAAGAGTATCAATGATGCTGTATCTAAAGAACAGGTATTCTATATCCACAAAAATGATAGGCTTATCATATCTCTAGTTGATTGAATGTATACCTCGTATTAAAGAAGCGTCTGAAAGGAGAAAAAGAAGACAAGCAGAACAACACAATGAACAACAACAAAAGAGACAAAAACAAGAATAAATATATATATATAAAAAACAGAGACTTTAATAATCATCACCCTTGGAGACGATTTCTTTACAAGTGGGTCTAAGTAAGATCGTATGTTCTAATTGAGCAGTGTAACTTCCCTTGGTATCCACAAGAGGAGGATAAGCAGTGACAACACCAGCATCAACCAAGTTTCTTAAGCCCATCAAATACTTTTCTTCACCAAGACGATCAAGATAACGTCTACAGAATGGAAGAGTACCAAAGGACTTGTTAATGGTAGCCAATAATGATTTGGCTCTAGCTAAACGTAAAGGCACAAATCCAGATTCAGTGGATTTAGCATAATGAGAACATTCACCATCTTCAATCACATAACCACGACCGGTAGAACAAAAAGTTTCAATAGCAAGCTGTTCGCCTTCTTCCAACTTGGTTTCATCACCAGAATCACGAATGATAGGGACTGATTTACCAGCATGAATACGGTAGGGTTCAATGGTATGTCCATTCAAGTTACGAATAGGCTTGATGTCGTATGTCTTGCCATCCAATTCAATTTCATATGAATCATAGACTTCATGAACAGCAGCACCAATATCACATAATCTGACATCAATACCTGCTTCTTTAATACCAGCGTAAGTTGCTTCACGAGCAGCTTCAACCAACTTGTCAAACTTGGGATTAAAGTTCATGGTAAAAGCAGAATCCACAATACGACCATTGACATGAACACCAAAATCGACCTTCATCACATCATCATATTGCAACACTGTCTTATCACCAGCATTGGGTGTAAAATGAGCAGCACAATGATTGATAGAAAGACCGGTAGGGAAACCAATACCCGCCTCTAATCCATTCTCTTCCACAAGAGCACGGGTACCATTTTCAATCAATTCGGCAATCTCAGTCAAGGACATGCCTGGCTTAATGACCTTTTGAGCATAAGCACGGACTTGACGATGGACTTCAGCAGCTCGTCGAAGATCATTATAGTCTTCTTCTTTTAATCTTTCTTCGGCCCGTTTTTCTTCACTGGTTGTTCTCCAGGTGTTTTCATTGATATAGTCATGTGTTTCTCCTACAGGGTAGACTTTGTTTGTGTATATTTTAGAGACGGGAACAGTAGGTGGTTCTGTCTGTGTCTTGGGTCCATTCTTCTTCTTTTTCTTGTTCTTCTTCTTCTTTTTGGCAGCTACATTATCACCTCCTTCTTCAGCAGCGGGAATGTCTTGTTCCTCGTCTTCAATATGAGTGTCTTGTAACTTGTCAGTTACTTTTTCTAATTGTTCAGCAACCATGTTGATAGAGAAAAGAAATAGCAAGTTTTTTTTTCTCTGTTAAATCAAGCATATGTGACTGTTCTTTGGTTTGATTGTCTTGTTTAGTGCCCATGTTCTACATAGTACTGAGTGATCCAGACATGCAAGGTATGTATGTGGATTCTTGTTAGGTAATGTATGAGAAAAAAAACAAGTCAATGATTGTTGTGATAGGCGTATTCAACATCTTTATTGACATGGTTCTAAAGTGACAGATGAATTCAATCACCAAAAAAGAGAGAAAGTGTCATAACAATACAATAATGTCTATTTACAATTTATTGAAGAAAAGAAACAACTTATTAGAAGCCATGAGGGCTGGTTCTGTTGGTCAACTTGGTGAACTTGGGTACTTTGTGAACTGATTTACGATAACCTTTAGCATTGCGACTGAAAACGGTATATTTGTCTCTAGGAAGCATTTCAGATTCCTTGGGAAGTGCAAGTGCTTCATCCAAAGCTTTACATTGAACACCTGAATCGGCTACTGCTGCAATCACATCATCGACTTGCTTAAGTCTCTTACGAAGATTGGCTTTTCTTGTTGCTGACATGCGGAAAGGGTTTTTCCTATATATGACATTAGTCTAGGTTGTATGTGTCTTCATCTTGATTTACCAAAGTAAACCACTTTGAGCGACAAGTGTAGGTCTAAATGCACCAAACATGATGAACAATAAAGAGAAAAAAGAGTTGACCCCCTTCTGATTATTTTTTTTTATTTTTGGTAACCAGGGTCTGATTGGCTCAATGCATCAATGCCTTGTTGACTGTTTTATTTTTTTGTGGCTTTTGATTCAAAATAGCACATCTCACTTTTTTTTTCATTTCTTCAACGATGAATATGGACATTGACCCCACTTACCTTCCTCTTGGAAAGCAATTAGCTGCTAATGGTAATCCTCATGACACCATAACCATATACTTATCGAATGCATAGAGAAAAAGACAAGAGACAAGGCCATTCGTTCTCTTCGCAAGTTCTTGTCTTCTGGCAATAACTTGAGTGACATTGAACTCATCAAACTCTGGAAAGGTCTTTTTTATTGTTATTGGATGTCTGATAAACCTTTGATTCAACAAGCATTGGCTAATGATCTCGGTGCTCTTGTGATGGAATTGCCTGCTACGAATGCTATTCCTTTTTTGAAAGCCTGTTGGCAAATCCATTGTCAAGAATGGCATGGTTTAGATAGAATTAGGCAAGTCATCATATATTATGCAACAAGACTAATAAGAGTAGACTTGACAAGTATTATTTATTGTTGCGTCGTGTGATTTACTTTTCGTTTGAATTCTTGGCCAGAGAATCATGGGATCCAACCTATCTTGAAGCATACACAGACATGTTACTTGAAGGACCCTTAAGGTAAACTATACAGCGTGTCTATCATCACTTAACCTAAACCCGCACAAGCCCTACAGATAGAAAGAATCCAGATGCCATTCGATACCATATTATTGACATCTATTTTGAAGAATTGGATAAAGTGTTGGAGAGTCGATCAGATGAAGAAGAAACAAAAGTGAATATGGAAGAAATCAGTAGACCCTTGGTTGTTTTGTCTAAAGAAGGCAGTACTAAATTATTAAGGACAAAGGCTAAAGAAGCCCTTGCATCTCATGAAGAAGAAGAGTAACAATGTAAAAAAAAAAAAATTCCGCATATGTATACATAAAAAATAAAATAAAAAATTAGTTTTCTCCCTTTTTTTTTTCTCTCTTTTGGTATTTCACCATGATGGACACAACACGTACACCTGTATGGATCTCATTAGCTAATGCACAACAACAACAACAACAACAAGATACACTTACTACACATTCAAGTGAGACAGACTTTTCTCAAATCACTTCTAGTTCTATTCATACAGTACAAAAATCTTGTTCATCTCTTTCATTATCCAAACCACTTGTTCTTCAATATGAACAAAGACCAGAAAAGTTGCCAGATATTGCTCAAGAAATGGAGAAGTGGTATGCCATGACTGATAGGTACAACGATCACATATCATGATATGTGTATATTGATATGATCTAGATATGGATTCTTAGCAGAGGATGCATCTAAATCCATTGCCATGTAAGTATTAACACTTGTGTCAATGGTATATTCATAGTGTCTTATAGATCCAAAGAAAAAGAAGTAGAGAGATCAGAGAAATGGGCTGATATGGCAACACGCGTGAGGATCCATGATGAGACACTGTATGGATTTATACCTTCTTACAAGTTTAAAAAGAGAGTCTATAAGGGCATTCCAGACTGTTGGAGAAGAGATGCATGGTATTATCTAGTGACAGACTGTTTAAAGAAAGCAAAAGATGATGATCAATTAAAGCGAACCTATCAAGTAAAGTATGTACACTATGCATTTACACACTGAACCATAGACAAATAGCAATTACTGCAAAAAGAGAATACGCATGAAAGACAGATTGATCTGGATATTCCAAGAACATTAAGAGACCATATCATGTTTAAACAGCGCTATGGATCAGGGTAATGTATAACGATGACACAACATTTAATAAGATATATATCATTCTAGTCAACGTGCATTATTTAATGTATTACGAGCATTTGCTAATTATGATGAAGAGGTGGGTTACTGTCAAGGTATGACAAATATTGTAGCCACTATTTTGATGTACTGTGAAGAAGAGGTAAGTAATAATAAAGAGGGGGGAGAGAGAGTTGTTCATGATTTATAGAAAGCATTTAGTATACTTGTACATATGTTTATACGGGATAGTTTACATCATTTATATATCCCTGGATTCCCTGCACTTTTGGAAAGCTTCTTTATTCAAGACACTCTACTACAGCAATATATACCCAAATTATACCATCATTTAGTAAGTTTATATAACCTCATTATCCTTGCTTATCATGATTAGACACAATTAGGTCTATCCAGTGATATTTATGCTACACGATGGTATATTACTTTATTTGCTGGTGGTGTCATTCAATATCATACACTCATAAGAATATGGGATGTGTATTTCTTGTGTGGATATGATATCTTTTTCTTTGTTGCTGTTGCTTTGTTAAAGATATATGAAGGTAATTTATTGAACTGTGTAGAGTTGCTGATTTATTGAATAGCCCGACTATTGGCATTGGATTTGGATGTGTGTATGGAAACGCTAAGTTCTACTATGTCTGTACCTGATGACGATCGATTTATGAGACATATAGAGAAACTATACGAAAAGAACCAACGCTATGGTACTGTTCAACGCCTTCGTAAAGCATATCAATCCAAACAGACTTTTTCCTAATAAACCATTTCATAAAGCATGTTCGGTCCGGAGAAGATGTGTCCGGTTGCTCTTTTGTCGGAAATTGAACAACGGATAAGCTTCCTTTGGGGAGATGGACAAAATAACTGAAAGAAGCTGCGAGCATTAAGGTCCTCCTCTTAGCATCCATTTGAAAAGGTAGAGATTCCTTATCCATCCATACAAGCAAATCATGTTGAATGTATCACTCGATCTATTTACAGCTCCAGTGCTGAATATGATTCGAGAAAAAGAGAAAGAGTGAAAGAGTGATACATTCCATGGATTAAAAGAAGAATATACTCATGTGTTTATTAGTCAACAATGGTTACTCCTGCCGTGAAGCACACCATCGTCAAGAAGCGCACTGCTCAATTCAAGCGCCACCAATCTAACCGCTTCATGCGTGTTGGTGTATGTATTAGAATATATTGGAATGAAACTCATGATCTTTTATAGGAATCCTGGAGAAAGCCCAAGGGTATCGATTGTAACATGCGTAGACGTTTCAAGGGTCAAGCTCCTATGCCCAAGATCGGTTACGGTTCCGCCAAGAAGACTCGTAACTTGTTGCCCAACGGTTTCCGCAAGTTCGTTGTCTCCAACGTCCGTGAACTCAACTTGTTGTTGATGCACAACCGTACTTACGCTGCCGAAATTGCCCACAACGTTTCTTCCAAGAAGCGTGTTGCTCTTTTGGAACGTGCTGCTCAATTGAACGTCAAGGTCGTCAATGCTGGTGCTCGTCTTAGATCTCAAGAATAATTTGAGTAATTTTTTTTTCTTACTTTGATATATATATATATATAAAAAGATGTAGCATTGGATTACCCTTTCTGTTTTCTTTCTTTTTTTTCTTTCTTTTTTTCTTTTGCTTTGGTAACAATGAGTAATGAAGATATCATCAAGTTGAATATGGGAGGAAGCCATTTCTGCATATCTAAAGAGACATTAAAGCAAGGTACATTCTTTAAAAACTTGCTTGAAAAAGGCAACAAGGAAGAAGAAATCCACATTGATCCTAGTCCAGAATTGTTTGAAGAAATCCTTGGTTTCTTGCGAAGTTGTGAAATATTAATGGACGACAAAACCGATCTTTTGGAGCCGAGGCAAGAAGCCATTTTTTATGGCTTTCAAGATATGATCAAGAGCATTGACCATGCGATTGACAATCTTCTTTCTGAACAGCAAAAGATCTTTGTAGTGATGGACATGCGGCAGTTTACTGACTTATCTATCTGGACAAGACACCCACGGGTGATGCTATTGATTTAGAGACCAATATATCTGATCTGTATGTAGTCATTGCTACATTTGAATTCACTGACCGCAATGGAAGTATTCAGTCTAATAGTTCTTTTTTTTTTTTTTTTTGTAAAGTACAATCCATAAGCTGATTTATTACGTTTTGGTATAAGAATAATTTACATACAATATATAATAAAATTACAAGACATATTTGAATGAATAATGTCGATCACCCACAAGTTCTATACCACCATATTTGTGAATTTCAAGTTCTCTTTGCTCTTCAGATAGTCTACTTCTTCTCTTATTTTCGCGAGCCAGTAAAATACGAAGAAGAATGATCAATACTGTTTGTGCAGCGACACAGGAAAAAGCAATTGTGTTGCCTGCAAAATATTTTGGACCGTCTATAAAGAAAACAAGTGTTGGTTGACAATATAACTCAATGTGTTACATACCATAGTAGATTTGTCCACCAACAGCACCACCAATAGTACCAACACTGACAATAGCAGCAGAAGCAACAGCTCGACGAGTCAAGCCACCACTAGATAAAACGATAAATATTACATGCAGGATGGAGACTTCTACACGACTTACTAGTTGTTGTTGAACCATGCTACCTTGACAGCCACATTGGTGTAGACAGACATAGTAACAAGACAAGCACTGATATAGTTACCAGCTATATTTTCACTTGGTAAAAACATAAGAAGCAAGAAACCCAAAAGACCCACCATGTTGATGCCAATCAAATGGTAAGCTCTTTCAAAGTATTTATCTGGATCATGTAAGTCATCAAAGTAACGAACTATCTATTTCTTACCGGAGCTCCAGCTAACAGCAATCGTAGACAAAAAGGCAAAGAAATAAGGAGGAACAGTAAGGGCCTGGGCAACAGGTTTTGACCAGGTTCCCATACCAGCAATAATAGAAGGCAAAAATAGAGTAATGCCTTGTAAAGCACTTGTTCCGAGAATGTAAATAGCCATATAGAAATAGGTCTTCCAATCTTTGAAGACCGAAGTTACTTGAGCCCATGACCATGAATGATCATTAGAAGCACCAGCGTCTAAAAAAAAATATATGTTATTAAAAAAAAATATAGCATAATAGATATATTACCATCTTCTAATCTTCTGACAGCTAATTCACGCTCTTGCTCAGTAAGAAACTTTGCTGTTTCTGGCTTGTTGGGCAAATACCAAGCAGAAAATACAGCAAGAATGACAGTAGGGATACCTTCAATAATAAAAAGCCTACAAGAACCATAAATGATACTGTCAAATGTTTAGCGTATTACCATTGCCAAGTTTTAAGAGCATCGTTTTGGATTTGAGAAATACCATAAGCAATAAGGCCACCAAAGGCACCAGCTAAACTACTGAATGACCAAAAGAAACCAATACGACGACCATATTCTTTTCTAGTATACCATAATGACATGAAATAAATAACACCAGGAAAGAAGCCTATATATATGTATATGAGTATTTTTTTTATAATATATCCATGATCTTACCAGCTTCAAACAAGCCCAAAAAGAATCGACAGACAGCAACACCTGCAAAATTAGTGCTTGCTGCCATCACAGTAGCAACAGAACCCCAAAAGCTATAAAATGGATTAATATATGCATAAGATGATTTCAGGATACATACAACATTAAAATACCCAACCAATAAGAAGGAAGCCAACGACGCATGATAATATTAGAAGGCAAATCAAAAATGACATAGGAAAAGTAAAAAATAGATAGAGACCACTGATAATCTTGTTTTGTCATGCCCAAGTCTTCTTCTAATCCACCCAGCTTAGCATTACCAATATTAGAACGGTCAATATAACTCAATAGATATAAGACACAAAGAAGAGGTAGTAGTCTTTTATCGAGTTTGCGTAAAAGAACGCGTGTGAGATGATGATCTACTTTAGAGATGTCTTCTAATTGAGTGATGGACTCATTATCTTTGACGTGAACTTGATCTATTTGATGAATGGATTCACTTTTGAGTGAACTGGGAGGTACGTCAGTTTTAGTAACTACTTCATTTACCATGTTGAATGATGAAAAATAATATATACAAAAAGCAGGAAGAAAAAGAATTGGATCCGTTTGATATTTATATACATTTGCATTCCTTTACTGCGATTTCCAAAATGAAAGGGTTTTACTTGTTTGCCCATTTTTGGTGTAATTGTGTATTTTTACCCTTTTTTCAGCTTTCCCTCTCGCACTCTCATATAATTTTCTCACGCATTTGGTTTTCTTATTAATACACCCTTCTGTTTTCCCCCTTTTTTTTTTGTATGTCAAACCTTTTTGGTAACCAACAATGGTTATATAATTCAGTATGCTTATCAAAAAGAGAATAATATCCCTTTTTCTTCTATGTTATACTACATCATGATTTGTCTTGATCTTAACCTTATAAACTGGGATAAAGTACATGGTATATAGGTGCATCAATAGAGTTTAAGTTCATGCGATGTAACGGAGAATAAAGGTTTTGAATGAACCCACTACTGAATCATTCAGGTGTGACACTCGGACAAACAGGTGTATGACAAGATTTCTTATGATGGCTGGAAGTTGTTTGATTGGTATGATCCATCTTTGTTTCTGTTAGTGTACAACTTTGTCTAATTCGCACCTTATCTTGTCCCCAGGATTAGTTTCCTTTTAAGTTCGAGCACTAGTATGTGTTTATGTGTGGGGTAACAAAGGATAAAGATTTTGGAAACAATGAACACATTATGTTGTGTATATCAAGATCATATTGTGTACTTTATATTGTCTATCAAAAGTGCTCTTATATAAAATAGCTGTTGAGGAAACATATCGTTTATGTAGTAGCTTTATTTTTATTTTTCCCAATATGCAAAGTGGTATTCATGAGAGTTTTTCTTCATTATGTTATCTTCCTCTAAACTTACTCGTTTTTGTTTTCTTTTCAGGCAAATTCATTCTCTGCTTCCTCTTTTTTTTTAGCCTTGATAGGAAAAACTAAAACAGAATGGTCTTGTATACATGTATTTTTATTATTGAGCTATACGGGACATTTCAAATATTGTGCTAAAACTCTAAATGTAATGGTTGCACTAAAATAAATTTACTATTTTTGGAAAAATAAATTCTTGTGTCACAGCGCGAATCAGGAAAAATAGAAATAAAGGCATACTTGAATGATCAAATGCGTACAATCGAACAAGAAAAGGACAAACAGAGAGTAAAAAGAAAACAGAGAAAGAAAAAATATCCATTACACAATCAGAGTTTATCTTTTTTTATGGGGAGCCTCGGAAAGATCAACACAACCAACGCTACTTCATCACTTTGAAACAAAGAAAATGTATATCAAAAAACAAGTTTTGTCATTATGCGCTTTGTTTGTGCCAAGACATTATGTGATCATCTACGAAAAAAGAAATACTTTTCAATGTGTGTGGTTCTTTTTTTTTTCTCTTTCTCTTGAAATCTTATCTGCAGCATGCGCTTCTGAGAAGAATAATTTCTTAACTAGGCTTGAGTTGAGCAAAGATAGACTGGAAGGGATCTTTTTTCTCAAGTCAGGGAAAAGATACTTGAAGTTCGAAAATGTAGTGAGATCTCTGTTTCAAAATCATTGTAGTTCAAATATCCATTTATATCGAACACGGAGAGTTTTTTTTCTACGAAATAAAAGATTTTTGAATCCGGGTGCCTCAGAAGACCGTGGAAAGCGGCTTAGAGCTTATCCAATACTCCCATTGAGTCTAGGTTTTTCTAGCTTTCTAAAATTTACAATTCCAACCGAGGCTACAATTCATGACGTTCTTCAGAGGGGCAGAACAATTTCCAAACAAAAGCACAAAGTTTTCTTAGACTTTTTTTTTATAAATGGTTTAGCATCCGTTAGTTTATTTGAAGTATAGCGATAAAGATAAATATGTTAATGATTTGCTTCCATTCTACTAAGACTAATTCGTATTTGCTTTTATGTGTTCCTCTGTGTTTTGTCTAGATGTTTAGCATCAAGTACAATCATACTCGAATCTGAAAATGCTCCTGGCAGTAACAAGAATAGAAAAAGCTGCATATTTCTTATTTTGCATCATGAATAGATGATTAATGGCCTCAAGAGTTATTTGAAGATTAGATTTATAGTTACTGTGCTGTATACACAACATACAATCATCCATTATTGGGCTTGGATTAGTAATCAGCTATACTTTGTGTTGTCACACATTAAAGTAGCTATCACTTATCTTTTTGACATCCCCCTCCCATTACGCATAAAATGCCTTTTTATTATGCACGTAAATATACTTGCTAGATATACACTTTGCTTGTCAGCTTTATTGGTCAACACGGTTCTCAACATTAATACTAAGATAAGAGTCAATTAGTATAAATAGTAGACATAACTATATATCATAATAAAGCAGATCTTTTTTGGTCATTTTTGGTTTTTATTTACTTTTCAGTTAATTCCATTGAATTTTGATAGTAAGTATATCACATATTGTCCTTTTTTTTAAGTTTTCGAGGGTAATGACATCAGGTGACTTAACCATAGACATGCCCTTATATTATGAATATGACTCAATGCATCTGAAGGCAATCGAACATTGTAAAGACCGCGTGAATGATTCTTTGGAAGTTGTAGAACACTTTCGTTGTCTTTTTGACAGAGCTTTTTTATGTTTGCACTTGGCAATTTACATTGAAAAGTCGGCCTATTTGAACCAACCTAATTTCCACCTTTTTACCTTTGTAACTTTGATGGATTAGCTCACTTAGCATTATCAGGATCAATACGTATACAGCACTATCCAGTTTAGCTATTACTGAAAGAGTTGCAAGGTTGAAGTGCAATGATATCCAATACTAAAGCTTTTAGAGAGCAAGCTTGGTTGTTCTTATCCTTTTTTTTTCTATATAACTACAAGAATAAACACTTTCTTCTTAACCTTCATGATGTCCAAGGAACGAATATCTCGATTTCGGTTCATAGTCTCGTTTAAATTGTATGAAAAAAGTTATTTGTTAAAAAATGCTAACGCTAAAATCATCTCTTGATGAAAGCTTTTTGTTACGGACAAGAATATGTAGCATATCATTTATATCTGAGAACATCTCTGATGAGAAAAATCAAACCTTTTGTTTGAGTCCTCTCTTCAATCATAGTTAATTAGCTCTTTAAATGTCCAACTAGATTGTCTTTCGCTATAATATGTTTTATAAATCAATCCAAATTTATTGTGGAAGCCAAAGTCGTGTATAAAGTAGCCTTCAAGGTTTTGTCGTCCGAAAACGCTGATATCTTTCACAGTGTTATGAAGCAAAAGAATTTGGTTGCTTATGTACATTGGCTTCTCGCATACCAATAGGTTGATTGCATGTAATGAATGAGATTCTAAGGACAAGATTATTAGTGATAAGTTTACCGCCTGCTTTGGTTAACCAAGGTCCAACTTATTTTCAAATTCAGGGGGTTGTTTTAGATCTGCTTTATTGAAAAATTCAGCTTTTTTTTTGTAAATCCCTTATTCTGGTGAAACGTAAGCCTTGAGATGCTATACAGATTCAAAATCAGCCCATTCTACAAAGAAGTTTTTCATCGGCTGATCTGAGGAGGGGTTGCCACTTTTCTAGATGGCTAATTGTTAGTCTACCCAAATAAACAAAAAAGCATTAATTCTGACCAAACAAAAGGCACCATGTCTCTCTAAATTAGCTATCATTGGATCGTTGTGTGAAAAGTGAACCTATCAATCTTGCACAAAGAAAAAAATTAATAGGGACTTCAAGAAGTATTTTATAATATTAAAATCCTTACTTTACAAAGTAGACTTTATTTCCTGATTTAGACATGCGAAGTACAAGAGATATTGATACCCGGGCTTGTGATACAATTATTTGCTGACAGGTTTATAGATTCAAAAAAGAAAGTTACAAGTTGACCCGAGTAAGACAAGATCTGATATCTTTTTTTTTTTTTTTTTTTTTTTTTTTTTTTTTTTGAATACAGCTGTCAACTAAGCTATTACTTTTTTAATTATTACTGGTGGTTTATATTAATACAACTAAGATAGTAAGTGTTAAGCTTTTGATTCAAGCTTCTTATGTAATGTTTCTATTTCAATGGTTTCTTCATGAGCATCGCTAATGGTGACACCAGTAAAATTTTGTGCATCAACAGCTTGTTCTTCTTGACCGACGATAGCACCTTCTTTATCAATAAACTTCTTTGCTTGGTCAAGGGCAACATCACCATTAGGCTCCCAGTCACCTCTTTGAAGCTTCATGAGTGCTGCGCGATGTTCCTTCCAATGCATGTAGACAAGGAAAAGGGAAACAAGAACCCAGTAAAGACAATAACTGATAATGGTACCAATAGTAGCAGTGTTGTTCCAACCAAGAATAGCATTAAAGATTTGCCTATTTTATCATGTATGAGTTTGAGAATATCCAATAATGTTGCTTACCATCCACCAGTTTCGGCAGAGTTCTTTTCTGGGTCTCCCCAAGATACATGCCAAACAGCAGTAGTTACTTTGTATCCAATGACACTTCCACTTTCTTCAGCACTTTCACCACCAATGACTCTGTTCCAAGCGTCTTGCTCTAAAAAGCCAACAGCCTTTGACATCAGACCAGCAGCAACGAGATACAAAATTATTGTAGATGCAATAAAGAACCAACGCAACTGAATAAGGCTACCACCGCGATAGATAATCAGACCAACAATGCAACCACAAATGAAGCCCATAATAGCAGCAATAGGAATAGATTTGGCAGTAACATTGAGTGAGACCTATAATCAAAATGAGATATGAATTGTGCTGATAAACAACTTACACCACCGATAAACACAACAGCTTCAAGACCTTCTCTCAATAATGTAATGAATGGTAAAAAGAAGAAGGAGTATTTTTGCATCCATGCCTTGAATCCGAGTTTTTCTCCCTTGTCTTCCATTGATTTTGCCAATTTTACTTTCCATTTCTCTTGCATTCTTTCTGTTCTTAACATGGCTAAACCCATCATTGTGATCATGACAGTAGCCACCAAAGAGAAAACACCTTCCCAGATGTATTCTGAGTTTCCCCAAAGATTACCAAGCACAGTATACCAAACAGCAATGAAAGCAGCACCAATACAGAGACAGATGAATAGACCTAGCCCGGCCCCAATCCATACTTGGTTACGCAAACGTCTGTAAATAAGTGAATCAGTGTCAAACACTTTCTTCAAGAATGACAGTAATACAGACACAATAATGGCTGCTTCACATGTCTCTCGAAAAATGATAAAGAAAATAGGGACATTAAACAGGTCTTGCGACATTTTCTATATGAAAAAAAAAAAGAAAAACCGAGTTGAATCAGATTAGAAAAAATTTCTTTCTCAAAAAGAAAAAAAAGAAAAAGATGTACTGTAGTTTAGTGAAAATATAAACACAAGTGGAGATTCAAAAAACTTTTTTTTAAAGAGCAACAATAAACATTGGGGGAGTCAGTTTTCCTCCATCAAAAAAAGGAGAAGGTCTAGAACTGCTTCAGGGTAAAACCTTTTAGGGCATACGATCAATACCTTTTGAAATGTTTCATAAACATCTTATTGCATGATATTTTTACATTTGCCATCAGATAAAAAAAATAAGGTTTTATCTGATTTTTACTCAAAAGGGAAATTTTTTATCATGAGAAAACACATGGGACTGTAAAACTGATGAGGAAAGGAGGGAGGGAGGGGGGGGGGCGTAGGAGATCTGATAATTTTGAAATGAAAATTTTTTGTTTCACAGATGTGTTTATATTTTTGCCGTATCTTGTTTCTTTTCTTTTCTCTTTACTACTTCTTTTTTTTTTTTTTTACTAATGAAGCATATAATTAATTCCTTGGTTCTGGGATTGTTTTCCCTTCACTTGATCCAAGCAGCCCGTGTTGTTTATGACATGAACATCACTTATGTTGAAAATGTGAATCCTGATAATCTGAAGGCACGTCAAGTTGTTGGTGTCAATGGAAAATGGCCGTATGTATCATTAAATGGCAAACTTAATTTAATACTATCCTAGTCCACCTCCCGTTGAAGTAACCTATGGTGATACCTTGGTTATGAATGTCCATAATGCTCTTAATGAACCTACAGCTTTGCATGCTCATGGACAATTCCAAAATGGTACAGCTTGGATGGATGGCCCTGTTATGGTAACTCAATGGTAAGACAGATATGATACGAAATCATGTACTCATTTTGAAATAGTGCTATTCCACCAAATCATGATCTACAATATGAGTTTAATATCACTCAAAATGGTACTTACTGGATTCACGCTCACTACATGGTATAAATTAGAGATTGACATAAAAATTTTTTTGACCTTTTTCATTTTATTACTCAGGGTCAATACATGGATGGTCTTCGATTCCCTATGATTATCCATAACCCTCAAGAACCATACACTTATGAGGAGGAAATTACTGTTACTGTCTCTGGTAAGCTAAGTATTAAAAAGAATACTATTTTTAATAGCATAATAGATTGGTATCATGATAGAAGTTATGATAATCTCGCAAAATTCCTGTCAGTCTATAACCCCACAGGCGCAGAACCAGTCCCAGGTAAGAGACACCAATCGTGTAACACATGAATTAAATGTTCAACGAGCACTAACTTTTTTAGAATCCGCTTTGATCAACGATAATGCTAATACTACATTCACATTTGTTCCTGGAAAGACCTACCGTATTCGTATTATCAATATGTCTGGTTTCGCTACTTTTTTTTACAAGATTGATGGTCACCAAATGGATATTATTGAAGTAGATGGCGTAAGTCTTTTGAAAAACACAGATCGACAAAATAACTTTATTGTCTTTTTTAGGTTTATACTCAACCCAAAACTGTAGATAGTCTCTATATGACTGCCGCTCAGCGTTTCTCAGTTCTTGTCAAAGCTAAAAACACTACTGATTTAAACTACTACATGCATGCTGATATGGACACTGTTATGTTTGATACTGTTCCTGAAGATTTAGTCTCCAGTAAGTGAATTTTGTTATTACTTCAAGTAAATACTGACTGATAGATAGATATTACTGCTCCCATTTACTATGACAGAAACCATCAAAACTTTGCTGCTAGTGAAGACCCTAATGGTATGACAGAGACTTCATTTGATGATATGAGTCTTGTGCCACTTTATGCTGAGTCAGCTGTTGAACCTGATCACCACGTCAATTTGACAATTGACTTCCAAGTCACTACTGATGGTATCAATCGTGGTATGTTTAACGAATTACCTTATCTCGCTCCTAAAGTGCCTTCCTTGAACACGATGCTCTCTATGGGTGCTGATGCCAGCAATTTGGATGTCTACGGACCTCAATCTCAAGCCTTTATGATCAAGCATTTGGATATGATCGAAGTTGTATTAAACAACTTGGACGCAAATGCTCATCCTTTCCATTTCCATGGTCATACTTTCCAGCTTGTAGGCCGAGGCGAAGGTGTCTTTGATGGAAATCGATCAGCCGTCCAATGGATTACAAACAACCCTGCTCGTCGTGATACCATCCGAGTCGATGCTGGTGGATATTCTATCATTCGTTTCCGTGCTGATAATCCTGGTGTATGGATTTTCCATTGCCACATTGACTGGCATTTAGAATCAGGCCTTGCTGCATTGTTCATTACCGCACCTGAAGTTGCTCAGCAACGTATGACATTGCCTCAAGCCTTTGTTGATATCTGTGAAGCAGGTGGTACTCCTGGCGTTGGTAATGCTGCTGGCAAGATGGGTCTTGACTTGAGTGGTGCTCCTAGTGGTGTTACTTTAATCTATGATGGATTTACTGCTAAAGGCAAAGGTGCCATGGCCGCTTGTATCATTTCAGCCTTAGTTGGTATGAGTGCTATTGCTTGGTATGCCTTAAATGATCCTGTCAGACGCATTCAAGAGAGTTTGAACCAATAACTTGCTACCGCTAGATCTTGTATTATTAATCTTATAATCTTTACACTCGACACAAGTCTTGTATGATAACCAAATAAAATCCTTTATTATGTATTCTATTCTTTGATTTCATGTATTACCAATATAGCTGGATACATGTCTTTTAATTTTACGCCATACAGAAAGCAAATTGTCAATATGCCTGATTATGCCTATCAAACCACTGTAATCATGCAATAATTATCAGATCAGATCGGGTTAAAAATTTCCAGGCCAATCAAATATCTAGAATTTTGCTCATCATTGCTGCCTCAGATATCATATCATTGAACCTTTTTTTTTTTCATTGCATGGTTCTATTCATCCACAATATAGTTTCTATACAAGCAGACTCATTTAATTTTCTATATATTGTTTGAAGTATAACCACAAAAAAAAAATTAAAAATAAAAGAAAAAAAAGTAAAGAAAGCCTCTACTCAAAAAAATGGCAATCTTTTTTATTCATTACTAGTAATATCACATCATATTTATCAGTGCATGGCATGAAGCATTGCTCAATAGATATACAATAAAGTGTGTAAAAACATACCTGTTACGCCATCATATTTTGTGATTGCGTGAATTTGCCTTCTAAACATGTAATAAGACTGTTAATGGTGCTAATTATCACGAGGAAAACAAAAAAGAAAAAGCTTTGATTATCCGGGGGGGGGGGAGAGAGTTTATGTCGCATAAATGCTCTTTTCTTAGTCATCTCATATATGACTATGCGACAACCAAGTATTTTCGGCTCATCAAATGAAGTTCAGGTCAATCATTTTATGCAAGTGTAACAAAGCGTATCCCAAAAATGGGAAATATCCACCAAATCGCGCAATCACTCAGGCTCATTTGCAACAAACTATATCAATAAACAAGGCAATTTTAGGTGGGAAATAATCGAATTAGAAAAAAAAAACATATAAATGCTTACTGTCCACAAAAAAAAAACTTCGTTATCTCAACAAGTTTTCTCGTTTAATAAATATATCACAACATGGCTCCTCCAAACACTGACGCAATTATTCAAGAAATTGAAAAGCTCGACCTTCAACAAATCGCTCGTACTAAAGGCCATTACCTTGTTTATCCCGATAAAACTGTATGTATCCTACATGCATCCTATTCTGCTTACTTACTTTATTCTTTACTAATAGTATCCTGAACTCGAACCTTTTGAACACAAAGATCCTGGACATCTTGCAGACCCCAAAAAGGCTTCTATTTATGACAATGCCGGAAAGATCTCTGACTTAACCCCTCATATTGGTACTGAAATCAGAGGTTTGCAATTGTCGAAATTGACAGATCAACAAAAGAATGATTTGGCTCTTTTGGTTGCTGAACGTGGTGTTGTCTTCTTTAGGGATCAAGATATTGATGTTTATCAAGGCCGGGAACTTGGTAAATACTTTGGTCCTCTGTAAGTTGATTTGGTATTTTAAGTCCAATCTAATGTATGTATTTAGTCATGTTCACAACACCTTTGGCCATCCTCCTGGACTTCCTGAAATTCATGTTGTTTACTTTGATTCAGAAACTGTTAACCGTTACAAGTCAATCGGTGGTGTCAGTCTTGAGCTTTCTCGTTCTGCACAAGATGGATGGCATTCAGATGTCAGTTATGAACTTCAACCTCCTGGATTGACTTTCTTGAAAATTGATACCTTACCTGCAGAAGCTGGTGGTGATACTTTGTGGTCATCTAGCTATACTGCTTACGACAGATTATCACCCGCATTCAAAAATTTTTTGGAGGGATTGGAAGCAGTGCATGATGGTTATTATCAAGTAGAGGAAGCAAACCTTGCTAAACATGTCGTTCGTCGTAAGAAGTGGACTGCCACTCACCCTATTGTTCGTACACATCCTGTCACTGGTTGGAAGGCTCTCTATGTTCAAAAGGGTTTCACCAAGTCTATTGTAGGTCTTTCTAAGCGTGAGTCTGATACCATTCTCAATTTCCTCTTTGATCACATTTCTGGTGGTGTTGATTTCCAAGTTCGTTTCAAGTGGGAAGAAAACAGTGTCGCTGTTTGGGATAACCGTGTTACCAACCATAACGCTGTATTTGACTATCTTGATATTGGTAGACGCCATGGCTGGAGAGTAACTCCTCAAGCTGAAGCTCCTTACTTTGACCCAAACAGTAAGTCCAGAAGAGAAGATCTTTTGGAAAAGGCCAAGACCAAGTAAAATCAAACCACTTTATCATGTACATTTCATTTTTATGCTTTTATAATAAAAAAATCCCCTTTTTAAGCATCACTCAAGAAGCTCTTATAAAGTCATTAGAAATGCGAGCAGAATAGAAAGCAAGGCTGTGCTGCTACCTCATATGTTTTAGTTGTCCATAAAAAGAAGGTCACTTAAAATAACTTTAAATATAAAGCGACTTTCTTTTTCTTTCTGTTTCTTTTTATGAATAAGATACCTGTCGAAGTCTTTTGCCAAATCACCTCTTACTTGACATATTCTGAAAAACAAAAACTTTTGCTTATCTGTCATTATTGGCATGATATCATTAAGAACACAAACCTCTTTCACAGTTTTTCAGTTAAGGGTCGAAGAAAATTTGAAGCAGCCATAGCTAATTTTAAAACACATATATTATATCAACGCCAAGTCAAAAGCTTACGACTCACAAGGCCAGAAGTTCAATTACACGAACTTTTAGAACTACCTGTCCTTTTTCCATATCTTTCCCATCTAACTTGGCAAGACTATAGTAATCAAGATTATGCTAATATCGAGCTTGGCAAAAGCCAAATACAACATTGGCAAAAATTAAAAAGTTTCGAAGAGATCAATCGATTTGCTTTTTCTCTGTCACTCTTGAGGGAAGGCCTATTTACTTCTCTGGTGCAGATCAAAATCAATTTTTTTATGGGTTATAACAACTGCAATGACTTGTTTGATTACCTTCCTCATGCACCCAACCTCAAGCGACTTGACTTGATATGTATCTCCATCACTTTGGAGCTTATGGAGAAGCTTCATACGAATGCATCTCAACTAGACACCCTCTTTTTGACTGATGTGTTACAAGCATCTAGTGGGTTTGATACAGCATATGAAACTGAACAGCAACAATTAGCAGAGATTGATCAAAGCGATACTGTTGATATGCAGGTCAGAAAGACTCAGCCAGCTATCTATTTGCAAAAGCTTCGACTTAAACAATTCAGACTAGAAAACGATGATCTTGGATTAGAAAGTCGGTGGATGACTTATATTTCTAACAAATATACACAACTTAAACACTTGACAATCTATGCGCTTGGTGCAGGTAGATCGTATCAGCCTTATTATGAACAAAAATTGGGCAGCATTGTCTCTAGCCTTTCTCAACTAGAATCATATGATGTCAACCTCTATCCTTTAACGAAACATATCCTGATACCCATGGATCAAAGCAGTACTACATTAAAAAAAGTCAATTTGTTGGATGATATAAGCATTCAGTTAAGCACTCTTGTTGAATCACAGCAAAAAGAATATATCGAAACTATAACACTAAGAAGTGACCTACTAAACAGCGAAATCTTTGTTATGTTGGAGCAATTCTCACAATTAAGAAGGCTGACTATTGAAAGTAGTAGTAAATTGAATGATGGCTTCACTGTGCCTCTTGATACAGTCCTCCAAGGACTCACCCAATTGGAAGAATTGACATTGTTGTATTGCAATATCACACTAGACAAACCAGTCGTCAACCCTGAAAAGTCGAAACTCAAGTCATTGGTTATGGAGAGAGCAATGATGATGAATGTATCGATTGACATCATGTCCTTTATAGCTCAGACATGTCCTTTCATATCAGAACTAGTGATTCAGGGAAAAGTAAAAGAAACCGGTCATGGCCCTTTACAAGTGCATTTTCCTGAGCAATACTTTAGATCCATCAAGCTATACATTTTAGGTAACCAATTCTATAAAGTCAGCAATGGTTCTCAAGTGATGTGGTACACATTTTGCGGAAAAACCTTACTATCCGAACAAATAGAGCACAAGGACCAATTCTATGTTTCCATTGCGTACAAAGGTGCGTCTTGCTTAAAAATACAAGGTGTCAATATACCATGCTAAATCCAGAAATAATGTTGTTAATAATAAAGAACAAGATAGAACAAATACAATGAATATATAAAGCGCGGGAAACGCATTGTTTCGGCATAAAAGCGCCTTTTTTATTCTGCTTTTTTTTATTCTTTCTTTCTTTTTATGTCCGCTCTGAATAGTTTGGACCAAGCCTTTGACAGCGAAAGAGTTATGGCAACTGATGGCAAACGTATAACCAAGCAACTTCATGTTCAAAACTAATTTACATGTGTGATAGTAAAGACTTGTTTTTCTGAAGACGACCTAAGGAAACACAATAAAACCAGCTCTCAACTATATAAGAACAATAAGAAAAAATCACATTCAAGAGCAAGTAGCAGTGTAAGCTTTGATATTCATAAAGGCCATTCCAAATCACAGAATTCTATACCGTATGTATAAAGCAATATATAAGAAACATTAAGCATTTAGAATATATTAGATGCAATCACCATACTCGGGGCCATAGCTGGTCTGAAGCAAGTCTGACAGCAGTACATGCACCGAGAAGCAGCCATGATTCAATCCGTTCAGGATCATTCAAGGTTGGACAGAATTCGACCTCGTCCAGTAGTCAAGATCAACGACCACCTCATGAAAAGGATTATGTTCAAGTAAAGGTGTTGTTTTCTATTTCTGTTGGCTCATGCCTTTTATAGGTCAAAACAAAGATCAAAACAAACAAGCGCTTTAATCGTATTGTTTTGGCTCAGACATTAGCTATTGATTCTACTGGTACTGAAGTTTATGCAGCGCCAGGAGCGTCGTCTGTTGCAAAGGATATTGAACCTGAAGAGTTTAAGCAGCCTATGGGAGCTATTTGGGCAACTCGGTTCAGTAAGGATGGAAAATATATGGCCACAGGTGGGCAAAATTGCATTATTCATGTATGGAAAGTGTTGAGAGATTTGGACCGAAGTGATAATATAACTGTGCAAGATATTTTACCTCATCAGCCTTCCATTAAAGTGTTTCATGATGCACCTGTGCGAATTTATGCTGGACATACTGCAGATGTATTGGATTTGAGCTGGTCAAAAGTAAGCAATAAGGGTTCACTGTCAATAACTGTGTTTATCTCTTTTTCAACTAGAATAACTTTTTGTTGTCAAGTTCAATGGATAAAACCGTCAGGTAAAGTTACACATATGCAATAGCGTTGATTTGTTAACTTGCTGTTGTGTCCAGGTTATGGCATGTATCTCAAGCTGCTTGTCTCTGTGTATTCAGCCATTCAGATGTTGTCGCAAGTGTAAGATTCCATCCAAAGGTAAAAGAAAGAAAGAAAGAAAGAAAGAAAAAACTATACTTTTGGGTCTATATTGATCTATAGTATAAAGGATGATCGGTTCTTTTTATCTGGCTCTCTAGATAGCAAAATAAGACTATGGAGTATTCCTGAAAAACGAGTCGCATTTTGGAACGATATTGAGTCTGGCAACATGGTTACTGCTGTAGGGTTTACGTTTGATGGAAGAATAGTCTGCATTGGGTCCAATACAGGCGATGTTTTTTTTTACGAGACACAGGGCTTAAAGTACAACACGCAAATTGCAGTCAAGAATCGTGGACACAAACATGGTCGAAAAATAACTGGTATTGAACCAATGCCTGGTATGCCATTGGGTGAAGAACGCATTCTAGTGACAACCAATGACTCTCGAGTATGGATTATCAATCTGAAAGACAAAAGCTTTGTTTACAAGTATAAAGGGATTGAAAACCATTCAATGCAAATCAAAGCATCATTTAGTGATGATGGTCGATATATCATTTGTGGTTCAGAAGATGGTTGTGTGTATTTATGGTGTACAGATCAAGTCAGTTATTCGCCTTTAAGGCATTGGAGGGATAGTAGGCTTGGATCAGCAGCCGGCCTGTGTAGTTTAGGTGATCAGGTTTGGCAAACGATGGCACAGCAAGGTGCATTTTCTGATAAACCATCTCAAAATATCATGTCATCATGGCTTAGAAGAGGAGAACGAAGAGTGATTGATAAATTAAGAAGTCGCAATGAGCATTTCTTTGCACATATGCATGCAGTTACAACAGCTATTTTTGCTCCTACAAAGACAAGACAATTGCTAGCAAGATCAGGAGGCGATATCATATTGGATTATACACCTGTTTATTCTCAAAAGAAAGCAAATCAAGAGGAAGAAGACGAAGAAGACAATGTGTTTATGAAACCTAGAAGGAGTGCACATTTTTCTGCTCAAAATAGTACTGCAAGCACTAATACAAAAACCGACAAGATGAAAGAATTTGAAAAGGCATTTACAATCGAATTTGAAGAGGCCTCACAAGAAGAAAGAGATCGCTTTGATTATCCAGAAAGTCAAATCATTATTTCTGCTGATCTTCATGGTGCTATAAAAGTTTGGAGAATGGATTCTGGCCATTATGGCAACAACAATGAATCTTCAGATCAAGAAGACGACAGTGATGAGTCTGATTCTGAAAATATAAGCACTTCAGATACAAAGAGTGATAAATCCAATAGAAAGCGATTCTTTTCCAAGCTGTTTACAAAGGCCCTTTAGTGTTGTTTTCATTCAATTGTGATATATTTATCATAAACTGAGTTAGAGTATCTCTTTGGCTATATAGTAGAAATAAAACTGTCATTGACTAAATCCAGCGCAAAGCCCTAGTAAGCCAGCCATACTGTCTGCATAATTCCTTTTTAAAATGAAAAAATCAACGTCACAGAGTATTAAAGAGGAAAGGGTCTATTTTTCTTTTGTTTTCTTTTCTTTCTATTACCTAACCTTTATTACTATGAGTGCTTCTGTAGCTGATATATTTGAAGATTACGTAGAAAGTAAGTATTTTGTATTATTTGCTGATTGCTGATAGCATTAGGTCTACAGAACTTGCCATCAGAGATTGATCAAAACATGCACGAATTGAGAAGCATGGATGAAGAGTTTCAACGTAATCAACATCATTGATAAACAAAATACTAAAACATCTTCTTGGTCATAGGATTCAGAGAGATCTACACAAAGCATAGACGCTCTTACTCAAAAATGTACAGAACTGGAAGCAACAGTGTCAACTTACCAGCAGCTCGTCAACAGCTGGAAAAAGACTACAAGCTAGCCATTCAAAAACAAGATCAGAAAATCGACTTGACAAAGCGCATGTATGACTTGGTGAGCAGACACATTGAGCGCATCGATTCACAAATGGCCAAGTCAGACATTGCCGATGTAGATTGGATGGGTGGTGCAACAAATCGCAAAGCATCAGCCATCGTGACAGATGACACAAGCTGGAGATTGGATCGCAAAAGACCTTCACCTCATGACGGACTATTTGTTAAAAAGAGGCAAGTTGCATCTATTAAAACTCTTTTGTTTTTACTGACTTTTACTACAGCAGAACACTTCACTCTTCTAGACCCAATCCAGCACTAGAACATAATGGCGCTTTACCAGAATTAGATATTGATCCAAATGAACCTAAATATTGTTACTGCAATCAAGTCTCATTTGGTGATATGGTTGCTTGTGATGGTGAAAATGTAAGTTGAATATGCATATAAAAAGAAGCTCACATATGTTTTATAGTGTGAAAAAGAATGGTTTCATTATGCTTGTGTTGGTCTAACTGAACCACCTATTGGTAAATGGTATTGCGAAGATTGTTCAGCAGAAGAAGGATATCGAAAGAAGTTGAAGCGTTTTACAGATGGAATGTTTTGAGCTCTTTACAAAAGAAAATAATACCCTTTTTTTATCTTTTTTTTGTGTATATATATATATATTAAAAGATTTTGTTCTAATGTCTCTATGCTTTCTTGTCATTGTCTTTTTCATCTTCATGGCAAATCTTATCTTTGATCTTGCCAACAGCTTTCTTGAAGAAGCCTTCTTTCTTCTCTTCATTTGGTTTATCCTCTGCTGATGGTTTAGGGGATGGAGGAGGTGTGTCAGGTGCTTCTTGACGAAGAGGTTCCTCTTTAGGTCTATAGTCTTCATCTACTAAGGCTGCATATTGCTCAATAATCTCCTTTTGTTTGCCCTTAAGGGATCGAGGGAATTCAACCTTGAGTGTCACAATCTGATCACCACGCTGTGTACTACGCAATCGTTGAACACCACGTCCTCTCAAAGCAATGTCATCGCCTGGTTGAGCACCAGAAGGTACCTTAACATCCACATCACCGTCTATAGTAGGAATACGAATACGACCACCCAACATGGCCTTATAGAAAGGAATCTTTGCTTCTACAAAAATGTCTGCATCTTGTCTACGGAATATCTTGGATGGCTGAATATTCAAAACAACAAACAGGTCACCATTAGGTCCTTGTCCCTCAAGAGGAGCATCACCTTCACCTGTCACACGAATACGAGAGTTTTGATCAACACCTGGTGGCACTGCCACTTTGACAGTCTTGCGCTCTCTGACTTTGCCCTTACTGTTACATGAAGGACAACCACATCCAGGAGGAATGGAAGAACCTGCACCCCCACATGCTTGGCAGGCCGCTTGCATATGGAATTGACCCATCATGATTGTCTGTACACCAGTACCATGACAGACAGAACATGTCTCCTTCTTTTTACCAGCACGTAAACCATTACCATGACAAGTATCACAGTTGGTTACTTTGTTGACCTGTACAAATTTAGTTACGCCTTTGACAGCTTCCATGAATGACAAGGTAAGTGGGACTTGGATATCATCGCCTGCCATGGGTCGGCTGTTGAATGGATTAGCACCTCCTCCACCGCTTCGAGCACCAAATCCACCACCAAAGAATTGACTAAAGATATCATTAGGATCAAATCCACCGGGAAATCCACTGCTGCCATGAAAACCTCCATAAGGATTTCCACCCATGCCACCATCAAAGCCATGTCCAAATTGATCATATTGTTTACGTTTATCTTCGTCTGAAAGGATTTCGTAAGCTTCTTGGATCTGAACAAACTTTTCACGAGCATCTTTATCTTTGTTTGTGTCCGGATGGTATTTCTTTGCCAACTATAGGTAACATTAGTTTTGCATAAAATGATGTTGGTATACATTACACCATAATAAGCCTTTTTTATTTCACTGGCAGAAGCTGTCTTCTTTACACCCAAAACTTCATAAGGGTCTTTTTTGTTCATATTGGGAGCTGAAATAGTTTAGTATGTAAATCCTAGAAGTAGGTGCTTGTGTTACCTGTTGCGTGAATACATCTCTATTTTAAAGATAATGTTAGTATATCTAGCTATGTATGATTGTCTTGCCTTTTGTTCATTGTATCTCTTGTTTGCTGCGCAACCCAAAGGGATATGACCGTCTAACAAGTATTGATAGTGTTACTGTTGTGTCAAACACGGTATGTAAGCTTTACCTCTCTTGATCGTGCTAATAAAACGCTTTCCTAAAGGACTCGTGATGGCCTGTTGGCCCTTCAATGACTGAGAAAAGACAGAGAAGGCGGCCCTAGCAAACTTGGTTCGAGTTGCCATTGACAAGATCTTTAAAGAAGTGGAAGTCGGAGAAAGAGAACATCCCCTGTTACTGCCTGGTTTATAAATTTTGGGCGCTACAAGCCACCATTTCCATGCATGAACATAAACATTTGCGCTTTGTTCGAGGACAATTCTTGTAGTAAGAAAGGTGAAAGCAGTTTAAAGAAGACATGAGGATCGAGCAAATGTACACTGTATGTTTATCAAAGCACCATTTGAGCATGTCTTTTGTTTTTATGCTGAACATCGAATAAAATGAGGAATTTGAAATGCTCTTAGAACCCCCTCCCCTCTGTTATGCATTAACTTCCTATCTTTATCAAGAAAGTAAGGCCTTTCATGTTCAAGGATTCACGTCTTGCTCTTCTATATTTTACGCACCAAATGGCATAAGAACAAGTACCCACTTGCTATCAAATATCTACAAAAAAAGGCCTTTTTGTATTGGTTACAGTCTATAATGAACTTTGAATGCAGATTTGAAGGCAATACTCATATAAAGTTAGCCTTTTCATCTTAGTAAACTCGTCTTCTTTTCATCAAAAGCACCTAGAAACGGTCTCATCTGATTTCGGTTGGATCAGACTTATATCGGGGTCAATCTGTCATTTCAAAATTTTTTGATGAATTTTTTTTTTTCATCTTCACGGACCTTCGTGGATCCACCATGGGTCAAAAAATGAATTTCATCTAGTAGTCAAACCAATGGTAACATTCGATTCCTGGACTTGAAAGAACATGGTTTAAACAGAAAACGGTTTGCTTTGATAGTCTGGTTGTCGAGTAATGGTCCATCAAAGATTGGCATGTTTAAGCTGTGTTTCGAACATCCTTAAGCATTTTTGCTCTAGGGGTCATATAAGACCTGGTAGCTATGGGTTCATGGAAGCTATATGTGCTATCTAAACTATCAAAGAATACTTGAAAGCAAAAACACGGCTGATTTATAATGCAAATGTGGGGCGAATGTACTTTAGCACATACAGTATTACGTTCTTCTAAAGGCAAGTCTTCATTCGAGTAGTATTCCTGAAGAACTTGAGTCGCGGTAGCTTTCTGTCTTATATATTCTACGTATTGATCTTTTATGGCTGTGGATGACTTTAAACGTGAAAGAATTGCTTCTGCATTGCTTACGGCCTCTGGTTTCAGTCTTTCACAAAGTTTCATGAATTTTCTTGTTTTTGTTTTAATGTTCCTTTGATTTCTCGTATAGCGGTAAGTTCTTTTCTTTTCAACGGTACTGCTTTCGTGCATACAGAACAACCCATCACGCCGTCTGGGGTCAATCAAAACACAATTATTTTTGTAAGTTCTTGAAGTTTTTCTTGCAACAGACTTTCTATGTAAGCAATGTCTTCTATCTTCTTATCATTTCGCATGCCGCCTCCAGAACCTTTCTTCTTACTGTCATAGGTCTGCTTCAAAATGGATACGGCAACACCATCTGTGTAAATAATACCTCTAAACTTCATTTGTTTATTGTCTCCTTGAGGCTTCATAGCTTTGGATTTCATGTTCAGTACGGCTCCCCAGATTACTTCTTTGTCTAAGTGGCTAATGACAGAGTTTCTTAAAATTTGAGTGTTTACGATATATGTGTCTATAGTCATATAACTAGGTATGAATGTTCTTCTCAGAGGAAAACAGTTGAATGACTTATTGTAGAGAGATTCAGAACATCGCGTCAGATAATAAAATGCCTTCAGATGCTTCGATGAGTCCGCTTTACGATCATAACAAATAGAATTCTTCTTGAAGTGAGTGTCAGAAGGGTAGCAATCAAAAAACTGTTGAAGGATGCCGACTTCTTGTGAGTTAAAAAGATGCGCTGGCAATTCAGTGATGTTCCTCAGAGAGATGTTCATTTTTTCTTTGGTGCACTGGCTTGCTATGGTTTTGACCGCACAGAGATTTCGCTTTCTATGCAATTTTTCTTTTTCATTTCACTTTTCAAAGCGCCAATTCTTTCCTGCTTCTTTAACAATAGGTTCAAAAACATACGCAATCTGTTCTCGAAATGGAGAGCGACGCCATTCATGTATGCAGTGTGGATTTTCGTAGCTTCATAGCTTCCTATTTGTTGCGCATATTTCAGTTTGGTTGGAACATAAGATGCGAGTTGGCAATAGGTATCTCGATGCTTATTGATAAGTTTCTTGTAACTTCTTGCTTTTTCTTTTCGTTTTGCTTTATACGGTTTATAGCTATCAAGTAATGAAATAAAGACTTCTCTGAAGAAATCAACATTGGCAAGGTCCTGCAAAGCAAAATCCATGTTGTTTTCAAGTTCTTGCGTAAAAATATACTTCAAAAGTGCATAAGTATGTGTTACGAGAGTATGTACTTTAAGTACAAGAGATTTGAGACTTGGAATGTATCTCGTTTTCCACTCAATGCCAGTAATAGAACTTTTAACTGTAGCTATCTTTAGAGGAGGTTCCATAAGGAAAAAAAGAAGAAAGAGTAAAGCTGACAGCTTTTTATCTTTTTATTTAGAGTTTCAATCACTAATGTATTATTTTTATTTGAGGCCCTACAGATATTTGTCTATTTAATTGTGCGTATTTTATGATAATTGAAAATAACTCTGGCTTTTGTCCAGTACCTGAAAAATATAAAAAAAAAACAGCCTAAGTAACTAAAAGTATGATTTGAAGTGTATCCAAATTTTTGTGTTCACCTCTCTGCTAATAATCATCCTGCATCGTTATTTAAAGGAGGAAGTATCAGTAACTTTTAGAAAAGGTTGGTCAAGGTTGGTCCACATACAAATCTCTGATTGATTGTAATTTGTCTAATTTCCTTTTCCGTGTTGTCCAAAAAAGGTAAGCTAAAGTCTAAAGATTAATTTTGATTCGTCTAGAAAAAACTAGCATACTCTGGTTTTAAAGTGTAAAAACTGTATAAAGTCTTTATAGAGGAGATTCAAAGCGGAAGGCAACACTAATTCTTCCGCCGCAAATCATGGTTCATCTCTTGTGGCTCAAACTGCAATAAAAAATAGACCTTTTGCTGAGAACTGCACAAAGACGCGGTTATCTGGCTTTGGTGTAATGACAAGACTTGTAGTTCTTTGTTTTCTGAGTCTGTTGGTATAATAAGCACAACATATTTGCTGCTAAAATATTGAGTAAATAAGCAAAAATGTTCAAGAGGTTTTTCATCCTTATCGTACTTTTTTTTATAGTACAACTGTTCAGCAAATACATCGACCAAAAATTAGAGTCTTTAACGTACATCTTGGGTATTTATACTTTTCAACAGCTCTATTTTTTGTCCTGTAGTGTCAAAAAGAAGATTAAAGAGTTGTCAGATGAGCTTTTTCCATGAGTAATACCCTTTGGTTAAAACTACAAGTCGCCTTTTTTGGTCCAAATCAACTCCAAAGATACTATGATTGTTAGTAAACATAGTTTGCAAGTATTTGAATAATTGATGCTTGTATAAACAGGCTTTATACCTCCTTGATGTACATATTTTTCTACAATAAAGATGTGTTTATTTCAAAAAGTAAAATACCATTTGCATGAATAAATAGAATCAATGACACATTGCTTTCAAAGAAAAACTAGTTCATTGTAGGTATATACCGTACAAGTCATAACAAACGACGCTTGATTGAAAAATACTTTTGATAAATATACGTAAGCTCATTTTTCTTTGTCATTTCTTCTGCAAAATGCTTGCAATCATAATTTTTTATTGTCAACATACTTGAGCAGGAATAATCGCCTTTTTTTTGGGATGGACTTGGGAATGGATGTATTGCCTTTCTTTATTTGAATAAAAGAGAAAAAGAAGTCTACAGCTTCAACGGATATAAAAAAGACTACTGATTAGTTCTAGTTTATCTTGTAACAATGAATGATAGATTTATCATTTTCATCATTTCATCTTACATATATATATAAATGCTGCTAAGAATCACATTTCAACAATTATTCCTTGCCTGATCCGTATCATTCATTGCAAAAAAACAAAAAAGACCAAAAATGCTACTGAGCACAAGCATTGCCACTTGAAAATAAAACACAGTTCCACAACAAATCAAGATACTTTTACTCACTACACAAAGTTGTCCTTCATGTGTGTCTGGGATCTAAGTGTATATAAAAACCTTATTTTTTTTCTTTCTGTACTACTCCCCCTCAGCCATTTGACACAATCAAATCGAATGCCGATGTCGGAACCTCAATTTACATTAAGGCAACAATTGACATTGTAGTCCTAGTTCTCTCTTTCCTTTTAGTCAAATAATTGCTGATAGACGAAATAACAACAAAAGCATAATTAATAATATTAGAGTATTTAACGTTTTCTATTTCTCGCGATAAAGTTGATCACGAGCACTTGTTCATATACAACACTATATTAAGCACAACTTGAGCAACTGCTTTCCCAGTTATCGAGTCATATGAAAGCACAAAACACCGGGTATCTTGACCATGAATCTCTGGTGAGAGTGCTGTGATGAAACAATCTCAATGACTTGGTTTAAACAAGGTTGAACACGAAAAAAAAGCGTAAGAACGTGGTTATAAATAAATGCCATACAAGTATACTGGCTTGATCGGAAAAGAAAAAGAGCAGGATAACAATTTAAGAGCAGTAGCATCTATCTAATGGTTTTTGACTTGATTATGATTAATTGAGTCTAGTATGGACGGAATTATAAGGCTGCTCTCGTTCTTTTTAATCTTCAGAAATCAACTTACAAAAAGTTCAAGGCTCTCATGTTTTCTTGATGAGGATCTCTTGGAAAGAAAGGAAATGGTATTCTCTATCAAAAATAAACATTGTGCGTTTTCCTTCCATGTATTTTATAAACAAAATACTTTTTTTAGACACAAACGAAAGCAATTGTAAACATATACGATTCAAAATTAGAATGCTAGCTTAACTCAACTAGAATAGCATTAAGAAATAAGATGCGCTTGGCATTGTTTGAATTGACATCATTGAATAGCGGATTCGAAAGAGAGTGCTTTGTTTTCTATTTTAAGTTACCAAGAAAGATTCTTTTTAGTTTATGCCAAAAAGGTAACACTAGCTACTATTTCTGGCACGGCTCTCTTGGTTTGGTAGCAGGTATTTTTAGCAGCACCCATAAAAGGTAAAAATGCGGCTTGGCTGTTATTTTTTGAAGATCTATAAAGGCGTTATAATACATTTTGAAATAAAAAAGTAGAAAGCTCTCTTCCTTTTTTTTTATCTTTCCTTTTAAACAAGTCATCAAAGGCACGAGGCAAAAAATAAAAAAAAAATATGCTCAGTAAACAAGAAGAAGCCTGGGCAGTTTATGCAGCCATCTTTTTATTCTTTACAATCATTTTGACACTTCGATGCCGAAACAATGTATTTTTGATTCCATTCGCTGTATTTGGCTTCCTGGTGACTCTCGGAAGCATTTTTCTTACTACTTATCGCAAGGACTATACCACAGCACTCGCATCAGGCAATATGGCCGGTGCTTCAGAGGACCATTACTGGATAAGCAAGAGTCTTGTCCTTAGCTTCTTACCTGCTGCATCTGTATTGGTTTTTGGTGGTATTATGGAAGCTCAGTTGATCTTTATCCGTCATATTGCTGCTGCTATCTATAATAGAGATCATTGGGGAAGTATGTATCTGCGTGATCCTGAAAAGCAAAGACAACCTCCTAGAAAGAAGACACCCTCATTAAGGCCTTGGAACTACTGGACAAGTCTGCTTCTCTTAGTCTTGTTTACATTGATTGCTCTCTGTTCCGTCCTGATAGAAACTATCATTCCTGTCTCTGAGACCTCAAAGAACTTGTCTATTGCTATCTGCACTACTGTTCTTTGTGTGATTGCCTGGTCTAACGTAAGTCTGATTTGGTATACAAGTTCTCTATCTATCAAGCACATTCGTATGATACGACAAAACCGTGATGACATGTTGTTTCTGCGTATTACTCCCATCTTGTTCTCAATTAGTTTAATGGGTATGGTTCTCTTGACCTGGCTCTACTTTGCATCCGTCACAATACCCTTACCTGCTTGGATCCTTTTGGAATCCCTTTTGGTCTATTGTCCTTTGGCTGGCATCTTGGTGATGTGTATCTATACTGGTAAAATCAAAAAGATGGGAAGACAGTATGGCGCTGAACCTGCACAAAGAAGCTTTAATAACACTCCTCCTAAATACGCGACTGTGGTGCCTGAAACCGAATCTTCTTCAGAAGATGAAAAGAAGGGAACAACTTCCCCTCCTCCTCCTGCTTATCAACCAGATCAAAGCCATCATTACCATTAACCTTATTTAATATTCTTTTATCCCTCTTTCTTTGTAAATATATAGTAATAAAGCGAGTTTATAGCTAAAGTCTAAGAATGATTTGAATAGTTTTATTGTTTAAAGTGAGGGGGGGGGATTAAAAGAGAAAAAAAAAAAGGCGTATATACAACATAATGAAAAATAATAATAATGAGAATTTGTTTAACCGCTGCAGCTAACACAGGCATCTTTGTTGTCAATAGAGCAGACCATATCAGCCATGTTATCTTCTTCAGTCTTCTTCTTTCTGTATTCACGTAGTGACAATTGATCCACAGTGAATTTGATGGCGTCGACAGCAGGACGAGTACGCAAATAGTACATACCCGTCTTCAAACCCTTTTGCCAACCATAAAAGTGCATACTTGTCAATTTACCAAAGTTAGGTTCTGCAATGAAGATGTTTAAACTTTGACTTTGATCAATAAAAGCACCACGATCAGCAGCCATGTCCAATAAGGTGCGTTGACTTAATTCCCAGACAGTCTTGTAAATATCCTTGAGCTTTTGAGGGATACCGGGAATATTTTGGACTGAACCACCATCAGACATGATCATATTCTTGACGTCGTCGTTCCACAAGCCCATCTCGACCAAGTCCTTTAAGAGCCAAGGGTTCACAATTTGGAATTCACCAGCAAGAACACGACGAGTGTAGAGGTTGGAAGTATAGGGTTCAAAGCATTCGTTGAAACCCAAGATTTGAGAAGTAGAAGCAGTAGGCATAGGAGCAACCAAAAGCGAGTTACGAACACCATGTTTGGCAATGGTTTCCTTAAGCTTGGCCCAGTCCCAGAGAGAGGTAGGGGTTACATCCCACATGTCATATTGCAAAATACCCTTAGAAACAGGGCTTCCGGGATAAGTTTCATAATGGCCGTATTGTTGAGCAAGTTCGCAGGAAGCTTCTAGGGCAGCATGGTAAATAGTTTCGAAAATTTGGATATTGAGATGCTTGGCTTCAGGGGAATCAAAAGCAAATTTCATCAACATAAAAGTATCAGCTAAACCTTGAACACCCAAACCAATAGGACGATGGCGCTTATTAGAACGTTCGGCTTCAATCACAGGATAGTAGTTGACATCAATAATCTTATTCAAGTTCTTGGTAATCACTTTGACAACATCATGCAACTTATTGAAGTCGAAACTTTCACGGTTGACAACAAAGGTAGGCAAAGCAATAGAAGCCAAGTTACAGACAGCAACTTCATCAGGACTGGAGTATTCAACAATTTCTGTACACAAATTACTGCATTTGATAGTACCCAAGTTTTGTTGGTTACTTTTACGGTTACAAGCATCCTTGTAGAGCATAAAGGGATTACCGGTTTCTGTTTGTGCTTCAAGAATGGCATACCACAACTTTTGAGCTTTAATGGTTTCTCTTGCTCTTCCTTCCTTTTCGTATTTCTCATAAAGAGCAACAAATTCATCGCCCCAAACATCACAAAGACCGGGAGCTTCATTAGGACAGAACAAAGACCATTCACCATTGTCACGGACACGCTCCATAAAGAGATCAGGAACCCAAAGTGCATAAAACAAGTCACGGGCTCTGATTTCATCTTTACCAAAGTTCTTTCTCAAGTCTAAAAAGGTAAAGATATCAGGATGCCATGGCTCCAAATACATGGCAAAGGCACCTGGACGCTTGTTACCACCTTGATCGACGTAACGAGCAGTGTTGTTAAACACACGCAACATGGGCAATAAGCCGTTAGAATAACCATTGGTACCAGCAATGTAAGAACCATTAGCACGAATATTGTGAACATTCAAACCAATACCACCAGCAGTCTTGGAGATTTGAGCGCAGATCTTGAGTGTTTCGTAAATACCTTCGATAGAGTCTTCCTTCATGGTCAATAAGAAACAAGAAGACAATTGAGGACGAGGAGTACCAGCATTAAACAAAGTAGGGCTGGCATGGGTAAAGTAACGTTCAGACATGAGATTATAAGTCTCAATAGCAGCATCAATATCGCTACCATGAATGCCCACAGCAACACGCATAATCAAATGTTGAGGTCTTTCAGCAACTTTGCCATTGATTTTGAGCAAATAAGAACGCTCTAATGTCTTGAAACCAAAGAAGTTATACTTGAAATCACGATCATAGATGATAGCAGAGTTGAGACGTTCAGCATTAGCCATGACAATTTCGTAAATGTCTTTGGCAATCATAGGGGAAAGCTTTTCTGTTTTGGGGTTAATGTAATTGTATAAGTCTTCAACAACTTGGGAAAAGACCTTCTTGGTTTCTTTATGCAAGTTAGAGATTGCAATACGGGCAGCCAAAAGTGCGTAATCAGGGTGAGTTGTGGTCATATAAGCAGCAGTTTCGGCAGCAAGGTTATCAAGTTCGATAGTAGTAACACCTTGATAGACACCAGAGATAACCTTTTGAGTAATAGCAACAGGATCAACATAGTTCATATCCAAACCATAACAGAGTTTGTTGATTCTGGCGGTAATCTATACACATTAAAAAAAGGGGGGAAAGGTCAATACACCATATATAAACGCGACTTATTTACCTTATCAAAAGCGACTCTTTCACGTCTACCGTCTAATGGTTGGTAGATTTAGATAAAGACACACATATAAAAGTAACTTATACCTCTCTTATAGACAAACATGGGCATTATTTAGTTTTTTTCAAAAAGGAAGAAGAGAAAGAGAAAAAAAACTCAAAAAAAGAGGAGAATTGTTTGATTTATAATGGACGCGTAAATTTTTACTTATCCGATAGCGCGCGTTTTTTTTACGCGTCTCTTTTTTTTCAACAGTCCCTTTTACTTGTGCAACACGCGCTTTAAAAGAAATGGTAATACAAGCAAGCTTTTTCATTTTTCATTTAAAGTTATTTTTTTTAGACAGGTTGAGATCTATAATGTGCCAAATAACTTGTGACAGTTCGACAGAAGTTTTGTTTAGCACCTTCGGACATGACCAAATGGTGCTCTTTTTCGAAACGTTGAACAACTTCCATAGGATCATCATTGGCATACACAGCCAAATTAGCATGAATGCCTTGTGTCAATTCAATGTTAAAGTTAACACATGGTGTATCAAGACGATGGTGAATGAGAGGAGGTTGTTGAGTGTGTTTTTCAGGCTGTTGTTGAGGTTGCTGTTGAGGTTGATTCCATTGAGATTGGCTAGGAGGGGCAACAGATGCAACTGCGGAGGAAGAGGCATATTTAGAAGCTGCAGATCCAGAAGATGTCTTGGTGAATCCAGATCTATTTTGAGGAGGAACAGCGGGTGCTGGTGGTTGTTGTTGAGCAGGAGGCTGCCATTGTGATTGTTGTGGAGTAGGATGCTGCCGTTGTGATTGTGATTGTGATTGTTGTTGTTGTTGTTGTTGTGATGGTGGTGGTGGTGCTTGAGTTTTCTGTTGAGGTTGACTCCATTGTGATGGTTGACTTCGAGTAGGGGTAACAGGAGTAGAAGCAGAAGTAGGAGCATATTTGGAAGCACCTGTTCCATTGGCATCACTAGAAGGTGATTCCCAGAAGGGTGTAGAAGTAAGTTCAGTAGAAGCCCAGGGACCAGAAACGATAGCTTCTCTTCCACGATAAGCTGAGGAAGAAGGGGGTTTCAATGAAGAAGATGGTGGGGGTCTTCTCTTAGGGGTTGGAGGAGCGCTTGATGGTGGTTTAGGACCCTTCTTTCCACCCTTCTTTTTCTTACCACTTGTGCTTGGAACAGGTTTACCCAAACGTCTGTCAATGATGTATTGTTCGTCGATAGGTTGAAAGTTTCTGCCTTTACGATGAAGCTGACCACTACCAATACCACCTTCTTTTACCTTGATATTAGGATCAATTAAAGATTCCCAACCACTAACAGTCAAGTTGACATTGGTTGTACCATCTGCTGAAATAGTTTGATTACCCCAACTTGTGGCTTCAATAGGAGCGTATTCAGAGTCATCAGAGTACTCGTCTTCGTCCGAGTATTCAGAATGAACGCCATTCCATTGATTTGCGCTTGCAGTTTGCCAGTTAGACATTCCTTATATTTGTTTACGCGTAAAAAAAAAAAATAGGGATAGCCCTCAAGCAAAGAAAAAATGAAATTGAATTTTGGCGGGCAATATGAAACTCAGCACAAAAAAAAATATAGAGCAAATCAGATCAAACGATCTATCGAAATTCAGGAAGAGGATCCATCTGTTTCAAAGGCTGTTGCGTTGTATGGCGTACCTGATTTAAGTACGCAGAGGTTATTCATTGAGTCCAGAAGTGATGATAGCTGTATGGTTGCAGGTACAACTCTGAAATTAAAAACATCAAAGCCCAAAAAACTTTTCCTAGAACAAAAAAAAAACCCCCTCCTCGGTTGCTCCTGAAGCCTTAGACAGAAAAAGTAAAAAAAAAAAAAAAATAGTTGTGCTTTTTCGACTGAAGATGTCTTCAAATTGATTCAAATGTGAGATGCTGGTGTATTTAATACAACATTCTTTTTCTCTAACTGCTATCATTTTCACTTATTTTAGTCTATCTAATTTATTGGCAACAAAAGAGAAAATATTCAAGCAAATAGAAGCTCTTGAACTCAAGTACATGAAGACTAAAGTTTGATAAACTTGTAGAAAAGATCAAATAGGACACATCGACAATCAGCCTCAAGAATTGTAGAAGATAGAACTGAGTGCCCCACTTTATGTTGGGATAGATGCTCAACTAAAAAATTCAGGATAATTTGTTACTTTTACTCAACGCTTATTCGCTTGAATATGTCTTTATACATTTTGGTTTCTTTATTGTTTCTTTCATTTCTCACATTAAAAGGCAAATGTTACTCTTCTTTTCTATTTTGACACTACTATCTTGTTCAAAGACGGCTTTTGTTCTCTTCTATCTATTGCTTGGGGATAAGAATATTTTATGGAAAACTATTTGACCCTCATATCTAAATAGCTGGCAAATTTATGCGCTCGGCCAGAGAAGCACGCATATCCATATAATTAGAAAAAAAATGAGCGTAATAACTTTTTATTTACACGTCTTTTACTAACTTGTTCAATGGTTGTTTCAAGGAAACACTTCATCCACTCCAAAAAGCGGAGATTTTTGAGAGAGCTTATCGTCATTGAAGGAAGCATTTTGTGAAAAGTAAAGCCAGCAGAGAAAAAGAAAAAAGAGAGCGAAAAGGGTTTGTTTAAAGGAAGTAGAAAGAACATTGTAGAATGGAATTAAAAAGAGAGAGGGATACTTTAAGACTAATAGAAATTATGTTTTCTTTTTGGAGTGGACAAAATGCTCGCCCTTGTTAAAGTATGTCACCTCTTACAATTGTTGATTATACATGTGTTGCATAAAGCAAGAATATTATAATACAAATAAACAAATAGCTCAAGACTTACTACTTTAAGAAATTTTGGCGTTCAAATCATAAAAAAGGTAAAACATGCTCTCTTACTGGTTGCGCAGACCTATGTATATTCTACTGATCACTGAATCAAAAATCAAGAAATTGCCTCTATTGAAGCAATAAGGTATCCTGTGTTTCTATTCTAGACTCTATTACAGCAATTAATAACATATATCTTATCATTCGTTTTTGATCACCCAAAATATCTCTGCCTAAAAAAATCTGAATGGCATTGAAAATTACTACTTCCTGAGTACTTGTAGAAGATATGTTCAGATTTGATTATATTTAAAATGATTTTTATTATTATTGTTGTTGTTTATGAGCTCTACAACGAAACACCGTTCTAACACTATCTAAAGAGGATACTGATAGTCTCAATGTACTTAGTAAATTTTTGATTCCCCTCTTTATCTTTCAACAACCTAGTTTATTCGTTATACTTTAAATTGAGCAAACGAATGTTCTGATCAGCTACTTTATGAGCAAAACAGCTGTCAATCTTCTCTTGGTTTCTCCTCTCTCTTTTCTTTGTAAATTTCAAGTCTTTAGTGTACAAACATACACAGCGATTTATATCGAAACAAACAAAAAAAAAGCGTGCTTTAGCTTCTTTGAATCTGAGAGAAGCAACCACTAAAACTTGATTATCTATTATTTAAAAAAAATTCATGCATTCTTGACATTTGTTTCGTCTTAAAAAAAATAAAGTTCACCAAGCCATTGTTTATTTTTCGCATAATCAATGCGAACCCACTTGTGGCCCAAACAAAAATGGCGTTCATAGTCTTTTTTCGGTCCTCCAATTCATTTCTTTCTACAAACAATACAAATAAACTCCTCATATTGAACTGTAATACAAAACCATCATTTTAGACTTTTGAGCCGAAACCGCAGTGGCGACTAAAAATAAATAAAAGTGGACCTTTTTATTTTTGTGTTTTTCGGTATTCTTTTTTTTTTCTTCTTCTAATCATGCCAAATGTGTCCTCATTGAAAGAGGCATTTGCAAGAGCCTCTACTGTCGAAGATCGAGAATCTGTCTTGAAGAAACTCGCTACGCCTAATACCGATGATGAAATTTATTATCAAGGACTTGTCTTGCTTCAAAAAGTCTATAATGAAGTCATGAAACAACCAGAGCCAAACAAACTTCGTGAACCTACTCTAGTTGAAAAGGAACTTACCATGCAAATGCGACAGCATTTGGACAGGTTTACTACTCATGATGAAAGATTCCATAACCTTAATACCCGATTCCATCTCTTGATTTATCCCTTTGACACGGAAGCTTCTATTAATTTCCTCAAAAAAGAGCTTGAGTTGGATGCATTAAATGCTATAAAAAAGCCCGAACAAGCTACACCTATCACATCCAATAAATCAACTGCTCCTTCGGTTCTAGATCCCAAGATTATTGATGGGCAATCGCTCTTGAAAGAAAGCTTTGCCTCCTTTTTTTCTCCAGATAATGATGATATTGATGTCGAACCATTAGCTTTCCCTCACTTGACTTGTTGGGATGATCTGTCTGATCATTTGCAATTGGCTCTCTTAAAGAAGATTGCACTCTTCCCTTCCGAGCATATCTTTGGACCCGAGTTAATGCGTATAGTTGCTCGCCTTTGGCAACAAAACAGTCAAGAATGGCAGTCTGGAACCGTGCCATGTTCTAACTTTACTTTGAAGCAACTGGATCATCTCATCGATGCTATCCCTGAAGTGGTACTTCAACATGACTCGTTTATTCAAGCATATTTCGATAAACTCGTACCTACCGGATATCAAAACCAGTCTCTAGACTTCTGGGATGATTGTGATCATGTAATGGAAGATTATTTGACGCGTTTGCAAGCCTTTGCGGAAAAATTGCCTTCCATATTTAGTATGTTCAAATCCAAAGTCATGTTTCATCAACTGCGTATGGATATTGTAAGAGAAGAATTTGATCAAGATAGGTTTATTAGGTAATTTAAATCAAACAAACCCCCCATTTGCTAACATAAATAATAGCTTCTTGTCTATGATTTCAAACAAGGGGGTTACTTTCACTTCTTTTCGTCCTCTTCGTGGTCTATTTGGTGATGATAGCACTTTCTCGCCTGTTCCTTCACGTTCATCTATCTTTGAGCATAACAATCCTGTTTTTTTCCCACCTATTCCGCTCTTGGGAAATTGTGAAATTGACGAGCCAGATAGAAATTTAGTTATCAAGGAATACTTAACTGGTCTTATCAAGCAAAATAAGCTTTCCGTTACTATGGAGAGTCTTGGTACATACCTTGACTATCATAACTTTTTCAAGCCTCTGTATGCACATATTATGCTAACTACTTTGACCAATAAACAAGAAGAATGGGTCAAGATGCTAGATACCTCAGCTTATGAAAAACTTGTACATGAAAGCATAGTCAGCTTCGCCCCTTCTACTCTGTATCATTCTGTCAGACGCAAGCCTTCTGATCCTATCTTGCTTTCCATTCGAACGAAAAATATTTCTCGTCTCTCTATTCGTGTATTTCAAATTGATAGTGAAAACTATTGGCGATTGAACGATAAAAATGAGCAAGCAAATGACAATATGTTTGACTTGGATGGTCTATGTCCTACATTTGAAAAAGATGTAGATTATTCAAATGAGTCTGCTCTTAATGTCAAAACAACTACTTGGAAGTTTGGTGGTCAAGATGGTATTGCATCAGAAGTCTTTGAAGGCCGTGGTCTTTGGGTAGTCGAATTCGTAGGTGGACAAGGTCAGTGTCGAGTAGTTGTACAAAAGGGTTACTTGAGACATATTGTGCAAGAAACCTTGGCTGGTCACATTGTGCGCATCTTGGATGAAGAAAACAACCCATTACAGCAAGCTCAAATCTGGTATAATAACCAATACTATGAGGTAGAATAATTAGTTTTCTATTAGAATGTGTATCAAGTCACTAATGAAAAATAGGCTGATGAATCAAGCAATATCTTGATTTCGTATCTTCCAAATGATACGCCACCCAAAACAGGCAAAATGATCTTAATTTCTACTAAGGACGGCTTTTCTGAAACTGCAACCTTCCATCATTTGTCTGAGACGTTTAGTTTGGCAGCAGATTTTTATGTAAATCCTGAAATGATCTATGTTAACAAAAAGACAACTGTAGTCGTTCTTCCGAGATTGACAATCAATGGTACGACAGCACCTGTTTCGTTGTTGCAAGATCTTTCGCTTAGTGTAGAATCGACTGATTCAAATCAAGTCAAAAATAACTCTGTTTGTCAAAGTATGAACAAAGAGCTCAATTACATTTACTTTGAATTCCTAGTACCTGATCAATGTAAGTTCAAATGCTAGTTTGCATGTCATTTATATATGTATAATCTATAGTGAAATCATTGCGATTCAATCTTGAAGTCAAAGTTAAAGGACTGGATGATACTTTTCAAACACTTAATGTTCAACATACCATTAATTATGACTCTCCTGTCAATGCAAGTGGTACTCCTGCAAGCATTCATCTCAGCAAAACAACTGATAACAGATTCTTGCTTTACGCTTTCGGAAAGAACGGTGAAGCCAAAACTGATTATGAAGTCTCGCTCAAGTTCAAGCATGCCTTTGTGTCTCGTCCGATAGATACGCTTTTAAAGACAAATGAACAAGGTTATATCGACTTGGGCAAGTTGCAAGACATTCAATTCTTTGAACACTACACGCCTCAACTTGGTTACAGGCAATGGAAAATACATAGGAACATGCAATCAATTACACCTCAGACCATCTCTGTACCTACAGATACAGACTTTAAAGTAACGTGTCAAGATGATCTATCTGAATCACTTTGCTCACTCTATAAGGTTGGCTTGTTTGAGTGAGTTTTATCTTTTTTTTTTTTTTTTTTGTATTTGACATGTATACTAATATTGAAGTAGTACTTTGATTGAACAAGTAGATAGTTCCATCACGAAGAAGAGGAACTTTATACATGTTAAAGGCCTTCCAGAAGGCGAATATATGCTCAACATGATATCTTTTGATGGCAGTATCAAATCCGTGAAATGTATTGTGATCAAGGGCAAAACAAATACCAAGGAACATTTCTGGTCTGATTGGATCTTGGGAAGTAACACGTATGTCAAGTACAACAGCGCTATCCTCAGAAAACCACTAGCTATCGCAGACACTGTTGTTGATAAAGATAATATTACTATTTGTCTCGAAAATTGGTCTCCCAAAGCCTTTGTTATTGCGACCACAAGTACCTTTATTCCTACCTATGATGAAACTTTAGCATCTCGATTAATGTCATACCGCTTCTTATCTTTTCCTTTGGTTCAGAACATCAGCGATATTTTTACACGATCTGTATTCTTGAACGATAGAAATATTAGCGAGGAATATCAATACATCTTGAATCGCTCCAAAACTGAAAAATGGGTTGGTAGTACTTTGACAAAGCCCTCTTTGTTAATGTATCCCAAGGTAAATGGAGAACAAAGAAATAATATGTCATTATTTACTCATTATTTATATACATAGAAAAATGCAATAGCAGGAACTTATACAAGGGATTGTCCTACTTATGTAGGAAATCCTATGAGAAATTGCATCCTAAACCATGGAGAAAAACTGTTTGCTCCTAAATTTTTTGGTGGCGCATTGAATGTCAATAATGTTAGTGATGCAAGCTTAGCATTCCTTGACCATCAAACACCTATTGTTGTTATTCCTGCTTCTAGCGGCACTATCAATCTTCGTCGTGAACAATTAGGATTTGGTGGTCAGCACTTGCAAGTCGTTGTCGTTTCAGGAGATCAATTTGTCTATGAGCAAACTTTGATAGACAGCAATCAATCATTGCAGTACAAGGATTTGAAGCAATCTTCAACAGCCAACATACCTATTGTTCATGCCAAATTAATCAAAAAACTTCTTCCAAATCAGGACTTGACCCTCAATACACATGACTATGCAGTGATTGATAGTTTTGAAAAGTTGTTTGATGTAGTCAAGACGATTTCAGGCCAAGGCGCTGACTTTGTTGCTGAATTTGGCTTCCTCAGAAACTGGCCTAACCTCAGCCTTGAGAGAAAATTGGAATTGCATCAACATAAAGTATGCCATGAATTGAACCTATGGCTCAAGAAGAAGGATTGTCAGTTTTTTGAACAATATGTCAAGCCTGCCATCAAGAGCAAAATTCAAAAATCATTCATGGACGTGTATCTTACAGATGGAGATATATCTTCCTTTTGCTGTGATTTGTATCAGCTTGAACAACTAGGTGTAGCAGAAAAAGCTTTGTTGGCAACTGTACAGCCAAAAAAACTCTTGCAAGCAATCCTAAAAAAATTCAAGGACTCGTTCGATAGCAAGAAATTGAACAGTCGTTTCGATACGATTTTTGATACTATTTTAGCTGGTAGTGCACTTGATTTGCCTATGATAGCAGAGGATGTCGAAACGGAGCAAGCTTCTTTATCAATGGCTTTTGAGGCAAATGTTGATCATTCTCTTCAATCTCGTATGGCTCCTAAGGCTATTAGTACTCCTGCCTTTGGTTCAGCTTTTGCATTTTCCTCTCCTGAAAATAATGAAGAAACTTATAATGTAGAGACTTATGATAGTGATGATCATAATTCTGACAAAAGCGAAGAGCATGAACAAGAAGACGAACAAGAAGAAGTAGCAATGCTTGAAATGCGTGAGAAATCCAGGAAGGAAAGAAAGGCTACTTATAATTTTGTTGAAAAGACAAGTGAATGGACTGAAACTAGTTATTATGGCGGTGTGCTCTCTCTCACGTTGAAGCAATTCTGGATTGACTATTTAGATAATTTTGACAAGAAAATTCCCTTCTTATCCGAGAACTTTATGCATGCTCTTGACAATATTAGTGAAATCTTTTATGTTTTGAGTCTTACTGATCTGCCATTCGCCTCACAAACTGACTGGGCTATAGACAACAAGGACTTGGCAAGAGGCTTTACTATTACTACAGCTAATCATCCTATCATTGTCTTTTGTCGTACTCTAAATGAAAGCAAAAAGCTTTCCACAATCAATAACAGCCTCATGCTTGGGCAGGACATCTTTGTTTTTGAAGAATCAACATCCATCGATTCCAATGAATGTATCAAGGTTGACCCTTCGACTCAAACCTTGCGCCCTCATGTTGAATACGGTCATCACTTAGTTATCAGTAATGCATCTTCCAAGACTATCATTTGCCAAGTTACTACTCAGATTCCTACTGGTGCTGTCCCTACCCAAAATGCGTCTTATTGCAAATCCAAGACAATCTCCATTAATGCTTATTCAACTTGGCATGAAATTGTTAGCACATTTTATTTCCCTGACCAAGGTGAACACGCACTTGTTCCTGTTACAGTTTCCTCAGTATCTGGAGACCGACTTCTAGGAAAACTCAACTCAGTAACTATTCGTGTTGGAAGTCTTGAAGTTACTGCCTCAGATCCGGATGATATTGGTACCTATTCATGGCCAACCATAGCCAGACATGGTTCAAATGCTAGCGTGCTTGCTCTCCTTGAAAAGCATCGTAAATTGGAAAAGCTAGATTTGGCTCTGATAAGCTGGCGAATGGTTGATCGTGAATTTGCTCGTCAAGTGTTTGATGTGTTGACAGATCGCTGCTATTTCTTAAAAGACTTGTGGAAGTATGGTGTCTATCATCAGTTTAGCGATATCATACAAGACTTGATTCAGTTCGAGGGCAACCAAATCATGTCTCGTATAGGACATGTATTTGAGTCACCTTTGCTCACAAAAGATGCGTTATTCCGAGGCGAACAATTGGTCCTTGACTACTACCCTTTGATCAACGCACGCGCACACTCATTTAAGCCAAACACGCATGAAATCTTGAATCAAAAGTTCTATCGACAATACGACACTTTCCTTACTTACCTCTCTTTGAAGAATACTGCTCCTACAAAGCCTGATCTTGTCACACTAGCCCTATACCTGCTGTTGCAAGACCGCATTGGTGAAGCTCAAGCTGTTTATTCTCTTATTGAGTCTATCCAAGATCAAGACACAGAATGTCAAGTACAAGTAGATTACCTAAATGCCTATTTAAAGACACGTGTACCCATCACAGAAAACTTGAAACAATTAGACCTTGAATCTATCAAACAAGTCGTTCAAAAATACAAGGACTTTGGTGTTTTGAGATGGCGAAAATTGTTTTCTAACTTGTACGACTTTGTGCGTGAAGTAGAGCAGGGTGTGCTTGGCTTCTCTGATAATTCAGCAAAGAACGCACGCATTCAGTCTGAACCTATTCTAGAATTTGAAATCAATCAGCGCGACAAAGAACTTGTTGTACAGTATGCAAACGTAAAATTGATTGATATCAAATGCTACGAAATGAATATTGAAGTCATGTTCTCCAATAACCCTTTCATGGGTAACCATTTCACAGATCACGACTTTACATGGATTAAGCCTAGCTTCTCTCAAACAATCGAGTTGCCTCAACAAGTTGCGCCTGAACCAGACGAACAAGATTTTGATGTGATTGGTGTTGGACAAATCAACTCGCTTCAGACGGCCAGAATTCCCTTTGATAGTAATAACAAGAACGTTTTCATTGAAATCACTAGTGGTACAATGAAACGTCGCCATGCTCATTATGCCAATCAAATTAGCACTCACATCTCTGAATCATTTGGTATCGTTCGTGTCATGAGCGAAAAGACAAAACGTCCTTTAGCCGGTGTCTATGTCAAGGTATACGCTCGTTTAAAGCAGGGGTGTACTGCAAGCTTCTGGAAGGATGGTTATACAGGATTGAATGGTGTTTTCGACTATATTGGTGTAACTGGAGGCAATTCTTTAATGGGTGATCAGCAGTTAGATCTTGAAACGTGTGTGAGAGATCGTATTGAAAAATTTAGCATTTTGGTATTAAGCAATGAAGAAGGTGCTGTTGTAAAAGAAGCCTATCCACCACTTGGTTAGTTTTTCTTTTTTTATACAAATAAAGTTTATTCTTTATTGGACTAACGTAAACAAATCATCTTTATTTGGTAAATTTGTTCAGATAAAAAAAACTGATGTTAACTCCATTTTATCTAATTACACAAAATAAAAAGAACAGTATGGTTATTATCAAGCAGGTCTTATTTTTAGTAAGCTGATACTACAATAAAAAATAAATAAGGAAACAAAAAGATATCAGATAATCAACAATAGAAAAAAAATCTGATATGATAAAAAAAAAAAATACATAATGATACAAGGAAAAGATTTAAAATAGTGTGGTCGTCAGTTATCGAATCAATTTTGTATTTTTTACCCGTACTAATATCCAATAATGTTACTTTTTAGAGATCAGATAAATTTTTACTTCCAATCATGATCACTTTTTGTGCTACTCTAAGACATGTACGCACACACACACACAAAAACTATAAAAGATCTGATTAGTTTAAAATTTTTCTCTTTCTTTACTATTCTTTCTCTAACACTACCATGTCTGCTCCGAATGAAAAAGTAGCTGTCATGGATGATGTTCATTCTGACAAATACACTTCTAGTGAAAAGGCTTTAGATGAAAATCACAATATTGATAGCAGCAATGCTAGTGAGCATACACCTTTATCAGAACAAGAAGCGGGTGATGCTGCCTTGGCTAATGCACCATGGCAATATAAGCTCCTTGCTCTCATTACTGCTTTGCTATTTCCTTGTAGGTTTGCTCGCTTATCTGTATATCCAAGTACTAACATCTCTCTCTCTTTTTAGTGGGCGCTCACTTTTCACAAAGTGCTCTCAGTGCTATGAAAGCCCAGATTAAATCGGTAATATTACACTTTACAAGCATGCTGTGTAACGGCTGCACACAGAATTAGTTTACTCATTAGTTACATAGAATTTGGTTATTAACAATACACAATATGGTGTTCTTTCTTCCTCGGTTTCAATTATCAACACCATCTTCCCTATTGCTGGTGGTATCTTTGTTGATATGTTTGGCTCCATTTGGGGTACACTCGGTATCAATTTGGTTGTAATTATTGGTAGCTTGTTGACAGCTATTGCAGCAAAATATCATTCTTTTGGTTTAATGGTCGCTGGTCGTGTCATTTTTGGTATTGGCTCTGGTCTCATTGTGACAATGCAAGAATCTATTTTGTCTAAATGGTTCAGAACCCAAAATCTTTCAATTGCTATTGGTCTCCAGCTCTCTATCAGTCGTCTTGCTACATTTTTGGGTACCTTGGTCGCTAACCCTATTGCAGTATCAACAGGTGACTGGGTATGGGCATTTTGGCTTTCTTTTATCATTTGTTGTTTCTCTATCATAATGAACTTGATATACGCCGTTATTGTAAGACACTTGCGTCGTAAAGCTATTGCCGAAAACCATTCAAAGAACGCTGCTGCTGGTATTGGTGGATTGATGACCAAGGAAGAAGTCAAGAACTTGAAGCGTCGCAAAGCTTTCCACTGGAGAAGTGTGTTCAAGTTCCCTATTTACTTTTGGCATATTCTTTTGATTGAATTTATCTTTGCTGCTGTCTGGTCATCTTTCCAAACCATCAGTACTGAATTCATTGAGCTTCATTTTGGTAGTACCAAAGTTTTAGCTGGTTACACTGCAAGTGCATCTCAATCTGTTCCTATTGTGGCGACCCCTATTTTAGGTATCATCATGGACCTGTTTGGTCTTCGTATTTCTATTTTAGTTATCTCTGCCATCTTCTTGATCCTCAGTTCTTGCTTGCTTGCCTGGACTTATGTCAACGCTACTGTAGGCATGGTCTTTTACAGTATCTCTCTTGCTTTCGGTCCTATTGGTATGATTACTTCAATTGGTATGATCTTGCCTTCTGATTACATCGGTACTGGTCTTGGTATGTACAAGGCTTCCAACAATATTGGTACTACAATCCTTGATATCATTGTGGGTGTTGTTCAAGACAAATCAGCTAACCAAAGCTATAATGGTGTCATGATCTTGTTCTTGGTACTTTCTTGTATTGGTTTACTCTTGATTTGCGCCTTGTGGGTACTCAGTTCTTCTTCCTCGACAATCTTCTTGAAATGAGACGTTCTAAGCGTTTGTTACGCATGAAAGAAAAGAACGATCACGAGGTTAATTTGAACAAGCAAGGTTTAGATTCCTACAGTGATACACCGGTCAAGCGTCAAAACTATCTTTTCCTTGGCATTTTCATCGTCTGCTTACTTGTTGCTTGGGTTCTTTTCTTTGTCTATTCTGCCACTGGTAGAATCAGTGCTTAAACACTGTCTCTTTTAAAAAAAACATTATTCATTATGTTGCATTATTCTCAATCTTACTGTAATAATACCCCAACTCTTCTCAAAAAATATACGTATATCCCAATTCTTGGCTAATAAAAACCTTTTTTCAATATCTTTATATAATAAATACTATGGACTCTCTTGCATTGAATCATAAGAATACAAAGCCTAGCGTATTATAATGGAACAAACTGTTTTACAGTGCAAAACATGCTGAAATCAATGGTGAAGCATACAGTAGTTGCTCAACTTGCAATAGGTAATGTTACAGTAGCATTCATTTTGAAAAGAATATTTCATATGATGTCTTGAGGTTGTTAGTCCTTGTGCTTTTCTTTTATCCTATCTATGTTTCTAGTTTTATTTTTACTGACCTTGCCCTTGGATTCTATATAAATATATATATAATACTGTTTTGACTTGAATTTGCTGTCTTTTTATACTCCAGAAGTTTACCCATGCATTCCAAAGTTTTACTGACCTAATCTTTTGTTTTCTTCATTCATCACAGTGTTCCTAATTGTAATTTTTCTATTACAAATACATAATTTGTTTACTGGTTATGCTGTTATATATTATCATAGCATCATTGAACAATAGTTTGCCCATTCGAGCAGAATCTGACTTCTCGTTCTACGGCAAAGTCAATGAACTCGGATCTTGAAAGAAAGAAAGAAAGAAAAAAAAAGTCAAATAGTGCTATATTTAACAAACATGCAATTCATGCCTTTACAAGATCAAAACAAACTTTAGTGACAGCAATACAAATACGAGGAAAACGAACATTAGGGGACCTATATCCCAAAAAAGAGAAAGCACCTTCTGTTGTGTCACCCTTATCCTAAAAAAGATACCCTGAGCCGCTGTTTATTTATTTACTTATTTTTTCCTTCCTCTTCTCGTTTGTCATTATGGAAGCCTTTCTAAGTACCTTACCGCCTTATGTTCACGAGTTTTTAGACAAACACCCACCTACGGATGTATTTAACTTGTTACGAGAGTTGATATGCTTTGCTGTCTTGTATTCGCAAGATCGAGAAAGAATAAACCAAGCAACCGAGGAGTTTCTTAAAAAAGACAAGACCAAGAGGACCAGGTAGAGACAGAATATCCATATGATAGGCAGCTGTATTTAATCTATAGGCAACAGATAGTTAAGGAGGTTCATCACCAAGAAGAAGAAGAGTTAGAGCATGAAGCTGTCGTGCCAGGCATAATGGATGCAATCAAAGAAGAGGAACATGAAACAGAGCCAATCGTAGCGGAAAAGCCAAAGTTACCTAATACATTTCCAGAATGGTGGGGTCACCGTGAATTTGAACCACCAAAGAAACAGGAAAAGAAGCCAGCGGAAGCTTCAGTAGAACATGCGACTGTTGTTCATAGCAACACAACTTCAGCTACCTCTACACCAGTGACTACACCACCCCCACCACAGCAACAAAGTCATGCTACGACTTGGATATCATGTAAGAAAACATCGAGTTCAGATCGATTTCTGAAATTAACATGGTATTAGGGGATAACAATACACCAGCACAACAAGACGATAATGATCATTATCATTTCCGTTTAGAAAGAGCAAGAAGGTATAGATACATGCATCTAGCAAATTTAACTCAATAACTTCTGTATAGTCAAATCATACCCGATCTTAGAAATTATGACGAAGATAAAGCAAGCCATTCTCGGGGAACAACTAACCCTAAACGTCACTCGATGAACATAAAGAATTCAACATCGCCTTTAGTACGATCAAATACAAGCACACCACGCTCGACCAAAACTGCATCACCACCACCTACAGTCAAAAAAACTACACGTCGACTTTCAGGTAATCAGAATTATGCATTGTGAAATATATATATATATATATTAACCGTGATCAACTAGCTGCTGTATGTGATTCTCCGGTATCAACCACACAAAAACCAGTGAATTCACCACCTACAAGAAGTGCATCCTTGGCATTAAAATCACCTCGACCCAATGCTGCTATGCGAGCAAGAGCAGAACATGCAAAGCAGCAGCAAGAAGAACTTGAAAGAAAGAAAAACACGCCTCCTCCAGGTTCTTCTATGAGTCTCAAGTTAAAACAAAGAGTGAATTCAGGTATCGATTGGGATACTATCAAAAAAGAAAGAAGAAAGACAGTTGCTGAACAGCCTAATTCACAAAAGAAATAAAAAGGTTACACCTGTACAAGTGTATTTCTCTCTTGTTCCTGTGTTACTTGATGCATAAAAAAAACACCTTAAAGATATATACTTGAGCGGAATAATCGGTGAAGGGGTGGGGGTGAGTTTTCAGCGAGAGAAACAATGACTCACAGTGCATTTGAGCATCCGATTGAAAAACCTTATGTTTTTCATACTACTTTCTTTGCCCTTTTTAAGCATCCGATTGATTTTTATGTTCAGACAACTTGCTCCCTCTTTTATTTTCTTCTTCTTCTCCTCCTCTTCACTATGGCAGCAGACGGCCCCTATACACTTGATAAGTTACGCAGTACTTTAATTCGCTTAGAAGACACCATTATTTTCGGTACGCATCATGCATTAAGATTCATTCAAAACTGATCCTTCTATAGCCCTTATCGAAAGAGCACAGTTTGGTTTGAACTCTTGTATCTACGAAAAGGGCGCTTTGGAGTTCAAAGGTGCTACTGGAGAGAAAAACTTTTTAGAATACTTTTTATGGGAAACAGAGAAAGTGCATGGTAAATAAGCGACATTTATCTTGATCCTTGTATTCACATCTTTTCTTTTAGCCAAAGTTCGTAGATACACTAGGTACAGTATACATTGCGTATATGCCTATACTAATCCTATGAATACAACAGTCCTGATGAATATGCCTTCACTTCTCCATTGCCAGAACCTATTCTTCCTCCACTTGAATTTGATAAATTTTTAGAACCCAATGACATTAATATCAACGATAAGATCATGGCAGCTTATATTAAGGATATCGTGCCTGTGATTTGTAAACATACAGACGATAAAAATTATGGTAGTTCTGTTACAAAAGATATTGAAGCACTTCAAGCATTAAGTAAGCGTATTCACTTTGGTAAAGTTATACATCGATAAAAAAAAATTTTTTTTACTTATGTATTTGACAGGTAAATTCATTGCGGAATCCAAGTTTAGATCCAATCCTGAAGAATATATTCGATTAGCTCTGATAGAAGATAGAGAAAAAATTGATGAGCTTTTAACAAACAAAGCAGTGGAAGCTCAAGTATTAGAAAGACTTCGCAGAAAGGCTCTTGTATACGGCCAAACATTAGATGAAGCACAAGAAGGCACAAGTAAACATTTGCGTATTCCTGTTGAAGCTGTAGTTGATCTCTATCAACGATGGGTAATTCCTCTTACCAAGCTTGTTGAAGTAGACTACCTTATTACCCGAGGCAAAGAAGCCCATCTTAAGAGAATACCACAATAATTCCTAGGAGCCCGAGGGAAAGCAGAAATAAACAAATTCGAATAAACAATAATACACTCATTTGCCTTTTTCTTCTCATTGTTCCTTTTTTTTCTTTAGATACCATTATGAATCATGTTCAGTCATCACTCTCTTTACAGCAAAATGCACCTCGATTGCCTCGTTCAAACACATTTCGTGGTTCTCGACTGAGATTACCGCAAGCCATTGTTTATCGGGATTCTGAAGGCAACATTGTTGATCCTCCGAGCAGTATCAGTTCAGCTGTGTCTATGACGAGATCCTCTTATTTCTCTGGGTCTGCATTAGATCCTGATCTCTATCATACCATTATCCATGGCCCACCATGTATTAGGGATGATAAAGCAGTTGATCTATCTTCTGCCTGTAACATGTCGATTGAGGAAACACCAACCAATATGAATTATGTCCCATTAGAATTTGAAATTGTGTATCAAGACGGAGGACAATTAAGGTAGATAGACATCAATATCCGTAGTATATAAATCAGCATTAGTGCCAATTACAATATACAGAATGTCCTTAGAAATGACCAAAGTGTGTATTGGTATGTTTACATTTCCTATGTAAAAAAGACATGTACTTAGATATCCTAGTTCTCAACCATGTAGTGCAGTGAATATTCTTTTACGATATAGAGGATGGAAAGAAAGTAAACATCAACATAATAGACCTTGTTTTCTATCTCACATTATCATTCAATCCCCTTTGCGAGAGTAAGAAGTCTTACTGAACCATACAAACCATTGACTGTTTGCTCTAGGTTTACTTCACCCCATCAACAAGGCATGGTGTTTGTCTCTCATAAGCCAATTGATATTGAAAGTAAGCTTATTGTCTATCAAACAACGCGTATCTCATAAGGAAACATAGTGACTCGCCCCTTTGACTTATTTACACAAGACAACTTTACAAGATATACCCAAAATAACGCACACTTAACCAGTGCTGATCCAGTAGCTTGGTTTACTGCTTCTTCACAAAATTTATCTGTGATAGACATGAAAGAAAGATCAGCTAAATATGTGCTTATCAAACTATTAGGATCAGATAATCTAGATCTGCAGTATATTGGCTTTGTTGGTTATATGGGCAGTCGCTGTTTTGCTCATGCTCAACTTTTCTAATTTCTTTTTATTTACAAAGTTTGTTTTCTCTTTCTCTTTTGTAATTGTTTCTTTAGTTTCTTGGCAAGCTCTTTTCCCTTCTTTATTTGTTCTTGATCACCACTGTTTAAGAGTGCGTTCACTAATCCCCGGGCAATATTATCGCTAAATATACAACAAATAAATATACAGAGTCATATTTACACTAACTTGCTTACTTTAAAAGTGACTCTTCCACATCTTGTTCTTGTTCACGTAAATCTTCTTTTTCAAATCCAGGGAGATTAGGCATTAAGTTAAAATGTCTTAATTCAAAACCACCCAAGAATGCATTATCAGAAGGATCTCTAAAGGCCAATGTACCATAATCGTCTTGAGACATATCCATATCTTCTTCATAATCATCATCATCTTCATCATCTAAATCAGGACCCAATAGATCACTTAAATAGTTCATATAAGTGGGTTGTCCTGTTACTGTGTCTGCCTCTTCGTCATCATCATCATCTTCTTCTTCTGTATCATCTCTTTCAACAAGTTCAACATAGCCCATTAAATCAAGAGAGCTAATCTATTATTTAGTGAAATCTATACATAGTATGTTAATTTGCTTACTTTGTCCCGTCTACTTGAAGTGTTGCTCTGTCTTCACGTATAAAGATATGAGATAGTTTTTGGTGTTCTACCTAAGGAATTTGTATGAACAACGCACCTTGTCTGATTTTTTTTTTACCTTGTCTTTTGCTAATGTACATAGCACAAACGTATTTCCATTCAAAAGCACTTTAAGTACTGTCTTTCCTTCACGCGCATTATTTGGTAAGGAAGCCTTAAAAAAAACCAGGATTAACTCATGTTGTCAACTTTATACATCTTACTTGATTGATCTGAAGTATACCCGAAACACGAACAGGATAACTTTCGCCAGGACTTAAGCAGATACCTATTTTGTGTCAGTCTTGATTTTTTAGATCTTAGTTCTTTTATTCATACCCCAAAAAGAACTCGACATGGTAAAGAAGAAGAAAAAAAAGAAAAGAAAAAAAATGAAGCTCTTTATGATCTTTGACTATTTAAGTGTCCGCTCATGGTTATAAATAAACAAGGAGGGGGGAGGAGTAACTTTTTATTTTGGTTTTTTCACTTGAATGTCTAGACACAATAGAAGAGGTCGACCTAAAAGAAGCAATACACTTGCTGCACTTAAACCACAACTGAAAACATCAGACATGGTTTCAGAAGAAGACATGACGTCTGATTTAGATGGGCAACAACCAATCACTATTGTTCGCCTATCAAACACTATGCAGACAGACGCGCCTTTAGAAGGAATTGAACTTACTAAATTACCGCCTGTCAATTATCATACCATTCAACCAAAAAGCAATACAGAACAAGACAGTATACAGTATCAAGAAGACCAATTATTAGCTCATCATTACCAACAACAAGACAACAATAAACAAAACAAAATCTATGCAAGACCAGAAAACCATTATATTCACTATAATGAACCCACAGATGTTGAACTATATGATTTAGTAGAATACGATATGGACGAACAAGATCAGTGTTGGTTACAACTCTATAATAAAGAACGTAGAAAAGAATATTTAGATGAAATCTCACCTTTTCTGTTTGAATCTATCATGGATAAGCTCGAAAAAGAATGGTTTAATTTGGTAAAGTCATGATGTTTTTTTTTTTTTTGGAGCTAAATAAGCATATAGATTAAAAAAGCACCTAAACCAATGACAGAAGATATTTTATTACCAGAAGATTCTGCTTGTGCAGTCTGTGATGATACAGAAGTAGAGAACAGTAATGCCATTGTATTCTGTGATGGCTGTAATGTGGCTGTTCATCAAGAATGTTATGGCATACCCTATATACCCGAAGGACAATGGCTTTGTCGAAAATGCATGATTTCCCCCGAGAATCCTGTCTCTTGTCTGTTTTGCCCGAATGAGGGTGGCGCATTTAAGCAGACCAATACCAACCAATGGGGTCATCTACTATGCGCCATTTGGATCCCTGAAGTAGGCGTAGGCAATCCAATCTATATGGAACCAATTGAAATGATAGAACATGTACCTAAAAGTCGCTGGAAACTCACTTGTTCTATCTGTCGAAAGAAAAGAGGCGCCTGTATTCAATGCGACAACAAACATTGCTTTTCTGCTTTTCATGTGACGTGTGCTAAAGCAGCTGGTTTATGCATGAAAATGAACACACTTGAATCAGATGGTGTGGTCTTGAAAGCATATTGTGAGAAACATACGCCTAAAGAATACTTACAAGATGTGCAATGGGCTCAGAAAAAGAAAAAGGTACGGCAGACCACAGACACAAAAGTAGCCCGTGCACATCAGCACCAATATTCAACAGGTGCACCTATTGCCCCTGATGTGATTCTGCAAAAGATTGATCATTTGTCTTGTGTCTGTCTATCGGGTGTGCGAAAGAAACCTCAGTTAGTGAATGCTGTGGCTCATTATTGGTCACTTAAGCGAGAATCTCGAAGGGGAGCACCTTTATTGAAGCGATTGCATTTAGAGGTAAGTTGCATATACCATGCGTTTTGTATTCAATCTGTTAGCCATGGACTGCTGTATCAAAATACGACCAAGATGAAGATGAACAGGCTATTCGACAACAAGTGATAACACAACTTCGTGCAGACCTTGAAAAGATTCGCATGTTGTCTGAACAAGTACAGAAAAGAGAACGATTGAAGCTAGAAAGAACACGTAAACAAAAGGCTTATTTAGAAATGATCTTGTTTCCTCTTGAACATGTCCTTGAACCTATCTTACACCAATTGATGGAAATAGACCGAAAAAAGCTATTCTTTCATCCAGTTACTGATGAAGAAGCACCTGATTATCATACAGTGATCAAGAAACCTATGTGTTTCTCTATCGTCCAACATCGACTGACAACGCATGGCTATACTTGTCTGGATGCATTTATAGAGGATGTCAGTCTGATTTGGAACAATGCGATTCAATACAATCCACCTGGAAATGGATATTATAGAGTAGCCAACAAACTCAAGACAGCAGCACACAAATTACTACCGATAGCACAAGCTAAAATGAGCCAATTTCAGCTAGGGGAAGATGGTATGTGGCAGCAATCGATTGATACTGCCATCTTTGACTATAAAGGATTTGAAGAAGGCGATCCTTGGATGGACATGGACTTGGATCTAGTCCAACAAGAGACAACAGTCAAGACAGAACAAGAAGAAGACATTATGGATGAACTGAATGTCAAATCAAATGAAAATATACCTCAATATACCTCTGATGAACTTCCATTGACTTCTCTTGAACTCAAAGACACTTCTCCTGAAGCTAAAGACAGCAAAGAGAATGCTTTATCAACACCCATGGAAATTACACCAGACAAACAAGAAGATAAACGGACAAAGAGAACAAAGAAGAGAAAATTCAGTGAACCTAAACCACGTTTGACACGTAGTGCAGGTTTAGAAGCAAGTATTGAAGAATTAACCAAGCGAACCAAGATATCCCATGAAGCCCGTGCCTTGTTTGCTTCTTATAACGGTGTTTCTCATCTCAATCGTCCTGTAGAATCTTACAAGGAGAATCGAAAGAAGTATGCGCCTGTAGGATGGGTTTATGTAGATGATGAAGATGAAGACGGCGACAACAACAACGAAGAAGAAGACGACAACAGTGACCATCATGACGAGGAAAACAACAACGCAAATCAAGAAAATACAAAGAAATATACTAAACCAAAGAGAAATGATATGCCTGTGCCCGATTTCAACCGAGGTGAAATCGTATGGGCTCGAGTTACTGGATATCCTTCTCATCCCGCCAAGGTAAAAGTGAAGATAAATTCAATAGGCTGCTTACTCTATTTCTTAGTTTCTTAATTATTCAGATGAAGAAGCTGGTCCTAAACTAGTTGCTAGTCGACGATTTCATGGTGATGTCCTTGTTGAATTCCTCAAAGTACCTGAAATACACAAGTATGGCTGGGTAGCACGTAATACAATTTGTGAAATGGGTGATCCAGAAATAGACCGTATCAAATTGTCTGAAGCACTTAAGCAGAAAACAAAGCGACAGGCATTTATTCAGGAAGCCAAAGAAGGCTATCGATGTGCTGGGTCAATTCTTGGTTTGGATCCTGAGCCGTTGTTGAAAAGTGTGTTTGATACACCTATACCGAAAAAGAAGAAAGCTAGTAAAAAGGTGAAATAAAATGGATCTCTTCATTTTTTTTTATTAGAATGTATGTTGTATATGCTGTGTTTATATGTATATATATGTGTGTGTGTATATGTATGCAGTGTGTTGATTAAACAGAGAGAAAGAAAGAAAAAAAAAGAGAGAGTGAGGATATCTTTAGTAGAGCGTTTATGACAATCGATTGTTGCTAGAGCGCTTGATCTTGGTTTTATCTTCAGCAGTAGGCTTTTGTTCAGCTAATTTCTTCATAATGGTCAATTTACCAACAGCATTGGCTTTGACAGACATTTGTCTTTCAATGCTTTTATTGATTTGAGCTGTCAGTTTCTATTGAATGTGAGTGAAAAATAAGAAAATAATAAAAGCTTACTTTATCCAAAGATTGTTGCTTGACTAAAGAAGATTTCTTGGGAGGAATAACTCGAGCTATTATGCACTGGTTTAATATTGGTAAAATATAGCGTATACTTTACCTCCTTTCTTTGTAATACCCTTCTTTTCTCTACCTCCTTTTTGCTTGGGCTTGCCAGCTTTCTTAATAGCACCTTGGGCCATACTTGAAGAAAAAAATGAATAAAAGAGAGAAAAAGATAAATCAGCCACTCATCTTTTTTTCAATAAACCTTCATGAAGTGAACAAGTAAAAGCAGTCGGAACAATGCAAAATCCTGTTGGTTACTTACCAAGCCACATGTCAAAAATGCCTTTGTTTTCACTTAGAGGTCATTCAAAAAAAAAAGATTATTTTTTTCTTCTTTCTTTTCTCTCTCTCTTTTTTTAACCTTATTATCAACAACAATGGCTTTTGAATCTCGTGGTGGACGTGGTGGTGCTCGCGGTATGTTGTATTGATGCTTGAGTGGGATTTACTAACAGCTTTTTTTTTTGTATAGGTGGTCGTGGTGGTTTCGGTGGTGATCGTGGAGGCCGTGGTGGTTTTGGTGGCGGTCGTGGTGGAGGCCGTGGTGGTTTCGGCGGTGATCGTGGTGGTTTTGGTGGAGGCCGTGGTGGAGGCCGTGGCGGTTTCGGCGGTGATCGTGGTGGTCGTGGTGGTGCTAGAGGTGGTGGACGTGGTGGTGCCCGTGGTAAGTCGAATCATATAATCAGCATACAGTCATTAAACCATCATGATAGGTCGTGGTGCTCCTCGTGGTGGCCGTGGTGGTGCCAGAGGTGGTGGTGCCAAGGGTGCTGCTAAGGTTATTATTGAACCCCATAGACATGCTGGTATCTTTGTTGCCCGTGGCAAGGAAGATCTTTTAGTCACCAAGAACTTGGTGCCTGGTGAAGCAGTTTATGGTGAAAAGCGAATTTCTGTAGATGGTCCTGAAGGTACCAAGATTGAATACCGTGTATGGAACCCCTTCAGATCCAAGTTGGCAGCTGCTGTCTTGGGTGGTATTGATCATGTCCATATTGCACCCGGTAAGAAGGTGCTTTATTTAGGTGCTGCCTCTGGTACCTCTGTCTCTCATGTTGCTGATATTGTTGGTGCTGAAGGTGCTGTTTATGCTGTTGAATTCTCTCACCGTCCTGGTCGTGATTTGATCAACATGGCCAAGAAGCGTACAAATGTTGTGCCTATCATTGAAGATGCCCGTCACCCTCAAAAGTACCGTATGTTGATTCCTACAGATGTCGATGTTATTTTTGCTGATGTTGCTCAACCTGATCAAGCCCGTATTATTGCTTTGAATGCTCATCATTTCCTCAAGAATGAAGGACACATTGTTATTTCTATCAAAGCATCTTGTATTGATTCAACTGTGGATGCTGCCACTGTGTTTGCTCGGGAAGTTAAGAAGCTTCAAGAAGAAAGAATTAAGCCTCAAGAACAACTTACTCTTGAACCTTATGAAAGAGATCACGCTGTTGTTGTTGGTAAATACATTAGAAATAAGTAAATCAAAAAGCTTGTACATATATATCATCATCATCATCATAAAGAAATAAAAAAAAAGAGAAACTCAAAAAATATCTTTTTCCTTTTCTTTCCATCATGTCCATCTCTACTTTAAAACCAGATGCGTTTCGATGTGATCTAACTGCCAAAGTGCTTGAACATGTCATGACTGTATCTGCTAAACAAGCAGACTGTAAGTTTTGATTGTCTAGAATATAAACCAATATACACACATATATATATATATTTTCTGTTTAGCTGATGCTCTTTTGATCTTGAATGAATATTTGATTGGTGATGACAGTGGTTGTGTTGTCCTAAACACAAAACAAGGTATAGTCTATGCTATAGACACCCATTGAATTGGAATAGACTTGACTATAGATACTGTGTATGATATTAAAAACGCGTATACACAAGCAACCGAGGGTTATTTACGCGTATATGCTAATGACATAGAAACTTCTTCTGCCTCTTTAGACAAGGTGAATACTGAAAACAACAAATCGCTTGTATTTATGGAAAGGATAACAATAAATTAAAACATTGTCTGTGACAAATATGACTACTTTTTTGAAGCATTTCGAGTAGTCTATCAAGGCTTATATCTAAGACATGCATGTATGTGTTACCCAACACGGTTTAAAGGAATTACTATTCATCCGATTATCGACGATCGTGTCTGAAAGACGATTCTGACAAGAAAACTCCGGTTATAAATTCGCTTTTTTTGTTTGTTTCTTGTTCTTTCTTAAGAAATCCCCCCAACTCTTTCTTTCTTTCTTGTATTATGGTATTTTCTAATTTACTCAAGAGCACCGGTATGGTTTATAAGACAAATAAATGAGTATATTTATGCTCTCTATAGTTGGACAAACACGTCCTCACACGCTTATTCGACCTATTCAATGGTCACTCATTCATCACCGTTATTTGGCAAGTGAAGCCACAAAGAAACCGTAAGTTAGGCCTTTGCTCATAAACACTCTTTCTTAGGCTTTTCATTAGACCAACTGCAGTTTTATTGACTAATATGGGTGGACCTGAAAAACTAGACGATGTGTATAGCTTCCTTCACAACTTGTTTTCTGACCGAGACTTGATGCAACTTCCTATGCAAAAGCATATGGCCAAATTCATCGCTACCAGACGTACACCCAAGATTAAGGACCAATACCAAGCTATTGGTGGTGGCTCACCTATCCTCAAATGGACCCGCAAACAAGGTGAAATGATGGAAAAGATCTTAGACGAAATTTCACCTGAGACTGCACCTCATAAGCATTACATTGCTTTTCGCTATGTCGAACCATCCACTCGTACAGCCTTGGATCAAATGAAGCAGGACGGTGTTGAACGTGCTGTTGTGTTTACTCAATACCCACAATACTCTTGTTCTACTTCTGGCAGTAGTTTCAATGAATTGTACCGTGGTATCAAGGAAAACGGTATGGAACACATCAAGTGGAGCTTGATTGACCGTTGGCCTACACACCCAGGATTTATTGAGGCCACTGTCAAGAAGATTGAGCAAAAATTGGCTGAATATACACCTGAGGAACGCAAGGAAGCTGTGATCATGTTCTCTGCTCATTCATTGCCTATGTCTGTCGTGAACCGTGGTGATCCTTATCCTGCCGAGGTAGCTGCTACGGTGAATCATGTCATGCAACGACTTGGTAACCAATACCCTTACCGTCTTTGCTGGCAGTCACAGGTAGGCCCTAAAGCCTGGTTAGGTCCTCAAACATCCGATGCGCTTAAAGGATTCTCTGAAGCAGGCAGAAAGAATTTAGTGGTTGTGCCTATTGCTTTCACAAGTGACCATATTGAAACCCTGTTTGAATTAGATCTCGAATACGGTTCAGAAGCAAAAGAGTTGGGCTTGACTGGCTTTAAGCGTGTGGGTGCTCTGAACGATGAACCTGTATTCACTCAAGCCATGGCTGATATCGTAAAGGAGCATTTGGATAAAAATGAGATTGTCAGTAAACAATGGCCACTTCGTTGCCCTGGATGTACCTCTGACACTTGTGGCCATACGCGTACCTTTTTCACTCAAGAACAAAATTTGTAAATAATGATTATACACTGAATCGAAATAAAAATTAGCCCAGTTTTGTGTCATTCGAATTCAGCAACAAAAGGTATCCTAATCCAAGAGCTTCTTTAATATACTTAAATGTGCTCAGTTTCTTTATTTTAAGATAGTATAAATAAATATATAAAAATTAGTACTTGGTGGTATAGCCTTTGGCATCAATGACAGCTTAATATTGGTTGGTCATATTGTGTAGTAGTATGAATGCAATTGAGAAGATTATTGAACTACTTCCTCATATCTGTGTCAATATTTTACATAGACTGGTTCATATCTGCCACTAATTTATCTCCCTTCTATTTTCTGCTCTTTCTTATAATCTAATGTAAGCATTACTTATGTATCTCATGATCTGCTTAAGTCCTTTTCTTTATTCAAATACAACTTCAAAACTCATGAGCCCTAAAGGTCCATTTACCAGTAGCATCATCATAATCGACAAAGTCAACACCAGAGCGCTTAACAAGTCTTTCCTTGAATAGTTTGAAACGAGGATGTTCAGGATCCTTGATAGGTGCACTTGTGTTCTTATCGCGTGTAAAGCAGTTCTCAAGTGTCACAATCGCAGGTACATTTAAGCCAGTTCCCTTAGGAGGTTTGCTGTCTTGATCAGGATAGATAACAGCCGTCTTCTCTTCAATCACAACAAGATGACCCATGATTTCTTCAAGATCGATATCAGACAAGTCTACGCTTTGTTCAAATCTAATTTCACCAAATCCTTTACGACCCACAACTAAGTTTTGGACTTGTTTTAATCCTTCCTTTGGCATGCTGGAAAGCAATTCAAGAGAAGGGGAGATATAATAGCCATTCTTTTTGGCAACAGCAGATAATGTAGATGTGGTAGCGGGAGTGGGTTCAGATGTAACAGGTGTAGTGAGAGTTGTTGTTGTTAAGTTGGCAACCGTAGTTGTTGTTGTGGTAGTAGTAGTGGTCGTGGTAGCAGTGGCTGAAGCTTGGTTATCTTGAGAAGCAACACATTCAAGTTGAGGATCAAAAAGAACCTTTCTCTTGTCGGATTTCTTGTTAACAAGAGCAACAATATTGGCTGTATCAACATTATCGTCAAAGACTAATTTCTTGCTGCTGGGACGAGGGGCAAAGGCACCAGCTCCAAGGACAGCGTCATCACTGATACCGTCTAAACTGCCTGCAGGAGCGTTCTTTTTAGCAGCATAGTTGTTGCCAGGATGATAACTGAAACCACGAAGCTTGATCTTGCTGACAACACGAGGAGAAATAGGGTAATGGGGTCCTTGTGGCTTACGTTGAGAGCCATCGACAGGAACAGCAGAAGGACCGGTCTTGGCACCTGTGGTGTTGGATACCTTGCTCAAATCAAACAAGGGGTTGTTACCATAGGGATTCTTGTCTACACTAGCAATCATAGGTTGCTGTTGAATACCAGGCTGAAGAGGGTTAGTACCAAAGGAAGTCAATCCACCTGTAGCAGGCAAGTTGAACGTATTGGTGCCTGCTTGAGGTTGTTGACCAAAGCCACCAAAACCAGTGGAGCCACCCAATGTATTGTTACCAAACAAACCAGTACCTGTACCGCCTAAACCGCCTGTAGCAGGCTTTTGGCCAAACAAGCTGTTACCTGTGGCTGCTTGTCCAGTACCAAACCCACCAAAACCTGTTGTTCCTGTAGTAGCACCCATAGTGTTGCCAAAGAGAGAGGTTGTAGGAGCAGCAGGCTTAGCAGCACCAAAGAGACCAGTGCCGCCTGCAGTAGAAGTTTGACCAAAACCTCCAGCAGCGGGTGTGGTAGTAGCACCAAAACCACCAAAACCAGTGGTACCAGCACCTGAGGCAGGCGTTGTTGTAGAGGCACCAAAGAAAGATGTTGTAGGCTTGTTGGCAGCAGCAGCACCAAAACCGCCTGTGGCATTACCGAATCCTCCAGTAGCAGGAGTTGTGTTTGTGGCACCAAAACCACCAAAACCTCCAGTAGCAGGTGTCGTGGCAGGCTTTTGACCAAAACCACCGAAACCAGTGGTTTGAGCGGCAGGTTGACCAAATGCTGATGTAGTAGCAGGTTGTTGGCCGAAAGCAGAAGTTGTTGTTTGACCGAATCCACCAGTAGCAGGAGCGGGTGTACTACCTATCGAAACAATTAAAACAAAATGAATGCAGATTCTATAGCTTACCAAATCCACCAAATGGTTTTGAAGCAGCAGCACCAAATCCGCCAGTAGCACCTACACCGAAACCAGTGGTTGGATTGGTTGCCGGTTGACCAAAGGCTGAAGTCGTTGCTGTTTGTCCAAAACCACCTGTGACAGCAGGCTGACCAAAGGCAGATGTGTTTGCAGAGGGCTGTTGACCGAAAAGACCACCTGTAGCAGGTGTGGTACTACCAAAGGCATTTGTTTGTTGAGCAGGTTGACCAAAAGCATTAGTTTGAGCAGCGGGTTGGCCAAATGCTCCACCAGCAGCAGGTTGACCGAATGCGCCACCTGTGGCAGGTTGACCAAATGCAGACGTGGCAGGTTGACCAAATGCACCGCCAGCAGCACCAGCAGCACCAGCTGTCTTTCTTCCTTGTTGATAATCTTGCAAACGAAGCTCTTCAAGTGAATAGTTTCTGTATTGAGGCATGGCAGTGATCGTTTGGAAAAAGTTGTTTACGCCCGTTGTAATATCACGATCTTGAGTAGGAGCAAAGTCAGCTACAGCTGTACCTTGATTGACACCACCAGCACCAGCAGCAGGTTGGCCGAAAGCAGATGTTGTAGTGCCCATGCCGCCAAATGCTGATGTTTGTTGTTGTTGTTGTGGTTGTCCAAATGCACTTGTGGTAGTGGATCCAAAGGCGTTTGTGGCAGGACGTTGGCCAAACAAACCGCCGCTATTGCTTTGAGTTGTAGTGCTTCCAAATGCTGAAGTGGTAGGTGCTATCATGAGAAAAAGAAAGAAGAGAGAGAAAGAAATTAGAATAAATCAATGATTAATATCTAATTTGTAGTATAGCTTACTTGAACCAAATCCACCAAATCCAGAAGTGGCAGCAGGTTGAGCTATACATAGAGAATGTCTTGTTTAGTATATATTTGATGTATTTGTTGACTTACTTGAGCCAAAAGCACCTGTAGTTGTGCTACCAAATGCTGAGGGTCTAGCTTGACCAAAGGCAGAACCAGTACTACCGAAACCGCCTATAAATTTGTAAGAATGATAGTTTATATTATTCAATGTCACCTGTAGCGGGTGCAGCTCCAAATGCAGATTGTTGAGCAGGTTGACCGAAAGCACTTGTTGTAGCAGGTGCAGCACCGAAGGCACTAGGTGTAGAAGAAGCACCAAAACCTATAAAACACAGTTAATTATTGTAGACACGAACAATATGGTTTGTTTACCACCAAAAGCGCTAGGTTGTTGCTGTGGTTGTTGTCCGAAGACAGAAGTATTTTGTTGTTGTTGTTGTTGTGGTTGACCGAAGCCTCCCGTACTACCGAAAGCGCTTTTTCCAAACATTGTTGTTTAAAAAAAGAGGATAGGAAAAAAAAACTGAACGCGTCTTTAACAGCTGCTCAATTTTTTTCTACCGTGACTTTTTATTTATTTATTCAAAGTGGATCATTTCCTTTTTACTTCTACTCTTTTCAAAAAGCCAAACTATACCTTTTTGAATAAACAAAAAAGCATAGACGATTCAATTCAAGAAGGGAGATAGGCTCTTGGTATATCCAGGGCTTTGAAGGGAAGCAAGGTGATAAAAAAACTTACTGAGAAGTCAAACAACCGTCAAACATTTTTGACGGCAAAGACTGTTGAGTTTTCAGTGACAACCAAAGCGACCAACTTAATTACCGGACTAATGATAACCATAATCTAATGAATGTTACGAAGAGTTTTGCTTTCATTAATGCCAAGGTCTACAAAAAAAGGAAAAGAAGAAACGATAAGTTAGTTCTTTTCAGGGTAAAGTGACATGCATTTCATTTAGCCATGTGGATGACATAGGGTCGTTTACTATTTGAGTGTGTATAAAATTTCTTGATATGCCGATTAAGCTTAACAGACAAGCACAACGTTACAAAGTCATAGATGAAGGTATCGTAAAGCCTGTTTATGTATGCATAAATACTCCGAATGCCTACAAACCATACATGCTAACATCCATGGTACCTTTGGAGTTGATTTGGGCCAAAAACCTCTTGAATCCAAAAGGCACTATTCATAAAAATATCAAACTCGACAACTTCTAACCTTCTTTTTGACGTTACAGGACGAAAAATAAAGCTATTGACAAGCTTAGATACTAAAGATAATCTATGAAAATGATGAGATATAAGCGAAAAACCTCATAAACATTTTTGCCTATTTGCTCAATAATTTAGCAGCAAACTTTCTATGTTCTCTGCATCAACAGACTCGCAAGGTAAAATTCTACAACTTTTGTTAATACACCAAAGCTGAATAACTGCGTCTTTATGCGGCAAGAAGAACTGGAGTTGCCTTCCTTTTCAGTCTCCGCTATACAGCCAGCTAGTAAGTCCTATATTGATTTACTCCACATTTACATCAAAGAATACCTATCTTTCTATTTTTCTATGTACTTTGACACTCAAAATAACATATGATGTCTTACGTGGTTTTATAGATAACACATTTTATATGATATCTAGAGCAAAAACGCTCAAATCAGAGCCTAAACATGACAATCTTTGATGTGCCATTGATTGACAACCAGACCATTAAAAAGGCTGCGTTTTTTTTTTTTTTTTTTTTTTTTTTGCTCCACGTAAACTAAGGCAAAAGCCTATCAAAAGATGGTCGCAATTTAAAGAATAGAATAAGGGAAAATACAGAAGAGAAATTAACTATATGCGACTGTGTAAGTGTTTCTCGTCAATTAAAGAATTGAGAGAACCACGAATAAATCTAAGGATTGTGGTGTGATGAAAGGAAATATCATGGGAGATAACTAGTCAAATCAGGGTATTGTGAGAAAGAAGGCAACACAGGACTAAAAGGGAAAACGCATTTAGCTTGAAGTGCCGCATGCAACATGCAGCTGACAGTGTCAGACGGAGAGGGCAAGAAAAGAGAATCACAGATCCGAACCAAAAGCTACGCCTGTACTTAATGGAAGAGCGGTAAACTTCCAGCAGACCTGCGGTAGCGTTGTAACAAAATATATCTGCCACTAAAAAGGACTGTTTGACGGTGGGGAGTGGTAGTGTAGAGCTTGTTTTGGCTTGTAGTGCTAACGACGCAGACAAATCCAGAAACCAATGAGTAGGCCATAATAATGACAGTTCCAAAGATGACGAACGCTCCAGGAGCTTCAGCAATTGCATGATGGATGTACAAAGCTTGAGAGAGTATCTTCAGAATATCTGATACGTTTAAATCCCGCTAACATTTATGCCGAAATTACATGTATGCCATTTGCGTACTCAAAAAAATATTTTTTGAAAAATAATAAAAACCACTGTTTTAAAATAAATCAAAAATATTTTCTGCAATGAAAAACCATAAAAAAGTAGAAAATTTCTGATTTTTTTTACCTAAAATCTGAAAAAAAGCTTAATTTTTCAATTTTTCTTTTTTAAATTAAAGAACATGTCTACCACTCAGCAATCCCTTCTTTAAACTAAAACAGTAAGATCATCATCTGGTAGACATGTTTATTTTTTCAAAAAAGAAAAATTGAAAAATTAAGCTTTTTTTCAGATTTTAGGTAAAAAAAATCAGAAATTTTCTACTTTTTTATGGTTTTTCATTGCAGAAAATATTTTTGATTTATTTTAAAACAGTGGTTTTTATTATTTTTCAAAAAATATTTTTTTGAGTACGCAAATGGCATACATGTAATTTCGGCATAAATGTTAGCGGGATTTAAACGTATCAGATATTCTGAAGATACTCTCTCAAGCTTTGTACATCCATCATGCAATTGCTGAAGCTCCTGGAGCGTTCGTCATCTTTGGAACTGTCATTATTATGGCCTACTCATTGGTTTCTGGATTTGTCTGCGTCGTTAGCACTACAAGCCAAAACAAGCTCTACACTACCACTCCCCACCGTCAAACAGTCCTTTTTAGTGGCAGATATATTTTGTTACAACGCTACCGCAGGTCTGCTGGAAGTTTACCGCTCTTCCATTAAGTACAGGCGTAGCTTTTGGTTCGGATCTGTGATTCTCTTTTCTTGCCCTCTCCGTCTGACACTGTCAGCTGCATGTTGCATGCGGCACTTCAAGCTAAATGCGTTTTCCCTTTTAGTCCTGTGTTGCCTTCTTTCTCACAATACCCTGATTTGACTAGTTATCTCCCATGATATTTCCTTTCATCACACCACAATCCTTAGATTTATTCGTGGTTCTCTCAATTCTTTAATTGACGAGAAACACTTACACAGTCGCATATAGTTAATTTCTCTTCTGTATTTTCCCTTATTCTATTCTTTAAATTGCGACCATCTTTTGATAGGCTTTTGCCTTAGTTTACGTGGAGCAAAAAAAAAAAAAAAAAAAAAAAAAACGCAGCCTTTTTAATGGTCTGGTTGTCAATCAATGGCACATCAAAGATTGTCATGTTTAGGCTCTGATTTGAGCGTTTTTGCTCTAGATATCATATAAAATGTGTTATCTATAAAACCACGTAAGACATCATATGTTATTTTGAGTGTCAAAGTACATAGAAAAATAGAAAGATAGGTATTCTTTGATGTAAATGTGGAGTAAATCAATATAGGACTTACTAGCTGGCTGTATAGCGGAGACTGAAAAGGAAGGCAACTCCAGTTCTTCTTGCCGCATAAAGACGCAGTTATTCAGCTTTGGTGTATTAACAAAAGTTGTAGAATTTTACCTTGCGAGTCTGTTGATGCAGAGAACATAGAAAGTTTGCTGCTAAATTATTGAGCAAATAGGCAAAAATGTTTATGAGGTTTTTCGCTTATATCTCATCATTTTCATAGATTATCTTTAGTATCTAAGCTTGTCAATAGCTTTATTTTTCGTCCTGTAACGTCAAAAAGAAGGTTAGAAGTTGTCGAGTTTGATATTTTTATGAATAGTGCCTTTTGGATTCAAGAGGTTTTTGGCCCAAATCAACTCCAAAGGTACCATGGATGTTAGCATGTATGGTTTGTAGGCATTCGGAGTATTTATGCATACATAAACAGGCTTTACGATACCTTCATATGCCAAGGAAAGAGACAACGATTGGCACGAATTGTTATCTTTTTTCACCGTTTAGGTGGTTGATTGCCTGCTGTCCCTGCGGCATGAATAAGTAAGATATCTTTAAAAATGGACATTGTTTGCCTAAATCGCAGAAAAGGAATGTTTGCTTATGAAAGATGGCAAAGCAATGAGAAGTTGTATTATACATGACATATGAAAGGCGGCCTTTATCTCACGCATAAAGTATGACACGGACTGTTATATGTTACTATATACTCACATTTTCGATGTAGTTATCTACTTTTTATCTAAAGACGCATCCAATGTAAAAGGCGCAATAGCAGTTGCATAATTTAATAACATATAATCTTAAGAAAAGCCTCAATCATCAATGTACATTTGTACACTTAATTAAGAGCATTTCTTTCTTATTAATGCATGCCATCTGGGCTATTTTCTAGATAATATCTCTTAGTTCAATCAGTGTATATTTATTTGCACTTTGCCTTCTTCTTTCTATTTGCTTTTTATGCATTTTAAAAAATACACTTTTTAAATTTAAGTTATATGTGGTTATGTCTTATCTTGGAATTGCATTTCTCAAGACACCTGTTCTTGTAAGAAAAATAACATATTTTTCTATGCAATCTGTTCATTATTTGTCAGTTTAAACATATAAACATTTTTTCTCATTGGTTCTATCTTTACACTTACAGTTTTATGTTTTTCAAAAACCTTTTTAATTTTTTTATGCTTCTCTTCGTTTACTTTTTATCTTGTAAAGGTAATAAAGAAACGATTGTTAAAATAGATTTATACAGTCAATTTTACTTATTTGAACATAAATCTGAATGAATTGGTATCCTTCTATGCGTAACTAGCAACTTGATCACACATCTAATAAGGAAGTTCCGTACACCTTTCAAATAAAAGAAGATAGTGAGTATCATACAGATAACAGAATAAGCCGGTTGGCTATAATAACAAAACTATTCTTTGTTTTCTTTCATGCATTTACCTTGATCGATTTTAGAACCTGATCAACTAGGTTTTTTTTTTCTGTGTATTGTTTGTATAATACGCTAATGGCTATATGAACAGACAGTACAATGACTGACAAGTGTTTCAGTAAAAAAAAAAAAAAAATCTCAATAGCCTCTACTTGAACACTATAAAGTATACTCTCCTGTTTTGCGTCACAATCTGAACATGTCTTCAACTAAATCCTCTTAAGTTACCGAAAATAGCACATTAACGTACATTAGTCAATTCCATTGATGGCATAGACTCATTCTGCATTACTTACTCAATTATTGATCTAAAAATTACCTGTTTGTTCTAGAAGCCAAATAGATAAGTATAGGCGCTGACAAAACGTATTTCACGAGTTAAAACAGTGCATGATAAATCACATAAAAAGAAGGGGGTCACTCTCGAGTTACACAACATTGTCTGCCCCCTTTTTGTTATGACAATGTCAGCTTCTCTCCGTATCTCTCCCTCCTTTCTTTCTTTTTATTATATATATATATATATTAAACATGACACTCACAACGGCGACTAGTTATGACTTAAAAAAGGCACACGACGATAACCAGATATTGTGTGTCAATTTCAATCAAGACTTTAGCTGTATTTCTGTAGGTACGGCTACAGGATATCGTATTTATCATTGTGATCCATTTCAAAAGTTTTATTCCAAACGTATGTTTTGATGCGTAATAACTAACTAATGCTCTAATTCTCTGTAGTGGGTGATGATGTAAGCATCTCTGAAATGTTGTTTTCTACTTCCCTTGTTGCTCTTGTAGGTGCTGACCATCAACATACCTGCAAGAATCTCAGGCTGATCAATACAAAAAGAGAAAATACGATATGTGAACTCAATTTCTACAGTGCTATCCTGACGGTCAAGATGAACAGAAAACGATTGATTGTTGTCCTTAAGGATCAGCTCTTTGTGTATGATATCAGTAATATGAAATTACTGCATACAATGGACATTATACCCAATCCATTAGGTACCCACAACATATGATATTCACCTCCCCAATTCATGATTGAATTAGCTATTTGTGCCCTATCTTCTTCGACAGAGCATTGTTATTTAGCATGCCAACCATTACATCCTTCTAGTACAAACACAGCAAATGGCAGTGGAGATCTTGAAGTGTATGATGCGAACACCATGTCATTGGCTAACATAGTGCAAGCTCATAAATCCCCTATTAGTTGTGTTGTTATGAACACAAAAGGAAACCTCATTGCCACTGCCAGTGAAAAAGTACCATCCATCTATCATAGACACATAGCATTGACCCAAATCTATAGGGAACAATGATTCGTGTGTTTTCTATTCCAAATGCCAACAAAATATACCAATTTAGACGTGGCTCTTATGCAGCACGTATCTATTCTATTTCATTTAACTTTGTCAGTACACTTCTATGTGTCTCGAGTGATACAGAAACAGTTCATATCTTTAGATTATCTGAACAAGAGGGTGTTGATCTATTGTAAGTGGTCATGGATCTCTGTTCTTGTACTGATCCTGATTAGAAAGCCTAGCCATAAGCCGAGCGGTATGGTAGGATCCCTCTTACCCGACCGATGGACAGATCTATGGGATGCGTCTCGTCATTTTGCTTCACTTAAATTACCTCATGCCGGTGTGCGTAGTTTTGTTGGATTAAGCAGGTAAATACCATATACGCTACTCGCGTGTTTAACTGGACTAGCACCACACCTCAAGTATTTGTAATTACTACAGAAGGCTATTTCTATCAATACAATATTGATCTGGAGCATGGTGGTGAATGCGTCTTGTTAAAGCAACATAGTCTGCATGACATAACGTAATATCAAAAAAGGAAACTGTGATCTCATTTCTGTCGGAAATGGAAAAATAAAGATGTCTCTTCTTTTTGGGTAGAGAAGACCATGCATATGATTGGTTGACCAATTTTATAAATATATATTTTTTTGATTATCCTCAAAGCCAACATGGGGGGATGATTAAGCTTAGGGAATCCACTTTACTGCGAGTAAACAAATAGATGAAATCATCTTATTTTATAAGGAGACAATCACTTTGTGTATGTGTATGTGTGTGTGTGTGTGTGTGTGTATGTGTGTGTGTATGTGTGTATTTTAACTAGTCAATAAATTTTTATTTATTTTCTTTTTCTTTTTCTTTTTTTTTCCTTTTTTCGTTTTTTCTTCATCTTTTATAGCCATGCGTGAACCTAACTTTAGCTCTCCAGCACAAAACAGAGCCGCTGTTGTCATCACTTCTACTTTATACGATCGAAGAGCTTTAGATTGCACAGCCACTTTACCACTTGTCAATTCACTTACTCATCTGGCTTACATGACTTCTACTTCACCACGCATTCGTGAAATACTAGCAGCAGATGGTGGATTAGAACGACTTGTAAAGATACTAGCCACTTGTCAACATACAGATAAACACTCTTTATGGAAGTGGTCCTTGGCTTTTCAATGTGTAGTCAATGTAGGTGTACGTGGTACTGAAGCTATCAGGTCCCGTGTAGTAGAGGCAGGTGCTGTTCATGTTGTACTTGCTATTCTCGAAAACTTTATGAATGCATTAGAAAAAGCCAGGATTGAAAAAGACCAAGAAAGAAAACAACAACAACAACAACAGCCTGTTACGGCTCTCTCGTTACCTACTTTACCTTCAAGTAGTCCTTCTTCATCGTTGCTCGAGCATGAAAAGCATATCAAGACAATGATCAAGCCTAGTCCAACATCCACACTCAACATGTTATTCGTTATTCCCAAAAGACGCACTTTTATCACACGTACAGAAAAACCCAAATCCAAACCATATACCGCATCTTTATCTAGTATTCCTCTTTTAAATAACTTGTCAACAGACGCCATATTACACCGCGAAGAAGACATTTTGCTCAGTCTCCAGTTACTTGCTTATCTCTCTAAATATCCTACGATTCGTCAAGCATTTCATGCTAACCATCGTCTGAATGTGTTTAGCGTGGTTGAGAAGTTTACACATCGATTGCACCCTGCTGCCATTGTCTATTGGGCAGGCGTGATCATGAGAAATGCCTGCCGAAAGGATGAAGCAAGAGGAGGTGTTCGTCAATGTGCCAATATGCAATGTGGCAAATGGGAGCGATTTCCTCGCGAATTTGCGAAATGCCGTCGATGGTAAGTGTGTCATTGTCTCCAAACCTTTGCTGATCAAGTTTTGTCTAGTCGAAAAGCGAAATATTGCTCAAAATCATGTCAGTCAAAAGCATGGGCTGATGGTCATCGATGGTGGTGTGTTGAAAGACCTCATAGCAGCCACCCACCTAACCCAACAGCCACATCCTCTACGACAGTAGCTGCTGCTGCTGTCGTGGCTGCTGCTCCACCCCCACCCCCACCTACAGAACAAGTGGTTCATTTGGAAGACAATGCTACACTCGATGTAATGGCTATACCTATTGCAGATAACCAAGACACTACGACACCCAATGCGAATTCGCCTACCACAAGACGATCTTCTCTTCCTGTTGTTACGGCAACAGCCAGTCGTCGTGACGGTGGGGATCTTTTGTTCTATCAAGGCCAAGAGCGAAGGAATACTCGGTCTGTTGTTAGAAACCTTGCTTCAGGGAGTTCTACTGAAGTTGAGGTTGATACAGATACTTCTCATGAACGCCCAAGAGATTTAATGGATGTGGATTAGTAATAGCACTATTTTATTTTGTTTTATTTTATCTTATTTTATTCAATAAACAAGAGAACGACGAATGACACTGGCCTTTAATTTGGCATGGGTGATTTCAGGATAATAGTCTGCTGCAGGACAGTTCTTTTGAATACATTGAGATACATGCAACCCTGTCTCTGCACCACTAAACCAAGCACCTTGTAAGAAACCATAATATTCAGCAGACATGGCTTCACCAGCAAAAAAGACGCGGTTCTGAATAGGTGCTTTCATGTTGGCATGGTGTTCATCCATTTCACCAATAGGCCAGTTAGAATAACTACCACGGAAAAGAGGATTGGTATGCCAACGAGGGAACATGAAATCAGTTGGTTCAGGAATATCATCCCCGTACATACGACGCAAGACAACCATGATCTCTTTCTTGACTTCCTCGTCTGTCATGTCTTCCACACGATACGACATGTCTTGAGTGACTGTGACAAAGAAGATATGGCTAGTTGAATTATCAGGTAAGAAACCAGGTGTATTTAAGTTTTGCCATGCCGCATAATAACCCCGTTGATCAGGATCTGCCCAGACAGTGAACTGTTGATCATCCCAGAACTGGTAAGGGAAATTCAAAAAGATCTTGGTATAAGTAGCCATATGAAAACCATAGAGTCCTTCTAGTTTCCATTCAGGTAAACGAGGACTCCATTCAATATCACGATGTTGCAAGACACCAATACTGAACGTAGTGATAGCATAGTCAGCATGAATCGTGTCACCTTGTTTGGTAGAGATGGTGACACCAGAATCACTGTAGGCGATCTTTGTGACGGTTGTGTTCAAAAGTAAACGTTTATCGTGAGTTGAAAAGACTTTTTTAGCCTCCTGTAAAAAGATATATTTAAAGCCACTGTGAAAGGAGAAAGGGGATATCAATGCATTGCCTCTCATGTAAAGTACTTACCGAGGATCAATCACCATATGGTCTCCATCACTGTTAGGACCAAAGGCTTTATCACCATAAGTCCAATAGTCATTGACGACGGTAAAGAGAGTAGAAGAGAGTTCAGGATTTTCTCCCATTTCCCAGTCCCAGACATAGTATTCAATGGCGTCATCCATGGGACTATTAGGGTACCAATCAGCCAGACTAAGACCCACACGACCAGAGATATCGACTTGATCCTTCTTGACTCTTTTGTCTATATGGAGAGTCAATCACAGTATATCCATATCAATGGCAGCTTACTAGCAATATCAGACATCACAGAATAAGCATCATTCATCGCATTGTATCTATCTGTAGCATTGATCTTGCCAGTCTGATCATAAAAGACAACATCATCACCATCTGTAACAGCAGTACGCAAATTGTATTTCAAGGCAAGTTGATTGATTGGATTCGATCCAAGTCCCTGAACCCAATTACAACCCAATTCAAGGTTGACATCAGCAAAAGGTACATCTTGGGCACGACCTAACACATCATGAGTGGGTATAGACAAAAAAAAAAAAAAAAAAAGGCAACATACCACCCAGAATATCTCTTGCTTCAATCATCATAAAATCATCAATACCATTTGCTGTCAAGTTTAATGCGGCACTAATACCACTGACACCACCACCCAAAATGGCTACTTTAGTATGATATGTCTTGGCTTCAGCCACTAAACCCACTGTGAATAACAAAAGAAACAAAGAATGCATACTAAAGGAGAAAAATAATAATAATAAAAAGGAACCAGGTAGCATTTATATATCGATTCAATGGTAGAAACTTTATTATTCATACGTAGTACACACTATCACTGTTTACGATCAGATAAAGGCAAGAATCTACCTAATTCAGTAATGTGAAAATTTTTATTTTATTTTAAACCTAATAATGAAATCTCTTCTTCTATATCAGTGCGCATCTCTACCCTTAAAGAAGGTGGACTATGCTGCCTTAATTTCACATTGGCTTCTCTAAAGACGCTGGCTGTCATTTGATCCATTCCATACGATCTATTATAGACAACTTCCTTCACACCTTGCTGAACAATCTTGATAGCACATCCTAAACAAGGGCATGTGTTACAATAGAGTACGACACTACTATCATGCACAACAATGCTTCTTCCTGCTTCTAGCAGAGCATTCTCCTCAGCATGCATACAGAGACATCGGTCAAGTCCGGTACCACACGGGGATGCATCATTGCATCTGCCACACCCTCCTTCGTTACAGTTACGCAATCCGCGCGGTGTGCCATTATAACCTGTAGCAATCACACGGTGATCCTTCACTAGGATACAACCCACACGTCGTTTCATACAGTTGGATCGTTGGGCTGCTAAGTCAGATAGCTGCATAAAATACGTATCCCATGTCGGTCTCAAACGCTCCTTGTTGATCAAATCACGACGATCCAAGGCTTCAAATAGACTGTATGTGTCACGATAAACATTGGCGATAGTCAAATCGGAAGAGACCATGATATTCAGTAAGGGTGTGGCAGACACTATCTCGTCCTTATCTTCAGCAGAGATATTGAATGTAGATTGATCATCTTGAGCCAAAAATGATTCTAGGCTTATGTTTGCTTGTTGCTTCAAAGTAAGTCTATATAGTTTATAGGTTAGATAAGTTTCAAGTTTCTCTGTCTATCTATATCTACCTTTGATTGGTGCGCTCATAACGTAGAGTGATAGGTGCTTCCACAGAGACTAATAAGAAAAAGGGGCGTTTTCTATCAACAAGTAAATACACAATAACACGTTACCCTAATTACTTTAAAGCCCATAGATCTCGACTGTCTACATCACACGTTACAAAGTTATCTTGCCAGTGTTCAGTAACATACTGTTGCATATCATTTACTGTGATAAATTGTTTGGCATGGTCGTATAACGGATCTCTACCTAGTCTATCTGCATGCTCTACCAAAGTCAAGTATTGAAACTGGTGTCTCTCTACCAAGTATTGAGCTACAGTATGTTTACCACTACTGAGTGATCCAGTGATACCAATAAACATCCAACAACAACAACAAAAAAGAAAAAAAAAGTCACATACGAACAAGTCTATGCTTTAAAGTTTTTTTTTTTCTTCTTCTTCAAGTATACGCGTATTTCATCATGTCGAACAATCAACAGCCTGCACATATACCACAAATTCCACAAGCTATCACTCAATATCAACAACAAATTGAGTTCTTTAATAATCAAATAGCCATGATACGTAGAAATATGGAAAGACCAGATATTTCAAATGAAGAAAAAGAAGCAGCAAGAAAACAAGAACAAGAAGCTCAGTCTAAACTCATTATGCTTCAAACTATTGTCAATCAGATGGTAGCTCAACGCGTTATTCAACAACAACAGCAACAACAACAACAACAACAATCGATGGGCTCACCTTCATCTCAACAAACAGGTGATAATATGAGTGTTTCTTCTACACCTGGATCACCTGCTACATTCAATCAGCAACAACAACAACAACAATTTGCAGCTGCTCAACTTCGTAAGTTCATTTAACATGCTATAGTTATATTCAATTAAACTAGGTTCACAACAACAACAGCAACAACAAGCTACATTGAGTAAAATGGGATTAGCAGCACAACAATTAAATGCACCTTCACCTGTACAAAATGCATTTGCTTCTCCTATCAATCAACAACAACAACAACAACAACAAATGAAGCCTAATCCAGCATTAAACACAACAACGGCTGCTGCTGTGGCTGCTGCTGCTGCTGCTGCTGCTGTCAAGAACAACAACAATATGTTTACATTCCCTACACAACCTCAACCTCAACAACAACCACAACAACAACAACCAAGTACACCTACGAGTTCTACTCCTGCTGCACTCAAGACAGCTACCACTGCTCCCTCTATGGACTATGATGGTGTGAATCGTGTATTAACTAAGCGAAAGATTCAAGAACTTGTATCTCAAATAGATCCATCTGAACGATTAGAACCTGAAGTAGAAGATGTATGTATATATATATATACACACACACACAAAAATGAAACGCATAGACTCATGGCATGAATAGATTTTATTGGAAATTGCAGATGAATTTATAGAGTCAGTCACTACATTTGCTTGTCATTTAGCCAAGCATCGTAAATCAGATACATTGGAAGTGAAGGATGTTCAGTTGCATTTAGGTAAATTCATTTGTCAAAGCATTTTCAACTCATCTATGAGCATAGAACGCAATTGGAATATTCGCATACCGGGATTTGCTGCTGATGATATTCGACCCTTAAGAAAGCCTACGACTCCTTCTTCACATCAATCTAAAGTTCAAGCTGTGAGTGCTGCTAAATCTCAAATTGCCAATAGTTCATCTAAAAAGGACAACCAATAAATATCTTTATTTTTTCTTTTAAAAAAAAATATCCGAGTCGGATTGAATGTTACTCCTCCGGACCTCGAAATACGCTCGATGTTACAGATCCAAGGCATGAAAAAAGTCCATATTGTACACTCAGAAAATAGATATTAGAAGCAAAAGCGCAACTCTAGATCATCCTCTTTTCTTTGTAGTCTAAAATGGTAAATGCTGCAACACCTAGACACAATATCTTTATCAACAATGGATGGAGAGAGAGAGAATATGGATGGATGAGGTTTTCTTTTAGATGATGATGAGTATTATGTTTTGGATGGATGATTCAGCGACATTTTTTTTTTTTTTTTTTTTTTACTTTTTCTATGGACAATCAATCGAGGACAACAACAACAACAACAACTTGTACAAAAACTCGACCTTGCATATGTGTACACTATAAAAGTTCGATAGTGAACAGCAGAAAAAAAAGATAGACAGAAAAGGAAACCTCTCCCATCTATTCTTTTTCGAATCCATGCCGTGATAGAGATGATTGTGAATGATAGACCATCAACTAAACAAACAAAATTATGATGTAGGGTATCGACCTCAAGAACCACCACGTCAAGAACTCTAACCGTTCTGCTCCCAAGTCTGACAATGTCTACTTGGCTTTGTTGGTTAAGGTAAGATAGGCAAATAAAATATGCTCTAGACTGATCATGATTAGCTTTACCGTTTCCTTGCTCGTCGTACTGATGCCAACTTCAACAAGGTTGTCTTGAAGCGTCTCTTTATGTCTCGTATCAACCGTCCTCCTGTCACTGTCTCTCGTCTTGTCAAGAACAACAAGGAAGGTAAGACCCTTGTTGTTGTCGGTCGTATTACCGATGACTCTCGTCTTCTCGACCTCCCCAAGCTCTCTGTTGCTGCTCTTCACCTCTCCAAGACTGCCAAGGCTCGTATCTTGAAGGCTGGTGGTGAAGTCTTGACTTTGGATCAATTGGCTCTCCGTGCCCCTACTGGTGCCAACACCATCTTGATCCGTGGTGCCAAGAACAGCCGTGAAGCCGTCAAGCACTTTGGTTTCGGTCCTCACAAGAACAAGAAGCCCTATGTTCGTTCCAAGGGTCGTAAGTTTGAACGTGCTCGTGGTAAGCGTTCTTCTCGTGGTTTCAAGGTTTAAAGACCTTTTTGTTTTGTTTTGTTTTTTGTTTTTTTTCACTTTTACAAAGACATTCAAAAAATAATAATAATAAACCCACACTTTTTTATCATACAACACAATAATTTATTTATTTACATATCTATTTCTTTTCTAATTCAGCCAACTTCTTCTTGATATCAGCAGTAGATTTTTCGTGTTCAGCCAAATGTTCTCTCAAGATTTTGAGCTTTTCAGCATCCTAATGTGATGTAAGACAGAGTGTCTTTGCCATTTTATTAGTTTACTTACGTGAGCACGAGCCCATCTGTTTTCAGCAGCCTGTTCTCTTTCACTGAACCCTTTAGAACTAGCAGTGGCACCTTCAGAGCGGACAATAGAGGTCATATGTAAAGCACGACGAGAAAAGACATTAGAGCGGGAAGAAACGCGAGCAGAGATAGTGGGGAGCATGTTAAATAGTAAAGATAAAGATAAAAAAGAAAATGAAAAGCAAGGGATAGGGGTCTATTTATATTTACGCCTGTGCCTTTTCTTTTGTGTCCTGTGATCACATCTTGACGTCAACATATTGCATAAATAGAAAGCCCCAGAAATAACAGTTTGTACGACATTCTTTATTATCTACTGTAAGCTGGGGGAGAAAGGTCGGGTTGTTCAGGAGCATAAGAAGGTAATTCCGTCCTATTTGGATTGCATGATACAGTAGGTTGAGTCAAATAAGTCTCATTGGCTAATACATGACTATTGCTACTATTACTATTACTACTATTACTATTACTACTATTGTTATTATTATTGTTATTATCATATTCAGGTAAAGCACCAAGATCAGATGCAGACTGAATATCCAATACATCGTCCACAGTCACTCTTCCACTTGCTTCCGAAGCCACTGCAGCAATAGCAGCGCGAGACCCCATTCTCAATCGACTGATTTCTCCATCAATATCAATCGCACACCCATTTGTCTTGAGAAATGCTTCCAAGGTCAATATTTGATGATCAATCCATTCAATCAGACGCTGCTCATAATGATATTTAGTAGTCGCCAATTGGTTCTCAAATCCATGTAGACGAGGATTGACCTGTGTACGCAGCGTATATTCTATCTTGAGACGATATCCTCGGTAATTTGTCAAAACAGTGACTACATTGCTACTCTGATTTGTTTCAGTAGGTATGTTGGGTACATCACTGCATATCTGATGTGCTTCATGCACAAGTTGGTATGACTTTTGTGCAATTTTGTCAGCATGCTTCATAAGATCCATGGTAGAAGAAACAATGGCAGATTTAAGTAGACTATGGTTGTTATTTTGGCTGGCTACAATGGCTTGTCGGTCCATAAAGTTGGATGCACCGGGTAATGATTTCATGGCTGTCTCTATAAGTTCCCTTGCCTTGTATAACTTGTGTTGTGCTGATGTATAGACATCAATCTTATGTTTAATCTATAGAAAACAAATTTAGACAAAATATATATACACATCAAACTTGATTGCTTACACTCGGTATGTCACTCGCTAATTGCTCTACATCTCGCTTTAAATGCTGTTCAAACACACAACTGGCATCTTCTGTATCTGGAATAATCACCTATTTCTCTGTCATGACACAATAAAAGAAGAAAGACTTACCTCGTCATACAATACATGCAATTGTTGACATAAAGCATCCAGTTTATCTTTTTGTTCATTCAAATCATCCATCTGCACATATCAGTAAGAAAACATAGACAACATTATCCATTACTTGCCATGCTCTTTGCTTGGTCTATCTGAGATTCTAACTGCTGAATAGCATTTTCATAAAACCGTACAGATTCAATAATATTGCTGTAAGATTTAGTTGTATTGGTTGTGGTTGAGTTATTAAATAAACTACGCTTTGAACTTGAACCATGATAATCCTGTTCGGCTTGATAGTTTTTTCTATTGTCTTAAGTCCTAAGCTTGCTTTCTGTCACTTACAGTTCTTTTTCTGAAAAGGCCTTCAAATGTATTTGTTTTTCGAGTTTCTTTTTTAGACCTTCATAGTATTTTGAGTGAGCAGGAAGTGATTCTCGAACCCACTGTAACTCTGTGATCTGTTTAACAAGTTGTATATAACGTTCTTGAATATCACTCATAAAAAGAAAAAAGAAAAAAGAAAAAAAAAAAAGAAAAAGAAAGAGGCTGACCATCTAAAACAAGTAAGCGTGAAATCAATTTTATTCGTCTCCTTTTTATGCCGCTGATATGACTCTGTTATAAATATACAACACCTGAAACAGAATGTTTACTTTATGTATTTCCGGTTCTTTGTTCTTTTAATTCCTCTGCTTATCTCGGGTGCAATGATTCCTCCTGTTCTTGAATTGGGCTACAACAGCTATAAAGTAGGAAAAGAACGTACAAACGAAATCAAGAAAAAGATACCTTCCATTTCTACCAAATAAATAAATAATTGAATTCTGAAACTCCCCTAGAGGATATATAGCAAAAAATACATTTATTTTTAAGTCTATTGTCTTCTTTTGGCTTTGAGCTTGAAACTGTTTTTGGCTACTTGTAAAGTAATAAAGTGTCTACGGTCCTCAGCATCTTGCATTTCTTGCTCAATAGGTGCAATATCAAAATGCTTCAAAAAGGTAGCAATAGAAATTCTCATTTCTTGAAGAGCAAAGTTCTTACCAATACAGTTTCTAGAACTAAAAAGACGTAATGAGTCTATTCATTCAATACGATTGAGTCCTTACCCTGAACTGAATGGGAAGAAGGCATCCAAATGGCTTGCTTCCGTGTTTGATTCAGCAAGCCATCTTTCAGGCTTGAATTCCCAAGGATGAGGCCAGTGTTTTTCATCTGTTTGTGTATGATAGAGACTACAGACAACAACAATCTAACAGGATAAGTTGATGGATGTGTTTTTTTTTTTTTTTACTTACATCTTTAGGAAGAGCTAATCTGTCTCCCAAAACAACAGGCTTATCTGTGATTCTTTCAAGACCACTGGTAGCAACAGCATCAATACGTAATGTTTCATTAATCACAGCATTCAAGTAAGGCAAATGCTTCAATTGTTCATGCTCAAATACTTTTTGACCTTCTTTCATAGGAATAGCATCAATTTCTTCATACAGCTTCTTGAGCTTGTTGGGATACTTTAAAAGTTCGTGGAAAGCAAAACCAATGGTATTACTGGTCGTTTCTGATCCAGCAATCAAGAACAAGACGGTTTCAGTCATGATGGCTTCTGAAGTCAATCTGTCTTGTTGATCTTGGGCTTCTTGAGAGTTGATGAGGAACTGAAGAATATCACTACGCTTTTCTGCTGTACTCTTTAAACGATCATTGATCACATCTGTCAAGAACTAGAGAAGATGAGGCTGATTGTACAACAAAGACAGATATCTTTCACTTACGTTTCTTAAATCAGGATTGATTTGATCTGAGGACTTGATAAATAACTTGGACAGCCAAGGATAGAGAGCACTGATAGCATTTGCTTTTAATTCTTCGCCAATAGCTTTAGGTACAAAATGAGTAGGGTCTTCAATCATATTGAATGTTTGACCAAAAGCAGTTTCACCAATGACATCCAAAGCAAGACGTTGCATCAAACTCCAGATATCAACTGCACCATAACCCTCTTGATCATGTTCTTCCATGATTTCCTTATCGACCTTGTTGATTAAAGATTCAGTCACAGAAGTCATGAAGGGTTCCATTGAATTAAGATATTTAATAGAAAAGGCAGGAGAAACGATTCTTCTCTATATAAAAAGTTATGATACGTATAAAAACCGAGATTTTCTTACTCTTTGTTTGTGCCAAACATGATCTCTGGTACTAAATAAGGTTGGATCTTTGTTTTCTAAAAGAATAGATAAGTTATGATGGACATGATTACAAAACAAATACTTACTGCTAAACACTTTGTAGACAGGGCCCTTCTTAAGATCTTCAGTCACCAAGACTTGCTTGATCATGTCTTTATCACCAATAGCAACTCTATCAGGACCCAAACGGACAATGTCTCCGTATTTTTCATGATATTGTTTGAATTTTTTGTAACTGCAGATGGATTAGAGGAAGCTGTCATGTGTCATGTCTACTTACGCTGTGCCTGCAGGTCTGTCAAGCACAAAGTTAGGAGCTTTAAAGAATCTTGTATAGAAAGGACCGGGGATATGACTGAGTGGGCCCAAGAAAGCGTCATATAATTTCTATACAAAAGGGTTATTCATGGGCTTCAAAAAAAAAATTACATTTAAAGTGACATAGGTAGCTAATGAAATAGCAGTAATCTTTCCAATCTTTTCCAAATTGGCTCTGTTTGATAAATATTCAAGCGTATGTTGAGTTGCTTGTTCAATTTGGCCAAGCGCTTTATCGTAATCCATGATTAGTGTAAGTTTTTTTTTTTTTTTTTAAAAAAAACAAAATGATATGCATCTAAAAAAAAATTATTTTTTCTGGATTTTATACTTCATATCTTTAACCTTTTTAGGGAAAAAAATAGTTACATAACTAAAAATAATTACATGTTCAGCCGCACACAGGTTTTTCCGATGCCGTCAAAATGATTTTTTAAGTAGGACAAGGCAAATGAAAACCAAGGCTAAGACGAGCAACTTTTTTTTTAGTAGCTTGATAGGCAAAATATAAGGCTTGTTTTTTAGACAGATGACTGTAGATTTAAATATAAAATAATGATTCGTTCGGAGCGCACGGGCAATTATCTCAATTTAAGGCAATAATACGTGTGTTGCTTTTTGACTCATCCTATTATTGAGATATTGGGCATACTGTCTTGTCCGATTGTGTATCATATGGAGGTTCTTTTTTAAGTGTATACATATGTCATATGTGTTGTGCTTTCAGAGTAGATTTAAGCAAGAAACATAGTCTTATACGATTTATTTTCAAAAGGGTCAAATGATAGAAAAACGATATTGTTGATTAAATTCATGTAATAGCTGAGATGGTACACATGATGAATACAGAATTTTTTGATCCACTTTTCTGGTTTTTTTTGTAACTTGAGAATTAGAGTTTACATTGTATAATCCAAACTGTCACTTTAGGTGATACTTAAAAACAAGATGAACGATAAATTTGCGTACAAATGCTAACAGACTTCATTACAGGAAGATAAGCATGTCATTTGAGGTTTCTTAGTACTGTTGTTTTTTTAGTGAAGTATGGAGCTTATAGACTAAAATACATGTTCATTTTATTTTGTTTGCAATACCGTATTTGATTTAAGGACTTCATCGTAAAAGAGAGACAGAGAGATGTACTTTGGTTAGAAAGTACATTTACCATTTTTCCAGATACCACCATTGACAGCACAGCAAGAGGCAGGGCCACTGCAACAGGTATCAGTACAGCCACGGGGCTGGAGGGTGTAGTTGGATTCGACAATCTTCTTGTATTCTTCCATCTTTTGTAAAGCATGAACATCAGGGGAAGGAACAGCACTAACAGCCATAACTAAAGCAAGGCCAGCAAGCAAAATATTGGAGACGGAGACCATGTTGTTTAGAAAGAGAGAGAAATTGATAAAGAAAGAGAAACCAACCCAAGGAGCTCTCTTTTATATCTGTCTTCATGTACAACACGATGGCTTTCATATGCCGTGCGAATGTTATGATGCATTTCGAATGTTTCTTTTTTTCTAGAGAGATTTGTCATGCATTCATAATTATCTTTTTCTGATAGTAACGTAACACTATATGCCTAGCAAACAGACAAATGAAGGATCTGTCTTTATAACTTCCAATAGGCAAACACTTTGCTGTCAAGAATGGCAATTACTGTTTTCATTACTTTACTACGTCAACTGTACCGAAGTTTTGTGCAGCTTAAATCTTACTTTGATCAAGTTAACATAGATACTTATGACTAACTGATTTAGCTTGATTTTTATCACATGACGAGAATTCTTGGTTGCTTAAGCAAGAACAGAGAGAACGTTTCTCAAGATCAATATCCAACGCCCAGGATGTGAGTTGAGATATCTTGTATGGATGAATGTCATCATGCTGTAGATAATATGACGTCCCCTCCTTGCTTTGAGTAGATTAGGTCTTATGAGTCCTCATTCAGTCACGGTGCATTGGCAAAAGTACAGACGATAATAGAAATAAGTTCTAAAAACGTAGCATTAACCGAGAAAAGATATGAACAAAGTGGTACGAAGCTGCGATTAGTAAGAAATCGTGTAAGCAAGAGAGAAACTAATGAGATATACAGCAAACAGAACAAGCACAATGTCAGATCATGTTCTTGACATAATTCTGAGAAGCGCCTTTTTTTTTCACTTTTGACAGTTCAGAAGGAAGTCAATTGTGTCTTTTGCACAACTTGAACCTACTTCATCTGTTAAATGTGCATAAATAAATGTGATAATAAAGCCAGTGCGGAATTAGAGTAAAACTATTTGGTAGTACATGTTAAAATAGTCCTTGAATACAAGAAGGAAAATTGGATCTTTCCTTTATGAGTACCTGGGAAGATATACATCTTCAAAACTGGATTGTTTATTTTAATCAAGTGATTGTAGATACCATAAACGTGGTTTTTTTCTTGTTCAGGAGATAGAGTAGAGCCTTTCCTTTAAAAAAAAGCATCATGCTTTTTAACAAGTTATACTCAAAAGTAAGATTTTCGTAATGGTACTCAAGAGGGATATCACAATAATAATAAAAGGACCAAACTTTTTATCAATATGCAGCTACAATCGTGAAAAGGAGACAAGAAGCTTGAAGCCAAGTTTATAAGATAAAGAAGACATACATTTTGACTTGAATGAAGAAAGAAGTCCAATTCATAGCAGAAACTTGATTTGAGTTTCAATATCATTCACAATCATTATCATCCATATAATTGAATTTATTCAGAAAATAAAGAGGAAGGCAGTGAATGGACTAGAAGATTATGCACAGGTTTGATTTTACCAAAACGATTTTCAGCAAGCTCTTAGCATACGAATCAGGTTTCCATGATAACGGGAAATAATGTTCTCTCTATCACAAAGAATATAAAATAAATACAAGTTGAAATTAGAAGCATTCTTTTTCTTTTAAATCTAAAATATAAACAAATATCTTTATAAATATCTGTATTCTCAGAAAATCAATAATTACTGCATTGAGACTGAAGGCTCTATGCCTAGTTAATTTGTTCAAGCCAAGAAAGAGAGAGAGAGAGAGAGAGAGAGAGAGAGAGAGAGAGAGAGAGAGAGAGAGATAGACCAAAGTTGGGCTATAAAGCTTTAATACAAAGCAATAGCTCATTTTTTGCTACACTATAGCTTGCAGCATAAAATTGCTTTCTACTTGTAAAGTAAAACTGAATGTCAATGCGAAGTAATAAAGATCTTAGCACTTGTATGTTAAATCAATTTATTGTAGTCAAAAGTTTGATTTTGAATATAAAACGTCTTTAGAAGTTACATTTACCATTGGACCAGGAGCCGCCATAGAAGATACAGCAAGCAATGACAGTTCTACAACAGTTATCTTCACAAGCACGGGGCTTGAGAGCAAGGTTAGATTTGACAATCATGTCGAATTCAGCTCTTTTTTGGAGAGTGTGGGCATCAGTATTGGGAGCAGCACTAGCACCAATCATTAAGGCGAGACCAGCAAGCAAGATGTTTGAGAAGGAGACCATGATAAAGGTGATTGAAGAGGATGATATGGATCAAGGCATACTTTGAGTTCTGCTTTTTATATGTTTTGAATTCTTGACGTTTGAAAGATTAGTCATGGTTTTATAAGTATCTTATTTCTCTTGTAATAGTGTATGTTTGATCCTTTGTGAAAAAGCTGCATACTCCTATTATGGTAGATATATCTAAAGATGGTTAAAAAAAAGAGGGTGTATAACTTAATTATGCAGACTAGTCCAACCATAACAAAAGAGCTGCTTTTTAATAAAATTTGTTTAACTTGAATCCATGTTCTATAGTCTAGTGACAAGTGCTTGTTCAATTGACATTTTGGATAACAAGCTAATTTGTACACCTTAATTGTAATAACACAATGAAATAGTATCATATTTTCCATACACTGTATGTTAACAAACTGGAATAAAGAACTTTAAATGGAGATGATGCTGTGCTTAATAAGACATATGGTAAGCAAAGTAATTTAAATAGCATGACAATGATAGTCATTTGTGTAATATCAACGCATAAATCATTTTGTGTGGGCTTACTACCCAAACAGATTTTGAAATCCGGTAGATCAAATGATATCGTATTCTTGTCATTATGTCATAACATCTTGGTTATCTGCACTTCTTTAGGAATTTGAAATGCACACTGTTACCATATGGGTATTTGTTTCCCATGTATATCTATTTTATTTTGTTTAGATGCCAGTAAAGAACAAAATGGACTTGTCAGATTTACTGTTTTACACATATAGTTTATTAAGAAAGTTGTTCAAGTCACAAACAGAAAAGGAGATGTTCAAATGTATATTTCACAACATCTCTTAAAAAAGACAAGAAATGTAGAATCAAGTTTTACAAGCAGCTTCTTGTATGCTTAAAAAGATACTGAGACATGAATATTAACTTGAAAGAACATATAACCTCGAAAGACATTGTTGAATCTGACTGACATTCAAACTCATTTGACAGCTTTTTTCCTTCTTTTTTTTAACAAGGGGTAGCTTAAAACTCGATAGCTTTTTTTTTGAGATGCTCTTGCTAAAGAGGACATCATTCCATGTTCAATGGAAGCCAATCATTCGTTTAAACAAGTGTTTTTTGAGTATGCATTCTAATGTTATGCATGACATGACTGAAAGAGGCCTTGTCTCTAATGTCACAAGGTAAGGCCATCCACTCCAGTGCGCCACTCTTTTCTTTTTTTTATGCATAACGTATTTTACATAGCCCTGATATTACAGAAAAGACCAGTGCAAAGACTGCCATTTACTGTGGTGTTGATCCGACAGCCAAAAGTCTTCATTTAGGTAACCTAGTTACACTTATGGGACTATTGCACTTTCATATCCGAGGTCATCAAACTATCGCTCTTGTAGGTGGTGCTACAGGAAGCATTGGTGATCCTTCAGGCAGAAAATCAGAGCGTGTACCATTATCTGAGGATGTGCTTCAAGTCAATGTAGCTGGTATTGAAGGCCAAATCCATCGGTTTTTCAAAAATGGTGCTAGCTATGCTCAACGACGTGGATTTGATTCCAAAGAACTTGCAGCACCCAAAGTACTGAATAATTACAGTTGGTTTAGTTCAATGACAGCTATTGATTTCTTGAGCAAGATTGGGCGTTATGCTCGTGTCAATACCATGTTAGCTAAAGAGAGTGTGAAATCACGTATTGAAACAACACAAGGCATTAGCTTTACTGAATTTTCTTACCAACTCCTGCAAGCCTATGATTTCTGGTATCTTTACAAGCATCATGGCTGTCGAATTCAGGTAAATTTAATAATAATAATAAAAAAAAAAGAGCAAAGTGTACTTATGTTGTTCAAGATTGGAGGCAGTGATCAATGGGGCAATATTACAGCTGGCATTGATATGATTTATAGAAAACGATCTGCTGATGGTCAAATAGTAGACAAAGAAGATATGGAAGCAAGGGCATTTGGTATTACAATTCCTCTCTTATTGACATCAACAGGTGAAAAATTCGGTAAATCAGCAGGCAATGCAGTTTGGCTTGACGAGAATATGACAAGTGTGTTTGATTTTTATCAAGTAAGGACACATACAAGACAACCTGAACTAAACAAGAATACATAGCTTCTAATGAAAACAACAGATGCAGATGTTGGTAAATATTTACAGATGTTTACTTTATTATCTAAAGAGCAGGTCTCTGATATCATGAATGAGCACCAGGTAATGGCTATTCACCATCAAATTAGTACTCACAAGAAACAGAAATTGCCTGAACAAAGAATAGCACAAACAGCACTTGCAAACGAAACTACAGAACTTGTTCATGGTGGTATGTAAACTAGTTTGATCTATCCAAATAACATAATGTATTAGTGGATGGTTTAAATAGAGCACAGACAGCTACTAAAGTTTTGTTTGGAGCTGATTTGAGTGCTGTATCTGGTGATAGTATCATTGAAGCTTTCAAGTTTGATAAAAATCGCTTTATTCAACTTGAGAAATCCTCTTTAATTGGATCTGGTTTAGACAAGATTGCTGCTATTACAAATGCTGCTAAATCAAAATGTAAGTAAAACAGGGGTTACACAGAATGTAAACAATGTCTTTCTCTACAGCTGATGCACAAAAGAAGATCAAGGCAGGTGGCATTTATTTGAATAATACAAGAATCACAAATATCAAACATACCATAAAAGAAAGTGATTTAATTGATGGAAAGATTTGTGTCTTGCGTGTTGGCAAGTCTTCTTATTATCTAATTCAGGCTATTCAAGACAAATAAAGCTTAATTAATAAACTAACAATGGCTCTGTGATACTGAATTACTAAAGCTCTTTTTTACTTTATTGACCTAATCAAAATACCCTTTCTTCTAATTTTCATATGCTTCTAAACTAATCAAAATAGACATAGTGTCGTACAAGTATTATCTGTTTTCATGTGAAACCCGCCAAAACCTACGCGAGTACATAATTAAAAAAAAAAGCTTCTTTATTCTCTCTTCCCCCTTCTTCTTCTTTTTTCTTTCTTTCTTTCTTTATTCTAATGAAAAACAAGCACCATTCGTTTCATGGCTGTCCACTTCGATCTTCTTCTTTATTGATCATCAATAAGCAAAACAAAACCATCGTCACAGCCACAGATGAGGTGTTTGATATGCTCGGTTATGAACCTCATCATTTAATAGGCCAATCCATTCATTTACTTCAGCCTCAACAAGGCATACACCACTCCGCACTAAATCATGGCTCGCTCGGGCAAATTCCTTTTGACATATGCATACATCATGACCCACTCTGTCAGCGAGGCAACTTAGACTACTGGCTTATTCGTCCAACCACAGCACTCACTACATCTTCTTCATTTACTATCCTACAAACAAACCAATTTGGTACCATTGATCAGGCACATGCTTCACCTGAATTCCCTCAGATGCCACATGAATTAGTAGGACATCCTATCATGTCATTTGTGCATCAAGAAGATGTTAGATTACTTTGCGACAAGTTCAGTCAAATTCAGCGACTGCCAATCAGCAGTTTTCAGGTTCGTTGGTTAAGACAGCATCCAAAATACAATCACCAAGCGTTTGATTGGGTTTCTTTGATGGTGATACAGATTGGACGAGTGGGTGATCCACAAACACGGCCAATTTGCATCATTCGACCTGTGAATAAGCCAAGGCAGGTCTCGTTTGACGATTCGATATGTTTACATTTGATTCAATGGTTTATGACACAAACAAAAAACGGTATGAATGGCATCTACCATACAATAGAAGCGATACATATTGCTTTGGATCAAGGCAAGGTATATCTGCTTGAATTTCTAGCGCATGCAATGACGAGTATGATCAGCCTAACAGACGATCTTATGCAACATTATGTAGGCATTGAGGAGGATGAACACGTATATAAAGATGCTCTATCCAATCATCACAAGTACATGCCACGTAAAGAAAGGAGAAGAAGAAAAAAGAAAGCTTGCCATGATAGTCTTTGTATGTCTATCAAGGTCTCTATTGACAACTATATTTGGTCTGTACCCCTCTTTGTTCATCATAAACCCTATGCTCCAAAAAACAAGGCACTTTGTATGCCTGAATAATCCATGCTATTCCCTTTCTTCTATGATTTATACTATACTATGCTGATTTTATATGCTCCTTCTCTTAGATAAGTCTTCTCTTTATGTTGATGATGACATATGATTTTATACAAAAAGTGCGTCATAATCTTTCATATAAATCTAAACGCGTCCTTTTTTTTTTACTTTATCTGATTTTTATTGTTTGTCATTTTTAAGATCAGAGAGTGGCTTGAACTGAAATAGAAACTGGATAGCCCTTCCTTTTTTTTTTCAACATGCAAAAGGAAATTCCTGTTTAAATTACACTGTAATCTATAAAAATAAAGAGTTACACAACTTTTCTTTCTCGGCGAGACTGAACCAATAAAAAACTAAATGTGACCCATGAAAGAAAGGACTTTTATTCGTCTGCATCTAAATCTGATAAAAAAAAAATTATCTGTTTTTATTTTCGAACCAGGTTCCTCTTTGTATGCTTAAATAAGATTTCATAATAATCTGATGTTATAAAGGCAAAAAAAAAAATAAGAGATAATTATATTTTCGAAAACAATTGCATATACAAAAAAAAAGATCAGATAATCTAAAACTGGTATCGTACACATAACCTTATGTTTATGAATGTACAACCCAGAGAAAAAGAAAAAAAAAGATACACACGCGCAGAATGAATCAGATAAGATTTATAGTGCCGAATCTCTAAAAATTTCTCCCTCTTTTTCATCTATTTTTTCTCTTTTTCTTTATCTGATAAACATTTCACAATGCCCATACTCAGCTTATTAGAAGGCAAGACATTAACAGGTGTGTTGCCACCAGAGAAACAACCTCCAATACAGAATTTTTTGCCTCAATATAATCAACCTATGTTGTTGGATATTGAATCTTGTATTGATGACCCTTTCTTGGGCCATCATGTTAAAAAACCAAGCATCGTCAGAAAGAAGAAGAACAAATCCGAGTACAATGGACAAGTTCAGATTGATCCCAAACACAATTACATTGCCTCCTCAACAGGAGCAGGTCTTGTGATGTTGAGAAGACGAGGTCTAGAAGCAGACCAATTAGGGCGGGAATTGGACCATCTTTTATTACCTTCCTTGACAAGTTACCTTAAGCAAAGCTTTGGACCCAACGAATATACGAGTCTTGTCGAACTGGACATTTCAAGGAATCGACTCACTCGACTGCCAGACCAGATCCGCCACTTGACTCACTTGCGGATTCTGAATGTAACCTCAAACCAACTGACACATATACCACCTGAGCTCTATGCCTTACAAGACCTTCAAGTCCTTATTTTATCACAAAACAAAATCCAAAGCATACCAGAAGACATGCCTCGCTTGTTGCCTAATCTAGTAACCTTCCGAATTGCTGCCAATTTGATTGAGAAGTTACCTAGTCGCCTAGACTATTGGCAACACATGCGTCATTTTCAACTGGGCTCTGTGTACGGAGGTAACCGGCTTGTTCAATTGCCTGATAGTATCACAGACATGTCCTTGCTTGAGGAACTCGATGTGTCGTACAATCAGTTACGAAGTTTACCCCACGATCTTGCTATTCAGTCACTTCAGTTTCTCAATGTCTCTAACAATCAACTCGACTTTATTCCCAAGTCTATCACTCAATGTCAGCAACTCAAATCACTGAATGTGTCCAAGAACCATCTGACGACTTTACCCGCTGATCTTGTGAGTCTTAGCCAACTTGAATTGTTAGATATCAGTGAAAACTTGTTATGTATTATGCCTGCAGAAATACTGGAGCGTATGCAGTCTGCTAATCTACTGATCACGGGCAACCCACTTACACGGCCTGGCCATTGTGATCAGTCAAGTCAAGACGCTTATTCTCGTATTTTAAGGCAAATGACTCAACGTGGAGTTACACGTTCACCAGCTGCTTCTCCTAAACTATCTCGGGTAGATCAATGTGGTCCAAGAGGTATGGGTTGCTTAACCCCTTCATTATCTTCGTCATCACCTTCTTCTTCGCTGTCGTCATCGTCATCATCTTATTTTTCACCATTGACTTCTCCAGCCATGGAACCTTCCTCTAGCTTCTGTATAACCCATCCTCAACAAGACGAAGATGCTTCTATTGACCATGAACTCTCTTATCACGCACAACAACTCAACATTGATGGTTCTCGACCCCCTGTTCAGCCTCTATACCCATCCAACGATCTCATAGGTACCTCTCGTTCCAAGATTGTACAAGATTCTACACACTCCACTTATGTCCTGGTGGACTTCCCGCGTGAATCTCCTTTGCCTACCGAGACTAAATTACTCCACTCGTTACGTGAGATTGCTTCAAGGACCATCCTAAAACACAAGTTGGAAATACCCTTTGATTGTTTACCGGCGCATTTAGCACAAGACATGAAGGGAGAGCGTACGTGTGCTTATTGTCAAGGTCCGTTTGTGAATGAATGGGTGACTTCTGTCCAAGTTAAGGGGTTTGGTGGACATCCTGCTGTGGTCAGAAGAGTTCGGTTTTGTTCTACTGAATGTTGGTCTCAATGTCTACCTACAAAAGAACACTCTAAATCTGTTATTTGTGTACATCAACAGTAATATATACCCCCTTCTTTTGTATAAATAAATATAAAGTAGTACAGAGGATTAACATTCCTTTTTTTTTCTTTTTTTTTTATTATGTCTGAAAACAAGTTTGTTTCTAAGTTTACAGTAACAGAAGCAGTTGCTGTTCAACAGCTTAAAGACGCTCTACCTGACATCTTGACTGAAGCCTTTGGTTCAAGTGATGTCTATACTTTATGGACTGTTCTTTTAGATAAGAGTTCAGAAGACGACCGTATCAAGGTCGTTCTTGTTAAATTTCTTCGTGCTAGGCAAGTAGAACCCTATGTTTATATGATGGCTCATATATATATATGTATATATTTTAACCCAGAAACCTTGATATTTCTGCTGCCAAAACTATGCTGATCAACACACTTAAATGGAGAAAAGAATTCTCAGCTGATACTTTACTTGAAGAGACATTTGATGAACAAGCGTTTAATGACAGTATTGGTTTTCTCTACAAACACGATAAAGAAAAGAGACCAGTCACTTATAATTTCTATGGTGATCTGAATCAAGAAACTGTCTTTGGTGATGTTAACAAGTAAAGTACTCTGTATGATTGTATGGTACTCATTCTATAGGTTCATTCGTTGGCGAGTTCAATTGATGGAAAAGGGTATTAGAGACATTGACTTTGTGAATACAGATACTATGGTTCAAGTCCATGACTATAAAGGTGCTTCTATGTTTGGACGTACTGCTAATGCAAAAGAAGCTACCAACACCATCATCAAATTAATGCAAGACAATTACCCTGAATTCCTGTCTAGTAAAATCTTTGTCAATGTACCTAAATGGGGAAGGTAAACTAGGTTCTTGACCAACAAACCACTCAACCATATAGTATTGTGTTTAAATTAATACGCCCATTGCTTTCTGAAGCCACTGTCAAGAAATTCGTGATTTGTTCCAAGTAAGCAATACAGCCCATTTTAACAGATATTTATATACTACATTAGTGATGAACTAAGCACAACCTTGCTCCATCATTTTAACAAGGAAGATTTACCACCTGTTTATGCTAAACAAGTCTAATGTCGCTGTGTAATCACGAAATCCTTTTTGGATTTACCAACCAAGTTCATGAATTCTGCTGTACAACTCCATGGATTGTCATCTTTTTAAAATACTCATTAATCTTACTTGCACTAAAATACTATTTACTTACTAATACTATCGTCGGGATCACAATTACATTTCTCGACTGAAAGCCATCTTGGTTCATTGGGACAGTTCTTGAAAGGATTATGGTAATAACCAATATCATAGAAAAAGTGCACTTCAGACTTCTTTAGCATCAGAGCAGCGGCAATACTATGGACAGGGGCATCTCCCCATCGTTCATAAAAGAAGCCTCCTGCTTTATCCAGATAATTAAAATAATCAAGATAAGCCTGAGATCGAAGGAACGCCAAGGAGCCTATTTCGAAATTACTCCAAAAGTGACACAAGTTGTATGTTTCACCACCATCATTAGTGACCCAATTCATAAGGGACTCTTTGTCTTCTTTAGGGATAATATGTTGAGGGTACTCAGCCATGAATTTCTTGGTAGTTTCCCATAAAGTAGGAATAGTGCTTTCATATTCATGTAAAGAAATGGCAAATCCATATTTAAGGTCTTTTTCACGCATGACTCGAAAAGGATCGTAGTCTACATCACAAGAAAACTTAACATCAGGTTCTACACGCCAATAATAATCAAACGAGTCCATTAAAGGGTGTCTAAAAAAGAAGCCACTTTGAAATCTAGAATGACGTTTTAGTGACACTGATAAATATATCCCTATTTACCTGCACATATGTCGATAGGATTCCATGCCACCGTAAATAATGCCTGCTGCTTCCATACGTTCGCGTGACTCTCTTGCTTTTTCTTGGTCAATCCAGTCAGGATATCCCCACATTTCAGGCGTCAGTTCACCATAATATGTCTTGCCAGAAGCTAAGCCGGCTGTGAGTTCTTTAAATTTATCATCAAAGGGCTCGTTATTTAAAAACACCCAAGGATAATGATACTTGTGGTTAAAGCGATCTTCCATCATTTGCATAGATTCTCGAAGACCATTCAAGTCTGAATTGCGCGCTAACACAACAAAAGCAGCGTTTTCTCTTTCTATTCCTTCTGTCTTGTAGTCATATTGATAAGCTGGATTTTTATGGCTATAATAGCCATAATAAACCATAAAACAAACACAAATAGGTAATAAAACAAGGAGGCCTATTTTGCCATATCTTGCTGGAAGCATATTTTTTTAAAGAAAAAAAGAAAGAATAGATAGAGATTGAATTCCAGTAGGGTCATTTTTTAAAGTGCATTAATCATTTTTGCCAAGACCCTTAAGACTAGAAGTGGATTCTTGATCTGAATAATCTCCCCAAGTATCCCAATTATCTAATGAAACATTGTCTATGTGCTCTTCTTCATCACGTAAGAAAGGCATCTCTTCTTCTTGAGTGAGTTCTTCTTGTTCTTCTTCTACTGGTGTCACTGCTTTAGCTACTCGATATATATAAATCAACACCAAGAATCCTAACATGGACAGTGCAATAGCACCATAGAACTTAATTTGTTCTGCTTGAATTTCCCCTTCTGTCATGTCCTTATCTTCTCCAAGCAAATGTTTAGCAAACGAAGTCAGATTAGCACCAATATAGACATGTAAAGCAATCTTGGTGAGTGAAAGCGCTGTGCCAACAACAAACTGAGTTAATGTGATATGAGTTGTAGCAAACAAGACATTCATCAGATTAAATGGGTAAGGTGAAAACCGAATCAACACAAACAACTACATATAAGTTAAGCAACTCTTTATCCTATAGATCTATCTGCTTACTTTAAATCCCTTTTTCTCGACTGCCTTGACAATCATTTTGATACTGTTTGTCTTGTCTAACATACGTTTGATTCTATCGTGACCTAACCATATTCTCGATAATTGGAAACAGGCAGTGGCTCCTGCTAATGCGCTGAGATAGGAAATAAGAAACCCAGTTTGAAATCCATAGGTAAATCCAGACAGTGTTTGATAAGTACCATAACCCATAATGGGAGGAAACGAGCTCAAGAAAATAAGAGAAGCCATCAGGATATGTCCTCTAAATTAAGTGTCAATAGCTTCATTATACTTTTTTTTTTTTTTTACTTGTATCCCATGTCAGATATTCGATGACTTAATAATTCCAAAGCTTCAAAGAACTCTCGACGATAATGGTAAGTAATGATGCCAAGTACAGTGAAAAATGCCAATGTGCCAATAGACCATCGTTTCTCGTATAAGAAAGTCTTGATATTTTGTATAGTAAATTTTTGCTTCAACCGTTGCCAACGAGACCTTGTTTCTATGGCAGTCTGATCAAGTAAAGGTTCTTGTTGTTGTAGGGAAAGATTGGGTAGTTCTATGTCTGAGTCATCTTGGCGAACAAGATCGCTATGTTCTATGGGTGTCATATAACGTATACCTCAATTTTTTTTTAAAAAAAAAAGAGATAAGAAAAAGGGATCTACACTTTAAAAAGAAAAAAAAATGAAAAGCGGCATTCAATCACCGAGAACAGCGTTTTCTTTTAGTTTACACTGTTTATTATATAAAAAAAGAAACTAGTACTTTAGCCAAACACTTGCAAGTATTTGTTACCAGGAACTAGGGCGAGGACCTAAACTAGTTTCAATTGAGTTCCCAAAAAAAAAAAAAAGTGCCAGGCACTCAACTATATCATTAAACATCATTGCCCATCCTTGGGGAAGAACTAGTCCAGGTCAATTATCACTTGTCAAATCTAGCATAATTCCTTGACAAAAATCCCAAAGAAAGCTTACCTCGCTTAGTCAAAGAGCTCCGGAAGTCTCAAAGACAAAAAGCTTCATTAGTAAGCTGCCTTCAAGACGGATAACCAACATGATATAATTGTTGATTCCCATCATAGGGTTTGCCTCAGTCAATTGTCACTATCAGGATTCCATATCGAAATACGTCGCCAAATTGATAGCCCATCTACAAAAGAGCTAACCTTAAGCCTTAGACTGAAGAGTGGCTACATTCTTCAATTCCAAAGCAGCTAGTCTTGAATAGACCAATTCACTAGAAAGCAAGTAGCACTCGCTCTATAAGAACAGGCCTTTGTTCTTACAGGAGACAATCTACCCAAATACATGAATAGATGAGCACTACAGATAGTACACATTCTCTGTCTGATAACTGTCCCTCTCCCCATAAAGAGAAAGAGTTTACCAAGAATAGACAATACTCAAACAAATAGCACTACTACCACCAGACTTAAACCTAGTCAATGTAAAAGGACGTCTCTCTACAAACATCAACTAGGTATCCGAAGGGTTTATGCTGATGAAGAGTCGAATGGACTATAAGCTACATCTCTCACTACCGCATTGACGCACACACCTCACAAAGAAGTAAGGCCAGAACTATCACAGTAGCAAAAGCGAGCTATGGCTTACATCTGCCGTCACTCTATCCGATAGTTGTTTTCTCCTAAAGAAGAAAGGTGCCATGAATAGACAGAAATTCCAGTCAAAGACCAGACGGACAAACAGAACCATACAAGCATTTATGTCTATCTTTACTTTCCCTTTGTCTCCTTGTGGGGGAAGACAAAAGTCAGTATCAATAAACACAAGGATTGCTCATATGCAATATAGAAGACATTCTTATATTCTCTCTTGGATTCATACAACACCAAAACAAGAGGGAGGATCACACAAGAGGGAGGATCACACAAGAGTCAGACAAGGCCTGAAGCGAACATAAGAAGAGGTCATCATACCAGTGCACTATGTTGGTGATCGTCTTCAAGTGTTGTTGTAATACAACAAGTGCAAAAAAAAAAGGACAAACCCTTTCTTTTTTTTTAACTGGCAACAAGTATGTAGTTTTCTCTATCAAATTGACGTAAAACCAATAAAGGCAGAGCTATCTTGATAGAAGAGTAGCATCAACTAGGTGATCAACCAAGTGAGAGGCAACAATACCATAAAGGCGAAAACATAATACTTGCTGATGGGAATAAAGAAGTTGAAAAATAGAAAAGCAACGCGTATACATAATAAAGACAGGGAAGATTTTTTCAAATACAGTCACTACTATGGTTGCGTCATCTAAACAAGAGTCAATAAACTGTAGCATGTCTTTAGTTGCCTAGCAACGCCTCAATAGGTGATTTTAAGCTTCTTTGCATGATCGAAAGGAGCAGATCATATGATTAAAACTCAGTATAAAAAAGCCATTCTTAGCAAGCAGGCCTAAGGAAAGCAATGAATATAGAAATTAATAGTTTTCTAATTTTCTCATCTTTATATCGATTTTCCATTTTTCATTTTTCATTATGGTTTATCATTTCTTATTATTTTTTTTTTCTTAGAATTAAAGACACTAAAGCGTAAGCGATGGAAGAGACCTTCTATTAAATGTAGAAACCTTCCATCAAAAATGGAAGAATTATGCATTCAGAAATAAAGGATTTTCACAAATATGAAGACTTGTTTCATCAATCAAAGAAAAATTCAATTACTTATGCTGTAGCGAGAGTATATTTTTTAACCAGGAAAAGTTTTCTGTTGACCCAAATAGCATACTTGTGCACTGGTATTAATTTTTGTCAAATTTATACTCAAAGTGCTTAGGCTCAACAACATAAGACCAACCTGGACCAACCTTTCTTAAAAGTTACTGATCCGCCAAATTACATCCAATCAGAGATTTATATGTGGACCAACCTAGATCAAATTGGACCAACTTGGATTAACTTGAACCAACCTTTTTCTCTTAAATGTCAATAACTCGAAAGCATGCTTTATGTATTTTTTTAACAAAGAATTTACGAATGAAAACTCTGAAAAACTCAAAGAAGACCTTGAAAAACTTTGTGATTTAGAGATTTGCTATACCGATGACCCCAATGAGCCCATGCTCCAAACTAAGCTAAAAGTAAATGGTTTTCCATCCTACTACCATCGATACAAAGATGACCTCCCAAAATCAACCAATCTTCAAGAACAAACTACTATAAGTAAGTGATAGAGAAGAGTGTTTTGTATTAATTTAACGACTTTACTAGATAACCAGAGACAACTTATCCAATACCTGAACAAAGTATATCGACCTGGCCAGCCGGTGGATAGTGACATGTACGAACAAAAGCAAATATCAATGGAGCAGATTTACTCAGAAACTGTTGTAATCACTAATCTATTTGACGAGAAAACATCGAGATCATTTTCTACATGGTGCGGCACAGCCAAGTTAGATCTAATGCTTGCTGACCAAACCCGCAAAATTCAAAAAAACGATGTCTCCAAAACCAAGATAAGATACCGCTCCCTTTGGGCTCTGAAAGGCACACATCGAGGTATATTATGCTAGTTGATAAAACTGATACTTCTATACCTTTGATTTTCATGTTTTTTCTTTTTTACTGTAGAATCAGTAGCTAGACAAATCCTAAATGTTAGTGCAACACATCAAGCCAGATTACACGGTCTCATAAGCGAGGGATGTAAAATTATCGGATATGTAAGGAAATCTCCTGGAAAGGAATCAACCACGACAAGACTTCGTCTTTTGGAAAGTATGGTAGACAGGTTGATGAAAGCTTCTTCCGTGGACATGGTGTTTGGTTCATACAGCTCTGCTTCAGATGAACTCTTTGTAAAACGTGATACCACTACAACCACCGTCATCCCAAGGACTGAAGGGAACACCCAAGGTAATACAGCAAAGTGTTACGAAGATTCCAATTTCAATTGTGGCAATCGACTTCGCTGGTTTAACAACAAACAAACCTGACTTGGTCCAATTTCTTCGGTAATGCAACAATATGCTTAAATTATCATGTCCTCTAATGCAATTGTTATAGTGTTCATAAGAATGTAAAAAATATAGTGATCGACAATATCGAATCTCACAACGAAGCTTATTACTTAACCAGGGAGCAGATTCTTTCAGATGAGACTGTACTTCAGCTTTTCGACTGTCGCTCTGCTCCAGTACTACAATCTCTTATGCCATGACTTGTCATTTTACGTGTTTTAATTATTTAGCTACTCATATAAAGATCATATCCATAAAGAAAAATAAAAATAACAGTGAATACAATCCGATTTTACAAGATAATTAACGATTTCATAGAAAATGCGCTATATTCATACCTTCTGATCTGTCGATTGGCATTAATTATGTAGACATAAAAAGTTTAAAATAGTTATTTTTGCTATCTTAGCTAAAGACCTTGACATGATAGCGTTCATTTTATTACAGTTCGCAGAATAGCCATCCCTAAGTGCTGTTTCGCTCAATACTGACGATCTAAACTTCTAGTTACTGACTCACTATTAATCAATGTAGACTTCAAAATCAAAAAAAAACTTGATGAGCTTCATGACAGACGTAATTATAATAGTAACACTTAATTTATTTTTTTTAAGATTTTACATTAATTACAGCTAAATAGTTGGCATCATTTGTAAGTCGATTTACATCATTCTTAAATTGTCATGATAGACTCAAATCACGCATTAAAGTGATGAGTAATCATTATTTAGACTCAGAAGTGCATTGTCTCGGCTTTAAATTTTCTACGCGCCACATTTTTTTTCCTCTTTTTTTTTTTTTAATTATATACTATGAAGGTTGTACGTGCAAATATCGAAAACTTTGACCAAGAAGTCAACAAGGCTGTAGAAAGCGGTAACCCTGTTTATGTCGTCTTTTTTGGTAACGAAACACCCGAAACTTCTGAATCTTGGTGTCCTGATTGTGTTGTTGCTGATCCTTTGATCCGTAAGGCTGTCTTGTCTGTTGAAAACTCCATTTTGATTGAAGCTCCTGTTGGCTTCTATGATCAATGGAAAGGAAAGACGGATCATCCTTACCGTGTTCGTTTCAAGTTGACAGCCATTCCTACCTTATTCAAATGGACTGCTGTAAGTATATATATATATATATGTGTGTGTGTGTATATTGTAATCTCACATTGTTTCTTGTTAGGCTGGTCCTGGTGAAGCCTTAGTAGAAGATGATTGTGCTGATGCTGATAAGCTTGCCAAGTTTGTTGGAAAATAAACAATGTAAATAAAAGTAGAAATCATATTTTATATCTCAGTCAATTATTTTATTTTGTTTTTTTCTTTTACTTTCTTCATCTCGTATGTTTTTCTTTACTTCGCGTAAGATCTCGAGCCGATGAGGTTGCTGTCTTCTAACAAACCATAGTCTTTTACTGGGTTGGTGTCTTGACCATTGTGCCTTATCTTCTCCTGGTGGCTTATGGTGCCTATGGTTGCCCTGAACAAAACTTAAAGGACAAATACAACGCCAAATGGTATTTAATCAACATATAGATTTGGCCTATTGATCATTTATGTGTAGGGCTCTTGTCACTGGTGGCTCTTCTGGTATTGGTGCTGCTATTGTTCGTAAGTTTGCCAGTCAAGGTTTAAATGTGGTTGTTGTTGCTCTTGATGATACTGTTCTTGCTGCATTCAAAGAAACGATTGTCAAAGAGTTCCCTCAGGTTGAGTTCCGTTTTATTGGCTGTGATCTCTCAAATGCTACAGGTGATTATTTGGAAACCATCAAACAAACCACAGGTGATATTGATGTCCAAATCCTGTGCAACAATGCTGGTTTCATTACCACTGGTGGTTATGCTGATATTCCTCTTCCCCGTGAAATGGCCAATTTCCATACCAATGTCACTTCTGGCTTGACCTTGACCCATTATTTTGCTGATCAAATGCTCAATAAGGGACAGCGTGGTTTGATTACATTTACTTCTTCAAGTGCTGCTTTTATCCCCAATCCTATGTCTGCTTTGTATGGTAAGTGATATCGAATCAGGTGGTTAGTATCCTCATACTAAAAAAAAATGGGATTAGCTTCCACAAAGATCTTTTTGACTACATTTGCTGCTTCTATTGCTGCTGAATTAGCTGAGGCCAAGATTGATGTATTGGCCATTGTAAGTAGACAGGGAAAAGATGTTTGTAACTAATACCATATCAGCATCCCTCTCCTATCAATTCCAACTTTTACAACAATGCTGGTAAAATGTCTGCTCTCCTCTCCGCACAAAAGTTCTCGTCTCATCCTTCCATCATTGCGGACACTATTTGTCGTAATGCAGGCAAGGTTGTTGTATCAGATCAAGGACCTATCACTGTCGTCATGAAAATCTTGACTACCAAAATCATGGACTGGAATGTGTTTACTGAAATCATGAAAATAGGTCTCCGTTTTAATGGAGACTATAAGGCCATGAAAGTAGTTCGTCCCAACAAGAAAGAAAATTAAAGCGTTTTTTATTTTTATTTTATTTATACACACATTAACAGCTATTATTTACAAAAGGATGTGTCATAAGTTCATAGAGTGTTGGCCGTAATGCAGGTGTACGGTCCAGACAGCCTTCGAGTAATTTGATTAACATGGGCGGCAGTTGAATGATTTGGTTGTTCACTTCTGATCGGATTGTAGGACTGAATTCAATCTGAAAATCACGGTTTGGTATATGAATGATCTTTTGGTGCACAGGTAATTTATAAAAGGGTGTTTGTCCATAGACCATTTGATAGAGAATACAGCCTAAAGACCACACATCACTTGGTGTGCCTAATCGTACCAGACTCTCTGCATCTGTTCGACCTTCATTCATATCCATCAAAGCTTCTGGTGACATATAATTCAGTGTGCCAACCTGAGTATCCCTAAGGATTTTAGTAGAATCATCAGCTACTCTTTTGGCAATACCGAAATCAATCAGCTTTAGATAGCCCTTGACTAATACAAAATTAGCAGGCTTAAGATCAGAATGAACAATCTTGCTATGATGAATAGCATTGACACACTTGAGCATCTAATGAACAAAATGTTCAGTCTCATACACACACACACACACACACACACACACACACACACACACACACACACACACAAAGAACTTACTTGATCCCAATAGTACCGTACAAAATTGATATTCCAAGCTTTTTTCTTTTGTTTATGCAGTAAATTAGCCAAGTCCATTTCACCCAATTCCATCACCATATGAATAACATGCGATGAAATATGGTGGTCCAGTAAAGATACAATGTTCTCGTTGGTATCCAGTGATTTCAACAGTTCTATTTCTTCCATAATACTCTGCCTATCTTCAGGCTTCTTGATTTCAATCCACTTAAGTGCAAATATCTCGTTATATTCATTACACAAGACTTGGTAGACCTTTCCTGAAGCGCCTCTACCAATTTCTTTGATAATAGTATAATTACGTCCATTGACACATATCACATCTTTTTCGCGAGGTGGATTTAATAGTAATTCTTGTTGGTTTTGTTTGTACCGTGAAAAAGCATTGAGATCACGCTTGTTGATTCTTGGTGCCTTAAAGGCAAACTCGTCTGCTTTTTTTTGTATAGGTGAATGTCTCTGTGGTGAATTGTGTTCATATTCCATGCTATCTGATTTCCTATTGGGTTCATAGACCATAGTAGATCGTATATATTTCTAAGGCAAAAAAAAAAGAAGAGAGAGAGAATGAGTTGCTGATTTAGTGAATGCGTATTACCTTTGAGTTGTCAACTGCAATATTTAGACGAGACACATTTCGTTCAAGACTTCCAGTATCACTTTCCCCTTCTTTTTTAGTTGAAACTAAAGAAAAAGAGGGTCAATATCCAAGTCCAATAATAAAAAGAAACTACCTTCATGAAATAAAGATGCTGCATCTGTTAAAGGCGTACTTAGACCAATAGATGGTGATCGTTGAATAGGTGATCGTTGGATAGGTGATCGTTGAATAGGTGATCGTTGGATAGGTGATCGTTGGATAGGTGATTGTTGTAAATTACTAAAAGTAGCAGGTGCAGATGTTACATTGGGTGAAGAAAGCTTTCGTCGAACATTTCTAGAACTATAGAAAGGTATCAGTATAAGCATGTCTATGTCTTTTGTTTTCTTTACTAGGTATTTTCTTGATGATCGTTTGTTCGAATAGGTGAAGCCTGTTTCATGAATAAGAAATACATTTCTTTGTGTCTTTCTTGACTTACATAATAGCTCATACTTCTATCTTCTTGCTCCATTTTTGCAATGGTATCGTCGTGTATTGATTCTGGTTTGATATCCTCTTCTTTATAGCTAGGAGACCTCCCAAACCTACTATTGAGCTATGACAGGGTGAATTATTGTGTATGGTTGTTTCATAAGATTACCTCAACAGGATCAAATTCCATACTTGACACTCTTGGAGGTCCGTCGTCTTCGTCTTCGGAATCTTGACCAAGTAAAGTCAAGATCTCTGAAGAAGCACCAAGTATATCATATTCAGACACGTCGCTGTCTCGACTATAGAATGGAATGGTATTTTTTGACATATTACAATGCTTTAGAGAGAGAAGGTTTTAATAATCAAAGAAAGAAAGAAAACAGAGAGAGAGAGAGTGTGTGTGTGTGTGTGAGGGTATATGGAAGGAGAGAGAGGGAGAGAAGAAAAAAAAATATTTTTGTTGGCTCACTGTTACTCCCAAGTCATTAGGATTCCGCATGTGCACCAGCCAGTCAAATTTGACATTGACTCCTGCCATTTTCTAAATTTCCGATTTCATCAAAAGAGTAAGAGTTTCTCATTGTTTTTTGAAAAAAAAGAGAGAGCGAACTTGTTCTGTCACCATGACCGGTATAGAAATAACAAGTTTAAACACACTATATGCTATTTTACTGTGTCATTAGACATTCTTTTTCTATGTTATCTGCATCAAAATTGTCTGTTTTTTTTTTATTTTCATGTTTGTTAGTATACATTGAGAACAATACAAGGCTTATGTTGTGCTACACAAAATAGTATACAATGAACATGATATGTATAGACTAAGTAACCCTTAGCTATATAGAGATATATTGAATATAGCTTATTTCTATAGGTGATCTCTGCAGTATCAAGTATCTTGAGAAAAGAAAAGAAAAAACCGATTGTACCTTGAAGGAGTAACCTATAAAAAGGAATTTCTCAAAAAGGTAAGGCTTTTATGATTAATGTTTCCAGCCCCAGTATAAAAAAACCACATAAAAGAACTGTCATATTGCACTATTCAACTCGAATAAAGTCAATATTACTAAAAAGAATATCTATTCTTATGTTTGTATTACAGAGAAAAGTAAAATCAAGATTGTGTTTTTATGGATCAAAATGCTGATAAACAATATTTATATGGGCTTTCTTACATGTTACATCCAAGACATTTATAAAAGAGCGAAAACCACTTAAGTGATTGACATGTCACACAAAAACTAAAAAAATAAATATTAAAAACCTTTTACAAAAAGGCACTTTGTTCCCCTTTTTTTTCTTTTTCTTTTTTTCTATCGAGAAATCACTCAAAGGTTAGTCATAAGAAAAAAGCGCGTCATCCAATAAAAGGATAAAGATGCCAGATAAAATAGTCGCGTCGTGATCATTAACTGATTCAATAGATGTTAAAGCAATTTAAACCGACATCTTGGGCGGCTATTAACAACGCACCTCTTCCTGCAGAAGGTGCTGGTAACCAAACCTTTGATAATCGTATCTTGATCGGTGTCACTGTGGGTATTCCTGCTTTCCTTACTTATGCTTTGGGCTTCTCTCTCTGGGTTTTCCCTGTTATTACTCTCCTCTTGTTCCTTCCTCTTTTGGCCTGTACTCTCTATCTCTTTTCTCGTTTTGCTCCTCGTTACAGAAACTATATCCCTCTTCCTGGTAAGCCTATTGAACATTACTTGACTTTCCATGATCCTGAACTCAAGGCCAAGTATCACGGTCGCAACAAGATTCCCATGGAAACCTTCTTTGAGGCTTATTTTGTTGGTAAGGTAGACTTTAACGGTGATGCTTTGGAAATCATGGAACTTCGTCACGACTGGGCTGCTTTCCAATTTACTTTGGGTCAATTCAAGTTCTTCTTGACCCAATGGCTCCCTGAAACTTTCTGGCACTCTCGTGAACAAGATGAAAACCAAGTTCGTGATCACTATGATCGTGGTAATGATTTCTATGAAGCCTTTTTGGGTCCTCTTATGGTCTACACTTCTGGTATTATCAGTGATCCTACCAAGAAGGAGACCCTTGAAGAAATGCAAGAAAACAAGATGAAGCTTATTTGTGAAAAGTTACACATGAAGGAAGGTGATAAGCATTTGGATATTGGTTGTGGTTGGGGTACTTTGGTTGCCTATGCCTCTAAGGAATACAACACTCAATCTACTGGTGTCACTCTTGCTCGCAATCAAGTTGCTTTCGGTGAAAAACGTATTGAAGACTGGGGTGTCAAGGACAAGGCTAATCTTCTCTGCATGGATTACCGTGATATTCCAAAGCACCAAAAGTATGACAAAATTACTGTAAGTATCTTTGATTTGTAGTCTGGTTATCAATTGTTTTCAATGAGCTGACTTTGTATTTTTTTTTTTTTTTTTTTTTTTTTTGGGCAGGCTGTTGAAATGGCTGAACATGTTGGTATTCGTCGTTTCCAAACTTTCCTTACTGAAGTTCGTGAACTCTTGGAAGATGATGGTTTGTTTTACATGCAAGTTGCTGGCTTAAGAGCTACATGGCAGTACGAAGATTTCATTTGGTAAGTTGTCTCTCTATGGACGGACTTGACAAATACTCATGCGTTTTTCGATAGGGGTCTCTTTATGGCTAAATACATTTTCCCCGGTGCTGATGCTTCTACACCTTTGTACTGGTACCTTAGACAACTTGAAATGGCTGGTTTCGAAATCCACAATGTAGATACTGTTGGTGTCCACTACTCAGCCACACTCAACAGATGGTATGATAACTGGTTAAAGAACAAGGATGCCATGAGAGCCAAGTATGGTGATAACTTGGTCCGTGTCTGGGAAATCTTCCTTTCTTGGTCTACCATTGTTGCCCGTCAAGGTGGTGCCACTTGCTTCCAAATTGTTGCCAACAAGAACCGCAACTCTTTTGATAGAGCTCAATTGATCTGCAACCGTACTAACCCTGCTGCTTGGACTAGCAAGCGTGGTTAATTGTATAGAAAAAAAATCTCTCTTGTACAAAAATAAATAAATAAATAAAAAAGTTTATTTTCTTTCATTCAGTTACGGTCCAAACAAAAGCTGTGTTATTGTTATCAACAGCTACAATGGTACGTGTATCATTTGAACAACACACATCACGGATAAGTTCAGAGGATTTAGGATGAGACAGTATCTAACAGTTAAGCATGAGCCTAAAGCAATCTTTTTAGGTATTGTTTACCTTGACTGGCTGAAAAAGTTCTTTACTGCCATCCTCTAATGTCTTGCTCTTTTTACCATCACTGATGTTATAGATACGTATTTGACCTTCATATTCGCCTGCAATCAACACCTTTTGATCTATAGAGAACACACCATTGAATAGTTGATCAAACAAGGTTAAATATATTACCTTCTTTTTCAATTACTTTAAACCTTAACCCAGTGCATTCGGCAGAATCGGGCCAGTCAAAAGACTTTTCAACTTCAGCATCTTTCTGGGTACTCTTTGCAGGATCCCAAAGAATGATCTCCCAATCATTAGCACCGCGAGATATTATCTTACCATTCAATCCATTCTGACTATTCCCATCTTGACCAAGGATACATATATCATCCACATAGCCTGAATGCCATTCATCACCTTCAGGATACATGATATTAGGCTGAAAGGAAAGTGCATTGAACCATTTCTCATTGCTCTCTAAGTCTTTGTTTTTTCCTTTGGTAGCTTTTTCTCGGATTTTTTGAATATCCTTGTCAGAAATGCTATAGCGCACCATATCACCATTATCACAGCCAACCATTAAAGTAGATAAATCATAAGATATACTCAGAGCAGAAGGTATGCCTGCCTTGGAAGGGAGATTGAATTTCGCCAAACACCTAATGACAAACAGATTTAGATCAAGTATAAAAGACTGAGGCTTACATTGAGTCATCTACTCTACTTGTAGGGGAGCCTATATCCCATAACCTAACTGTATTATCTGCAGAAGCACTAAATAGCCATTGAGGTTCTGACTTGGCAAATGCGAGCTTAAGTACTGCTTGGCGATGCCCAAACAAGTACCGATAACATTCATGTTGTAATGGGTTCATCAGTTTGATGGAACCCAATCTACCAGCAACAGCCAATACATTGCAATTGGCATCCACTTCCCCTTCCAATTGCACTGTTGTCCATGCCATACAGTAAAAAATCTCTTGGTCTTCAGGATGTGTGTATTTCTTGATGTATCGACCTTGCTGTGCATCCATAAACAAAACACTATAGGATCCAGCAAGTGCAATGATATCACTTGTACCTTCTACATGCTTGGGTTCAAATTCACAACACCAAATATCTTTTGCATCTTCTAATTCATCTTTACCACGTACGGGTATATTGATTTCTGTATGGCCCTCAATAATAGCTGACAATTCATAAACAGCAGCTAGAATAATACATGTCAATAAACAAGTATATATATGGGTATATGTTTACTTGTAAGAGGTAAAGATTGATTTGATTTAGATTTCTTTCTACCACCTTCTTCATTGGGTTCTGTTGCTCTTTTCCTGCCTTCTTTAGTTGTTCCTACAGCACCCTTTAGTGTCGTTTCAGATTTGGGTTTTCTTCCTCTTTTCTTGGGAGCTTGTTTTGGTTTGTTTTCAATGGGTGATACTATTGTTTGATCAGTCTTATCTTTTGTTGATTCAGGAGTTGGATTAGGTTCTGTATATTGAGTTGCCTGGGATGAGTCATCGATAGCTTTTTGTGAAGTTTGGGCCTCAGGCTTTGGTTTCCTTGTTCTTTTCTTTGGCTCTTTGGGTAATTTGACAGGTGCTGGTATTTTTGTAGGCAATACAGACTTCGTAGGTAATGGAGCGGTTATTGGCGTGAAAGAAGAGGTTAGTGCTGGTGCTATCTTTGGCAAACTAGGATTGGTTATCTGAGGTAGTGTTGATGCTGTTTCGAGGCTATTGATCTGAGGGCCACCGATCACAGGTGGCGAAGGAATAGGGTTTTTTGGCTTTTCTTTGGTCGCTTTAGGCTTTACAGGTTTTTTTCTTTCAGTTTTCTTTGGAGGTTGTGACGAAGCACCCATAAGTGCGGCCGTGTATGTGTATTTCATTTTGTTGTATGTGTGTCCAAAAAAAGAAAGAAAGAAAACGCGACGAGTTTCGTGTTTGTTGCCTTCTTGACCGGAAATCGAATTGATCTGCACTGCTCTATATATATATATATATATTGAAGGAATATTGCTATACCTTCTTGTCTTCAAAAAAAAACATATACCTATATCTTGCTTTGATAAGGGCATTGTGGAATGAACATTATTTGTCTAGTAATTTGGCAGCATTGCATTTCACTATAAATGGGCTTTATGACTGAAGCTTACAAAAAAGAGTTTGTTTCCTCTTCTAGAATAACGTCTATGCACAATGATTTGCATTTGAAATTCAAGATGTTTCCGAAGCGAAAGCAAATAATGCGATAAACGTTCTCAGAGCTACGCTTTATTCTCAATATACAGCCACACAGATTTGGCTTTCGTGCCTTTTTATATACATTTTTGAAGGCAAAAAAATTGCATGATTTTCAAGTCCCCTAAAGCATAAACGATGAGCACTATAAATTGTGTAGAATAAAAGTTTAGATTATTTATTAAAAGAAAATAGAAGAACTAATACTTGGTGTGGCCACCTTTAGCATCAACCACGGCTTGGCATCGGCTTTTCATGCTTCCGACCAAGCGTACAGTGTATTCTTGGCCAAGTTTCTCTCATTCTTCTCGAAGTATCGACCTGAGGTTTTCGATATTGTGAATCCCGGACCTTCTGCTGTCCACAAGCTTCTCGAGAGTATTTCAAATATGCTCGATAGGTTCAGATCAGGGATTCAAGCAGGCCAGTACTCAAAGCACCTGATCTGATGAGTGTTCTTCCACCATCGAGCATAGGTATCCGTGTGGCAAGTGGCACCATCTTCCTGCAAGTTGAAGTCCCTGTCTTGTGTTGTTGTGAGCTACATTAACCAAGGATGAAATGCCTGGGCTAAGATATTGACATATACATCCTGATTAACGGAGTCCTCTTCCACAATAGCCAAAGGCCCAAAACACCCAGCCCAAAAGCACCTCCAGACCATAACACCACCGCCTTCCCATTTTACTGTTGAGACGGTGTGAGCCTCCTCGTATCGCTCACCAGCCTTTCAAAGCACTCTTCTGTCTGAATTGCTACATAGACAAAACTTTGATTCATCTGACTAGATGATATTACGCCATTGATCATCTATCTAATTGATCTTGTTGTTGGCCCAGCGAAGCCTTTTCTTTCTCTGCTGATCAAAGAGACGAGGCCTCTTTACTGCTACAAACGATTGGAAGCCCATTCGATGAACAGTTGAGATCACAGTGTCTCTATGAATATTGATGCTCATTGCTGCAAGTTCTTCCTTCAATTTGTTGTAGGAAGCAAAAGTATTCTTCTGAATGATACGGCCAAAGTGTCTCCTAGTCCTCTCATTAATCTTGTATGGTTTCACAATTGGTTTGGCAGGAAGAGAACTGCCAGTCTGCTCGATTCTTTCAATGATGCACCTGATAGTCGACAAAGGCAATTCCACCAGCCTTGCAATGTCAGATGCTTTTTTGTTGTCCTTGTTGAACCAGCAAACACCGTAGCGCTACGTTTCTTCTGGCTTGTTATATCCATGGCGGCGGCTGTTGTTAGCTTTTTGAGTAGACATGAGTAGATTGGGAAAAAAAGTAGGGATCTTTATTTTTGAGGTTTTACAAAAATTAGTAAACAAAAGCGAAATCTGCCTGACTGTATCACCTAATATTATTCGAGATATGGTGGTATGTCTGATATACCAAAGAGGGAGCAGTACACTTCAGCACAATATCAATAAAGCATATATGTACTGTTTGAAAAAGAAAGTAATTTATGGGATCTGAATAGATACAATGCTGTCACATCATATGGTATCCTCATGTAAAATGCTTGTAGAGTAAAAACTAGGATCATAACGTTGCTGGACGCATGATAATAATGCTTGGTTTGTTACTCCATCCATCTTTGGTCATATCTGCCATAAAAAGATTTGAGCATACCACGTAGTACAAGTCATTCTGTTTTAAAAATAGAGTTGGCATATAGTAAACCATACAAGGTTTTCTTCAACAGTAATTAGTCTAAAGAAATAAAAGATCTTTCCATATAGTGAAAATATAGTGTTACCTTACGGAGACAGAAAAGACTAGTACAAGTGCATGGCGGCTATATATACTTGCTCGCAATGAAAAGGCTACCGATGATAAGCTATCATTCACACGATAATCAACTGAGGTTGCATAAACACAAGGCTATGGTTCTTGATCTTGTAATAGTGTTGTACATGAAGACAGATATAAAAGAGAGCTCCTTGGGTTGGTTTCTCTTTCTTTATCAATTTCTGTCTCTTTCTAAACAACATGGTCTCCGTCTCCAATATTTTGCTTGCTGGTTTTGCTTTAGTTATGGCTGTTAGTGCTGTTCCTTCCCCTGATGTTCATGCTTTACAAAAGATGGAAGAATACAAGAAGATTGTCGAATCCAACTACACCCTCCAGCCCCGTAGCTGTACTGATACCTGTTGCAGTGGTGCTGCCTCTTGCTGTACTGTCAATGGTGGTGTCTGGAAAGATGGTAAATGTCGTTTCTAAAACAAAAGAAGGACGGCATTTGACCTCAAACCCGAATTTTGGAATTTTTTCTATTGTCAATATATAATAAACTGTGATTTTTTAAATCAATAATCATCAATTTTTTTTTTTTTTTTTTTTTGTTATAACACCAAAGAATAACATACATATACCAATTAAAGTCTAACTCTGAGTTTCTTCCAAACTCTTTTCTTTTCGAGAGTTTTTCTCGTAAATGCTGTATGTAATCAATATATTAAAGACTCAAGCTATTGAGCCATATAAAAGATCAAAACAATAATTTAGATGCTACTCTTTGATTTTTTTTTTTATTTTCGTATTGACAGTTCTTCATAACCTTTCATGTCATGCATCATAAAGCTTCTCAACGCTTCAACATTTTTCACAAGCAAACATTCCCTTTCTCTGATTTGGGTGAATCAAATATAATATTTATATAGGTTATTTAGAAGTATGCTGCTTGTTCATGTGATAAAGATCATGCAAATTGGAGCTTCAAGATGAAATCTTCTTCCTTTTCAATGTGCGTTCTCAAGGTCAACTTTCCTATATCACACAACATAAATTTTCCCAACATTTGAACATCTTCACGGGCAGTCATTCTCTTTCTCTGAGTTAATCAAATCAAGTGTCTATTTTGTCCGAATAAGATATTCGATAGTGCACTACTTATTCATGCAATAGAGACATCAGGCAAATAAACACTTCAACAGTGAAAAAGAACAACACTTAGTGCAAATCTTCTTCTTTTTCTTGGTTAATATAAAGGTATTTTAAATCCTGTTTATACAGGTATAAATGCTCTAAGTACCTACAAACCATGTTTACCAGCATACTGGATATATTGAAGTTGATTCGGACCCAAAAAGCGACCTGTAAAAAATGACCAAAAATGACTTAAAACCAAAAGGTATGCATTTAACAGCTCTTTGGTCTTCTTTTTGATACCAAAGGACAGAAAATGAAGCTAAAAACAAGCTTGAATACTCATAATGTGCTCAAAGGCTCTAGTTTTTGGTGAGTGTGTTTGTTTACTAATTGTACTATCAAAATGATGAGATATGAGCGAAAAAACTTTCAAACATTTTTGCATGTTTCTCAATATTTTAGCATCAATAGACTTAGAAAGCAGGTATTTGCGTCTTCATGCAGTTCTACACAAAATTTCAAAATCTGACAATTTTGATGTGCCTGATAATTTGATGCTACTCAAGACACAAAATCAAAACTATTATGATTAGGTGCGCTCATAACAGAAATTTGCAGAAGATACAGCTGAATTAGAGAATAGCAATGTGTTTGCTATCAGAACAAGGATTAAAGGCTTCAAAAAAGAACCGTATAGTCTTAATTGCATGCCATTCTTTGATGAACCATTACCCACCCATAACAATTCCTTACTCAAAATCAATATGTGGAAGCTGAAGTGGCCGAGGTGTTTCCCTAAGAGAGGCTCGATATAATTTTATAAAGTACATTGCATTTATTACGCTCAACATGTTAATCTAAACGTGCATGGAAAGTATAAACAGTCTTGCCAGAATATATACCATCTTTCTTAAGCAAAACAGCACTACGCCAGTCAGGCTTATTGGGAGAATCAGGGTTACGAGAGGCTTCAAGACAGAAACCAGAAGCAGTGCCTAGTGGCACGTTACCTTGAGCCTTCTTGGAAACAAAGGTATCTTTAGCAATCCAGCCACCTGTGTAGAATTGAAAAGCAGGCTCTGTTGTGGAAAAGTCAAGTTCAATACCAGTATCGGGTGAATAGACTCTGACAGCGTGACGAAGAGGCAAACCGGCCGTGTCTGTTCTGTAGTCATTGTGAATAACATAGGGATGGTCATAACCATGTGTAGCTTGAAGATGTTCATAACGAGCACCAATGGGAGTACCAGCATTTTCGCCCTAAATATTTGATTAGAAAACACGCTGTAGCTGATTGATTTGTATACTTACAGAAAAGTTGAACCAAGGTACTTCAGACCAGCTGAGAACCTTACCTGTAGGCAAGCAGTTGCCATCACATTCCAAGACAGCCTTTACCTCATCAGTCATAGTAACACGATGGTCCAATACATTTGGATTTAATTCAACACCAGATAAGTTAAAGTAAGAGTGATTTGTCAAGTTAACAACAGTTTCTTTGTCAGTAGTGGCATGATATTCGAGAATTAATTCATCTTTCTCTGTTACTGTGTAAGTAAGTTGAGTAGTCAAGGTACCAGGATAATTTTGATCGCCATCAGGAGAGACAAGTTCAAGACGAACGGAAGCGGGTTCTTCAGAAACGACAGTAGCAGACCAAATTCGCTTGTCAAAACCTTCAAGACCACCATGCAATGAATTGGGACCATTGTTGATAGCAAGTTGATATTCTTTACCATCTACGGTGAATTTACCTTCAGCGATACTATTTCGAAAATAAGTCAAAATCGCGTTTAATCGCTCTACTACTTTACCGATTTGCGTATCTACCGACAACTGCACCGAAATAAGGATTCTTTTTGGTGTAGGATTCATAATCATCGAAGCCAAGAGCAACATCGCGTACAGTGCCTGTCTTATCGGGTGTAAGAATATGGGAAATAATGGCACCTCTTGTCAAGATCATGACAGCCAAAGTCTTGTTAGGATTAATCAATGTGTATTGATCAACACCGGGAGCAATAGTCAATTTAGAAACAGGCATAATAGAAACAAACCGTAAAGAAGAAAAAGAAAAAAAAGATGTAAGGGAAATTTTATTTTATATAGCCTTTATATGCGTCATATATTCACTTGTTTACATAAGCTACTGGAATTGGTTTTTCCACAAAAAAAAATCTCCCCGCAAGAGAGACTAATTTTTCCTTTTTGTATCAAATTTCCCGTTTTTTATATGCTTAATTTTCCATTATTAAAGTTTAGTAGCTTCAATACGGCCTTCTCTCTTTAAAGTATAGATAGCTAAGCTAGCACCAGGCCCAAAAAAGACTGAATTAATTAACATAGTTTTGACACCTTCTAGGCCGTCTTCCAACCAAGCCCAATAGGTAAATGTGGAGAAAAGTGCAACAATATCCCACATTAGCATATAAGTCACTGGGTTTTCTCCCGTCGTACCAAGTGAAAAGAACAGTTCAATCCATTGTTTCACCATCAAATCAGGTGAAGTCGTTGTTTGTAACCATTTAATCCAAACCCAATAATATAGGAATGCGTTAATTCCAGCAACGCCAGCATATAATAAGCGAACACTTTCACTATTCTTTGTCTTTTCGTTTAAGCCAGTTGTACAAGAAGGAAGAACGAGCTTGATTAAGCCATAAACAATCCCGAAATATTGGAAACTGGCTAATATGTTATGTTGTGTAAGAGAGGGACCATGAGAGACCAAAAGAGCAACTGGTAAGAATTGACCAAATAAAGTGGCTATAGCAATACTAAATGCATAGTTTGGTGCAATAGATGGTAAACTGAATTGTTGTTGCTTCAGATGGTTGATTCTTTCTTTCAATTTGTCGCTGTTATTCGATGATGTCTTTAACTTGTTATTCATGATGTTAACATGCGTTTGTTTATGGTGATGGCTTAATGACCAACCATACCAAGGCAACCAAGCTAAAGGTGCAATGACACCTGTGCCAATTATGTTTCCCATAGTAATCATAAATGGAGTCAAAAACCTACTGCCATTGAATCGAGTTTGTTCCACTGACATGACAGCATAAGCAGTAGTAGCCAGACCAACCAGAGTAGCTGTCATTGGAAAACATAGGGGATCATTGATTGCTTGAACACAGAACCTAACAAGTACACATACTACTTTATCTAAAAGAGAGCTAAATCCAGGAGCAGAGTATGTCTCAAGTATACTGGCTGAATTTCTGCAAGCTGCCTTCTGTACAAGGTTAAAAGAAAGTAAGACATGATGGAGATGTTTTAATAGTAAATAACCCAAGGGACTGAGCAACACATAAAGCAGAATAGAATGCTTTGAACGAGACATTTAAAGCAAAGAAAGAAAGAGAAAACATAAGTGCAAAAACGACTCTCACTCTATTTATCATGCATTTAAGCGATCATTTAAAATATATGCATTGCTTTTAAACTTGATCTTTTGTGCCGTCGTTTCGGACTGTCTTATCTCTGAAATCAGCCGTGATTTAAATGCCCAATTAGATTTGAGAGATATGCACACATTAAAGAGAAAAAAAAAGAGCTGTCTTTTTTTACTTGTCATTTATTATTATTATGAAAGCAATACTGTCTCTTTTAATAGGTGTAGCAATAGTAACGTATACAACGCACAATATGCTCGAAGGTGCAGAGCCTTGGGCACCCAAGTTGCTTGACGTCTGTTTTAATCCTGCCAACAAAGATCTTCTCGGTAAAGATCGCGTTGTTTATACCGGTATCTTTTCCTTCTTGGACCGTACTATCTGCTTCTTCAACAATTTTAGTCAAAGCGCTCTTCATGATATTCTCGGTGCACCTTTTATGCGTCTAATGATCGGCGCATTCGGTACTGCGTATAGTTTAATGGCCTTTGAAGGATCAAGACGAGGTTTTAAAACCACCTTATTGATAGCTTATCCTATCTTTGGCTTATTGGCTAATTTGTTTGGTGTTTATGCCGTTTTTATTGTTGTATGGATCCCTTTGAGCTTGTACTATAGAGAAAAATCGCCAAAAGAAAACAACATCTGGACAATTACTTTGCCCGAGGCTTATGGTGCTCTTCTTGCTATCGTGTTAGGCTACTTTGTCCCAGGCGCTGTCATTGCTTCCCCTCTGGTTGAACACAACTCTAGATTGGAGCAAGAGCTACTTGCTATTTGGTTGGTTTTACCTGTCATTCTTGCACCCATGATTCCCTTTTGTGGAACTATATTCAAGAAATTAGGCTCACCTGTGAATAATGTTGCCGACCCTATCTTGAGAGAACGCTTGTATGCAGCAGAAGGCAAGGATGCCTTGGAGCGGTCCTACTTGTTTTTGGGTGTAACAAACATGCTTTTGTATTTCGGTACCTATCTTACCATTGCTCATCAAGGTATTCGTATTTGGGACTCAATCTTAATGCTTTTAAATGCACCTGGAAGTTTACCTGCAGGTGTACCCTTTGAAGATTTAGGCAAATTGTTGGCAACTCGTACTGTGTTGGTTGATTTGATTGTCTTGTCCATTGGGTTCGTATTATGGGCTATCTTCCAAAGTGGATTTATGGTAGGTATGGTTGTTGCTTTGATCACTCCTCTTGTGGGCCCTGCAGCTGCTGTTTCCTTTTATGCTTATTACAGAGAAGGAACATTGGAAAACCCCACAACAACATTAGATCAAGCTGTAAAGGAAGCCATTGCTGAAGGCGAAAAGAAATAATAATAAAAAGCGATTACTTTATTCATGATTAACTGAGTTTCCATTGTAAGTAGCTCTCTTTTCATCATCGTTTTCCTGATCATCATCTCGAAGGGTATTTATGCGTGTCTTATATGGATTACTGCGTCTATTATGATTATAAGAAAAATTGTGCCAAAACATGAGTATACTTACTTGAGTGTTTCATTTTGTTGCATTGCCGAAGATTCTCCACTTGAAAGTCCCTCTCCTCCTAATCTTTGTCCACCTCTTAAAGGGCGAGTGATAGGCTGTTGAACATTTTGAGAAGGTGCTGTAAGAGGACGCATACCATGTGTAGGAAACATGGATGATAGAATTCCAGTCGACATATTAAACAACATCAACAATATTCCATATACAAAGTCATAGGCAGACATCACATAGCCAGCCAAACTTGTGTCCACAAGTGAAGACGAAGATGAAGGACTTGTTTTCAGAGGCTTCATAATCATAGTAGCACTAGGACAAAGATTCAAATTCGTAAGTGATGTATTATCGTCTGATTCTGTGAATAAGCGAGTTGGGAATTGTGACGAGAGTTTATACGGCTTTCCAGTATCATCTGTGCGATTCTTCCGAGAGTGGTTAATGCAAGGAATTTAAATTTCATTACTTACTTGCTGAATCCATTCTCGGACAGTAGACATTGTATCTGTAGCTTTGAACTGATGGCGAATGTTTGATCCATCCAATTGCCGAATACTTAAGTTGCTAAATTCATGATTATTCACATTGTTGATATTGCCACCACTATTGTTACTGCTGGCTATTTCTCTTGCTTGCAAACGTTGCTTCTCAGCAGTTCTTTGTGCAATCTTTTCAGCGCGATCTCTTGCAATTTGTTCACGAACTCTCTTTCTGTGTGCTTCATCTTCCTGACGTTCCTTTTTTATTTTGTCGAAATAAACCTTGTTTTGCTTGTCAGTTTGGCTTTGTTGAGCTTCTTGCATTGCTTTTGATTCCTGGCGACGCTTTATTTCTCGTTCTTTTGCTTCTCTTTGTTCGCGTTCAGCACGCTCTTTGCGTATTTTTTCCAGCTGCTTTTGCATTCTACAATGATGCTGGTCTAAATATTTACAATCACCAACATCTATACTTACTCAGCTTTCTTTGCTTCGGCTTGTTCTTCTGAAACAGTTGATGATGGTTCTGTAGAAACCTGCGTTGGTGCTTGTTGAGGTGGTGGTGCAGAGGTAGTACTAGTTTCAGTAAGAGGAACAGAACTCGTTTGAATCGTGTTTGTTGCATTAATCTTGTCAATGATTTCTTGACTTGTTATTGTCTCAATACCAAAATCTCGTATTGTGCCTTGTCTGATAAAATACAAAATAGGGACTGCTTGAATTGGGTCTATTGTTCACTTAGCTTATTTACACATGAATAACAGGTGATTATTTACAATATTGACCAAACATTTTAGCATTTTCTGAGTCCTTTTGCATAGCAAGAGCAACAGTATCTTCTTTAATTGTCTTTATTACCTGCAAGTTGCTTAGTATAAATCTGCCAGGTTACATACAGCATACCTTTTCCTCTTGAAAAACTTTGTTCAATGTGTCTGTCTTTTCGGAATCATCTAATATGATTTAGAAATTTCATTATGCAACATATAGATAGTTACCATGAATATATACAAGAAATGTACAATTCTTTTGAGATACAAGTGCAATAGCATCACTCACAGGACCAGTAAACCAAATATCGTTATCTAAAGTAGCCATAATACGCGTTAAAAAGAAAAAGAAAAAGCACAAAAAAAGGTTCAACACTTCAATCTTATCAATTCGTGCGTCACTTCACTTGGCCAATTATGACGCGACAAATAGTGGCACAGGAAAAAAAAAGTATGTTTTAAAAAGGTTTTTATTTTTTATAAATTCAGAAGCAACCAACAGAGTTAGATTGTCTATGATAGAATTAGTAAATAAAATCAAATAGAAATTATTGATTAAAAAAGGTGAATCATGTCATAGCTCAGGTTAATTTGTTGAAGGTATTTTCATCAAAAATGATTCTGCGTGGTGCATGATCAAACTCATCAAAGCGAAACACTCTTCACCCTTTTCTTAATCTTTGCAATGCTTACCTTAATTGTTATGATAGTGAAAAGAAGAAGAAAGAAAGGAGTGTTTATTTTTTGGCCTTTTTAAAGACATGCAAAAATTTTTTATTTATTCAATCGTGACTGTATAAACTATGTTTTACATCTCAGATGGCCAGCAAATCTTTCTTTTGTTGTACAAACTGTTCAAACGTTTCTGGGTCTCTGTTGAGCAAAATGGGAATACCAGTAGAGACTCTGTCATAAGGACTGCGGGTTGACGATTGCGTACAGAGATCATAAGCAATTAAGTGAGCAGTACCTAATTTGGTGAGAAGGTTGTACTTGGCCAAGGCAGACATTTGTTCATATACAACGCTTCGATTCAAAACTCGAGAGAAAATATCAGCCCGTTGCTTAGGTGTAATAGTATCGCCAATAAGCTCATAGCAACCATCACCGTGTTTCTCAATGGGATCTGTCAAGATATTGGCAACAATTGAGCCAATATCATTTGGAGAAATCCATCCTTGGAGCATGTCTTGATCTGCTGTATCATAAATTATACCATCAGGGGAAAGACGCTCAAAAACAAGCACATTAGACATAAACCGACCTGGGCGGAGTGCAACATATGTGCCTCGATTAGGGATATCAAGAATAGCTTTTTCAGATTCCACATACATATCACCTACATGAGTTGTTCGCCAAGGGTAACCAGAAGTGATTGAAGAAATGTCTACAATCTGCTTAATACTGGCTCTATAAGCAAATTCTGAAATGACTCTTTTGGTTTTACTAAAGCCAGGTTGGATACCCAAAAGTAAAAAGAGACGAGTATGGCCCTGCATTGCATCCTTGAGTTTATTTACATCTTGAATATCACCTTCGATGACATGGATATCATTATCTGGGAAGAGAGAAGCAACCTTGGAAGGATTGCGGGAATAAAGAGTAATACTAGCCTTCTTCTTCAATAGGTCTTGTACAAGTCTTGTTCCAATGTTACCAGTGCCACCGAGAATAAAGATACGATCCATTGTCATTTTGTGAATTGAGGATCAAAAAATAAACAAGCTACAAACGACGAAATATTTATACTTGTGGACATCTTTACCGCAGCATATCTTTATCATCGCATCAAAAGAGGCATTCAAAATCAATTCATTAACGCGACGCAGCATAAAGGCGCGCTTTTAAGTTTAGAAATGTTCCTCAGTAGATTTCAAGCAGTCCAAAATAGAGAGGTCACACAATGAAGACATCTACTAACTGGACAAGATTGTTAGAGTTCGATAACAATTTCTGTTGCTCTCAAATGGAACAAAATGTAATTATAGAACCAAAAAGCTATCACGACTGTATAGTTTTTCCCTAATAATTATATCTGAGGCTCTGAGCCATCTTATTGTTTAAGGGGTAAGTCACGTTTGAGTGTTTATGCACATAAACAAAAGTCATAAGTTAAACAAGACTGTTGTAGATTACATAAGGTTGCATTATATTTACAGACTGAATTTATCCTTTCTGTTCCTCATCATGTGATCATTCATTCCTGAATTCCCTTTGGGGTCTTATAAAAAAGCATTTAATGGGGATGCTCTTAATTGCTGCAAGTGCTGACTCTTTTTAGGTATAATTCTCCTCTTTTTCTCTTTTTTGTTTCTCTTTTCTTTTTATTTTTATTTTTTGTGTTTACCTTATTTAATACTTATGGAAGGACAACTAGCAGCTACCCCAAATACCAACAGTATACATGATGCAAATCATGCACTTGATGGTCCATTGTTACCAGAAAATGTGGCCTGTATGGTCACAGCAGCCTCTTTTACAGCTCGACTATCACTTCGATGTTCGTCAATTTTTCTTGATGCTTTATTTGAAGCAGCGAAATATGGCACTGTCTTGTCATTGGGATTGTCCAGGAACGCTTTGACAAACGCATTGTCCACTGCAAAAAATATACATGATACTTCACCTAAAAGTATTTGCTCCAGTGCCATTACCGAACAAGAAGAACGGTATAATAATTAACCAAAACAAAATGTATTAATTAGTTCATTAGGAACGGTTTATTTGTTCAACTGCTTGAGAAATACACGGATATCGGGCTGCACATTGTCAGTCATACATTCTCTTTGGCTGAGTTATTTGCCATCTCTGGATTGCAATTTACCTCAAGGACAATCCAATCTAGTCTTAAGGTGACAACGAAAGACATACAAATGATATTAAACTTTTTTTTTAGGTTGCAGAGGAGTCAGTTAGAATTATTGACGGCATTTTTGGATCTAACGATACATCGCGTGCGATTGCTTCTATCATCACACTCGTCCACCGAGAGCTTGTTCAAGATCCAGAATTTGGTCTAGCAAAAGCTGGCAAGATTGCTATTCTAGCTGGACTAACAAAAGCCCTTACAGCATTTGCGGTACTACAAAATGTGACACATAAACGAATGATGAAACATATTCCCATGACAGTGTTATGGGAAGGATTAGTCACAGACGAAAAAGAAGACCAAATCAAACAAAACAACAGCCTGATTCAATTTAAAAATAAGACGCATTGTAACGAAAACAGACTGATTCTTCAAAGATTATTGAATAAAGAGGAACAAGAAAGCGATGCTCTTGTCTGTGACAATCATGCATACAAAGTTGCAGCAGAAACGACTTGCCTGACAACCAAAACAATCAGTATTGGTTCATCCCATTTGAAGAAGATTACAGTCAATACGAATCAAGAAAAAAATGCTGCTTATTTAGCCATGTTATATCAAAATTCTCGGCTGTTACTATCGGCACTAACTGAAAGACAATACAGACGCAAAATAGAGCGACCTGATAATCAACCAGTGTACCACCATCAACGTAGATTTTCTTCCCCTGGCGATTATTCTGGTATTAATTTCGATCTATCTACCTTAACAGCATTCCGGCCTTGTTTAACCCCAATACAGAAAAAATCAAGCTATCGCAACAATGATATGGATAATATCATGTATTATGACCATGGCTGGAATTTTCCTCAGACACACATTGTTCACAATATTGCTCATTTTATGAGATATGCAAGTGCAGCCTATGGTGAATCATTTATGCGCATCTTGGGTATTGGTGATATCCCTACTGTCTTACCCAACTCACACCATCATCACCCCAATCACCATGCATTTGCACATCATACAGGCAATTCTGTTGAAGATATTCTTCTATCAAGTTATACTAATAGATCACCACTCTATCTGCACAACCCTTCTATTCATGCACTGGTGCATTATGTTACTGTCGATCATGCTGCAAAAGCCATTGTATTAACTTGTCGTGGTACACTCGGACTAAGCGACCTTCTGACAGACCTCAGCTTTGATTATACTGACTTCAATTTGCCTAGTGAGTCAACCAAGTTTTTTAAGGCACATAGTGGTATGCTAGATGCAGCACAATTACTTGCCAAGGAGAAGGGTGAAGTATACCAAAAAATAAGGCAAGGGCTTCAAAGCTATCCTGACTACGGTTTGGTCATGTGTGGTCATTCATTAGGTGGTGGTGTTGCTAGTTTATTGTGTGTTTTGTGGAGTCAACAGATCAAACGCGATCAAGGTAATAAACGATTGCCTTCATTTGTCACTTCAAATCAATCTGGCTTGCCTGCAGGCCGACCAATTCATTGTTATGCTTACGGACCTCCTGGTGTCATGTCCCTTGAACTAAGCAACTACTGTGCTGGCCTCGTAACAAGTGTTGTCTATGGCTATGATATTGTTTCCAGTCTCAGTTGGGGTATTCTCAAGGATTTCAAAAATATTGCGACTAGTCTGCACACAGAGGCCGATGTTGCCGAAGAAATTATTGCACGCGTCATTGGAAGGATGCAAGAACAAAATTATAAAAATGAAGACGAATTAAATGAAGACGACCAATGGTTTTGGGCCATGATTAAGACAATGCGGGCAGATATGACAGCAGAAAAAATGTATCCCCCGAGTATTGTGTACTCAATAGAAACTATACCGCACGTTAAAGAACAGCACAAAGTAGTTCTTTATCGATGTGACGATGTACAGGCTCGCTTTTCAGAAATTGTATTTTCAAAAACAATGTTTATGGATCATTCGCCTTTGATGTATGAAAGAGCTATCAAGAAGCTATGTCGTAGTTTTACAGAATCATTTTCTGAATAGGCTTTACTCATTTACGTACTTAAACAGGAAAAGAAAGAAAAAAAAACACCCCCTCCTTATTTTGAATGTAACAAAAGATGAAATAAACTGATTGGCCAAAAAAATTAAAAACCAGAAGAAATTGTATATAAAAAGATCAAAGGATTCATTTCTCACCTCTTTTTCTCATTTTCTTTTTTTTTATCTGAGAGGCTTTTTAAATTATAAAAGGGGAAAAATTTTAAACATATTGCAATTTGAATCGGAGTTTTTTCATTTTAAGTTTACTATACACACTCTTATATACAACCCTTGTTTCCAATGGATTTATCAAGCATGCTAAATGATGCAGTGCCTGCTGCACCCAAAACACTGGCCATTACAAACAACAAACGTGCCAACAGTGACACTACCAAAAAAGACAACCAAACGCAAAATAGAGAAAATACGCATCATATTACCAATTCATCCTCTGCTGCTACTACACCTCAACCAACGAATAATAATAATGATCCTTCAACAAAAGGAAAGGCTGTAAGTAAACGTATAAAAAAGGAGAAAGGAAGTAGTCACATATTAATATTTTTTAGGTGGTCTATCAGCTAACTACCTCTGTGCACTACCTTGTTAGTAAAGATCCTTTGATCAACCGCAACCAAACATTAACTCCTCCTCCACGCTCTAATACAGCTACACCACCAGCACCAACAACAATAGCGACAACAACAGCACCATCATTGTCGACATCATCAGGCCGCCCAGTTGCTAATCTCTTGTCTTCTCCTTTTCGTCCTCCCTCTGAGCATAATTCACCAAGAATGAATGGTAAGTCATCTGTAACACAAACACATTTCTTATTTAATTTTATCCAGTGTTACCTGCTTCTCCTAATGGCTCTTTAGCGACAGTCAATCTCCTTCGTTTGGGACCCGCTGTCCGTAATGACCCATCCCTCTGGAAAACAAGACTTTCGCTTAAATTAGTGATTAACGAGCAACCTGTAAGCTTAAGACCCTCAAAAAAACCCAAAATCAATCACTCAGAGAATAACTTGGAGATACCACTTAAAATCCACGAAATCATCATTCGTGGTGACGAACCCAAAGTATTGCTGGAAGATGTTTATGAGATTCAAGGTGCTTATCCCCGTGGTTATTTTGTTATGATGGCAAAAAGAAATATTATGCACAACTTTGTGTTTGCCTATCCTGACCATCCTTGGTTCGAAGACTTGTATGGTTTACGTAAAAGTGCCTATATCTGTATGCGTACAGAAGAGGGTGAGCTTTATGAGTTACATTTAAAGCCTTCTCGTGATAAACTGTAAGTCATTTATATATCTTGTATATGTATTAATACATAAATAGGTTTTTGTTTGGTTATATGATCAAACATAGCGACATGATTCGTATTGTCAAGGACTCTATGAACGAAATTGTTTACCAACAAAGAAAGCTTCCTCTTGTTCTTGACTTGGATGATACCCTTGTTCGCTTAGTTGGTGAAGGCAATGACCGATATGTGCCTGAGGCTGAATTACCCAAATGCCGCGATAGAGTGGCTAATTTAAAAGATGGACGACGTGTTGTATTAACTGAACGAGTCCATGAATTCTTAGAATGGGCACAAAACCTGTATGATATCTCTGTCTGTTCACTAGGGTAAGTCTTTGTTTGGTATTGTCAGCATTTACTTATTTTGTATAGTGACCAAAACTATGTTGAAAATGTTGTTGAAGTGTTAGACCCTAATCGTACTCGTATTCGAGGCATTTTGTATTCAGCACGTATGGAGCATGACTACATCAAGAAATCACCAGATCCTGGTCGTCCCCCCAAGGATTTATTGGCTCTTTATTCTTTCTGTGCACTTAAAGACCGTTCTATTGGTTCTGCATTCTCACTACCCTTAATTTTAGACGATGAAACACGTATGTGGCCTGTGGATCAACACGATAACATTATCGAAGTGATTAGCCAAAGAAATGCGCCTGTGTGGTCTGTCTCTCTATTTCCTGTTGTAAAAGATACTTTAGAGCATATCCATGCTCAGTTTTTTAGACAATTCGATAGTTGGACTGCTAAATGTCAAGAAGCAGAACAATATGGTACTGTTTGTACACGCTTACCGCCCAGTGCAGTTGCTATCTACAAAACATATCTCAGACATATACTTAGAGATTTAATTGCCAAGGGACCGTATTTATACAACACAAACAACCACCATAATAATTACGCATCTAATAACCATCACTAAAGCATTCCTTTTATACACCTATACATATACACACGCACACAAACACACATCCAGAGATTGTAAAATATATATTTATAGTCAACTCTTTTGCATATAAATGTAAACTGTTTGTTTGAAGTGAGTAGTTTGCTCTCAACAGCACAAGTGCAACTATCTTGATGGGGGACCGGCACTTTGTTTATGCATAGGGCTCTCTCGTTTTGACATGGTCGATCCAATCAAAGACTGTGATTTTAAAGACTGCTTTTCATTAAACGAGGTCACAATTTTATAAAATTATTCTCGAGTAAACGATTTTTCTTCTTTCTTTCTTGATACATTCATGGCTCGTCAACAGAAAAAGAGTACACCTAAGAAGCCCTCTCATAACTTTAAGGGAAAGAAGCATGCAAATGAAAAAGCTTCTCTTGCCAAGTCCTTTAATCGTGACGTTTTTGTTGCAGAAGAAGAAGACGATCGTCGCAAGGGACACGATTTTGATGAAGTTGAGAATCTCGAATACGACGCTGGAGAAATTGCTGAAGAAGACGATTCTGAAATCGATTCTGACGAAGCTTTCGATGAGTCTGATGAAGAGCGTTTTGCAGACTATAAATTTGCTGAATCCAGCAAGGTATGTTAAGCATTAAAAAAAAAGACAAGCGGGATTAATCTATGGATTCCCTTTTATAGAAAAAGAAACCTGTCAAAAAGACAAGTACTTTGGATGAAGGCGAAATTGATATGAATGAGGATTCTGATGAAGAAGACGATGGGTCTGATGTTGACGGTGAAGGTTTTGTTGATCTTTCTCAAATGCTTGAAAACAATGACGACGAGGATGAACCAATCCAACAACAACTAGAAGAAGACGACGACAGTGAGGACGATGAAGCATTCCGTGGGTTTGATGATATTGAAGATGAAGAAGAGTCTGAAGATGATAAAGACATGGAAATTGATGAAGATAAAGTCGCTGATCTTATTAGCAGTTTAGACTCCAAGAAGCGTAGACGTGCTAATGATGAAGAAGGCAATGCAAAGAAACGTCAACTCAAAGAAAAGAGCGAAGCTTACAAAGAAAGCGAATTTAACTTGACCACTCGTGAAGAAGACGATAATTCCAAGAAATTAAGTCTTTCTGATTTAATGGGTACTGTGGAAGATGAATCTAGTCTTGGTGTCTTAAAGACTGGGTTAGAAACCTTAGCTGGCAAAGGCAAGAACTTGACTCGTCGTGCTTTAGATGCACCCTTAGCAAAGCGTGTCCAAGACCGTCTTGAAAGACAAGCTGCTCTTACTTCTGCGAATGAAGAAATTTCTAAATGGCAGCCTACTGTCAAAATGAATCGTGAAGCTGAACATCTTGTTTTCCCTATGCAAGATACCAGTGTTGCTCCTAAAGAAAGCCGCACAAGTGCTGCCATGGCAAGCAAATTTAAGGCCGAAACTCCCCTCGAACAACAAATTGCTGAAGCTCTTGCTCAAGCTGGCATGAAAGATGAAGAACTAGAAGAGTTTGAAGCTCTTAAATTAAACAAGTTGACAGTGGAAGAAGTAGAAGCTAGACGTAAAGAGCTTCGTATGATGCGTGAATTGATGTTCCGTCATGAAGTTAAGAATAAGCGTCTTAAGAAGATCAAGAGTAAAAGCTACAGAAAGTTACAGCGTAAAGAAAAGGAGAAAATGGCTCTCCAGATTAATGAAATTGATCATGAGATGGATCAAGAAGATAAAATGGAGGCTGCCATGAGTAGAGCTGAAGAGCGTATGACATTGAAACATAAGAACACTAGTAAATGGGCCAAGCGTGCTTTAGCTCGCGGTACTCAAGATGAAGGAACTCGCGAAGCTATTATGGAGCAGTTGCGTCGTGGTGAAGAATTGCGTCGTCGTATTGGCGATGATGATGAATCGGAACAAGAAAGTGATGAAGCTGAAGATGATGAAGAGTATGTAAACAACCAATTGAGCAAATTGAACGAAGAATTCAATCAAGATACCCAACCTACTAAAGGCTTGATGTCCATGAAGTTTATGCAAGATGCTGCCAAGAGACAATTAGATGCTACTAAACAAGACCTTGCTACATTTGAAAAAGAATGGCTTGCTGCAGATAGTGATGATGATGATGTAGAAAAGAAGGAGGAGCATTATACTGTGATTGCTAACAATCCTGGTCGAATGGCTTTTGGTGCTAAAGCCAAGCAAGTGAAGAAGTCCTCAGAAAAAGAAGAGGAAGAAGAAGAAACTATCAAAATCACTGTCAATGAAGGCGGTCAGATTAAAAAGGTTTCTCATTCTGCTGCACACAACACTCGTACCACAGCACCTGTAGAAACCAAGAACAAAAGCCCCTTGGCTGATTTGGATAACGATGTAACCAATCCATGGCTTCAAGCTGATACATCTCGGCTTGCTAAGAAGGCTTCTAAAAAGAACAAGGTCACAACAGGTCAAAATGAAAGCCGTGTTGAGCACAGCTTATCTAAATTAAACAAGGCCAAGAAAGATATTGAAGCAACCAACGACACAGACGACGTTGAACTTGACCTCACTAAAGTGATGACCATCAAGAAGAAGTCAACACCTGCAAAAGCCAGTGTGGCTTCAGCTAAGCTTGCCAAGGGTGAATCCGAATCTGAGTCAGAAGACGAAAGCGATGATGAAAACGAAAGCAATGTACAAATGGTTCATAAAGATAGAGTTTCGTTCAATCAAAAAGAGCTTGTTGCAAGAGCATTTGCACACGACGACGTAGTGACCGAATTTGAAGATGAAAAGAGAGCTGAAGTGGAAGAAGATGGCGATAAAGTAGAAGATTTGACTTTGCCTGGTTGGGGCTCTTGGGGTGGTGCTGGCGTCAAAAAGAATAAAAAGAAGAAGATTTTGAAGGTGACAAAAGGCATTGAAGCTGATAAGAGAAAGGATGCCAAGTTATCTCATGTCATTATCAATGAAAAGATGAACAAAAAGGTAATTGCCTGTGCTTGGAAACAAGTATACTGACTATATTTTTTAGGCTGAAAAATATCAAACTACTTCTGTGCCTTTCCCTTTCAAGACAATGGAACAATACGAAAGATCTATTAGTACTCCTGTTGGTAGTGAATGGAACACTCGACAAACTTTCCTGAAGTTGACTAAGCCTAGAGTCATCACTAAGCTTGGTAAAGTCATTGATCCTCTCAAAGCTCCCTTTGCATAATAACAATAGATATATACATTCATACATTTCATTTCATGTAAAGCAAAAAAGAATAATTATTTTTTCAGCTGCGCTTTGTTTTTATTTGACTTTGTACCTCTTTTGCAGAAGTCTTACGGACATAAAAAAACGACTTACAGTTCTTGATGGAAAAGAATTCATTATTAATGTGTTTCTTTTTCAAGCCAAACTAGATTCAAATAAGCAAGCACAGCAATAAATCGAGAGCATTTTAAGTTCCTTAGAAGTTTAAAAAGATAATAATCCATGACTCAGAAAAGGCGATCAGTCGTATCCTATTAAACCATTTGGGATAGACGATTTTGCCTTCATTGGTGAAGTTATTCTGTTGGAAGAACCATTCGCATGTATAACATGTATTGATCAAGATACACGGGAATTTGCAACTATGACTATGCTAATAACATTTATTAGCACAATCAAACCATTTCTTGTTACCTCATTGCGATACTATAGTCTCGCCCAATTTTTATCTGGTTTCTTGATTTTAATCAGTAGTAAATGGGCTTTGTTTGTTACTTTTGTTACTTGCTGGTTATTTTCTAGTCTGACAATGTTTTTTTTTTTTTTTTTTTTTTTTTTTTTTAGTTAGTAGCTGAATGTCTATTTAACAAGTAAGCAGACATGATTTTCTTTCTTTAGGCTTTTTCTTATGAACCATATGTACGCTTTGCCTAAAAGCTAAAAACAAAAGCTGAGAGACACTCTAATTCTCTCTTCAGAGAGTAGACATTTCTGCATATACATATTTTGAAATGGTTGTAGCTACACTTTATTAAAGAAAAAAACTCATGTGGAAAAAATAAAATATTAAAGCAGATGAAACAGGTATTGCATATGTGTGATATTGCTGCAAGTGTGTATGATATTGAAGTGGAGGCAATAGCCATGTTTTAGTGATAAATAAGAGTGAACTCAACTGTAATGGGTTGGTAGCTGCAGATATTGTCGGACGAGAGAGTCCAGTAAAATTTCATATAGTGAATGTTAAAGGAATGAAAGTTAGATCATAAGTGCCTACATGCCATTTGGATTATTGTATTGACTATCAAATTTATTGCGACGTATATTTATAAGATTGATGGCCACAACATCAGATAGACTATAAATACGCAAGTCTAACATGTGATTATATTTGGAGCTAAAACATGTTCAAGATCAGAACAAATCTACCATAAATACAAAGTTTTATAATAGGAATCCACTCAAAAATTGTTATACATCATTAGATGTCATTTAATAGCAAGGCGCGGCATAAGTGAACATGAGTGAGTATGGAGTAACATAAATGTATAGAGAAGAATATACACACATTGGTATATTTAGCGAATTTATTTTCATTGGGTAGTGCTAAATTTTGCGAGTTTTTTTTTATTGCTGAACTATTTTTTTTGTTATAGATTGTAAGCTTTGCCGCTTAACGCTTCTTTGTATAAATTGAGAAAATTCACAAAAAAAAAGATACTTAGAGTAACTACAGAACTTGTAAACATTAGATCTTTTCGATGGGTGCAATAGATTTTCAAAATTAAAAATAATAAAAACATTAACATTTATGCCGATATGGCAAGTATACCATTTGTGTACTCAAAAAAATATTTTTTGAAAAATAATAAAAACCACTGTTTTAAAATAAATCAAAAATATTTTCTGCAAGAAAAACCATAAAAAAGTAGAAAATTTCTGATTTTTTTTACCTAAAATTTGAAAAAAAGCTTAATTTTTCAATTTTTCTTTTTTGAAAAAATAAACATGTCTACCAGATGATGATCTTACTGTTTTAGTTTAAAGAAGGGATTGCTGAGTGGTAGACATGTTCTTTAATTTAAAAAAGAAAAATTGAAAAATTAAGCTTTTTTTCAAATTTTAGGTAAAAAAAATCAGAAATTTTCTACTTTTTTATGGTTTTTCATTGCAGAAAATATTTTTTTTATTATTTTTCAAAAAATATTTTTTTGAGTACGCAAATGGCATACATGTAATTTCGGCATAAATGTTAGCGGGGTTTAAACGTATCAGATATTCTGAAGATACTCTCTCAAGCTTTGTACATCCATCATGCAATTGCTGAAGTTCCTGGAGCGTTCGTCATCTTTGTAACTGTCATTATTATGGCCTACTCATTGGTTTTTGGATTTGTCTGCGTCGCTAGCACTACAAGCCAAAACAAGCTCTACACTACCACTCCCCACCGTCAAACAGTCCTTTTTAGTGGCAGATATATTTTGTTACAACGCTACCGCAGGTCTGCTGGAAGTTTACCGCTCTTCCATTAAGTACAGGCGTAGCTTTTGGTTCGGATCTTTGATTCTCTTTTCTTGCCCTATCCGTCTGACACTGTCAGCTGCATGTTGCATGCGGCACTTCAAGCTAAATGCGTTTTCCCTTTTAGTCCTGTGTTGCCTTCTTTCTCACAATACCCTGATTTGACTAGTTATCTCTCATGATATTTCCTTTCATCCCACCACAATCCTTAGATTTATTCGTGGTTCTCTCGATTCTTTAATTGACGAGAAACACTTACACAGTCGCCTATAGTTAAATCCTTTTCTGTCTCTTTCCCTATGTACCTGTTTAAATTGCGACTACTCCTTGATAGGCTTTCATCCTAGTTTACGTGGTGCAAAAAATAACAACAACAATAATAATAATAATAATAATAATAATAATAATAACATTTTGATATAATATTTTTATAACGAATTTAATATTTTGGTAACAATTTTAGTATTTCTATAACAGTTTGATACCTTTATAAAATTTCATTAAATGAAGAAAATAAAAAAGAAAATGAAAAAAAATATGATAATTTTCGATAAATCTTTAATTGCTTTAGCTGTCTTTTTTGTTGATATATAATAAGAGAAAAAAAAGTTCTACGAAATCTTGAAGCATTTCGTTCTAAAGAAATTGTATTTGAAATTACTTACATGTTAAGAAAACCATTTCATAGTAAAGACCATTTCAGAATCTGTATATGTAAGTTAGAGAATAGTTTGTTTTCTTGTAGGAGAAAAGAAGTAATAGAAAAATTATTTGTTTGTGTACCTTTCAGGTATAAGACTGCATTGAGAGTTGTGCAATCAAAAATTAGGCACAATAGCTTACGTTTGTACACCTATTGATTGGCTGGTCTATTCAAGCTAGTTCCCCAAGGTGTTCAAAAGGCGATCCATCGAGATGTACTGCTAGTGTATCAAGGCTGTCACTCCTTGGTTCTGCTCTGTTTTTGTTGGTAAGCTCCGCGATGACCAGGGTTTACTCTACTTATAGTGGTTTCCTAGGTGTCTACAAGGTTTTTTATTAAGGCATACTGATGTTCCAAGGCTTTTTCTCTTAGCTTTGATTCTCTTTGGTGATTTAGAGGATATTTATTGAAGGCTTGGCAAGTTTTCGTAGTTTATGTTTACTTTTTTGAGTCTTCTTGTTTCTGTTTGCGAGTTTGATCAGCCCTTGTTTAGACAAGGGAAGGATTTGAAAAGATTTAATCATTATAATCAAATAAACAACATATTTGTGTTGTGTATGTCTTTCTTTTTTGTTGTCTTTGCGTTGCATCAGCCGAGATAGTTGACCCTCCTTTCTTCGTTTATACTTTATATTCTATTTGTGTTTTATTAACCCTAAAGAAGGTAAGGTAAGGGGTTTTTTAGTCTTTACAAATATTGTATTGCTGATTAGTCAACAGTTTATATCTTTTCTTTTTTTTCTTACCACCATGCTCAATGCTGCTTTGATTACCAGGTATATGTTGAGCTTAGTGCTTGTTTTTCTTGTTTCTTTGACTGATAAAAAGTCTGATTGCGTCTTTAATGCGATCCATGGCAGAGTCTCTTGCTTCACAGTTAGCGCATACCTTTAACTAAATCTGGTGCTTTCACACTGTTCATTTATCTTCTGTTATTGACGCAAACACTCCTAAGTAAGATCCACATGTGCAGTCCGCTTATATAACGACTTTATTTGCTCAAGTCTGTTGTCGTATTAATGTTTCTCATCTTCGGTGTGGTTTGAGTAGAGTTTATTTCACTTGTCAAACTATGGTGATGTTGTCTTCATATGCTACACTATTACGTTTTGCTTTCGCATACTTGATTTTTGGCTGCTAGTCTTTTTGTTCATTTATTCTTCTTCTCTTCTTCAACTTGATCAAAAAGTGGTTGTGATTTTTAACTATTGTAAAAGAGAAAAAAAACCAGGATTTGAAGTAATGAACCCTCCTTTTGCATGATATTCATCATCTGTGATATCCAAAGCTGTTCTTCTTAATCTCAAAAGCGTTAATTAACGTAACGGATCTTTCTCATCTATATTTTTCCTATCGAATGGTAAGAATATATGTCAGCTTACTAAGCAGTAGATACTGAAAAGAGCCTCTTTTACACTGATTACAGTGTATCACGAACTTTGGATGCAGATTCAAAGACAATGCTCAAATTGAGTCAACCTTTTCCTTTGAGTAGACTTGCTTTCTTTTCGTCAGAAGTACCTAAAGGTATCGATTTCAGGAAATGTGATGTCCTTTGCATGAGTTAATAAAATCAATGATGTCTTACACTGGAGTGAATTTATTTATCATATATTTTCCTCATGAAGAACGCATTAAATAACAATAAGGTGCGGTCAACTGCTAAAACATTTTTGATAAGTAAATCCAGTTCTCTCTTCAATTGAGAATTGGAATATTCCGCTTTTTATACGAATATATATTAACTTAAATTCACTCGCCTATGTATGGAGACACCATTGTTCAATAAAGAGCCATTTGCAACATAAAACGCAAATGAACACTTAGATTAATCCTCAAGATAGCGTATAATGAAAGCAAAAGTAAAGCTCTTCATTTTATTCGAGATACTCTTACAGTTCAAGCAATAAATAATGATTTATTTCAGAGTTTATAACAAAAAGAATGCTTGTTCTTCTTTTTTTTTGAGATAAATATGAAGGTGATATACAGGAGGGGTAACGTCATATAAAAGAGAGCCAGCTCTTTTTTCATGTTCTTTCTAGGCAGAAACAGCAACGGATTTATCCTTCAAAATGTGTGGTTCAGAATATTGTAAAGATTTGAAGCGCCATGAATCGTCTTGGTTTTGAGGTCGTAGCTGTGACAAGGAAGACTTTTGAGAAAGCAGAGGTGTATCAGGCAGCCTAGGATGATGAAAAGAAGAGACAGAAGATCTGCTATAGTTTGTCATTGCAGCCATAACAGAATGAGCATCCATGATGACGCGGCCGCAGCATAAGTCTTGATCAATCCAGTTAGGCAAGCGAGCTTCTCCAGACTTATAAGTGTGCCACCAGCGTGTACGTCTTAGGGTGAAGTAGTTTGGTTGATGGCAAGTAATGAGTTCAGGCTGGTCATATAAGATTTTTGAAAAGTCATCTTCCAAATTATAAAGCGATAACTCGAGTAATACATCAATTTCGTTTGGGTTATCGTATTTGATATGCTTTTTCACAGTTTTATCTTTTCTAACGACAATCTTAGTAAAGCCTTGACGTCTCAAGTGCTCTATTTGCTTATTGGTGGTTTTATCAAGCTGAAGCCATTGATTTTTTTGCCATTCGACTTCATAAATAGGTTTGAATGGTTGAGTGATACGGCGACGTTGAAATTTACGTTGATCGGAACAACTCAAGCTGTAGCGCAAGAATTGATGAAGTGGTACAATGTCTTTTTCGTGATGGTCACTAATACTTGCACTACAATGGCTGTTTGACTCGTCCTTGTAATCTTTGCATTGATCTTGTACCAGAATCGTTTTTTGGTGAAGACTGATAGGATTAGAGTAAACTTCCTGAGTGTTTTCTGTCTTCTCTTTAGCGGAACCAAAAAAAAGTGCAGAAAGCCATGTTTTAGAGGATTTGCTTGACATTTTTTCTTGAATGTTTACTTTTTGTTTTCTAAAGAGCGTTTTTTGTACAAATTTTGTCCACCGGTTGCTTTTTTTAGTTTCTTGACCTGATAATGTATTCATATTGTAAGAAAGTAAATGATAAAAGAAAGAAAGACAGTAAAAACAAAAATAAATCAAAGGGTTCTCCATTTTATATGTAATAGTTTGTGGAACTCAACAACAAGCTGTTGTTCGTCATTGTTTCTAAACTCTTTAAGTTTAGCATCGGTCCACATTTTCCTGTGCAAGAAAAGGAGTCTCGTGTCCGAGACACTTTTAATAACAGCAAAAAAGACATATGAACGAGCCACTTTTTTTTATCATGGTTAACGGAAGTAAACCTAGTTAGCATCCGAGCGCAATGTGGATCAGCATCATATCTTTTTTTATCTAAAAATCAACACTGTCCCCTTAATTATATTTCTCTATTCCTTTTTTTGATAAATTCTGGAACTTCAAATATAGAAACCCCCTATTGTTTACAAAACAGTATATACCGAGAGCATCAAAATACAGACACAAGAAATAAAGACAGACCGTGTAACCATACGTTTATAATTACACATGTATATTTTCACACAATAGTTCCATTTGCTTCGGGCGGCTTTCGTCATTTACTCGGCTTGTCAAAAGATATGTCAGGATAGACAAAGAATAATTGTCGGAGGGGATATACTGATACGATATACTGAGTTAGTGCTAAACAAGGACTCCTCTCACATGTTACAAATCATAATAGTTTATTTACAAATATATGAGTATATATTTCAAGAGATGAGTATTAGCTTCTACGCAGCAAATTGTAGTATACAAGATAGTATTTTTTTTCTTCCAATTTTATAATCATCATCCTCTTCTCTTGTTCAATATGGGGGTGACTTGGCCGAGTTTTCAGCTTTGACCATTTTCAGTGTAACTTGATTTCCATCTCCATCCGTTTTTACGTATTTGTCGCCATCAATGAAACCGGAACCAGAGTTTGAAGATCTATTTGTCACAGTACTGCTGACGCCACTTCCTCGTCTAATAATAGGCGTACCTACTACAGGGCCCATGGGTGAACCACTGCGAGTAGTTACAGAAAAAGAAGGTTCCTCGCTTATAGGATCATTGAATGTATCTACTGTCAAGTATTGTGTTGTGCCTGTCTCAGATTTAGTAGCTAGTCCATCGCTATGACCATGGTCTAGAAGGTGATTAGAAAGAGATGAAAAATTTTGTTTTGTATATTACCTTTCATAAACCTAAATAAAGTAACACAAAAAATGATATCATGTTAGTCAAACTTGTATTTGTGATAACCGATAAGGCTTACTTTGACAATTCTTCCCATCCTCCTCCAACTCTGACCATGACTAACTTGCTAGGCAAAATACGACAATACACTAGCCTGGGATGATCATCGCCAAACCAGTATTTACCAGCTTCACCTGGTACTTTCTTAACCTTCATACGGTAGGGACTTTGGTTGACAATCATACCAAGTTGAGTATCAAGCTCGCTTTTGGGATCAAAAACATAGGGTGTGTGCTTGCCTGATGAGCTACTGGAAGTACTTGGTCTTTTACCTGTAGAACTATTTGGTGATGTCATTTTCATTTCAGTTGAGAGAGTAGAGGACCGAAAGTTGCGTGGACCAGAAGGTGGCAGCTGAGCAGCAGAATTGGATTTACTACCTCTTCGCGATCTTCTCTCCTTAGGTACAGATTTAGCCATGGCTAATTTGGTAAAAAACTCATGATTGAGTTCTTTAATACAAGTTTGCAATTCTTTTTCTCTTGATGAAATTGAAGTTTGAACATCTGCCCAATCTTTCATTATTTTTTTGATTCGAAGAGCTACTCTTTCATTGTCATCCAAAAATTGCTTTTGAGATTCAGACTTGGCTTTGACTAACAATTGTGTGATACTAGGCTCACTCTTCTTGGCAGCAGTCGTCAAAGTCTTAAGCAGCGTTTGTAGATCAGCCTTATTGAACCTAGAGCCAACTACACTAGCATGCTGGGTGGATGTATCTTCAACTACTTTGGACAATGTTTGTATTTCTGTGTCAATTTGATCTGTGATACCAAAGAATTCAGTGATACTTCCTTCTGTGCGAGCTTGCTTTTGACGATGCTTAACTAGCTGACGTAGTTCTTCAATAGACCTCACAAGTCTATCACGTTGGTTCTTGAGAGTTGATTCCGATCCAGTAGAAGAAGTGACTTCACTGTGGCTGATGGCTTTCAACAAAACATTAATATCAGCAGCATTCTTTTTGAGTGTGGTGTCAATTTCTTCTTGAATCTCATCTAATTCTTGTTCTTCTACAGAAATGTTTTTTCCAGACAATTGTAGCACTTCAATTCTATCCTTCAAGTCATCAACATATTTAAGTGACTCAGCCAACTTTGTTGATAATGCCTGGCGCTTGTGAATAACATCCAATCTTTCTCTAGTTTCATCTGCAGAAGACTTGATTTCAATCCATTTTCTGTTCATATCTTCTCTACGCTTTTCAACAGCTTTGTTGAGGGCATTGACTCGAGACACACTAATACGCTTGTTAATGTTCTTTTTGATTTCATTGCACTTTTGATAAAAGTCTTGAACAGATGTTTCAATAGAATCATATCTTTGCATAAAGTCTCTTAATTCAGGGATATCTTTGGTACGAGTTCCTCTAGGTGTTGTTCTACCACTGTTGTAGGAGCGAGACACACTTGACTTGAGATCAGCAATAGATCTACTGATTTCTTTATCAAACTTGACTAGACGAGACAACAATTTGAGAGATGTTATATAGTCACTTTCAATCTTGAGTACGCCTTTAAGATCATTAAGCAACTTATCCAGGCCATGCTTGCAGCTCTCAATCTCAGTTTGAGGATGTTCATAAGTCTTGACTAGTTTTGTAGCTTGATCAGAAATAACACCATCATATTTGGTTTTTCCATCGTTATAGTTGTCTTGAATATGAGATAAAGCAGCACTATAAACACTAATAATGTTGTTGATTGAATCCAGCTTCTTGATATGATTTTCAGGGTTGGCAATTGATTGTTGACGAATGTAAGAAATCTGATCCTCGCATACCTTTGAGGCTTTAGCAACTTCAGCCTTGAAAGCTTCAAGTAAAGCTGTCCTTTCCTTGTCAGATCTTCTTTTTTCAAGCACTTGCTGAATAGAATTTTTGAGATGATGTATTTGTTGACTACGAGCTAAGAATCCAGCCTTGTTGACTTCATCTTGAGACAAATCCTTAGTATTCTTGACAGTATTTTCAAGTTCTTGATGACTCATGGATAGTTTGTTCAATTGCCTTTCATACTTATGGACTTTACTATTTGTAGCAGGGAAAGACTGTTGGTCGTTGCTTAGGACCTTTTTCACGTCAGCATTCAATGTTTCCAAAGTACTCTCGAGCCTATCTAATTCATCACAGCCTTCAATCCATTTGGAAGTTCTTGTGACAAACGCAGCGAGCTCGGCAGTCTTTTCTTGCAAATCTTGCCAAACATCTTCCACTTGTTGTTGGATTGATTCACATTCATGAGTATTCACGTTTTGAACTTTGATACCAGTATAGTAAGAGCAAGAATCATCATAAAATCCTTGACACTCCAAAACTGACTCCTTGATTTGCTTGTGACGGCTGCTCAATTCTTTGAATTGTAGAATCCTTTCTTCAGATGTTTGTTTGTCCGTTATAAGACTAAATCTTCCTTTTTGTACCTCTTCAATAACAATGATGAGCTTCTTTGCAGAGTTATGGAACAATTCGGAATTTTCAGCATGTGTATTTCGAAGACGACTTGCGTTGATAATATCATACAAGCCTGCAAGTGTTGCTCGAATCTCCAAAATAGTATCGCCAGCAAGGTCCAGCTTTGACATTAAGGATTCAATCATATCAGCACTGATGTTGTGCTTGAAATCCTTAATCTCAGTGTGAAGACGATCATATTCCTTGGCCTCCAATAAATCAATTCTTTTCTGCCATTCGCTGATTTGGTTATCAGTGACAAGAGATTCATCCACACCTTTGATTTGTGATTTCAATGCTTCGAATGAAGCCATAAGACTATCGATACGGCTATTCAATTCAGCAGGCAAGAGAGCAATAGACAAAGCATTAGACACTTCTTTTGTTTCTAACAGCAAATCGTCCCATTGACGACCGATGTCTTCAAAACTATCAGCAACTTGATCATATTCAATCATTTTGTCTTCTTTTTCTTCTTCACCAAGAAGAGTTTGCTCATCAAATATTTGAATGTATTCATCTCTGTACTTGCAAAGTAAAGTAAAATGATTGTCGGTAGCTTCCATAGCAGTCTGGATACTATCTGCTTCACTAACGGCATCTCTTAGATGATTGATATCTAAGGACAAGTTACTGTCATCTAGAATATATACACTCTTTTCCAAGATATCTCGTCTTGAAGAAATCCAAGTTTCGCAAGCTAAGACTTGTCTGTTGAATGTCTTAAAACTGTACTGTAAGCGAGTAAGGATCTCTTGAGACTTTAACAAAGCTGTCAGGCTTTCAACCAACTCATCTAATCTTCCAAGTCGAGTAGAAATCACATCTTGAATAACAGAGTTCATAGTCTTATCCTTGACTTTAGTGGGCATAGCAATATCATCTTCGTTTGATCGCTTGGGAGTAATGATATCCTTGGAAGTAAAGATTTTGATTTGATCTACTTGAGAACTAAATTGCTTTATCTTCATGGTAAGGTCAGCAGCAGAGGAAGTTTGTTGAAGTACAGTAGATGATAAAAAGATTTCTCTGATAGCTTCTGCTTGTTTTTCCAAATTAGATGCCTTATTCAAGAACAGATAGATCTGTTTCTTTTGAGCTACCAAGTCGCGAGCAAAGAGAGTATCAGCATCAATATAATGCTCCACTTGAGCCAATGCATCAATCTTCTTTGTGTGTAACTCTGACATAAACCCAGGCTTTAGAGAGTTGGAAATATTTTGAAGCTTTTGATGGGTCTGTTTAATACTAGACAAGGTGGATTCACGATACTTTTGAAACTTAGTTTTTTCTTGATGCCATTCTGCTTCGATAACTGAGATATGTTGTTGGTATTGTTTAGCCGAGATACATTCATTTGAGTTCCATCGACATCTAGTTTCAACAAAAGCAGAGATTGACTTTTTGTATTGATCAAGTTCAGCCATGGCTTCCTTGATGTTCAACTCAAGCTTGCCGCGTTGTTGTATATACTCTAATTCTTGTTCTCGCCAAATAAGAGCATCCTCCAACTTCTTCAAGGCACGAGTGAGCACTTCCATACGCTCTTGCATATGCACTGGAATAGTCTTTGTAAGTGGCAGCTTTACAAAGAGAGACTTGAGTTGCTCATACTGTGCTAAAAGAGAGCTCATGTTGTCTTGCCAGAAACGTTGACATTGATCAGCAATATCAGAGCGTTCTTGGATCAATTCCTGAATATGTTGTTCAGAAAGCATGTCTTGTTGAGCGACACATTTGTTCTTTTTGGAAACATATTGCTGAAGTTGATGGTTGACAAAATCCAAACGAGTTTGGTTCTCTTCTAGATCATTTTCCCATTGTAAGCGGTTTTCAGCAGTATCCAAGACCAAATATTGAATAGCGCTTGTCTGGTGAAAGACATGTAATGCACGAGAAACATTTTCTGAATAGATTTTGCAGCTTTCATTGACTTCTTCAATCATAGAAACAGCTTTACTAGAGACTTCCTGCATTAGTTGCTTCAGATTTTGTTCGAAATCAGCGATACGTGTAGATTCCAATTGCTGAATTCCAGAAACTATTTTAGCATTGCTAGCACGACACTCGGACAATTTTGCAGTTGTGACAGTAAAGCTTGAAGCAACTGCAACATCAATTTGATGTTGGTTTAAGATTTGGACTGCCTTATCAATACAATCTTGAATCTCATTGGATTCTAGTTGATATTTAACGAGTTTAGCTTTGATTTCATCAGTGTTGTGGTATGAAGTCAAAAGCTTTTCCATGGACTCACCAAGTCTAGTCAAATCATCTAGCTTTTTGTACATTAAAGACTCAACTTTGTTCTTGTAGTCTTCTGCGCTAATCAATGTCTGGGGTTGGTTGACTTCAAACCAGTTACCGCCTGTCAATTGCTTCATAGATCTTCCACTTTCACAAAGCTCATTGATTTTAGTCAATGCTTCCTTGATACGTTGCTCCATCTTTTGATTGTCTAACAAAGTATCGTCAGGGGCAGAATTTAATTGAGAATTGCCATTAGTAGTTCTTGTAGATGACGATGCTTCTCGCAAAGAGTTTTGAATGGCTCCTTGAGCAAGTTCTCCTTCTTTTTGCACAATATGAGATGATCGCATAAAGTTCATCAAGAAGTTACTTTGATCCATCACATCATGTACATATTGACAGAGCAAATACACATCCTCTGTTCTTTGCTTGATATCCTTTTGCTTGAAAGAGATATGAATAGGCACTCCATTTCCTTCTTGACAGTTATTGTATTGATCATAGGCATCACATAACTCGTTGTAAGCATCATCAGATACCAAAATAGCATGCTTAGTCTTCAGACTATTCACATGCTCAGAGAGTTGACTAAAAAGCTCTTCTCGGTTGACTTCAACTACTTGAGAACCCATTTCCAAGTCACTATTCCTCTTCTTGAGACCATCCACATCATATTGAGCAAATCGGTTGTCAAAATCCCATAAACGATGAGCGAGGTCCTTGACAGCCAAATCAGCTTCCTCCCATTGACCTTCCCAGGCAATACGTTTTCTTAATGCCTTTATTTCTAGCACACGCGAGGCCAAGGTTTCTTTAAGATCGGCCAAAGCTTGTTCGAGGCTCTCAATACCGTTGATAAGAGCGCTTTGATCAATAGATACAGATTCTGTCGTTTCAATCTCAAGTTCAATAAGACGCACAGCATCTACTGCCTTTTTTATGTCACCTGACTCCATATGCTCCAAACGAACTAAAATACCATCATGCTCTTTTTCAAGACGATGAAACGTATCTTCTTCCAAGTCAATGAGATTGTTTTCATCCAATAAAGTAGCAGCATCAAACTTTTGGATTGCTCGAAGCCGTTCTTCCAACCAAGTGGTGATGCGCAAAAGATCATCAAAAGCAAGGCTTGCACGCTGCTGCAGAGATAAATTTTCGCGATGAGAAGCCAGCAACTCTTCTAATTCCTCTGTAATTTCAGCAAGACAGGTAGAATACTCGTTCATGCGACTACGGATCATATCATTTGCGGTCTCATTCTCTTCTCTTCTATCTTCAAGAGACTCGTCTGGTATTTCCGGATAAGGAATGCGCTTAAGCAATGTGGTTACCCAATAAGAGGAGTTGTCTTTAAAGGCTTGTACACGTTCACTAAAAGAACTACTATCACCACTACTATTGGAAGATGCAGTACTGTGAGCCATGGCAAGCTTAAGCTTTTCACCTTCAGCCTTAAGTTTGCGAAACTGTGAGGCAATATCATTGATGACTAAATGCTGCTCCACCATCTTACGAGTAAAGGCACACTGTTTCATGACCCATTCAAATAAACTCTCAAAAGCTTCTTGGCGTTGTTCCATGTGGTTAGGAAGGGATTTTCCTTCAAGATCTTCCATTTCTTGATAGGTATCCAAAACAGCCGAGAAGTCGCCTTTGTCGAATTCAGCAATACTGTTCTCCAACACTACCAACGTCTGAATAATCTCTTCATTTAGCTGCTTTAAATGATGTGCAGTGGCTTCTTCATCGACAAGTTCTTTCCAACGTGCTTTGCCGTTCATGAAATTAATGATTTCATCGCTTTTATGTTTAATCCATTGAGTGGCAGCAGCCATTAAACTTTCCCATTGAACACGCACACGCAAAAGATCAATGACTTTTGATCTAGCACGCAACAAACTCATCAATCGGTTCAAAATAGTAAGTGTCGTCAATGTAATTTCAATAGTAGAAGCATCAGCAGGACTTAAGTTGTATTCAGCAGAGCCTGTCAAGAGTCGTACATGAGAACGAAGCCGAGTCATATCATCCTTGTCAAAACGTTCAATCTCTCGCTTCAATTGATCATGCTTTTTATAAATTGGGCCTGTGATAGCATCGTTTTGCCATTCAGAAATATCAACGCCAAGAGGATCAATTGTATTGGCTTCGTTTTGTTCCTGAATGATGTTGATGCGCCCTTCAATCCAATCACTGATACGCTCAGCTTCAATAAACCAAACACGCACTTGATCAACCCATTGATTCACAGTTTCATACCGAGCTTGAATGCCTGAAAAGAGTTCAGCAAAACGTGTATCGCTCGTCAAAATATCACCAAATTCTTCTTTTATGCTGAAAATGATCGAGCGAACAGCTGCTACTTTGCTTTCTAGCAACTGAATAGCATCATCTGTGGTTGCCTTTTCTTGACCATCGTCTTCCATCATGGACTGAATCGCATCAAGCTCAACCTCGGCATTCTTTACAATATGAAGAATTTTCAGACCTCGTTCAAAATCTTTGCATGATTGACGCTTTTTCTTAAGACCAGCAACTACATTATCGTATTTTACTATCACTTGGTTGGATTGGACAGAGACTACTTGCATTACAGATCGAGAAAGCTGACGTGTTGCCTTTCTGAACTCTTTCCAACTTGTGTTTTCAAATTCACTGAAATCAGCTGTGAATGCATCCAGACGTTGTTGATAGGCTTCTACATCGCTTTGTGAGCCTTTAAGGGGATGTAATGGTGCAGTTTGCTCCTCATCATGACTAGAAGGTGCAACATGCTCAAGTAACTCTAAAAAGTGATCGAGTTCTTTTAGCATTGCTGTTATACGAGCCTGGTACTCTTCAACGCCTTCTTCTGTATCAATTAAAGCACTTTCTACACTCATCAAATCTTCTTTGGTCGTCTTGAGCAAATCCAAAAATTGACTCCATTCCTTTTGAAGCATTTCATATAACTTGACTACTTGTGTGCGCTGCAGATCAGTCAAATGAATTAAGGTGTCGTCTGCTGTTTCTGGAGATGCTGACAAAGTATCTTTGGCAACTTTTGCTGTGTCCAGATGACTGACTTCGTCATCAGCCTGCTCTTCAATAATTTCGAGAGCATCAATGTATTCAGTGACTGATGAAGAACTGGTAAATTCCTCAGGGATCTCATCAATCGTACGAGTATTCGATTTTATAAACGATAATACAGTATCGTGAATTGTGAGCAATTCATCAAGGATAGGATGGACACCTCGAGGCAAATGGCCAGTAAGTTGCATCAAAAGCTTTGTATTTAAATCTGCTTTAATACGGACTTTGTCTGCCTCTCCAAGTGTAGATCGTCGCTGTTGCATTTTCTTTTTGCGGCGTGCTGAAGGAATGGGTATAGGCACGGGTGCTTCAGGAGCAGCTTCGATGGGTTGCTCTTGAGGAGTAGGTGATGCTGAAATATCTCTATTCATACCAAAATCATCCTCGTCGTCGTCTTCGTCGTCATCATCATCAATATCAAAATCATTTGTCAAGACACCTCCTGATGCCATCACAATGGCAGCCTTACGCTTGACAGCTCTTTCTCGCTTGACATTCTCGGGTTCTTCATTTTGACATTTGGACATGATTTTGTAATATTCGCTTACGTACATCATGACACTAGGTTCGTGAGGATAATCTACTTCAACAAGATCTTCTGGTTCTAAATAGGCTTGTACGCCCATTTGAGTCGTCGCTAAATCAAAAGCGAGTCTCAAGAGATGAAGCCAAGTTGTTTTCTCGGACAGATCCGCATTCAAATGAACACTGAACAAGTCGGGTATATAAGAAGGGTTATGACGGTGAATAAGCAGACAAAAAGCAACACCGGTTCTCCAGGAACGAGAGAAATCCTGTATTGAGGGTATAATATTTGCTGATATATAATCTTCAAGTTGAATCCGCACCCAGTAAAGAAGAGCAACTTTGGCTTCTGCAGAAGTAGACGTATTGTGTTGCTGAAGTTTGTCAGTAATCGAGTGATGACTATTAAATTTCCGAGATGCGGTCAAAGGAGCTGGCTTGCTTGCTTCGACCTGAAAATCAGATGTTTGGGATTTTGTACCATTTTCTCTCTCGGAAAGTTCCTGCATGTCAAGAGATTGAGCTCATTGTACCATACATCTTTTCTTTTAAGGCTTACCGATAATGAGTGCAAAAAATCATCACCATGCTCTGTCAAGATAAGTTGAATTTGATACTTCAACATGATAAAGAATATAAGTGCTAATGTCTTCTTTGCGTCTCCGTTTACAATGGCTTCATTGCCAATATCAGGCATGACATCTGATCCTACATGTTTCTCGAGAAAGCTGAGTGCTTGTGCCACATTAGCCAATTGATGAATTCGCATATTCATACGCTCGGGCTTTGGAGCTGGTTCGTTTGAAATGACGGACAATAATTTGAGTAATTTCTTCCCGTCCCTTAAATCGGTTTTAATATTTGTGATAGAGTCGTCTACTTGCTTTAGTTGTGCGTTTATCCATTTTGTCAAGGTACGGATCTGTATTTCTTGGTAGTCTGATCCAATATTCTTGTTGAGATCTTCGATAAAGTCAAGTCCGACCGTGTTTTGTCGTGATCGAGTTAATCTGTTAGTTTCTCGAAGGATGGAACGGTTGGACCCTGATCTGACCATACTTGTGCCAAATGTGGGAGATGGCCTGCTTGAAGAAGCAGGTGATGACGCACTAGAGGAGGAAGAACTGCTCATGTTTTCATTGAGAAACTTGCAAGGAAGAAGAAAGAGAAAAAGTCGGCTTTAAAATTAAAAAAGCTAATTTAATTTGAAATGTAATATACCAAACTTCTCAAAGAAGGAAACAAGAAAAGAGAAAAGAGAAAAGAAGGAGTCAGTATTGCTTTATACAAAGTATAAGTTGCATATGATTGTTTGTATACACTTATTTTTTTTGTTCTCCTTTTTTTTTACTTTCACATCATTTACAACATATAAAATGCTCTTCTATTTTTGTTACACCGATGCACGAGAGAGAAAGAGAGACTTTACAACAAATTCTTGTTCAGCACAGAGACTGAATGACCCACAACAAGCACAGCGGGTGCTTTGATGTTTTGTTCTTCAACTACAAGTGCCATAGAATTTAAGGTACCAAATATGATGCGTTCTTCAGGGCAATTGGCATTCTCAATCCAGCAAATAGGAACGTCCTCAGGGTAGTGTCGATCCAATAGCATGACACGCAACTCTGAAGCTCTTCCGACAGCCATCAACACAACAAGTGTCTGCGTTGAACCATATATGGGCAAGTCGGGCATAGAACCTTTAGTGCCTCTTCCAGTAGTAATAATCACTTGATCAGAAACTCCCCTAAACGTAACAGGTATCATGGCAGCCATGGGGGCAGAGAATGCGCTTGAGATACCAGCAACAAGTTCAGGCTCAAAGCCGCGCTCACGGAACCAGATAATTTCTTCCCCACCTCTACCAAACAACAACGGATCACCAATCTTGAGTCGTACAACATGAAGACCCTTGTGAAGTCCTTCCAGACACCATTGCATTAACTCCTCTTGGGCTTCATCTGATTTACCCGTCACTTTACGAGCAATACGAAGTTCGCCTTGAACTAAATCCAAGATCTGGCTAGGAATCAAACGATCACTCACAACCAAATCAGCCTCTTGTAACAAACGCTTTGCTTTGACTGTAATCAATTCCGGGTCACCTGGTCCACCACCAATCAATGTGATACGAGGTTGTTTGTTACTTCCCAAAATGTCCTCAACGGAAGGAATGCCGCCCACAATAAAACACTCTTTCAGTTTTGCAAATGCTGTTTCCTCTTGCTCTGGAGTCTCGAGTTCGTTCAAACGAGCCATACCTTGCATGTCCCATTTCTCGCATACTTGAGTAACCCAGGTCATACGCTTGCCTGAATTTTTCATTTCGGGCTCCCATTCTTTTACTTTTGAGCGCAATTTGCCCATTTTCTCAATCGTATCACCCATACGAGGAGGTAAGGCATTGGCAGCTGCAACGCGTACCATGTTGGCTAATTTAGGACCTTTACCGTTCGTAGAAACAGCTATCTGAAGGGGTCCATCCCGGTGTTGAGACATAAAATAAAAATCACACATGGGTGGCACGTCAGCTACGTTGACAGGAATGCGTTTTTCGCGACACAGGTGGCCAATACGAACTGACTCTTCATGATCGTCAAGGGCTGTCAAGACCATATCGACTCCGTCAAGATCTTGGTCAATAAACTTGCGATCCCTCCAATCGACTTCCTTGTTGTCAATTCGGTATCGTACTTCGTCGATAAGGCCTGAATCAGGCGAGACAAGGATAATATCGGCATCTGCGATCTTGAGCGAGACAATACGTTGAGCAGCAACGTTACCGCCACCTACAATCAATACTTTTTTGTGGGCTATTTGATAAGCAAGGACGAGTGAGCCACCTCCTTGAATAGGCTCAAACTGAGAAGATTCTTCTGACATGATCGATATGAAAAGAAAAATAGCTGAGTGATTTTTTCTGGTCGGAAAAAAAGAGCTGTTGGTGATACAAAAGATTGCATAGGTCTTGAGATGACATGTAATGACTTTATTTCATATAGTAAACATCATTTCTTATGTATTTAAACAAGTTCTTTTTGTTATGCATGTATTGAAATAGAGTCTTTTTTTCTGAAGACTATAGTGTAATATGAGGTTTAAATACTAATTTGAGGAGGCATTTATCATTGTCATTATGCATGGCATTCTTGAATACAATTAATGCAAGCTGACTATCCCTTTATGTTGTCAGTCAATTTTGCTTTATTATTGAACCAACTGTAGATTTCTCCCTAACATTTTGATTCAGTGGCATTTTGAACGGCAACAGTGTGTTTTGATGATCCTTACTAAAAACAAAGGATGATCACTGTTGTTCAAGAACTAATCTTAAGCACCAAACTAAATCATGTTATTACAAGGACGATATTTAGAATGTGTAGAAAATTAGAATATGCATTACAGGGAGTTTGAATATAGTATCAGCCATCAGATGATTGAAAAAAAAAAAAAAAAAAAGCTTCTATGATATAAACTTTGGTAGTTAGTAGATACGCCATGATAGTTATGAAGTTGGTATTAATATTCTTTTTATTCAAAGTGAAATGAAAAAGAGGCAACTTGAAAGCACAATTCAAAAGAGATAGAAGAATCAATGCACTAAAATGATAATCATTTCAATAGATAAAAGAAACGTTTACTTATGTCTACTTATGATAATTTTACTGCCTTGACTCGATTTCTAAAAAAAAACGAGCCAAACCCTTCAGAACAAAGTGCAATTTGTTTATTGAATATAAAGCAATACGCATTATCGATATGTCTGAATGACACTAAGAAGCTATTCACGTTTTTTTTACTGTTGAAGATATTCATATTGTGTTCTCGGAATGAACGTTTCCCTTTCCCTTGTGTGTCATTGAAAGGATGGGTTGTGATACCCTATTGTAACACAGGTAATAAACGTTAGGATATAAAACCTATATTTAATAATCAGAGCACTATTTTTTTCTTTTTCTTCTTCTTCTTATCTTTTTTATTTATTTATTTAAATGTGTGATATTACAGATCCTCGTATATTGAATGCTTATATAGCTATTACAGAAGATGATCCAACTGACTGGTAACTTACAACTAAAAAAAAAAAAAGAGAGCAAAATAAAATAAACTTAACCTTTCTTTTAGGCTTATCCTTGGTTATAAAGACACAAGAGATACTATTTCTTTATATGCCTGTGGCGAAAATGGTTTAAGGTTCAACTTGTTTAATTCTGATTTTTAGACTAATAATAATACTAGTGAATTTCGAGATAATCTGACAAATGAAATTTTATTTGGTTTTGTCAGAGTAGAAGATAAATTTGTTTTGATTACCTATGTTCCTGACAGTGTTAGGTAAGAATAATAATCACTATAGTAATTGCCTTGTTTACTAACTTTATGCAATTTTTTTTTTGAAATAGTGGCGTGAGAAGAGGTACAGAATATCAATACATCGTACGACAAACTAACATGATATGTAGCCAGAGCACTTGTTCATAGCCGTGCAGTTGCCAACATACTCGAGTTATCACATGCTCAGCTTACTGCATCTAACCTAACAGATCTCAGTGATGCCAATATCCGAACACGACTCAAACTGAATCAAAACCAAGTCCCTAATCGTCGTGCTGTCTCTAAAAGAACATCCATGATCACACGCCGTAGAAAATCAGGCACTTATTCTCCTTCGCCTTCGCCTTCTCCTATGTCTGAGCGTAATTTGAGAATTCATATCAATAGCATGGACGATTATGATGATATTTCTGATCGCATGACAGCTACACCTACGCCTTCCACACCTACTTCAGTTGCTTCTTCTTCTATTGATTCACATTATTTTGCAGTTGCAGATAGTGTACCTTCTTTTGTATCCACAGATGAGCAAGAGCGAAAAAGAATACAAGAACAAACAGAGACCATGTTACAGATTCAACTGGCTAAAAAGAAAGAATTGGAAGAAGCTAGGTTCCGTCAATTTCAACGTGAACAACAAGAAGAGAAGATTAGGCGTGAACAAACCGTGAGACGAATGGAAGAAGAAAAACGAATTCAAATACAAAAGCAAAAAGAACAAGAAATACCTAAATGGCAACAACAGTTGAAACAAAGACAACAACAACAAAAAGAGTTACGGCAACAGCAAAGACCTTTGCCTTCACAGCCTAAAGATAAAGAAATTCCTTTATGGCAACAACAATTACAACAAAGGAAATTACAAAAACAACAGCAATTAGAACAAGAGAAACTTGAAAAAGAAGAAAAAAAGAGAGCAAGCATAACAAAAGCAGCAGCAGCATCAACAGTATCAGCAGCAGCATCAGCAGCAGCAGCAGCAGCATCAGCAGCAGCATCAGCAGTATCAGCAGTATCAGCAGTATCAGCAGTATCAGCAGCAGCAGTAGTAGCGGAGCCTGAAAAGCAAGTACTTGTTGTCCAAGAAACATTGGTTGTTCCTGATGAAACCACTCTTGCAGCTGAGCAAGTTGATACAGTTGAACAACCTCTTGTTGAAGCTCAACAAACTCCTGCTGTAATTGAACAGCCTCTTATAGAAGATACGCAGCCTACTATCAAAGCTGAACAACCTGCTATGAAAGTAAAGGAGGAGTCTCCTATCGCCCAACCCATCGTAAATCAAGCACCTGCATTGACTGAGCAACAAAGCTCAGATCAAGATGATGAGGTAAATATATCACTTTTTTCCCGACTGTAGTACAAAATTAAACTGATGTAATTTATTTTTTTAGGCTCCAATAATGACAGGATTCATATCTGTGCAAACAAGCACTAGTCCTGTAAGTAAGATGCGTACACATTGTTAGGTATATTTATAAGCAATACTTAGTTTTGGAGACGTCGTTATTTTGTTCTTTCTCAAAAGGCATGCTTGCTCTATAAAGACGAAACAGTAAGTCTACTTTTCTTTCTTCATTGTTGCTCATTTTCTTTAAAGAACAAGGACACGATCCATACTATTTACTATGGTCAAGTAAACCGTGTAGCCCCAGCAGACGAAGATGAAGATACTTATGTCGCCAATTCTTATATGATTGATACCCAACAAGGCATTTCCTTCCAATTGCTTGCAGATGATAAAAAGATGGGAAAGCAAATCTATACCACACTTAAACAACTTTGTTAGATGTATATTAAATAAAACGGCACTTATATATATATATCTATATATATATATATATATATCTTTTATTGGGCTATGTACGGTGAAAATTAATTTACAAAAAGAAAGAAACAAAAAAAAAAGAAAACTTGTTCTCTATAGTAAATGGTCATCCTGCCATTCTCTTCTATCATCACTTTGCACTGATTCTATCAAAGAATGAGCTTCAAATTGCCCTTTATTCTATTTATAGTTACCTGAGTTATGTGGTGATTTTTCACGCTTGTTATTCATAACATCCATACTGATATCTTCTCGATAGTCTATAGAACCTCTTGATCGACGCCATAGAGAACCATCGTTCGTATGTTGTGTGTGATCATTGGATGAGCCAATATTTTCAACATGGTTTAGATCTTCCTCTGAAGACATAAACTTTTCACTTCCATAGACTGGCAACAAATGTTCCTGATGAGATGCATCGTCCAATAACTCTGATTTCTCACTGCGAGAATGTTGTAATAAGGCCACACCAGAACAGATAATAAAGAATCCAAAAACACAAGTCACCACATTCACAGGTGATGCATCAAAACCACGATAAAACACAATTGAACTGACAATAGTGAGTGTTGTAAAGAGCACGTAATAGGTGGGTGTGACGACAGCTGTGTTGAAGATATTGAGTGCTTTGTTGAGATAAATGATTTCGATAGCCAGCGTGACAAGGGTGAGGATCAAGACCAGATAAGTAAACCAATTGGTGAACTGGTTTGCTACTGCGAATGAGTGGACAATGGCACCACCAATACCCTGTGTAAACACCACTGACAATGAGCCAATAAGTGAGCAAATACTAATATAGACCAACATGTTTGTTTTTCCCCAACGAGGTCCACAATAAAACACCAAGAATAACGAGAGAGCAACCGCAATAAAGGCATAAACCAGAAAGCCTATGTTCAAATTAAGTAACTTTGTTTTTCCGTCTATTTGAGATTTTTACCGACAGAAAGCATCAGGGATTTAAAGGTATCAATTGAATTGTCTGCTGCACCTTGTTCTGGAGCATGCATGACAATAATAACTGCACCTAGCACACATTGCAAACACCCTACTTTTCCCTGAAATGATAACCTTTCCTTCAAAAAGATGGAGGACAATACAGCACTACACTTATTTAGCAAAACGCCTTCATATATATATATATATATATATATATATATCTTTACCTTAATACAACACTAATAGCACCTAACGGTGTGACCAGAATAGCTTGTGTAAATGCATAGGCAACAAAATTACATGCCTCACCCACCACCACTAATCAAAAAATAAGTCGATGAATATAACAAAAATCACTACTTACTCAAGATCATCCCACTCCACCACATAGGCGATTTTAAATAGCCATAATCATCACCTGCATCGCGACCTATACATATATTCTCTACATAAGAAATTGCCCTTATTTTCTTTAATTGACATACCTGACTTTTCATTTGATTCTAATAAACCTTTCTTTTTGAATACGAAACTACTGCCAATAAAGATACCTATCGTACTCTTTTTTTTAGTATATTTTTGTGGCTAAACCAGGTTGTTTCTTACCACTAGTGATGGCAAGCGTAACACCAATAAGTTTATAAAGTGAACCATGTGAGTCTGCTTCAAGGCCTAGAGGATTACTTTCACTCGTAGAGTTCATAATGAGAAGATTATTTTTTTGTTTTTTAAATAAAAAAGAAAGAAAGAAAGAGAGAAAAAAGGGTCGTGCAAGAAAAAGTGGAGTTGCGTATGATTTATTTTGATGTTTGCTAGATCAACTCCCGCCACACAATGAAGCTATTTTTAGTTAAATTCTGCTTTTTCGTATATATATACATATAAAAAAAACTCCATAAGCATTGATATATATATATATCTCTTTATTTATGGTCAAGACATTTAATGTATACAAAGCACGATGGTGAAGTTGATTAAATTGTATGTTATTTTTAATTAACTATGAATCCTCTAAAAGGAAATTCCCAAATATAGATTCGCCAAGCAATGGATCTATATAGAAATTTGAGTACGAGGAGAAACCAGCGTACAAAAAGAAGGGAGCAAGTTGGACAATTCCTGCTGATTTGTGCTTGTTGTAGCAATTTAACTGGTGCTCTGAGTCTTAATCGCAATTTGAGGAGTAACATGGAGCCCCCGGGGGTCAGACATAGGAAAGCGTGGCTTGATCATTTATTTAGTATCTTAATTGATCTTTATTACTGTAAATCAGAAAATGATGAATAACGAGGGTTGTACGAGATTTATTAAACTAAAGTATTCCAGGCCTTATGATTCATGTCTATCATGTCTATGGCATCGACAGGAGTTATGATCTTCATCAGAGTCAGAGTCAGAGTCAGAGTCAGACATGGTTGTTGCTGGATCAGTATAGTTGAATTCTTTTAGATTGGGCAATAACTTGTGAATAGACAAGACTTGTTCAACACTCAGTTGAACATCAGATATGGTCACGCTTTGAATACAAGAGTCAGTTTGTTGAATTTTTTCGAGAAAAGCTTTCAAATCTTCTGTAGTGCGAATAAAGACAGACATGATAAGAAAGAAAGAAAGAATAAAAATTTATTTTTGAAAGACAACTGTGATATGTTGTTGGCCTATTTGAGATCTATAGATGGGATCAGTCAAGGTGGACACAAAATGTATCCTTACCTATTGTACTTTCTTCTAAATGTAACAGCAGCTTCTACTGTTGAAAAAGTAATAATGGCTTCTTTGGATTCACCATTGAATTGAATGTCTTTTAATTCACCTGGCACATTCTTTGTCAGGTTGATAATATCTTGTTTTGTTACAGAACTATCAAATCCTTTAATCACCAATGTACTTGATTTACCCTGTGTTGCAATAGGAACACTGGATGGTTTATCAGGCTGACTTAGTCTACTCATGATACTTGGTTTAGTGGCATGTTGTTGTTTAAGTGGTGGTGTATAAGGCACATTTCTAGGTGGTGGTGGTGGTGGTGGCGGGGATGAAGATCGAATACCACGAGCAGCAGCAACACCTTTGATAGAAATACCTCCAGCAGGAGATGGCTTGGGAATCTGTTGACGTTTTGTCGCTCGATCTTCATCAGATTCAGCGCGAGAACGCTTTTCTCCTGGCTTGTTCTATAAGTACTTGTCCATGAATTACATCTTGCCTTACCTGTTTCTCTTTGGCTTCTCTTCTTTTACGCATCATTTCGGCTGTTTCTTGACGCTTCTTGTCCAAGTCTATACTAGACTGTTGTTGCATCATGAGCATACGCTGTGCTTCCATTTCCATCATTTGGCGATGCATCATTTGCTGTGGTGTTCCTTGATTGAATTTAGGATTGACATAGATACGGTTTGAAAAAGGAGGAAATTGTGCATACATTTGACTATCGTATAAAGAAGTAAACAAAAAAGCAAGATACAATAAGTAAATCAACTTGTCTTTTGAAAGGCTTTTCTCTTTTTTTTTTCTTTTTTGTCTCTTTTCAAATAGCCTCACTTCTGTTTCTTTTCTTTTCTTTTTTTTTTTTTTTTTTTTTTGCAATGATGTATACATGATGAAAACAGAAAAAAAGAATAAAGAAAAAGTATACTAGAACCTACTTCAATGCCATGGCGTCTGGTATAAATTTATATTGATTTGGTGGATAGAAATTGTTGTATCGATTATTATAGAAGGGTTTTTGTTGATAATGAGGTTGTTTTTGTTGATAAGGTTTAGGACTTGACTTCTTTTCAAAAGTTTCGTTAGAAGATACTTGTTCGCCTGGTTCAAGTCCATCATTTGACTCTTCTCCTTGCTTTTTTTCGTGTTCTTTAGTCTCGCTTTTTTCTGGTACTTGCTCTTTTTCCCCAGTATCAAATTCAAGCTCGAGTTGTTTCTCTAGTTCTTCTGTCGTTAATTCGGTTCCTTCAACTTCACCCAAATCTCCAAAATCATCAAAATCTAACTCATCATCAGTCAACATGGCGCGTATATATAAAATATAACAAAAAAAAAGAAAGCGTGAAAATGCTTTAGTTCTATTCTATTTTTACCCTCTCTTTCTCAGTCACACAGCAAGACGGAATGTCCAATCAACATGCATGTATATCTTTCTCCTTATTGACAAAGCAAAAAGCATATTTGAAATTGGACTTGAATAAAAAAAAGAAAAAAAAAAAGTCTGCTATGGATCTAGATAAAGAGAAAGATACTTTCGGCTTAACCTCAAGGGGGATTGTGCACGTCAAATGACGATGTATCTTGGTTTGTGATCCGGGTGACAAACCGAGAAAAAAGAAAACAAGCAGCCAAACACCATTGTGGTTCTTAATGAGAATCCCAAATTCGATATGCTTGCAGATCTTTGAATATAAGCAAATGTGTATCAGAAGCTTGAGTCTTAAACGTGTTTGTTTGTCCTGTACAAAAATAAGAGTTTTTAGCTGATAAAAGCTGCATGCTCGTCATTGCTCCTGGCTTTGAATTCATTTGTTAACTTTTGTTGCATAAAAGCGAAGCATGGTAACAACAAAGCGAATGAATTGCTCATGAGGATGTAAAGAGCATGATATGTTAAACACTAGAATTGAAGTCAATTTCTTAAAAACTGAATTTTCTGTTTTCTGACTATACAATGACCTGGAAAATCCACCACTTTGGGCAAATTTAAAATGCTGAAGTATTTTATGCGAGTAGAAAGTAACTGTAAATGTTGTAAATGACGGTATCATAAAAAAAAAGGACTCAAAAAAAAGAGAATTTGAGGTAGTTTTGTATAATAAATTCACTTTGATTAGAGGGTCATAAATCGCTCATCGTTGTAGAATAATAACCATACGATGTATTGAGAATTGCACTAACGGATCTTATTTCTCAATCATCATGTATTTATCTCACTTAACAACCAAATAGCTTTATTTATCCTCTAAAAAAAAAATATTATTATCTCATTGAAACGTTTTCTAGCTTAGAAAACAATAAAATTGACCTCATCTCTTTTGAGTTTAGTGTGGAACAATAGCAACATTGTTCCAGGCACTACCTTATGACTCTCCTTACAAATAAGAATTGAAAACCCTCTTTTATTTCTAAGGCAACTATAAGAGTCAGCTCGCTATAGGAGAAACATCTATACACACACATACACAAAAAGAAAGGGGGAAAAGGGACGACGTAAAAATGAATCGTTAAATATAAAGTTTGGTGCTCAAGTCATGTTTTATAAAAAAAAAGTTTAATTATAATAAAACTCATGATTTTTTTTTCTTTAAATAAAAAAGCAGTTTGTATATACATTTTGTTGATTTGATTGGGAATGAGGATGTCTGGTGTGCTGAGATAATGAAATATGACATGAATAAGGTATTTTGTCCAATATATATGAAGAGTTATTACTACTAATGGAAGACGAACTCGAAGATGACGATGAAGATGATAGTGGTTGACAATGAAATGAATTATTTGAGAATGAAAGACATCGATGGTATATAGACTCGTAATTGGTTGTAGTTGTTGATCGAGAGCCCATCATATAGAGCCGAGAAGGATAAAAATCTGGAGAAGTAATAGGCTTAGAAGCTTCCCTTGCTTGGCAAATCGAGGAACAAAAGCTCATGTTCTAATAAAATGGTTAACCGTCATCATTTAGATTCTAGAAAATATACCTCTTCAGGCAAATGTTTTTCACAATAAAGACAAAAATTAAGGTCCATTTTAAAAATGTAATTGATGGATCAATTGCTAAGTTAAAGAAGAAAGAGAAAGAGAGAAAAGGGAAATAAACAAACTAAAATACAGGTTTATATATTAGAAACAGATGAGTCACAAGCTGTGTACGTATATAAATGTTGCGAAAAAGAGAGAAGAAATTCCTATAGAATGAGAATAATAATCAATTTTTTTTAAAAAAGGGGGGGGAAGGCAAGTATAAATATACATGCGAGGATGATAGGAAAGCACACAGACAACCAGTTATTGGTCCATTACAAAACAAACACTATGCAGAATAGAATTGAACGATCATCAGGTATGAAGATACTTTATTATTTATACAGTCTACACACACACAAGTTTAATACAAAAGCCCATACAACATCATTACGGTTGTAGCACCTGCTACACCAAAAGCAACTGCAATAGGTCCAAAACTTTCTGCCATTTTTCTACCAGCATTATAAAAACATAAAGGACAATAATCAGCTATAAATCAAGTTAGTGACAAAAATCATCATCATTACTACTTACATCCTGTGGGTTGCGAGTATGATTCAGCTGAATAGAAGGCAATGGTTAACCGTGTGTTGGGTGCTAACCAACCAGGAGATTGATATGCAGAAAGACCTCTTTGATCATATAATTGGATTTGATACATGCCCATCATCAATGGTGAAGCAGCAGGAACATCACTGATATGCCATACAGCACTTGTAGCAACACCAGACAAAGCCCCAATGGTATAAGTAACACTGTTAGGAGCAACAGCAGCAAGAGTCAGGTTTTGTGGCTGAACTAACAAATTGGTAAATGACCAGCTAAAAGTGACGTTTTCTTTGCTGTCGATGCGGTAAAGAGGTGAAACTGATTTACTGGCGGTAGGCGCAATAAAACTGACTGAACCAGGGTAGACACTATTACCATAACTAGCAGAGGTAGGTAAAGCTGCTACAGAGTTGTTTCCTGCTGCTGCTGTAGAGTTGGTGATAGTTGTCCCGTTATTATTGATAATGGAGCTTCCATTAGTCGCAGAAGTAGGTTGTGCTGAGGCTGACCCTAAAGTACTAGAGGCTGTGACGGCTCCTCCTCCCGTTGCTGCTGCATTGCTTGTTGCTACTGGTACTGCTGAAGACGAAGTGACAACTATGGCAAGTTAGGTTAATTCGGGCTGAAGCAAAATAATTAGATGTATAAAAATACCTTGAGCAGCTAATTAAAATAAATTAGATATTTTTTTTAATAAACCATGTTTTTTCTTGTTCAGTTACCTGTATTTGAAATAGCACAGAACCCAAGAAGTAATAAGAATGGAAGACGCATAACGAGAAAAGACAGAAAGGAAGAGTCGAGGTTAAAAAAGAAGAAAGAAAAGTAAATGAAAAAAAAAAAACTTCTCCTTCAAAAAAAAGTGGTTTCTTTGTACTACACTCAAACGTCTAATTTTAACTCAAACCTACGAATTCGATTTAAAAACCACTTTTGTCCGAGATTATGCCTATCTACTTTGTCAATGATATACATCATAACAAGCATAATTTTATATTGTTATTCTTTATCCTCTACACGCTCCTTGTATGAATGTCATTTTATGAATTACTAACGGACTTAAAATTCATGGGGATACAATCTAGACTATATAAAAGTATATACTTGTATTTTTTTCCTTTTTTTTCTTCTTTTTTGTTATTTAACATGCTTGAACAACAAGGTACACACTTGCTTGAAAGAAAAGTCGTGTCTAAAGATAAATAGACTATATTCAAGAATATCTTGACTTTGCCGTTCAGTTGGCCAAAGACGCCGGTGCTATCATAAAAGACGCTGTGGAGTCACGTATGGCAGGCACTGGCTCTAACATTGAAATGAAAAAAGAAAATCCTATTGACCTTGTTACAGAAACAGACAAGGCTGTGGAGGAATTCATTAAAAAGCGTCTATTCGAGACGTATCCCGAGCATCGGTATGCATTTGATTCATTGTTTGTAATATGTAGTTAATTTATGTTCAAAAATATTAGATTTATTGGCGAGGAAACATTTGCTAGTGGGGCCAAGACAGAATTCACAGACCTTCCTACATGGATTGTGGACCCAATTGGTAAGTGTGTCATTTTTTTTCTAGGCAAAATGACTTATGTAAGCATTTCTCCACACACAAACAAAAAGATGGTACTACCAATTTTATTCATGGCTATCCATTTGTCGCGGTTTCTATCGGCCTCACAATCAACAAAATCCCAACAATTGGTGTTGTGTTCAATCCTCTCTTAAACGAGCTCTATTCTGCTGCTAAAGGTAGAGGTGCTTACCTCAATAGCACACGCCAATTGCCCTTATTTAATCCACCTCAACCATTGGTTGATTTGTCTCAATGTCTGATTGCCACTGAAGCTGGATCTGATCGAACTCCAGCTGTGATGGATGCTAAAATGAATGCTATTCATGACATGGTGCGTCAAAAATCAGACGCTCATCCTTTTGCAGCACAAGCACATAGTGTACGTACGACTGGATCAGCTGCTCTCAATATGTGCAATGTCGCTAAGGGCATTGTTGATGTCTACTGGGAAGTTGGCTGTTGGGAATGGGATGTGGCTGCTGCTCTCGTTATTGTGACTGAATCAGGTGGTATTGTCTTGAGTGGCCATAATGACAAATCGGATACAGAGCCTGTCAATATCTTTTGTCGTAAATATTTAGCAATTCGTGCTGCATTGGATAGACAGAGTCAACTGAACATTGCCTCTCAAATGAGAGATTTAATTCCTTTTGTGAATGCTCCTCGTCCTTCTGTACCTGGTGGTTATGAATAATAGATTTTTATTTAATTACATTCTAAAGAAAAAATGACTGGTATTATTTACTTGGCTTTGGCAGCCATTTCCTTCTTGTATTCTTGGATAAGAGCTTCTTGGATGTGTGTTTGAACAGGTTGATGATCCTTGTATTCCATAGAGAACTCACCCTTACCTTGAGTGGCAGATCTCAGTTCAGTAGAGTAACCGAACATGTCATTCAAAGGAACATCAGCAGTAACAGCAAAATAGTCTTCTTGAATTTCAGTATCAACAACAGTACCCTTACGCTTGTTCAAACCACCAATAACAGAACCTTGGAATTCAATAGGGGCAGTAATAGCAACATTCATGATGGGTTCTAAAATGACAGGTCTAGCTTTAGCAAAGGCTTCACTAAAGGCATTCTTGGTAGCAATACGGAAAGCCAACTCACTGGAATCAACAGCGTGGGCAGCACCGTCTTCCAAAACCATACGAACACCATTGACAGGATGACCAATTAAAGGACCCTTTTCGAGGGCATCATTGAAACCCTTTTCACAAGCAGGAATGAAGTTGGTAGGGATGTTACCACCAATAACGCGGTTTTCAAATTCAATATCCTTGCCAGTTTCTTCATCGCGAGTCATGGGTTCCAATTGACCAACAACGCGACCGAATTGACCAGCACCACCAGATTGCTTCTTGTGAGTGTAGTTAAATTTGGAAGGTTGTGTGATTGTTTCACGGAAGGCAACGCGAGGTTTACCAGTAAGACATTCGACATTGTATTCACGCTTCATACGCTCAACATAGATTTGCAAGTGAAGTTCACCCATACCAGAGATAATTGTTTCCTTGGATTCAGAATCAACATGGACACGGAAAGTAGGATCTTCCTTTTGAAAACGGTTCAAAGCCTTAGAGAAATTAGGGCTTTCCTTACCCTTGGGAGTCAAAGAGAGAGAGATAACAGGTTCAGGAACAAACATAGATGTCATTGTGTATTGAAGACTACCATCAGTAAAAGTATCGCCACTAGCACAGTCAACACCAAACATGGCACCGATTTCACCAGCACCTAATTCATCAACATCTTCCATATCAGCAGCATGCATACGAACAAGACGAGGGACTTTGATTTTCTTGCCAGTCTTGACATTGGTGATAAAAGAACCCTTCTTCAAAGAACCTTGATAGATACGCATGTAAGTCAATTGACCATAACGACCTTCTTCCAACTTGAAAGCAAGACCAACAAAAGGACTGTTGGAATAAGGCTTCAAATCGACCTTTTCTTCATCCTTGTTGATATCCAAGGCAGTGTTTGTCACTTCAGTAGGGTTAGGCAAGTAATCAACAATAGCATTCAAAAGAGGTTGGACAGCTGTGTTCTTAAAGGCAGAACCCATCAGGACAGGAGTAAACTTCAAACTAATGGTAGAACGGCGAATAGCATCAATAAATTGCTCAGTAGTAGGAATTTCTTCTAACAAATAGATATCAGCAATTTCATCATCCACGTTAGCCAATTGTTCAATCAATTCTTGACGTTTTTCAGTAGCAAGAGGCATGAGTTCTTCAGGAATATCCTTTTCAACCAAATTTTCACCACTTTCACCTTCATTGTAAAAAGCCTTCCATCTAATCAAATCAACAACACCTCTAAACTGATCTTCAGCACCAATAGGGATCTGAACAGCAGCAGCAGTCAACTTGAGTTTTTGTCGGAGTTGATCAATAATACGGAATGGATTAGCACCAGCACGATCCATCTTATTGATAAAAGAAATACGGGGAACATTATAACGACGCATCTGACGATCTACAGTGATCGTTTGAGATTGCACACCAGAAACAGAACATAAAATCATAACAGCACCATCCAACACACGCAAAGCACGTTCAACTTCTATAGTGAAATCAACGTGGCCTAATTGCATCAAGTTAAGATTTGAAGGCATGCCGAATCCCTTTAAGACTTACCAGGAGTATCAATAATATTAATATTGTGGTCACCCCAACTAGCATAAGTTGCGGCAGATTGAATAGTAATACCCTTTTCTCTTTCCAAATCCATAGAATCCATCTTTGCTCCTACACCATCACGGCCACGGACATCATGGATCTCCTTGATACGACCAGTGTAGTAAAGAATACGTTCAGTACAAGTAGTTTTACCGGAATCGATGTGAGCTGAAATACCAATGTTACGAAGTTTATCAAGACGTTGCTGTATAGTTTATTAGCCTTTTATTTTGTTTTAAGCAACTTACAAGGTCCTTTGCTTCGGCCTCGGTGGATTGGAAGCGGCGGGACATAGCAATAGGAAACAGAGAGAAAGCGTTTTGCGGTGTAGCCTCTACAAAAGAAGCTGTAGCAGCTTTGAAGGTTGCCCTTACTGGAAGTCCTCCAAGTAAGGATCGCACAAACGACATATTTTTGTGGAATAAAACAAAAAAAAAGAAAATGGGGGCTTGTCAAAATTTAAGCAAACAGGGGCATCCAAAAAAAAAAAAAAAAAAAAAAAAAAAAAAGTGACCGTCAGATTCCATTTTCGGAAGAATTTATTAAATTTGTTGAAGTTTCTCTAATTTGATCTTGGCTTCTTGATCAGAATTGGGAAGGTAGTAAAGATGAGGAAGAGCTTTGGTCTTTCTGAACAATTCGTCCAATGAAAGATCACGAGGCTTTTCTTTTCTCTCAATCTGAATTTCCCTTGTGGATTGTGTAACAGTGGGTTCAGCAGCTATAGAATAGAGTAAGACTATCTACTATATATATATGTGTGTGTGTGTTGTTTCTTACCTTGGGCTAATTGTCTTGCAACTTGACCAATGCCAATAGAGCGAGATTTCTTTCCACTTTCTGTAGTTGTTGATGAAATAACATCTTCGCCTGCTTTAATTTTTGTGATGCATGATTCCCAATCTACTTTGACCCTTTTTTCAGCCGCACTTTGTTCATGTTCAATTAACTTTTCCGCTTGGACGTATGTCAAATAGTCCACAGTTAATTTTTTGCCTGTGTCTGCAGGGAAGACAATGCCATTGATGTTGTCATTAGCTGCTTTTGCTTCTTCTTCATTCTCATACTGCAAACTACGATTAATTTCAAACGTATAGCATGAATTAACACTTACAATAACATAACAATGTGTCTTGATCATATCCATCCAGAATCGCTTTATTGTACCATATTTTGAGAACAATTCTTGTACATGGCGAATAATAAGTGGTCGAATAAACCCCTTTGCATACACTGCAGTAGCATTTGATGCTTCGACTCTATCGACTTTGATTCGCTTCTCTATTGAGATGCTTAGGTAAGCATACAAATGATGTATACATTGATATCTTACCTTCATCATTAGCATTTTCTTCGGCATCGGATGCACGCTTTCGTTTATTGCTATTAGAATCTGTTTCCATGTCAATTTCATTGGGTATCGCTTGATCTCCGGAGATTGGCTCTTTTGTTTCTTGTTCTTCTTTTTGTTTGGTTTGTTCTTCACTGTCTGGCTTTGCTTGCTCAGTGATCATGGGACCTGTTTCTTCAGCATTACTTGATTCTGGTTCCTCGGTAACCTCTGGCTTAGGTTCTTCAACTGGTTGCGTAGTGACACTCTTTTCTGGTGTTTTAGCTGTCTTTTCTTCTACTGGTGCTTCGGTTATTTTTTCTATTGTTTTATCTCCTGTTTCGTCTGTTGGTTTTTGGGTGGTTTCTTCTATAGGTTTATCGGCGACTTGGTTCTTTTCGGCTTCCAAGGCTTCTGTTAAACGACTAATGAGCTCGTCTTTCTTGCCTTTTGTAGGCAAGTTACGCTTAGAAAGCTCTTCACGCAACTCAACGACTTTTAAAGAAGAGAGGGGTTTGTCAGACATTTTTATAGAAAGAAGAAAGAACGAAAGAAATTTAGACGCGTTTTTATTCTTTTAGAGCTGTGTCGTCACGGCACTTGATCCAGAGCCGGACTGATATAGATTACAGTCGGACAATACTTTTTTTAGGGTGGAGATATATTTTTCTTGTTAGCATAAAAAAGGTTGCGGGATCGACAAGAACAATTGGGATCATTGATGACAGGTTTAATGTCTAGATTAGCAGCTGATAATTCTTGTTGAATGCCGTGCATACTGCGAATATGAGATGTGAGCAATTTCGCTTTGAAAAAGACTTGTCGCAAGTACAACAGTAATTATTTTGGTTGCTAATATCTGGCCGTAGGTCTGGAAATGACATTTCTAACCATCTATTGCTCCTTGGATACTGATGCACTTGAATGAGATGGCTAGAATATGATCTCTTATTTGCATAAGTGAACTCTCAAGAACGACAATAATGATTTGGATCTTTAGGATCAGGCTGTATTTTTGGATTGCGGTGATGTAGTTTAGGCCGTACTCTGTGCACTGAACGAAGGTGCGCCAAGAAACTGGGTTTTATAAAGTCTTTTTTACAAAGAAAACAGTTCTTATTACCGGTTTTTTTTAGAACGCAATTCTACAGAATATGAGCACATTCTCTTATCATTTCAAGGCAGTGCAGTACCTTCAAGGCTAGCAAGTGATTATGCAACAGGCTTTACGTCTGTCCCTTGCTTTACGCTGGATAGAAAATGATCAGCCTTTTCATGGTCTTCTTGAATATCTCTGTTTGTATTGCACGCGTCTTGTGTTTGTTCTTTTTTCGCTGATTGTGATTGAAGCTTCATGGCCTTTTTTTTTTTTATCTATTACACAAAAGAAATAATGCGTTTGAGATGCCACTTGTATTAAAGAAACTTGAGTTTTAACGCAAGTTTATTTGCCTAAACCGATGTAATCTCCCAATGAGGCACTTGAAATTGCATGAAAAGTAAAAATACCAATAGCTGTCAAACTTACTGTAATTTGACATCCAGCAAGTCTTCCACTACATAATAAATTACACTATAACCAAACTATTGACATAAAAGAATCTCTTGCATCAGTAAACTTATTCTTTTTAGTAGATCAAGCTCAGTAAATGAAATTATTTAATTAGTTCATGGCATTTTATTCTGATAAAGACTCGATCAATTGCATACTTAATTTTTATCTATTTCAATGTCTCCACCTTCATTAAAGTCATTTTATTATCTAGATAACGCACACATTAAGATTGAAGAGCTTATGTTAACTGTGCATATCAAGTACGCAATTAATTTGAACTTACTGATACAATTTATAACTAAAGCGACCTCTTCATTCTAAAATTGAGCTAGACCATTTCTTTATTTTGATAACCGTTGCCTTCCTAAAGACATAGGCTTTCTGTAAGTATTGGCTTACTCTGGCTAGAAAGACTTGAGGCGTCTTTGTTGTTGTTGTTGTTTTTTATCTAGACTGATTTTAGTAGCGGAAAGTAGTCTATGGTAAATGATAGAAGCAGTTTTGCATTGCTTGCCTCGTAAAAGAAGGAGGAGCAAAGAATGACATTCCGATGGATAAAATCTAAAGTGGTACCTCAAGAGAAGACGACTCTTTAAAATGCTCTTCTTTTCTGTCGTTGTTATTAACTAAATCATTGTTATGCTGCATTGACTTGACAAGTAAGCATACAAGATCCAATAATTTTTGTCCCTGAATTATAAATATAAGCTAAATGAGAGATTATGGGATGAATAAAGCACTCCTTTATCTCAACTATGAGAAAAATATATTGCTACATTGCAGTCGCTTTTGTTGCTTGTATCCTTCTTCTTGCATTTTTTTTTCTTTTTTTTTTTTCTCTCTCTTATCTTTTGGCGCCATTGTTTTATTACTACCAAAATTCATATTTGTTATTTGATTTTTGCATTACTTTCTCATTGTCCTTGAGACACTTTTTCTTTTTTTTTTTTTTTTTCTTGACATGATCAATTCTGACGCATGATACTTTTACTTATTAGAATAGCCCTAAAACTCGGTTAGTTTTACCTTATTGCGAATTGAATTGAGTTTTCCTAAAGTGTTCATTATGACTCCCATCTTTTTATATCTGAACTAGCAATTATTATCTTAACAAACAAGTATATAAATCGTTTAAATTGTTGTTCGAAAAAGATTAGATTTCGACTCTCATCTTATTCTAATCATCTGGACTGCTTATTGGGCCGCAGTTATTGACCTAAATACTTATTTTTTGTTGATTTGGTTTCCTGGATACTGACATAGGAAGATCTTTTACTTACAGGTTCAATGCCTTAACAACGTGGCGTACATTACATGCAATCGTACTTTTTTTTTCTTTTTTTTTTTTATTCTATTGTATAATCCCTTTTATACGATATAGAAATAATAATTAAAAAAAAACAATTAAAATAACTATGGTCGAAGAAAAAAAGGAAAAAACTCTCCGGCGGGGAATTGAACCCCGGTCTCCCGCGTGACAGGCGGGGATACTCACCACTATACTACCGAAGAGGAGACATTTTTGTCGTACCCAAACTTAAGTTTAAGCCCAATGTAAAGAAAGCGGCCAGAAGACACCAGCAGGTGCTCGAAGGTTCTGGAAATTATTAGTCAGATGTTTATCTGATTATCATTACCATATCTGGCATTCCCCTTATATGGCTACGACTTCAAATACTAGAAGCTTCCACTTGAGTCACAACTCAGACATTATAGATAGTATAAATATAAGTTGCACTCAATGAAATAAACATCATCTTTCAGCACAAATATTAAGTATTAGTTACACTCTATAGTAAGTTAAGCCCTACGACTTATTATACGTATCTCTGGTTATACTTTACAAGTTTTATTGGCTTTGCTACTTATTGGATCTATCTACAAAGACGACAACTGGTAGCATCAGGACACTAAAGCAAGTTATAAAGTTAAATAGTTAAAGCAAGTCTCTCAAGGTTATTTTCTGGTTATTTTCAAGGTTTCAAAGGTTTAAAAAGTATCTCATTGGTTAAATTTTTCTGGTCTTTTCTGGTATTATGAGCGAAGATATTTCTATGACATCTGGTAATTCGTTTGGTTACGCTCGTAAGGTTCGTGAACCTGAGGTTTATAATGGTGAAAGAGACACTATCGCTGTGAATTCTTGGATTTACTCTTTGGAGTTGTATTTCTCCTTAGTGAAAATCGAACACCCACAAGAAAAGTTGTTGTATGCAGTCTCTTTATTGAGAAAGGATGCTCAATTGTGGTATTCACAGTTAAATACTTTCAATAAAGAGCATGTTCCTCAAGATTGGGACGAACTCAAGGTGGCTCTACGTACCGAATTTGTTCCCATTGATGCCATTGCGAAGGCTCGGGATAATATGGCTAGTCTGGTGCAAACTACAACAGTAAATCAGTATATCAATGACTTCCGTCGTCTGTTGTTGCAAATTCCTGATATGTCTGAGGGCGTTGCTCAAGACAAGTTTATTAGAGGTCTAATTAAGCCTCTACGTTATGCGGTCCGCTCTCAATTTCCCAAAACACTGGCAGACGCTCAACGTATCGCCTTGGCAATTGAAAGTGCAGAAGAGGGTGAGGTAGCTCAACCTATCAAGATGAGAACACCTCAACCTCAGTATGAAGCTATGGATTTGGACGCTATTCGTGACTTGGTAAATGCTCTCAACGGTGGTTCTGGTAGACGAATGGCTCAGTCTAATAACGGTCGCCGTAACTTTAACAGTGGTAATTTCGCCAGAAATACCGATGTTCAATGTTACAACTGTAAAGGCTGGGGCCACATGCAAGGCGAATGTCCTAGTCCCAGGTCTAGTCGTGGTGGTGGTAATCGACGTTCTGGCGACTCTTTTAACAACCGTTTAAAAGAGTAAGCGTGTTTGACGGGGAGGGAGATCAAGCACGCTCTAAAACAAGATCCCTCAACAGTATTAAACAAGATAATACTGTTCCAACTAATAGTGATGATGTCGAGGATTTACTAGGACTAGATAGTGATCATGAAACAGATGACTTGAAAGCAGACAATACATATCTGTTCAATCTAAAAAAGTCTAATAAAGCATCAACTGATTTGCCCCTGTACTCGTTTGATATCTTTACTAACGATGGTTCACGTAATTGCTACAAGACTATACAAGTACTTTTGGATACGGGTGCAAGCTCAAACTATATCAGTCCTACCCTGGTAAATCCTGCAACTATGAAAGTGACATCACTACAAACCAAGCACGAGGTGGAAACTGCTAACGGTCAAGTCTCAGTGATTAAAGATAAGGTTGAGTTCTCGGTGTCTGCAAATGGCGTTGGCCAACGGATTCAAGCTTATGTATTTGATACTAAGTTTGATCTTATCCTAGGTCAGCAATGGTTTCAGCAATACAAGCCTGTTCCCAACTGGTCTAATAGCTCTTGGTCTATCTCTGGTCCTTATGGTGTGGGTACAACTGTCTTATCCCCAGTTAACTTGGTGTCTAAATCTGAAAGTCTGGTGTACGTTATGAGCAAACGCCAAATGCAACGTTCATTACGCAAAAATAGCATAGACGAGTTATTCTTGGTACATGTGAAGGAATCTGGCTTGCACAACATGGTCGATACTGGCGATAATCTTGGCAAGGCTATCTCTAAGCTCTTAGCAGAGTATAAAGATGTTTTCACGGATAAGTTGCCTCCTGGTTTGCCTCCGGACCGTGGAATTGAACACGTAATCGAAACTGGTGATGCTGAACCAGTCTGCAAGCACCCTTTTAAGATGAGTCCTTTAGAACTAGACGAACTACAACGTCAACTAAAAGACTTATTAGACAAAGGGTTCATCCAGCCTAGTTCTTCGCCTTGGGGGCTCCTGTTTTGTTTGTCCGCAAGAAGTCTGGTGAACTGCGAATGTGCATCGACTTCAGAATAATCAATTCTTTGTGCACCAAGAAGTTGAATACTCCATTACCTCGTATTGATGAGTGTTTAGAA